ATATATCCAACCAATGGGTCAGCTTTTTCCCACATGAGACTTGCTCTGCTTGTATCTTACTTCTCGGTCACGCTATTCAAGACAAATACATTGACGGTACATTGTGTAGAAAACTCTTCTTCACCATTGGTAAGTGGAAAAAAAAAACAGGTCTGATTTCGGATACCCTATGTATATTACAAGGAAGAATCAGGACATGACCTCCATGGCGGAATCTTGAGGCAGAAGAGGGAATCCAAGAAGGGAAACCCAAGTCTTCAGTCTCATTGGTACAACCAATCAAAATGCCTTGTTCTGCTACGATTCCTTGGGCAGGGAAAAGAACTACATGACGCATTTCTTCAAGAATCCCCGTCAGAGGATATAAGCTTAAACATTTGCTTTGTTGGTAGTGCCTTGTCTGCAGAATAATCCCGATCACGTCAATTAAAGTGTCTAGTATTTTTCTGCGTCACGAAAGGAAAAAGAAAATATATACCTAGCGAGAAAAGAGTGGCTGGCGGCCCGAGACCAAACCAAGTAGATCATGGACCGATATGGGTGGGCATAGCATGACTGAAGCAAGTCACTTTAGACTTTCGAGACAATTGAGACGTTGATTTCCACGACAAAAACTTTCATTTCTTCTCAATGTAGTGGATCACTGTCTTTGCTACTCTAGCTGACTGACACCCAAGCAAGCGTTGTTTTCCCACGTCAAACAAAAGTGTCGCCGTGACGCTGCCTCGAGGCTACGAAAAGCAAAATGCGTATGCCGCTGCGAATGATGAAAATGCTGGATCAAATATTTTGCTCCGGCTCGTTATTGACCGGCACAACGCCAATCCAATCGGGACTCACCGGTCCCATGAAATCATTCCATTCGCCGGGGAAAAAACAGATCAAAACCACAAATACCAGTGCGCTATGCTATGCTCAAGGATGCCGAAACTCCGGAGACCCCCCCATGAAGACAAAATGACTGCAATCTATAATTGTATGCGTCGCTTCAAAACTCGTTTCTTTTCAAAAGTTCGGGTATATGAGTGGCAGATAGTAACGACGACGGCGGAAGCGGCCATGGCGACCGCGAGGGCGATCGCGATTGTTCATTGCCTAGATGAATCCAGCATCGCGTGCCACATCAGCCGTGGGCGTGCGTTCGAGCATTCCAATATTCTGGACGCCGTGGCCAAAATCCATGATAAGGATCTTGGGGTCTTGTCCGGTGCTGACAATGCGTCTGTAATCACTCTTGGCACTCAACACCCAGCTTGCGTGCCATCGGGGGAAATCGAGAAGTTGGTCGCCCGTAGCCATGTCGAAAACCTTGATATCGGTATCGTAGCTTCCACTGATTAGACGTCCGCTGACACTGTCAATGTGCAAACTGCGGACCAGGCTGTCATGTGCCTGCATCTCCCTAATGCACTCGCCCGTTCTCGCGTCCCAAATACGGATCATCTTGTCGCTACCAGCAGATGCAATGTATCGGCCATCCTCGGAGAACTGGCTGCAGGCAAGACCCTTGGTGTGGCCCTCGAATTCGCGAACGACTTTGCCACTGTCAATGTTCCACAGCTTAACTTTGAAGTCGCCAGAGCAGGACACAATACTGTTGCCACGCAGCTGAACAGCGTTGACGGGACCAGTGTGACCCTTGAGCTGCTTAAGCATAGCGCCAGTCGCTCGGTCCCAGACACAGATGCTGATATCTTTGGAGCACGTGACAATGTGCTTGTCGTCAAAGGCAAGATCCAGAACGGCGGCAGTGTGGTGTTCCAGGCGCCGGATGGGGCGATAGCCAGATTTGACGTTATAAATGATGCACGAGCCATCTGAGGAACCAGTCACGAGAATATTCTCATCGTACTGGAGACACAAGATAGAAGCCTTGTGATGGAGTTGGAAAGAGACGACAGCTGGGACCGACTCGTGGTTGCGCGCCCTATCTGGTGCTGACACATAGTGTAGAGGGCGGCCGTTGGCATCGAACAGTACTGAAGTGTCATTGACGACCTCGGGAGGTCCAATAACGAGCCGACACTGGAAGGTGTGCATGTCCCAAATTCGAATGGTCTTGTCCCTTGAGCCAGTGATGATCTTGGATCTAGCAGATTATGGTCAGTCTGGATAGTTTGGGCTGTGATGTTGGGGATTTGAACATACTCATCAAACTGAAGGCAGTAAATACTGTCAAGGTGGCCGTTCAAGTAGACAGAACGGAATGAGGTGCCTTGGTTCCAACGTTGCTCCAGCTGCTGCTTTGCCTTGTAAATTTTCTGCCAATCGTTTCCGGGAAGGATAGCAGGGACGCCAAAACCTGTGCCAGGCTCAATGGGTGCAGCGGTTGCATATGTAGCCGTCTTCTCACGCAGGAAACTCTGTCGCCAGATCTGCCAGTCCTGTGTAACGTCGTACCACTTCTTGGACACACGCGCAGCAGCAGTCAGGCCATTGGCACCGAGGTGGGAGAGGATGCGAATGGAAAGCTCGGCGGGCAGTCGAGAGATGAAGTCGACTCTGCTAATGCGTGTGTTCTCTCTCACGGCCACTTCAGTTTCATCGGAGTTCATGATGGAGATGCCGATTCCACTTTCGCGATCATTCTGCACCTGATCTGCCAGCCATTCCTCTCGCTGTAGCATGGCCAAGTATTCGTTGTGGGACACGACCGAGGCTTTAGCTGCGGCGCCAGTGTGCGACGGAATGATGGGGGGCTGGAGGCCGTTGCCAGGAATGGGCACATTAGAGAATGTCGACTCAATGGGTGAGTAGATGGTGTCCAAGGCGTTAGCTCGTCCGCCATTGATCATCTTGGAGTGTTTGAAGCTGGCGGCCTGCCGCAACTTGTTCCAGGCTGAATGTGCTGTAGAAGATCTCGTATGTTGATGCTGTGTGTGCTGTGTTGTGAATTCCAGGGTCTTTTCCGGCTCTGAACTTCGGCGATCCCGGCGATGTACGATACCCTTCATGAGGCTCAGAGAAGCGCGCCTAAACTTTCCCTTGAGCGAGCCATTGCTATCCTGAGACTCGGAGCGGGTGTCCTCTTCTGCGGGTTCGGGAAAGACCGAGGGAGTTTGGGTGTCGTCGTTCTCTGAGCTGAGGAGCAATGACTTGGGTCGTCGTCGCCAGTGTACCGTCGAGCTGAAGCTCCGTGTGCGTGAAGGGAAGGGATTGGCTGTGGTAGGGCGGACGGGCTCTAAAAAGTCCTTTTCGACCTCAGCCCCCGTGTCGGCGGAGTATGCACTGGCGCCAGACGTGGATGGTTCGTAGTCATTCACCAGGCGCTTGGCCGGAGTCCAGCCCGGCACGGGGAGGGTCGTGGTCGTGGTGTTGTTCACCATTGTGTAGAACTGACTAGTAGTTGGTGGGGCAGCGGGTGTGCCTGTCGGTGCAGCTGAACGCTGTAACGCCGTGTGAAAGAACAGCAATAACAAACGGCGGCAAGTGCAAGGCGAACAGAAAAATAGTAGTAAAGAAGCACAACAAACAAAAGTTCCAGGAAAGAAAGAAAAGATAGGTTGCGCGCCAACTCTCTTCCAAGACCAAGAGACGATTGGGAAATGAGGGTCGACAATCAAAGGAACCGGGGTCCCCAGGAACCAAGTCAATAAGTAGGTGAGAGAGTGAGAGAGTGGTGCACCTGTACGTACTCTCTACTCATGTACGTACAGTTCTCTCCAGTCGATGTCGCCGGCAACCTACACTGGAAACCTACGGCAAGGTACAAGTAGGTAAGCCAGGTACGGTACGTCAACCAAGGTGAGGCGGTGGACTTGCGAGACGTGGCGGGCGGTAGATCTGGAACAACTTTTTTCGTGAATCGACTAGTTAGCGGCTGGTCCGTCCTAAAAACTAAGATGGACTGAGTCGTGCAATATCCGATCTCCCTCTGTGGCCCCTATCCAGGAGTCAGGATTGAGACAGAATTGGTTCTAAAGGCCAGTAGAGGAGGGACGGACTGCTTTTACAGAGGGCCGGTGTTGGAAAGAGTGTGTCCCGAAGCGAGTCGTGTGTTGCCTGATTATCGACTCTTATTTTGTTTTTTTCTTCTTGGTCCCCTTGGTTTGTTGCCCTTGACCGTGCTGATGATGACTGGCTGGGGATGACTTGGGGGCGCTGCGCCAGTGGCGGGCACCACTAAAGAAAGAGACTGGGGAGTGGGATGATGAAATTGATCAAGTGTGATGGGCTTTTTTTCTTCTTGGGCTGGGTTGTGTGCATATGCGCGTCTGCCGAACCGAGCAGACAACCAGCAATAGTAGGGAAGAGAAAAAAAAATATTATCTTGCTCGTCCGTTTGTCTGAGCTGTCTCTCGTCGAATCAAACTACACAAGAGGCGCTCGTCAGGTCAGAGGGTCTTGTCGGTCATACGTTGATACATAAGCTGATTCGTGGGGAAAGGCCAACCACCCACTTACATACATGTGTATGTAAGTACATACATATGTACTCTTCAACAAGTGATGGTAATGTAGGTTGGATTGAGAGTGGTGATTCAGTGATATGGGGGGAAAGTGAGGGGCCAGAGGGACATCAATCAATCGATTAATCAATTAAAGCCCACCGACATGGGCTGCAAACGACGAAGCGCAGCCTGATGGTGATGATGGGGGCAGAGGGTTAAAAAAAAAAAGGTATACCATCGCGCTAAGGAAATGCTTGGGTGGAAAAGACTTACGGAATGTAACGCTATGCTGCACCTTTGTGCACCTTTGTGCACCTAGCGCCAAGTCGTGCTTGTGAGCTTTGTCGCGGGGCGTGTACAAGTTCGGCAGACCCGAATTGGACTGTTCGCCCGGAGGAATTAAGTAGTTTGATGATGATGGTCAAGAGTGAGAGAGAGTACGTGGTGAGAAAAAGAGCGGTGGGAAACCTCCAACCATCAAATTCACCCGCCTCTTGGACCCCGACCAGTCAGCCAGTCACCCAATCAGTCACTATTGCGGCGTTTGCAGGGCAATCGGTCGGTTGGATGGTTAATTGGTCAAAAATGGAAAACAAGATCATTCTGCATTGTGCGTCAAAACGTAGGACAAACGCGGTTGGCTTTCTACACCAAGAGTCTCAGTATCTACCTATGGAAGAAAAGCCAACCACTGTGGCCACTGTGAGAGGAGCGGAAACCATGTTACTAGGGCGGGATACTATGTACAAGAACAAGATCTGGGGGTCAGATTGCTGGGAATTTCGGAATCCGTCAGCAGTCAAACATGATGTAGTTCTCTAGTAAACCCATAAAAAGACAAGGTAGTGATGATGCGATTGGGGGTCTGCGCCATGAATCCTCAACTGAAAGTTCCCTCATGTTGGTCAGAAAACAGGTACCGACATCCTGGCACGCCGTTGGGCAGTGACATTCTAGCGCTCCAAGTGCTGTCCACGGGTGCTGTTGCTGTGCTGTGCTCAGAGCTCTTTGCCGCTAATAACACCAACGACAACCATGCGCACGGAACACCAGCCTTTGATCCGAGCACTGCTTCTTAATCCTGCAACCCGTTTCAATAACGACTATTCATATGGTTGTTCGTTACCCATTCGAGATTATATATGCCTGCAACAGTGTCTCACGATCCCTTCCAAGGGTGCCTACTTACCTCCTACATGAGTTTGTTTATGGGAGGGTGGTTCTGATGTCCAAGTGGGGTTTCAATTGTCTCTGCAGCCCGACCGAGAGGGAATCCATTCCCAGGAATTGATTCTACGTAGGTACTATTGATCGGGAATATTATCGTAGCCGACGCGCGGTTACTTGGAGGGATGCAACGCTTCAGTTCCTAATCCGGCCTTCTCGTCTAATCAGCGCGGACCACGATTGGGCACTTTGACTTTTTTTCCTCAATCAATCCCCAGGTTTCTCTGGGAACTCAATGTACGTAAGTACTACGGAGCTCCGGGGTTGACCAGGATCGCACAGAACGCCAATCTTGGACGGTTGGCCGGGGCCCGGTAGATATCAAGCATCGGCCTAGGTATGTGCAAGGATAGCTATGAAGCTACTGTCTGTAAACATGTTTTACAACTCTGCTTCTATGCTCATGCACCCCGACACCTTGGAAAACCTTTGCTGCAATTGTTGTTGTTTTGGTGTTATTCTTGCTCTGTAGGATTTCATTCCTCCGGGTCGCCACTAGCAGGAGCAGCAGAGCATGGATGCAGGTGAGGCACCCATCCACCCTACTGTAAATGTAGGCAGATCCAGCTTACAAGGGCCAGCCAGCAGGGTCGGGTACATGTATTACCATGTAAGATGGTGTTGACTTTCTGGAGCTGGGGGTAAAATGTTGGAGCCTGCCTGGGCCAAAAAATCCCAGGCTGTCAGATCCATCGTTGTAACCACATGCTACACACCACCATCACGCCTACACCTGCGCCAGAGGTTGTGCGCTGGACCTGGACGAGAAAAATGTGTGCTGCAGCCGGCATGCATGAGCTGAATCTTCCGTCGTCCCTCGGCATTGATGTCGTCAGTTTGCGCAGATCATCTCATGTTTTGACGGACAAAGGAAAAAGTGTTTCTCTTGTCTTCGGCAGCAAGCCCGGGAGACAACCAGCAGCTGGTGGCAGCACCAGAGTTTCAAGATTACCATGGCATTTTTTTTACGACACTTGCCAGGGCGCAATCTTTGAAATAGACATACAACAACAACAATAGAGCAGCAAATCGACAGAATCAATTTTCAATATCCCGTAATCTTGCCAAGCATTGCTCTTAATGGCGGCATTGCTGGTTGGATGGCGCCATGACCCAAGGGCCCCAAGAAGCCCGCCCAGCTGCCGCCGTACCAGAATCCGTCCGGAATGCTACCGTAGCTACACAAAGCTTGAGAACAGCTCGCGACCTGGATAGTCAGGGGACCGGATTTAGAACACACCTCATCTCAATCCCTGCATCTACTCTATATTACGAGCATCACGGGCGCCTCCTCATGGCCGCTTGTGCCAGTCATGCGCTCAGCCTCAAGCTGTACAGATTAATCGACTATGGTTCGAGACCTGCTGCTCACTTTTCCCGACGCATCCCACAGCAGCATTGCGCTGTTGCACTTGGCTAGACAAGTCCGCGCCAAAAAGCGGAGCGATGCTTGGTTCACTGGACTGGCAACCAAAGACCCAGAACTTTGCTCTCACCCTTTTGCCGGATCTGAATTGTATGGAACGTAGTCCGGGTGCTGCGATAGTGACAACGGCTCTCGTTGACTTGGCATCAAACGACTCGGAGGGCTTGGTCCCAACCTCGTGGTGCTCTCGGTGACACGGGATCCCGCCATTCTGGTGCATATTACATCAGAGCTGCCTCAAGAGCCGCGTTTCTTCTGCGTCGCATTAAACAAGATGGACTCTCTCACGTCTCTTGATTCGCGCCATCCATTAAAGGGGTGTTTACTGCCTTGGGCAACAATGTCCGCGGGACGACGAGGACGACGACGACAACGACGATACGTGGGACGTGAAAAGCCTCTCTAGCCGCCCAATTGCTGGCTTTGCTCTCTGCTTTGGAGCCCCTCGTTGAAACCCTGCCAAGAGCTCGACTCTGCACGATCGGGTTATCCGACGTCAGCTTCGTCGGCACAACCGACGACTTTCTATAACTCCGCCCTCTATTATTCATGCCGAGCATCCATTATACGCGTGCCCGGGTAACCTTGCGCCGCGGGATTCTGGTCTTTCGATCGTTTGTTGTCAATCCTGCCTGATGATTTGGTGTCGCTTGTGTTTCAATCGCGACATGACAAGCGGTGACCCCCATTCATCGCGGCTTTCATCTCCCAGTTGGCATATCGGAATCGACCCCCTCTTCTGCCGGGCTGCTTTCAGCCCCGTTGTAATGATTCCATTTCGGTCGGCAGACGCCTGGATCATACGTGGCTGCCTCGGGAAGTGATAATAGTTGCGAATCACGTCAGCTGAGTCACGAAGATGATTCGTATAGTGTTTACCCGATCGGCAAATTCTCTCCATCACGCAACGCATCTCGGCGAGTATGGGCTAGACCCATAGCCATCAATAGGGGCTTGCATGCGGCCGTCATTCAGAGTATTCTCTATGCCTCCTTAGGGTAACGCAAAAGGATCTAGGCAATCAGGTAATTGAGTGCGACAACACGCGAACATCGCATATTGAAGACGAATAACCAATCCGTCCTTATACACGGCAAGGAATTGATTTCAGTAGGATTGCTGATTTTGAAATATAACACGCGTGGGTAGTCTGTCCGAGGTTACACCTTGGTATGAGGATAGAGCATCATTATAACATGGTAGGTCGATTTAGTCTATTTCGGCTATTGACTTTATATGAGCAACCAAGCTTTAGTCATATTAGAGTTACAACGCAACGCCCAATGCTGGCTCAGTAAATGAAGGCACCTTGACCGAGCGCCGCATCTATTGGCTGTGTTACCTTTTTAAGGTGAGATGAGTTGGTACCACAAAACATCGAAGCCACGGGCGACTCATAGCATTGGTTGCTAGGAAGCTGGATATGATGTCGCCAGCCATGTCAGGCGTCTGTATTGTGCGGCTGGCCTATCTTGAGAAAAACAAAATACTTGCCTCCTGATCAATTTTGAGAAACAGTCCACCGTGATGCACGGAAATGCTGCAAAGTTGCCTCGGGAAATCTAACAGCCATACCGCCCTTTCGAGAATACTATGAAACAAAACGAAAATGAGGGGGAGGGGAACCACAACTCAAGCCATACAATCTCGCACAATGCTTAGGCTTGCAAGTATCCAGCTTCCCGCATCCGCCTCGTCACTTCTTTGCGGATATCATAACTATAGAAGAACTTTCGAACCGGCTCCGTAAAGTTCATCGCCTCGTGATCGAACAAGTCATCACCACAGATCTCCTCGGCTCTCTGGCGAGCCTCGTCCCTCGTGCCAGGGATCGAGTCGCTGAGGAACTGGACCGCGTGGATACGTCGCTTGAGCACGTCCTCAAAGAGCTCAAGCCGAGCGCTGACATCCACACCGCTGCTACTGCCGCTGCCGCTCCCGCCGTCTCGGCCAGTGAATAGGAGCTCGAGCGCCGCGGCCTCCTCAATCGCGAGGACGGCCCCCTGCGCGTGCGTCGGCAGGATGGTGTGCGCCGCGTCGCCGACAATGACGGCGCGGCCCCGCCAGTACCGCGGCAGCGGCTCGCGGCGCACGAGCTTGTAGACCTTGACGTCGGGGGCCTTGAGGACCACGGCGCGCATGACGGGGTGGTAGCCGTTGAGGATCTCGAGCACGTCGGCGTGCGTCGCTGCCGCGTTCCAGTCCTCGTCCTTGTCACGGTCCTGGGCCCGCGTCTCGTGGCGAATGGCAATGTTGAGCAGGCGGTTGTCCCGGCACGCGTACGCCACCATGTAAAAGGCCTCCGGCAGGTAGAATGGGGTCCAGTACCCGGGAGCTTGGCCTTCGAAATACGGCCGTGTCTCTGGGTCCGACAGGATGGCGTCCATGGGCACCAGGCACCGATACGCCGACCAGCCCAGGTCCTTGATCTTGTCGGCCTCGCCCGTGATCTTGCTGATGAAACGCGACTTGATGCCATCGGCAATAACGAGCAAGTCTTTGGTCACCTTGGTTCCGTCCGCGAGGATTATGACGCCGGTCTCACAGTCAATGTCGACCACGGCCTGGCCGAGTCGAATAACGGCCGGGGGTCCGGCCAGCTCGTTGTTGGGCCCTTCCTGTTGGCCCTGCGCCAGGTCCTTGAGGCTATTGTGCAGATCAACGCGGTGGTAAAAGGCCATCTTGGCGCCAAAGTCGCCGCGCACGTCCGTCAGGTCGTCGGTAAAGGCCGGCTCCAGCGTGTGCGCGTCAACCATGCGCAGCGTCTTGGCCTCGACGGCGCCGGCCTTGACGTCGTCAAAGCCCCAAGATTCCAGCACGCGCGACCCGTTGGGAGTGACGGTTATGGCACCTCCGACTTCATTTTTAAACTTCGATCGCTCATATATCTATTTTCCTTTTTTTTTAGTGATAAGATGCCATTTTCGTTTTCTTGGTGTTTATATCTGAGCAGAGGCATTGCACTGTACATGTGTCGAAACGTAGATAGCGTCCAACGTCGTACAACCGACCTAATCCTCAGCTTTCCACTGTCCAAGCCCAATGGCGGCCTGTTGTACCACATGAAGCTGGGAAATATCCCCATGGTACCAAGATACAAATAGAAGGAAAAACAAAAGAGGCAGGGAAGGAAAAGAGGGGAGGGAATCCTTACCTCGACTTCAGCTCCGGCGCGACGGAGACCAATGGCGGCGCTCAAGCCTCCAATGCCGGCCCCGATGACGCCGACCTTTAGAGGCATATCGTTTTCCCCCTTTTCTTTTCGTTGCTGATATGTCTTCCTTTTAAATATAATTTTCCGGGATTAGTTTGTAAACATTCTCTTTCTTTCGGGGAACAATGTTCCACACGGGTCGTACGATTGACTGATGCTGGTAGTTGCGACTCGGCTTTCCGGAAAGGGATAAGAAATAAAACAATGAGGAAAACAAATCTCAAGAAAACTGATTTTTTTTTCTCCTTGTCCCATGGGATCCGAGGAGTCATAACATAATTCTTCCTTCTCCTCTTGTTGGTCTGCTATTTCAAAACCCCTGTTTAGTTATGCACCACGTCCAGTTGTTTGCCAACCAACTTGGTTACGTTTTCATCTATCATGCGAGGACCTTTTTTTTTTTCTTCTTCTTCTTCCCCTCCTAATGCAAGGGATGGAGGGGAAGAAAAATAAAAACTAGTTGCCAACCAACATCTCGGCCGTAAAAAGGCGTGCGGCGGCATTGGTAACCCCTTGCCTCCTCCAAAAAGCCGCGGCCGAAAACAAAAATCCCCGGGCTGCATTTTCTTTGTTCTTTCTTGATTCCAATCCAATTTTTTTTTTTTTTTTTTTTTTTTTACTTGCTAGGCTCCTTTTTCTAAATAGGATAATGATGGTTACGCATGACGTGTCAGATTTTAATGTAGAGACGCTAAACCTGGGGAGGGCCAACAGCCGTCAGACTTTGGTGTGGCTTCCTACGCCATCCCTCATGTGATCCGGGTAGAAAATAATGCTAGTAGTAGTGACCGACGGAAATGGCTGGCTCGAGCGGCCCGGGTATCATTGTCGTACGACAGCCGATGACAGAAGTATGTTGCCAGAGTCTTGTGTTGCACTGAAACACATGAGGGAAACTTTGTGGCAATATAGTTTGAGAAAGTCTACGATGCTGTGATTAGTTCTTGGACTGAATCAGATAGATCTAAAAGTAAAAATGTGCTAGAATTTTTGGCAATCATGGCTATTTACATCTATCTGGGTCCGCCTTTCGAGCCGCCCCGTCTTCTGCCTTTCTAATCTATTGAACTCTACCATGTAGCAGGGCCAAAAGTCTCCCCAGGCGGTAATACAGTCTGTATAGCCGTGTCTTGATAATCCATTGTCGTCGTGATAACGGTATTGCCCCACCATTCGGGCGGGCTGATATTGTTGAGAGTAAAGGCAAAAAATATGACCAGTGTAGAAAGGGCAAGTCCTAGATCGAGACCTGAAGACGTGAGGAAGTTGAGTCTGTTCCACCAAGCCGAATGGCGGTTCTTGATTAGATACTGGAACACAAATCCCACGATGCCCCAGGACAGGTAGTTGAGAGGCGTGGCAGGAGGAATCGCGCCAGCACCTCCAAATATGACAGGTGCCATCAGATACTTGATGGGCGACTTGGGCCACTTTTTGGCAGCAAAGTAAATGATCACGGGCGTGATGGCACCGATCAAGAAGAACCAGAAAAGTCCCGAATAGATTTGGCCAGGCGAGAAAATGCGGGCCGGGCCAATGAGACCCCAGATCACAGATGCTGAATGCGATTTAGAGAGAGACACATTGTAAAAGGTACCAGCAGGGAAATGGGGACTTACCTGAGAAAAAGACCCTGCCTCCAGGACAAGTGAAATGTTCTGGTTGTGTTGGGGTGCATATACCTTCGATATTGTTCAATGCAAAGTTGAGCACCGCAATCTGAATAAAGCAGGAAAAGGTTGTTGCCACAACTTGACTCATGAACATGGTTCTGGGAGGTATTTTCATGTAGTGGCCAAACTTCAAATCCGCGACGAAGCTCAAGGCTTGAGACATTGTAATGTACCCAAACGTTTTGAATCTGTGACTAGTCAATATAATATTCACCAAAGCTTACAAAAAAGGGGGCTTACATCATTAGGGCAAGTGGTCTGCCTGGCTGGATATAACCGTACACAAACTCGGTCAAGACATTTAGACCAATCTGGTTGTTTGTGACAGCCTGAATAATGCCAATAGGTAGGGCAAAGGTGAATGAGATGCTAACGGCCAATAGAAAGGACCACCAATTGAGATTTGTAGGGTATGCCAGGACAGTGATGAAACCGAGCCCAAGCATGATGACGAAAAGGCTCATGTACCACCATGTTGGCGCCTCCTTATACTTCCTCATGAGCTTCATGTGGATGTCGGGCTTCTCAGTTGTGCTGTTTTGGTACTGGCGCCAAATTGTCTTGCTGTGATGAAGGTATGTGTAGACAATCAGCGATGCAATGGCAGCGAAAGATAGTCCATAGGCCATGGCAAAGGTTGTGCTGTGGATAGTCAGTTTTTCAAAAGCATTACAATCTCTGGAATGAATGAAGCTTTTACCTGATATAGAGGGGAGAATAGTTCTTGTAAGCCTCCTCGTCCAAAGTCAATTGTGGCGTGAGAATTCGAGTCGTGTTATACGGTGAGCCCGTGTTGTCATATGTTGACGCGTCGCTCATGGGCAGGAATTGGGAATACCAAACGCCAGTGTAATGGAATGCCGAGGCAAGACCAATAAAAAAGACGACAACACCTATCGTGGTGTTTGCAATGGCATGCCACGGTGGGATGAGAGGAGAGCCGATATATCCTGCAACCTGTGTCCAGTCAAATGTAATGGGCAGCAATGACAGACCGGTCGTTCCTCCAAAGAGCTGATTGACAATTGGGTTATTGGGTGCAAGCCAGGTTGGGAATGCAAAGACACTCAAGAACTGAGCAAAGAATCCGGGAATGAAGTAGTACAAGAAGGCACCAAGCGTAATGTAAGCAAACCATCGATATCTTGGCATATTTCCACCAATTATCGTTGGGTCAAGCGGTGCGTGCTTCTCGTACATGGCATTCATGAGCACTACCGACACGAGGTTTCCTGGCCAGATCATGGAAGCCGGGTAGACTATTCATGGTCAGTCGAGTCTTGAGCACAAGGACATGGATCTCAGCTTACCCAAGAATTTTCTCATCATGCCAGCAATGCCGTAGCCCAGTGACTGGGTCGACACGGTCAGTAATAGCTGCCAAGTGACGCCAAAGTTCTGCTTGTAAAATACGAGCTGGGCGAGTATGATATCCGTAGCGTATGCAACCGAGAAAGAAACACTCGCCATGACAACGATAATCGAGTGCTCCTTGACATTGAAAGGTCCAGGGTTCAAGCTCCATTTGATACCGAATGGCCACAGCGTGAATTCCTTCTTGGGCATAACCTTTTCCCAGGCCTGGCCAATGGGCCATGCTATAATCTGAGCAATTAGCGCACCTAGTCCGATCGAGGGACTCCTCAAAGAAAAGAGGGTGTTCATTGAGGCGCCAATGACCACAAGGAACAACCCAATCGTCCAAGCCCGGACAGTATTGCAGGGCAGATCCTCATCGTAGTTGTGAACAGCGGCTCGTACTTCGGGATAGGGAGAATCTTCGGTGTCATCAAGTTCCTTCAGACTCGACTCGCCTCCTAAAGGATCATCCAACTCGAGCTCGTGCATTCTCCTTTCTTGTTCCTCTGGGAGGTTTGGATCTAGAAGCATTTCGTATTCTTCACCCTCTTCATAAGGCTGGCTGGTATGGACACTAGACTCACCCCATTCCGAGAGGCGCCTCTTGAGGGATTCAACGGGGTCTTCTTGTCTCGACACCGCCATTCCCTCGGCCACCTCTCGCCCACTGACTTCGACGCTACTCTTGTTACTCCATGATCGATCGTCATCTTCCACCAGCTTTCTTCGCTGAGTCGTGCCTGACGACTGCGAACTGGCTGTGTCATCCATCCTGTGGATGTTGGTGTCGCAAAAGATGATCGATACTATGGAAAAGAGCACATATGTGAAGCCGTGGGTTGATATATAGGGGTTTATCTAATGTCCGAAACAAATGATTGGTTTACAGGGAAGTTATCCCAACTCTGCACTTTCCAAACGGATGTGAAGCAGCTTTCCAGAGGCAAAATAACAATTGCGATAAGCTCGCTCGGATGGTCTTGTTCCTATTGGAAGGTTTGCCCAGCTTTGTTATCGCGAGTTGTTTGAAACACCAAGATAAGGCTAGGACCTCATGCGAAGCACCAGATTATATGGTCCAGGGTATGGTCGATCTCTAGTACGAGGGGGTGGCAGTCACTTTGGGCCACCACACAACTGGCAGAGCTGGCAGTATGAAATCGCCTTGACCCAAGCCGACCAATATCTGACAGGTAAGGTATAGAAAGTCAGACTTTGATAAGCATGAATCTCGAGGTCCGGAAAGACGACGTTGCCGGCCTCGATCCCAGTAGCGCACAACCTAGCCTCGTGATGATTGGGCTGATGGATTTGTCGACGAGATGAATGAAGAAATGTCGTTATGAGTGCTGGTATGCGCTGAAACGGATTTGCGGCTCAGCTGGGATCGTAATAGGTCGAGCCAGCTGATCAGAACCCGGAACAGGTTCAGTAAGAATTGACCAGCCAATTGATTAAGCCACGACGCAACTGTCCTCTGGATCGTGTGTGTTCCCAATAAAGTCTGCAAAAGCTCCCTCGTCGTCTCATCCGTCGATGATAAGACGTGATTTGCTCGTTGCTTCAACCACAATCTAGTCGTGTCCCGAAGACAGAAGTACGTTGATCTGAAACGTGTTCTCCGTCGTTTCCCAAAACGGTACAGCCTTAGCAGTGGCAGCTAGCTCACGATGTTGCAGCTCGTCCAGTTACCGACAGCGCAGCGTACCAGCGGCAGTACTGACTGAGTGAAAAAAGAATGCAACTCGGAAAATCAAATATAATTGAGTAGCACCATATCGACGAAAAGAAATGTGATATTGTTGAAGAGGTGAGATGGATTACACACGACTGGTGCTTATGGTAGTAGCAGATACGCACGTCTACGCGAACCCAATTACGTGGCGCCGGGATTGATCCTTCTAGACAAGGACCCCCCAATTTTGGACAATGCGCAGCTTGATCCTTTGCAACCCCCTTAGCTGAGCAGCCGGAATAGTGGGACTAATCCTCTTAAAGCGTAGCTCAGCATCTCGGCAACGAACCTAAAAAGAAAAAAAAAAAGTCTCGGACTCACGGCTAGGGTAGACAGCTAATCAAGTTATTCATGTTAGCAGCTACTACTGCTGTCCGTACTAGCTCTCTCTTTTCGGAACTGAGATATATCCTTTGCTCTAATAACTTCCTGCGACACGCACGGGCAAATCACAGATGATCTAATTGGCCGGTGCGTGTCTTGAGCTGGTGAATCTATAATGCCCAGCATCAAGTACCTTTGCCCGAATTACCTCTTCCTAATATAGACCACAAAAAGATTATCCAGGCGCGGCAGGCCATGGAAGTGTGATGCGCCGGGTGGTTGTCACAGGTCTAGGCGCCATCACGCCTCTAGGCGTGGGCGTTCGGCGTACCTGGTCTCGCCTCCTCGCTGGCGAAACCGGCATAGTCAGCGTCGCGAGTTCTGAGCCACAGCGGCTATGGCGTGATCTTCCGAGCACTGTCGCGGGTGTCGTGCCCAAAGCAGATGCGGACGGCGATAGCAGCAGCAGCACTGAGGGTCTATGGCGGCCCGGTGACTGGTTCACGGCCACGGAGCAGCGGCGGACTTCGACGTTTACGCAGTATGCCATGGCTGCGGCCTCGGAGGCTCTCAAGGATGCTGGGTGGGATCCCAAGAGACAAGATCAGCTCGAGGCCACTGGAGTGTGTCTAGGAAGTGGCATTGGGAACCTCGACGAAATATACTCTACAAGCATAACGTACGATCAAAGTGTAGGTTTCAGATATTATGTACTCACAATTCCGCCTATGCTGATAATCCGGTTCTATTAGGGTTATAAGAAGGTGTCGCCACTATTCGTGCCCAAGATTCTTATCAATATGGCCGCGGGACATATTGCCATGAAATATGGCTTCCAAGGGCCAAATCATGCTGCAACTACAGCTTGCACCACTGGCGCACACTCGATTGGTGACGCATCGCGCTTTATTGCCTTTGGCGACGCCAATGTCATGGTCGCGGGCGGTTCCGAGGCCTGCATCCATCCATTGACCTTTGCTGGGTTTGGCAGATCTCGGTCTTTGTCCACGACTTTCAACCATGACCCGCCGTCTAGTTGTCGTCCCTTTGATCGTCGTCGAGACGGGTTCGTCGTCGCAGAAGGTGCTGCCGTGGTCGTTTTGGAGGAGCTCGAGCATGCCAAGGCCAGAGGAGCACACATATATGCCGAACTCAACGGCTACGGCTGCAGTGGCGATGCTTATCAAATGACTGCACCTCTGGAGGATGGATCTGGGGCGCATCGGGCCATGAAAAAGGCCCTGCAGCATGCCAATATCAGACCTGCTCAGGTCAATTATATCAATGCTCATGCCACAGGTACCACCATTGGCGATACTGCGGAAGCTTTGGCAATCCGATCTCTTATGGTTGGGCCAGAAGGTTATATGAATGATGCGGATGTAACAGTCAGCAGTACCAAAGGATCAATCGGACATCTGCTTGGAGCAGCTGGCGCTATAGAGGCCGTATTTTCTATTCTGTCCATAGCAGATGCAAGTCAAAAACGCCCCGTTTCCCTGATTAGTCGTGCTGACAGTATCACAGAATGCCGTCCCTCCAACCATGAATCTCCATGATCCTGATATCGAGCCAAAGTTCAACTTGGTTCCACTGATATCTCAAAGCAAACAAGTTGATGTAGCCATGTCCAATAGCTTCGGTTTTGGTGGCACGAATGCTTCTCTGGTATTTTCTAGATACCATAAATAGCATACATGATTGCTTGCTGTAGATGGTCGACTCGACTCGACTCAGTGATCGTAACAATTGCGCGGTACTAGTATTTGGCTTCATGTCCGATAGTAACATGTACTAGGATAACGCCGTTCACAGCTCCACTCAACTAATATTAAAAGACTTGAATATTGACAATATCAAAAGGCAAGGGAATGTGTCCATATAATAATATATCAATCATGATTCATTCAAGGAGACAGGTCATTCAATGACAATCGACGACCTTGAGAAAGTACATGATTGAAAGTGCGGCTTTCTACCTCAGAGTTCACCAGAAACAGGATGTTGTACTGTGATGACATCGTAGTCAATATCAATAATCTTCTCGAGACATGTGCAATCAATGAAACCATCATGTTGTACGTAATCGATGGTGCCGTTGCATTGTGATTACAACCAAGTGTATTGGTTGAACCCGTCTCATGCAGCAGCCCGTTAGCGGGAATTCGATTCGCCAAAGCTCCCTCACCCCTGCCGCCGATCCATGCAAGCTCAAGCTTCGTCCGGTGCACTTTTTTTTCTCTTCCCGCCAGAAGTTCAATGACGCGAAGACCCTGACGCTCTTTTTACTTGTCTGCCATTGCAACCCAAGTGACATCCATAACTGTGACTTGTACGGACTATTCACCTCGGACCCCAAGACAGAATTTCATTATGGCTTGCAGAAGTTGCAGAAGAGCCCTGCTCAGGGACTTATCATCGAGGCCGAGCCTCTTTGCAAGCGGCTCCGATATCCAGTACACGGCAGCGAAACAACTAAGCCGACAAATCATTGCAACAGCCCCCCACCATCAACAGCAGCAACAACAAAAGAGAGGTTTCCGGAGTACGGCGACCGCTGCCGCCGAAAAGTCATCATGGATTCCCGAGTCGGTCCGCAATCTGGGAGGCATGATTCTCAAGTCCACTAGCGAGCCGTACATGGTACACGCCGCCACAGAGAACGTGTACAAGATTTGCGCCGCCGAGGCCGCATATACCATCTCCGAGACCGATAAACGAAACGGAACGGTGAAAACGACAGAGGAGGGCGAGGAGATTGGCACAGGGACTACATTGTGGCATACTGGTACGCCGACCCCCCAATATGTATAACGGGACTTTGTTCCTGGGGGAGGAACCCCTCCCAAGATATAAAGTGGTCGTCATCTTTGCTAACAATGGCTTCGAACCAGACTTTGATCTGCCTCCCACATTCAGTACCTGGTCGCAAATCACCATGCTGCACCTTTACGTCGTGTACGCACGGCTGCGAAACCAGCCCTTGGACGCGGCCCGATCGTGGCAAAAGCAGCTGACGGACCACTTCTTCTTCGACGCCGAGGAGCGCATGGATCTGGTCCACGGCATCACGTCGCGGGGCCTGCGCCACCGGTACCTCAAGGACCTCTTCATCCAGTGGCGCGGCGCCATCGCCGCCTACGACGAGGGCGTGGCAAAGGGCGACGCCGTGCTGGCCGCCGCCGTCTGGCGCAACGTCTACAAGGCCCGCGACGACGTCGACCCCCGCCGCCTCGCCGCCATTGTCAGCTGGATTCGCGCCTGCCTCCGCAGCCTCGACCAGACCCCCGACTTTGCCCTCTTTCGCGGCGGCGCCAATACCGCCTTCTCCGTCGCCGCCAAGAATGAGTTCCGGCTCGTCGATGTCCCCGCGCGGGAGCTCGAGGGCGTGTTGCCTAGTGCGGCGACGTCTGCGCAAACCCAGGGAAGTGCGCCGCGTGTGGTGAAGGAGGCCGTTTAAGTGTGCTGTGTATAACACCCGGAGCCTCTCTCTGTATTATGACTGTAATGCCTTGTACTATATTGCCTCTTTCCACAGAAAGGGTTGGCCCCAATGAAATCACCAGCGTTTCTCTTATCATGCCGTTCAGTGTTTGACCGTTTTCTACTGCTTCAGTCCGACTCTCTGGAACAGCTCGAGTTGTCCCGAATCATGTACAACTACCGTTCCCATTCGTACTAAGGGACCATGTATGTCTATGCCAATGCTTTTTGTGGTATCAGCAGGTAGGAAACAGTCCAATCTCCATATTAGAAGATCCGGTTTCTTCATAGACATAATAAATCCATCCATAGATGTTAATTTCCCATTATTCAAGACATTAGACAGTTGACATTTTCATAAACTTTTCTTTATTCCTATATCATTCATTCGTTAAGGGGATATCAAGTTCAGAAATGACAGCGAGTGTCCCAGGTATCCTCTCTCTAACAGAATAACGCAAAACATCGCATAATCTAGCTGGTCGCAATGATCAAAACAAAGAAGACACCGCCATGAAGAGGTGGGTCCCCATATTGTGATCCAGGATACCGACCCTTGGAAGCAAAAGAAGAGGGTCGTTTCCAAGGGAGCTCTAATTCAATGCCGTGACTCCGATCTCTACAGAAAACGAAAGACCGTAGTAGCATCTATCATTTACATTGGGAGTTTTTCCCTGGATTGGGAACTAGTTGTGAGCCAAGCCAGTTCACAGGAAGCCTCGGCGAGGGAAGGCGACTCCCTCGACGGCAGGCTCGTCCACGAACCAGCTGCAGCGCTCACCGGCAGCCTCATTGACCAAGGCGGCGGGGAGGCCGTTGCCCTGCTCAAAGATCTCCTTCATGATATCCTTCTTGCCGCCGCCGGTGGCCACGAAGGCAATCTTGACCGAGTGGGTGACGACGGGGAGGGTGAGGGTGACGCGCTTGGGCGGGGGCTTGGGCGAGTCCTCAATGGGGGCAACCCAGGCGCTGGTCTCGCGCAGCAGCGGGTGGCCGGGGAACAGGCTGCAGGTGTGGCCGTCGGGGCCGGTGCCGAGCAGCAAGAGGTCAAAGATGGGCAGCTTGACCGAGTCGCGGCTGGCAAACGACCGGACCAGCAGCTGCTCGTACTGGTCGGCGAGCTCCTGGGTGTCGCCGAGGTGAGTCGGGTCGATGGGGTGGATGGTCGGCTGGCCGAGCTCGGCGGGGATCTTGTCGAGGAGCTCCTGCTTGAGCAGGAAGTAGTTGCTGTCCTCGTGGTCGAGGGGCACGGCGCGCTCGTCGGCAAAGAAGATCTCCCACTTGGAGAAGTCAATCTTGTCCTCGGCCGAGCTGGCGGGGGTGAGCAGGGCCTTGGCCAGTGTCTTGGGGAGCGAGCCGCCCGACACGCCGACCTTGAAGACGCCGTGGCGTGTGAAGCCGGCGTTCTGGGCCTGGACGATATAGGCGCGCAGGGCCGAGGCGAGGGCGTCGATGGCCGGGAAGGCGAACAAGTTGGCTTGCTTGCCCATTGTTGTATCTGAAAAGATGTTTTTGTGGTATAATACTTTTCTTTTTTTTTTCTTTTGGTTTGGCGGCAGCTAGGCAGCGGGTTGCTACAAAAAAATAGTGTGGTGGGAAATGGTTGGTGGGCTGGTGGTGTTATTCCCCTCCAAGCGAGCTGCAGGTTTCAAGTATGCCGAGTAACGTTTGGGGGTGCTGTAGAGTTGCTCCCAGTGGCCGGCGGAGGCAATGTTAAGTATTTGGGCTGGGAAGATATGGGGCACCTAGCCTGATAAATAAGGTAGGTAAATGGGGTTCGGGTCGTGGGCTGTTGCTGGTCGAACCGGCGACGGACGGAGAGGAGTTTCTTGTTTCTCGCGTGGCCTGTGGTGGTGCTTTTTTGGTGTGGTTCCCAAGAGTAATAAGTAATGACGATGGTGGGGGGAGAAACTTATGGAGCGGGTCTTTGGGGGGGGTGGTGCTCTCGTTTGTGATTAGATAACGATCGGAACCCGAGGATATGCTAGGTATTTTGTGATTTTACCATTTTTTACGGATTACAAACCAAAGTAATGGATGCACATATTACAGAAACTCTTCATATAAAGTTATTTACCCCCTTGAAATTTATTAGCACAAGGATTGGGAATCGCCACAGCGTCCGGGCGCACTCACAAGTGGTTCGGGGTTTGGTTGAGACCAGTGCTGAATAAATTCAATACTATATGTACCTACTATCAGCCCAGCCACGCCGCCAATGATGTATAAACCCATTCAAAATGCGCGAAGTGGGATGTCTCCAAGCATGTGGTGGAGTAAAACGTCCGTCCCCTGGCCTTTGTACTCGCCTACAATTAATGTTTGCAATGGGATTTCTCATCAGAGAGGCAACACCATGAAAATCACATGAGATGCTGATACTCTTGGTCCTGAGGATGCACTCAATCGTCATACGTGAGATGCAATGTGCCGTTTCAGGCGACAATCACCAGTGGCAGCCTTGCAATTGACAACAGGCCAAAAGGTGATCTATCGCTTCTGAAGTTTTCTCTCGGCGGGGTGTTTGACGTAAGGCTCGGCACCAGGAAGAGACTGCGGAATAGGGAACGGATCGACAGTGTTCTCTTTCTTTGGTCATAGGCTGTTTGGGCCGCTGGGACATCACTACGCACATGCCCTCGCAGGGACTGGCCATCTTGTGTCTTCAGGTTTGCTCTTTGCACCGTTTATTGGGAAATGATGATGGCGCTGACATGCCGTCATTTACACATATACATTACTTACAAGAAGCACTGGTGTTGACATTGACATAATTTTTGCCTCTGCAATACAGAGAGACGAGATCCAGAGGATTCGACTTAACCTTGTAAAGGACATGGGAATCACCTGGTTTCATTGACTTCGCTCCCAGGCTCGAATCCATCATTCAAGTCTCCTTGCTGCGTCACTCGAGGGACCGGTTCTGAGAATAGCACACCCCAAAACGCCACACCCGAAATCCTTGCGCGCGCTATCTTTGACTTTCGGTAAGTTCAAGGCTGCCTTGGCGGTATGATAGTCAACAGTCTCACCCTTGAATGACGATTCCCTTCGCATGAGTGGCTTTATACTTTGACGTCGGCGTTATCGTTACAACTGTTGACTTGTTATCAAACCTATTTATCCCAACAAGAGTCTGCAGCTAAATATCGCTGCATTCAAACTATATTGTACCTGCATTCATTCTTTAATGTTCCAGGCAATGCAGTCGTCAAAGTTTCCCTTGATGTTTAGCACATGAAAACCGGCAGTTGAAGTTGCTGGATGATACACAGGTCAGGTAGCCAAATAATAAGCAAGGTAACGCGTAAGAGTTTGGAGAGAGCCATCTACTATACCCCCGAGCATATTCTCGCCAGAAATCCATGAAATCCTAGAAGACAATCAAGGGATAGGGGACATGAAAATTTGACACATTGGACCAAATATAATGTAACTGTTCTGATGCAATCCCCGTAACTAAATGCCGAAGCCTCCGGCTGGTGGCGGCCCGCTGTCAATGCAGCGACAACGGCCGACCCGAGTCATCACCTACTACTACTAGTATTCTACTACCGAACAACTCTAATCGTCAAAGTGTACATGAATACCACGAGCACATATTTCTATTGCGTGGCATAGACTATCTAATCAGAAATCAAATTTTTATCAACGGCTACCCGAACGGTGGTCTATCAACGTTCGTTCAGATGGCACAACCAAAATACCTCACTGGTGACTCAGCCGCCATAAATGAGTTCATTGACCGCTTCGATGTGAGTATGCATTGCCACGATATTCGAATTATCCTAATGACGATTTTAGGTTTTCCTGCTTGATTGCGATGGTAATAATATATCGGAATGAGAAACAGACCCTGGCTAACTCAAGATCCAGGAGTATTGTGGTCAGGAGACCACCTTTTTGAGGGCATCGTTGAAACATTGGAGCTACTCCGATCTAGAGGTTCGCGCCCCCGAATTTATGCATTTCGTGCCCAGTCACATTGCTAATGAAGGGATTATTACAGGCAAGAGGGTCGTTTTTGTGACCAACAACTCTACAAAGTCTCGTCAGGACTATCAGAAGAAGCTCACCGCCTTGGGCATACCCAGCGATATTGAGGAGATCTTCGCATCGGCCTACTCATCAGCCGTCTACATCTCCCGTATCCTGAAGCTTCCAGAGGGTAAAAACAAGGTCTTCGTCATTGGCGAGAGTGGTATCGAGACCGAGCTGCGCACCGAGAACATTCCGTTCGTCGGCGGCACCGACCCGGCCCTCAGACGCGACATCACGCCCGAGGACTACGGCAAGATCGCCGACGGCTCCATGCTGGACCCCGAAGTCGGCGTCGTGCTCGCTGGCCTGGACTTTCACATCAACTACCTAAAGCTGTCGCTCGGGTTCCAATACCTGCAGCGCGGCGCCAAGTTCCTCGCCACAAACTTGGACAGCACCCTGCCCAACAGCCACTCCTTTTTCCCCGGCGCCGGCTCGATATCGATCCCGCTTGTATACATGTCGGGCCAGCAGCCGCTGTCGCTCGGCAAGCCCAGCCAGGCCATGATGGATGCCATTGAGGGCAAGTTCCAGCTCGACCGCGCCCGGACCTGCATGGTTGGCGACCGGCTGAACACCGATATCCAGTTTGGTGTCGAGGGAGGCCTGGGAGGTACACTGGCCGTCCTCACTGGTGTCAGCAAGAAGGAGCATTGGGAGGCCAAGGATGCGCCGGCTGTGCCAGCATACTATGTCGACAAGCTCAGTGACCTCCGCGGCGCGCGGTTGTGAGTTTATCCATAGCTGCTCGATTGTCAACAGTAGAATCCTACAGCGGATCTATGGGACGTGTCAAGACATCACTAGACTGAAAGATTCCCTTCTAGAGTAGAGGCATTCACTAGACTATATGCGAGATTTCTCGCCTAGAATAAATCGACTTGGCCCATCAATGACCATAATTATTCTGATCCCAGACGCCAGACATTTAGCCTAATAGCTTAGTTCTGATGTTGGGGCTTTACGTCGACTATCTAGGTATGTCTTTCCTATCCACCGATCGTAGCATGCATTTATTTGAAGTAACCACAAAACAACGCATCGGACGTTTCTTTCCTTGGTAATACGTGGCGCCCGCTTTACGATTTGATGTGTTACATCCCGCCCTCACCCCGCATTGCAACGATCCAATCCCAGTGGTTTGGTTCGTGGCGGTAGACTATGTGAATATTGACAAAGGCAATATCTATGACGGTATAATGGACTATATAAAGCTGGCTACTCGTGACATTCGTCATAAAAAGACAATCTACAACCAAGTACAAAGACCACATCTCGTACAATCACAAGTATCCCCCCTCCATCAACATTATGACCTCACCACGCCCAGTCTTGACTGAAGCCGAAAGGGAACACTTTCTCCAGTACGGCTATCTCCACCTCAGGCAATGCTTCACGCGGGACCAGGCCTCCGAGGTGACAAAAGACGTCTGGACACGCCTGGGCATGTCGGCCGACGACCGGAGCACCTGGACCACGGCGCGCACCCACATGCCATGGCACAAGACGTTTGACGCCTCCGTGTTTGCGCCCCGGGCATGGTCCGCTATATGCGAGCTCTGCGGCGGCGAGGACCGGATCTCGCCCTCGTCGAGGGACTGGCACGACTCCTTCATTGTCAACCTTGGGTCGCCTGAGGGAGAGGGGCATCCCGTACCCCCGAAGCAGTTGGATAATTGGCATGTGGATGGTGACTTTTTCGTTCACTATCTGGACAGCCCAGAGCAGTATGTTTCACGCATCACTTATTGATCTTCTTTCCCATCTTCAGATTGAAGAATAAACACTTCTACGTGATGTTGTAAGCTTTTGCATCTGTGCTGTCGGATCTTAGTCACCACCAAGCAGCTTGTACTAACTCTTAAATTTCCCCAGGGGCCTCCTAGTGATTCCACTATTCACGGACATACAACCCAACGGCGGCGGCACCATGATCTGCCCAGACGCAATCCCCAAGGTGGCGCAATGGCTATACCAGCACCCAGACGGCGTATCGCCGCGCATGGTGCCCCGCGACCACGCCGATTTTGCCCGGGAGCGCAACCTGCAGTGGTACGGCGACGTGATACAGAGCTGCGGGCAGTTTGTCGAGGCCGCGGGTCAGGTGGGCGACGTGTACCTGCTGCACCCGCTCATGATGCACTCGGCCACCAACAATGCTCTACGGCGGCCGAGGATCATTACCAACCCGCCCGTCAGTCTCGAGGAGCCGTTTTGCTTTTCAAGGGAGCGGGGTGATTATAGTCTCGTGGAGCAGAAAACCATTCAAAGTCTCGGGGGTGAGGAGAAGCTCAAATCGTGGCAGATCACCAAGCCCAGAGAGGCCATCGTGCCGGAGAGGGTTCGAAACCAGGAGGCCATGAAGAGAGATGAGGCGAGGAGGTTGCAAACGGCCAGAGAGATTGCTGTGGAAGTCTAAATTATCACGGACTTCATCTCATACTGGCAGACTTGTCAAGACTAAAAGCAACAGTATCATTGAGCTTTTGGATTTAGTTTAGCTGCTTTGTGTCGCAGAAAGTACGATTCATCGATATGCAAGATATACTTAGTGAACAAGAATCAATGTAAAAAAGAATGCGACTCCAGTACTTTAACAAGACAATCTACAAGTAGGAAAGCATTCAGCTGAACCGGCAGGATGTGTATAAGGCTTTATGACGGCATTAATGGATAAAAATGGGCTTTGCTACACTGTCCTATCCAACGATCGTCACATGTATTTATCAACAGTAATCGCAAAACAATACACCGGACGATGCTTACTTGGTAATACGTGTCGCCCGCTTCACGATTTGTTGGATTACATCCCGCCCTCGCTCCGCATCGCAACGACGGAGGGCGAAAGGCAACACTATCTCTAGCTATTAGCAAAGGGATATTGTGTCGTTTTACAGGCCTTGCTTGCGAACTTGCATTAGGAAAACAATAACGAATTGAATCAAGACATCAACCTCGTACCATTCAGATTACACTTGTTTCCTCCCGGCCCCCTCCGCGCGTCTGAGTAGCCCCAAGGTTGGATTCAATTCAGCGCCGACGACGGTCTTAGTGTCCACTTGTTTGATTTCTATTCTTATGTCGCTAAATTCTAATAGCTAGGCGGCACTTTGAAAGAATGAGCTGCATGATCCGGCACCCTAAGGGTCAGACGCCAGAGTGATGCTAGACTGAGGTCTGAATGATAAAAGTCTGCTAGACGAGGCTCGCCGATTCCTGGATCCCCGCCCTTTCCCACGAGACGAAGTATAAACCGCCGGGGTCTGAGATCTATGAGTGAAACCAGCGTTCTCTTGCGAGAGACTCTGTTGTTATTTACATCGCACAAGAGAAGTCAAAGACAAGAAAAAGGAGCAATAAGATACGTTTAAAAGGTGACTTGCGCTAGTCTAAAGTTATTTCGTACTCAGACCTGGCAATCCTCTCCCTCGCCCGCCTCGCATCGCGTGCTTTAAATGCCATGATCCCCTTGGACATCGTGTCAACGCCTTTGATCAGCCATCCTAGCGGTGAGACGAGTACAGGAATCGCCTTTCCAGTGAGGAAGGTTGCTGTAGCACGACCAGCCTGCCGTCCATATATGAGAGCTTTTCGATGTCTTCTCTGCCAAGCTTTCTTGGTTTCTTTCCATTTTGACTGCCTCGCCTGGCGTTGTTGTTCCAGTTGCTCGTCTGGAACTTGAGTCGGTGGCTCAACCTGGTTTGTTCTTCGGTGTGCTCTAGTCGATGGAGTCATCAGAATCATACCGTTAAATACCGAACTTATTAGAAAAAGGAAAGTGCCGGGCAGTAAATTGAGAAACCATAACGTCCATTGCCAACCCGGTTGCCTCGCATCTTGCTCTTTTATAGAGATGGAAAAATTGCAATAATTTAGCAGCACCGATAAAGTCAACATTGTGCAATAGATTAATGTTCTGACCGTCAAAAGGCCCAAGATTTTATAACCAAATGATACCTTGAGCCGTATCAAAAGAATGGCCGTGCCGCCAACAGATAGCCAAAGTAGGACGCTCACTGACCCCGCTATGTAAGTCCTTTAATCGACGTTAACTTCACTTTTAAGAGCACACGTGCTGCAAACTTACCACTTATTTTGCTCCATTCTCGGCCTAAGGAGCGTATATTTGAGTAGTTCCATGACAGCCGTTATAGAAACCCACGAAATGGAACCAAAATACAAAAAGCTCCCATTATTCTCCAACTCATTTGTGTTCGAGGCCCAAAATGGGACCGATCTCATGTAGCGGACTTCTCCAGAATCGCCTTGCTGCAAGCGGTCGGGTCGCCTTTGTGGCCGGTGTGTCGTTGTGTTGATACTATGCCTATCAGGACTGTGTTATCGGTATGAGAGACAAATCTCATTTTGGACCGCTTACATTGGAAATGGACTTGACTGAGCCATAAACTCTCTTTCGTGCTCCTTGAATATCCCTGCCAGATACCCATCATCATTTGTCGTCACAAGCAAGCGCTGCAACTCGGTTTCCGGATTCTCATATCGCACACGGCGACGCTTCTGACGAGATGAGACGAGTGGCTCGTAATTATTTGGCTTTCGCCAGCGCGATGGAAGCAGCCAAATCCAAAAAGCGATCGCAACACCTTGCACCAACGCTACAGCCAAGTTGACCGCTAGATCGACAGCTAATTGAGCTCGAAATTTCGTCTTCCAGGATACATAAAAGGCTTCTAACTCGGCCAAGGAGAGCTCGGGATATTTTATCAAGGAATTCTCGAGGTCTGACGGCAAGATCATGATTGATCCAGATGCAGCCAGGCCAATAGCATTTAGTACGACTGGTAGCGCGCCAAGCGAAGCTGCCAATGCAGATCGCAGGTAGACATGATGCCAACGATGCCAGAATATGCAGAAATAAAGAGTATTGAGAATGTTTATGCGTCCCAGGTATCTAGTCGTGTTACTAACAATCTGTAAGGAAGTATCAGACGACCCATCCGAAAGATCGTCAAACGGTCGAGCCGTCAAGTTTCTTGCCCGATCGCGGTAAACATATAGCGTGGTATCGAGATTGGAGAGAACCAATGCCAACTGAACAAATATTAACATAAGCAGTAGCAGCATCGAGATAATAAGGACAGCGTGGCGTCTATGAGTAAAAGGCCTGTCGAAACCGCACTCCACTGCCCATTTGGCTAATTTTTTGAGAACCATGGTTTTTAAAAGATTTATGAGTACGGCTTTTCCAGTCCCATCTAGTCAAGCTTCTATCGTTACGCAAAGGTGCAGCATGACGGTTTTTATCGACGGAAAACGCTCGGCTTACTTTAGCGGTTAGCCCCTTCGCACAGAGATCATGGTTACACAGTATGGTGTAAGTACGCGCACGGTCTATACTTGTGCTTACCTGTGTACGTCCACAGGCGACTCTTGCTTGATTCTTGCGTTATTTTCTCGGGCGAAGCAGATACCCCAGTAAAGTCATTTCTTTGTCAAGGCAAGTGTACGAAGTACATAATAGGAGGGTTCATGATGAGATAGTCCTTTCTATAGGCAGTCATCATTGTGCTTCAAAGTATGCATAAGTCCTAGCCAAGGCAACTCTGACACCTTGTACTTGTTTATGAGTCTTCCCATCAAGTTCTTGGCTCTGTCTTGGTTTTAAAAAAAAAAAAAAGCAATCTGTTTCCATTTGCGCTGGAGCAGTCGGTCTCGGATTCTTTATTTTCGGCCCTTTGGAGTCGTTTTTGGGTGAATTCGAGGCATCCGCGGGTCCTCGTAGCTTTTCCATCGTGCGCTGATCGACCTTCAACAATTCTCTCCAGCAGGCCGCGTTCCAACCAGCCGTTGCCCATATTACACTCAGTGGAGGATCCTGCAACCATTCGTCGCTCCTCGGTAGCACAGATTTGTTTCCGTCTTCGTGGCCGCTGGGGCTTGCTGGGGATCGCGTGCTCGCGATAACCCCTGCAATGCATGTCTCTTCGGTGTCGTTCCTGTCAGACCCGGGGTGTTCCTCCATTTCCCTTCAGCTCATTCTTTCAAACTCTTGACATTAGAGCCCGGCGCCTATGGGCCTGGTGATACGAAGTTGCTTCCCTAGATGCTTGGCGATCGAGAGGCGGCTGTGAAACTACCCAGGGCAGCACTTTCTCGCCGGGAGGCTTCCAGGCTGGGAATTGGCTATATCGGAGCGCGTCGCAACCTGCTGGGGCTAGCCAACATTTACTAGGCCCCCCCGCTGATTAAACTTCAATAGTCAGATGTATTTCAGGCATCAAATGATTTCATTTGTGCAGAGGTCGACGATCCAGCTCTCACCATAAGGCTGGCGTATATCTCGTTTGACACATGTCTGAGCGCACTATGGCCGACTGACCAAAACATATAGACCTTTACTATAACGTTCCAAGAGTCATGGACGGCAGTTTGAAGACGCAAGAATTACTCAAACATTGTCTCAATGATCTGTTGAACTATTATGCACTCAGCGGAAGTGTCAATAACTGTCTGCGATTTCTTGCACCCGGCCACCTAAACTTGGACGCCAACCTGTAATTTTCAATGAAGCTGAACTTTAGAGACTGCTGCGCACTTATTACTACTGTGTACGTATCTACTTAGGTATATACATGACAGAGTCCTATGTACCTACCACAATAGCTCCAGAAATCGTGTCTTCCACAACTTTACGGATGGCAGTGCCTGTACCTTGCCCGCATTGTCACCCTGTCAGTTGGCTGTGCTCTGTAGTCGCTGGCACACCAAAAGGATAAACACATATGTAGATACACAGTACGTACATTGCGATAGAGCGCGGAGAACCTGACCATTTAAGGTTAGTACCTGGCAACAGAACCACACACCCTGTCCCAGCTCCAAAGATACATACATAGTAGAGACGTCCATAGAAAATCTCAAGTGCTGTAAATGACAGCTCGAAAGTAAACTGTGACTTTCGAAATTCCACATTTTGCGTAACTCAAGGGCATGCAAATATTTTCCGTCTCTCTTGTGAGGATCTGTTTTCATTCTTCCTTGACAAGTAGGCAACAAATCGCAGTGCACCAAGCGTCCCTGACATCATGAGTCTTTGCTCAAGATGCTCGAGCTTCGATGTCCAGTCTTTCACGGAAGAGGGCTTCCAAGCCCGAGGTTATCCTTTGCTCGCAGTTATCAGAGCTGCTGAGACGGAACGGTGCTCATTCTGCAGCTTATTAGTGGACCAAATCAATCATGTGTCTGATTTGTCTCCCTATTTGTCCTATGAGTTTCAAAATTATGGCGCAGAACAACTATCTTTCCTGAGTCTTTTAAGACACCGCATATCAACCATTTTTCGTCGTCTCCCGCTTATGGCATTACCACAATGGGTTCACTTTTCTGTTGAGAGAGGCGCCAGATATCGAGACATGAACGACAACTCACTCAACATTACTGCGATCATCGCTGGGGTTGGACATGTACTAATCGCGCAGGAAGACGTTGAAACCATCTTTGATCCGAGATGGGACTATCCTGCAAAGATACGCCTTCACGTTGCAGCAGATCAAGGTACGCAATAGTCTGACGTTCTCTGGATTTATCTGAACCGAAGAGGGTCGAACCCATAAGTCCTAGTGGGTATATGGCTAACACGATAGACAGGCACCCCAGCCCTTCAGTCCGGCGACATTATGGGAAATCTTTTGCTCGATCGAAGTACATGGTCTCAATCACATTACCAGGCAATACAGAATTGGCATCGTGATTGTCACCTCAACCATAAAGAGTGTAACAAATCGATTTCAGGCCACGAGAAGATTCATCCAGACGACGTCCTTTTACCAACTCGGTGTGTCGAATTCGAGTTCTTCGATGAACAAAATCCTTGGACAAGCTCAATCCAATGGGTACTGCGTGAAACAAAAGGTCAACGTGGTAAATATATAGCACTGAGCCATCGGTGGGTGCAAGACACGGGAGAAGCAAGTACGACGACAGATAACTACGAGGATCGTAACAATACATGGAATCGAGCGCAAGGCTATCACTTACTCGTTCGTGGCAAGTTAAGCGCTCTGTTTCTTGATATTGGACGACTTGCCTGTCATCTTGGAATACGCTACGTATGGATCGACAGCCTATGCATCATCCAAAATGACAAAGACGATTGGGATCGGGAATCTATCAAAATGGCTGACTACTATCAACGCTCCTGGCTTACTGTCGCTGTGACATATCCATCCGATACCGGCGGCATCTTTCAACAGAATGTGTCAAAGATACCAAGAATCACACGGCTACCATATCAAGATAAAAAGGGAGATCAAAATGGTCACTTCTACGTCCAAGCCGGGATAGACAAAACATGGGCCGAAGACTACAACAAGACTATCATCAACAGTGACCTCCGGAAACGCGCGTGGGTGTTCCAAGAATGGCGACTAAGCCGAAGAATTCTGGCTCTTTCAAATCAGGGGATGTTCTTGCAGTGTCAAAGTGAATCACCCAGATCTCTGGATGGATATAAGGTAGATACAAGCAAGAATACTGGCATTGATAGCGATTATGTAAGGTGGTTGAGAAATCTTGATAAGGACTCGTATGGATATCAGATCTTGCATTCTTGGGAGTTTATTGTTGAAGAGTATTCAGGACTTGAGCTAACCAAGTTCGAAGAAGACCGCCTGGTGGCGCTTGCAGGAATAGCTAGGGAGTACGGACGCGCATTGACTCGCTATGCTTCTAAATATGGCAAGCAGCAACACACATACATCTGTGGGCTTTGGACTGGCTGGTTTCGAGGCCTGTTATGGGAACAAGCCGATCCTTACAGACAGACCAGGACAAAGGGGTTCCCAACATGGTCATGGCTGTCGATTGCTTCAGTCCCAGAAACAGACACAACCGGTATGACAGAAGGTACTCTTACTGGTCTTCACGTCCGGTGGCCTGGGAGGACGGAAGAATCCGCTGTTTGCAAGTTTCTGTCACCGATTCTCGTCCCAGTCACAGATAATTGTCGGCCGAGATTCGAGAGAGCAGGTCAACATGAACTCAACAACCTATTCGACGACCTACACAGCGGCCTATTCAGCGACGTACGTAACGATCTACACGGCAAGATATTCGGCAATGATATCCGTTTTGCTATTCTGCCACTGGAAGGCAGAAAGCTGGATATCTGCATAGACAGATACTTCGAGAGCCTTGAAGATGCCGATATCGCAGCGACGATGACTGGGCACAGGTATCCAAAAAGGGTTCCGCATGAGTATATGACTATGGCTGAGCGTAGCCGGGACTCAGGCCGCTTGTCGTGGCGAAAAGTTTGTCTGAAGTCTTCTTGCAACACAATAATAGGTTGGGGTTCCATCGAACACCCGGACTATCAAGCCGACGAAACCGTTCAGTCCGCAACGCCCATATATGCTTTTGTGGTTTGCAAGCTTTCCGAGGCCCCCGGAGGATATGGGCTTGGACATCTTTCGAGATCGCACACAGCATTCGAGGTTCTCTATGTTCGCCACGTTGAAATTGTAGGGCAAAAAGACTGTTATGAAAGGATAGGAGTTGGCAGGTTGTTTGGAAACGGCGTTATTCAAGAATTTGAGTCATCTTTAGAGACCAGGGTAAATCTGGTTTGAGTTATATTGTCCGATGGTTGATATCGCAACAGAGACATCAGGGCGTGCTCAAGCACGCTAATCAAGGCTATAGCAGAAAAGAATAACTTCACGGACACCCCAGTGACTAGTGCCATTAGGAATCGAACCTAACACTCCATATACCCCCTTCCAGTGTTGCGTTCACCAACAATAGCATCCAGGTACGCCAACCAAGCACAACTGCGCACAACAATTGGAAATAATAAAGCATAAAAACAAATAAAACAAAAGTATACAATGAAATGTTTCAGAAGAATGTTTCTGTACTTTTCTTTGATTTTTGTATAGAAAATTAGGGGAAAATGTTAAATTCGCACGCAAACTTCTATCTGTTGATTTCACTATATCATCGTTTTATTACCTGAAGCGTCGTGCTCGAGACCGCAAAATTCATCGTAAGAATACGGTGCTCGCAGAGGTTAGCCGGGGCCACCACCCATACAAGTCTGCAACTATCAAAATAAAAAGGCGAGCAACATAGAACAATAGACATCCACATCATATCATATTAAAATCCAATAGGAAGGCATTGGGTGTGTGGAGTATCTGCAAGGGACTTTCGGCGCCTTCTTTCACCGGGCTTGTGTTGTCACTCTCCAAAGACCCTAGTCCCTCGCCAATTCCAGCCCTGTAATGCCTTAAACGCAAGTTCGCTTACGCAAGCGTACTGGCATAGCCGATCACAAGCTTAACAAGTATAACGTGGCTGTGTCGTAGAAGCTGCCTGTTCGTTTTTGTTTGACTTTGTCCGTTCTTGTTGCGTTAGTGAGGTGATTCGGTCGAGACCGCCATCTCATCACTGTGTGCAACTCTTATTTCTCTTCACACACAGGTGATCTGGACACAATGTGGCCATTCAAGAGATGGATTGGACAACCATCAGCCACCCGTTACGAGCAACTGTACGGAACATCAACCGAACACTCAAGTAGCGCTCGAAATGGAGCGCCAGAGAGTAGTATGGCAAGCCACTGGCCTCCCGAAGACCCTCATGATCCAGAATACCTCAGTCGCAGTGGTAAACATGGATACATGTGCGATTACCAAAGAACGGGATACCAAGTAGAACTTGATGCAGTCCTTGACTCGCGCTGTCAGAATGCCGCGGCTGGTACCCCGCGTAATCGAGCATATCGATTCCACCAACTGGGTGTTGCATTTCTGGACAAATACCGCTGGCTGGGGAATTTGGGTGACCTTCAGAGGGCGAATCAAAATTACCAAGAGGCCATTAATTGCGATTTAGGCGACCACCCTATCCAAAGTTACATCTTATATGGTCTCGCACGTACGTTCTTTTATCAATATGAACGAACGGGGAAACTGGCGTGTTTGGATATAGCCATCCTAAGATCACAAGAAGCGTTGATAACAACACCAAGCAACCACCCTAAACGACTGAATCGACTTAATGGGCTAGGTCGTGCATTGCTGAGTAGATATGAACGGACGAGGGATGTTACAGATCTTGAGGCAGCTATCCAGCAACACCAGGAAGCGCTCGACTGTGCGCCATGTGGCGATTCGTACTGGCTAACTGAACAATACGGGTCTGGGCCCTGTCATTTGGCTGAATTCCGTAAGACAAAGGAGGAAAAGTACCGTGATGCTGCTGTCCAGTGGTGCAAAGAGGCTACTGAAATAGGAACAAACTACCATCCTGACGAGTCTGATCCGCTTTATGGCCTAGGAGGTAAATTTCTCGAAAGATATTGCCAAACATCAGATCTCGCAGACTTTGATTCTGCTATTCAACGATACCAGGAAGCTTTTGATCTCACACCACGTGGCCATCCCGACCAAGCCGTTCGCATGCGTAGCCTAGGATATGCATACTCTGTCAAATATCAGACGACAAACGCCCAAGAAGACTTTGACGCCGCCTCTCAATGGTACAAAAAGGCTGCCGAGCTTGCACCAGATGCCCAGTCCGGGCGGGCGAGTTACTTTGCGGACCTCGGAGCAATTCAAAGGGATAAATACAAGAAAACTGGAGCTTTCAAAGATATCGAGTCGGCTATTCACTACCTTGAAAGGTCGATCGAGCTAAGTTCAGATGGCCATACTGGCCGAAACTTTCAAAAAGTCATCCAGCTGTTGGAAGACAAAGATTGGAAACCACTACACTCAGCTTCAGAGGAGGGACACATAGATGTGGTCAGGCTGCTTCTGGAGAAGGGCGCTGACGTCGCTGCTGCGGTTCACGACGGGGCAACACCTTTACTTGCAGCTTCGAGTAAAGGGCACATCGATATAGTCAGACTGCTGTTGGAGAAAGGTGCTGATGTCGCCACTGGGGATAATTACGGATGGACACCGCTCATTGGAGCCTCGAGCGAAGGACACATCGATATAGTCAGACTGCTCCTGGAGGAAGGGGCTGGCCTTACCGTTGCGGATGATGAAGGGTGGATGCCTCTTCACGCAGCTGCGAGCTATGGATATATCGATGTAGTCAGACTGCTCCTGGAGAAAGGCGCTGACCTTACCGTTATAAATTGTCAGGGGCGGACGCCGCTTCATACAGCTTCGAGCTATGGATATATCGAAGTGGTCAGATTGCTGCTAGGGAATGGCGCTGACCTGAGCGTTCTGGATTTCAACGGGCGGACGCCACTACATGCAGCTTCGAGATATGGACATGTCGAAGTGGTTGAATTACTGCTAGAAAAAGGCGCTGACCTGAACGTTGTAGATTTTGACGGGCGGACGCCGCTACAGACGGCTCTGGACAACGGGCACGATGGGGCTACCTTGACCCAGTTGCTTTCAGCTGACACGATGGCAGGGCATTCTGCGTCCAGTAGTGGAATATGAGCGTATACTTGTTCATAGCCCTGTATGGAGTCTACAAATGGGACTGGGCAGATTTGCGACCCGCCTGAGGCAATCTGAAATTGCGAGGTTGGTGCTTTATCTGACCTACAAAGTATATACTGTGATTTCTTTTTATATGTGCTATCTGCAACAGGCAACACGTAGTGCATTGCGAAGAGAGCTAGAGGTTGTCACACGATCGAATCATCGTTTCCTGTTGAGCAGATTGCGCAGCAACGTGCCCGTACCCAACCTGTCGATTGATCTAGGTTAAGGTTGCGATACCCCGTACTTCCAGCCATAGCCAGCTGCCAGAGCATCACGCGAGGCGACAATGCCTGAAGTTGAAGAGACTCGGTGCGGCGAGTTGCTCCTGGCCTCGACCTTGTTTGGAGCCACTCTGCGAAGCAGGTCTTTGCTTGAGGCGGCCTCTGTCATGTGCAGAAGTTTTGTCTCAATCTTCGTAGTTATTCATGTCCGAAAAATCGCAAATGCCATTCCTAAAGCCTATTTGTGCTGGGATCCTGGTTCCAGTAATCCACAGGGACCACAGAGGGAGGGGTATTGCCCCGCATGCCCCATGGGGCGCAGTAAATTGGTCTGGTCAAAATGCACAATGATCATACAACTGCCATAGCCTGCCTCTGTTGGCTCGAAGGGGCTTGTCTGCCAGCTTCTGCTTCTTGGTTATCCTTGGTGTACTTCTGGTGCTTCGAATCCCTCCACACTATGTTGGCCAACTCGGCTCTCCAGCCCTGGTCAATCGCACAGAGGCAGAGATGTAAATCGTATTACATATGTCTTTCCGCAAACCGCCGTGCCCTCTATAACCTGCCAGCCTGATCTGCGAAGCTACGAACACCGCCAGACACCCGGCCCAGGGGAACAACTGCTGCCAACCAGCGACATCGAGGCATGCATATATGAAACGCAGTGTTCGGGATTGATATTGGGTTCCTGCGCAAGGAAGGACGAACGGTATGCGAGAACTACGAAAGGTGTAACAGTTTACCAATGGAACGTCAGGGAGTAGTCAGTACACCACATATTACTAGGTAGGTATGTAGACTGATTCTTGCAGAAGCAAGAATCCAGTGCAGCTGCGCTGCGCTAACTTATCCCGCATGTGGCACTGGCGCCAGAGTGGCGGTGCGACACTGCTGCGCAGTGCCTATAGGGACTTCGTTACAAAGCTCCACGATATATATATATATATATATAAGTACCGAAAAAGAACCCTTATGATCCAAGAAACAAAAGAGCATCCTAGCATAAAAAATGTCCCAGCGTTTATAAACTATTAAATACAGTTTTAAACTAAAGCCTAAAAGAAATATACTGCAATGCCTTAAAAACCTAAGAGGCCTTAGTATTCATAAGCAAGGGACTAATATAATTACATTTCCTAAATCACGATCCATAATTACGGCGCTTCGGTGCCAGGGCGCCGGGTACTGAAAGTTAATCCGCTTGATGATTCCTCCATTACAAGCGATGTAGGAGAAGAGTCACGCCCATATGATCATAATGAGCGACAAGATTCCGGATAAGGGTCATTGATTGTGGATCAAATCCCCGGAGACCGAAAATACCGTGGGCCTTAGCGCCGGCTTTCCGCACGTAAACCGTGGAGTTCACGGGTGCCTAGGTACTTAGATGGTTGCAAGACCACTTCCCACGACAGCTGCATGATGTTTCCTGTCTAGATCCACAATATGGCTTCCCAACTCTCACAGATCCGTATATTCATCGACCTTATCGACAACCGTCATCTCCTACGTTGGACCGAGTGAATTTGGGCTATATAGCGATATTTCATTTTGCCCCTGGTCTAGTGGCTTTCTCCGTGATAGTGATCGTCTCATTAAAAGGAGTACAAACGGTCGATGAATTAACACCGCGAATAAATTCGAGTGTGATGCATATTGCGGCAGGATAGCCAGCACGGGGAACAGAGATTTTGGGGTCGTAGGTGTATGGCGTGTGCAATGTTTCATCCATGATGGGGTAGTCAGTTTCGTGGTATAATATCACGTGAAGATACTCAAATCTGATCAAGATAAAGCATTCAGTCGGTTTCTGCCACAGGAGTTCGGGTCGTTGGTCTTGTCGGACTTTTGGTTGATATGGTTACTTCGGCAGCAGGTACAGGCGATCGGCGGGGGTAAGGATGAGTCGAAACCATTTTTTATGATCCAATAAGGAGGCCATCAAAGCAAACGTTAAGAGAGCATAGTAACCAGGAGGAAGACGAGACCAAAGACGACAAAGAGGAGAATGAGGCGGTCGGCAACGTGGGCGATGTGATCAAGAACGAGTCGCACCACGCCGAAACATCGCACGCATACGGGGCATGGTAACCGGAGCGGTTACGACAGCGGACGAAATAGTGCACGGCAGAGGTTTATGGCGGTGGCGGGTGACATTATAATGAGGATGATGACACATACGAACCGCAATAAGAGGCGCAGGACATTATCTCAGCGCAGACGGCACATGCAGCATATCACGAACACACGGGGCATGATATACGGATTGGACAGGATCGATGCGTATGTGAGATCTAGCCGTAAAGCGAATAGGCGGCGGCTATCGCCCAAGCCAGCCAGCATCAAAACGTTTAGAAGGTTTATTAATCGGTTTCAGGAGCGGTAACAATTCGACCGAGTGAGGGTAAACGAGGATTACATGGTATTAGATGCCAACGAGGCGTTCCGGCTGCGATTTCGGGGATTGGGCTAGACGATCACGTAATGGCGGGTATAGGTAATTTGTTTGGCGGCTATATTGGTGCCGTAGGACTGCATTATGTGTGGAAATGTCACGGTTCAATATCAAGTACAAAGTTCATCATGTGCGAGGCCGCTGGGTGGCAGTATATCTTTAGCTTGATGAACAGCAGCCTGTGGAACGAGGGCGGTTCTTCCTGTTATAGTCAGCTTACTCGAGCTCAGCTTGCTCAAGGTCCAACTCGTGTACTCGCAGAAAGCGGTCACGATATACGAGGTGAGCAAAACAATAGACAGCCAGGAAGAAATTGCAGTAGGACTCAGTGGTTGATTTTCGCAATCATTCTTATATAAAACATTGCCCGCTTTTGTAATTGAATCTCTACCATCCTCATCTCTTCCAACAAAAAAGCAATCACTCTAATAAATCCACCTTGAAAACTCCAATTTTCTCACATTCCCAATATGCAGATCCCCCAGATACTCCTTGGTCTCGCTGCCACTGCTGCAGCAATCGATGTCTATCTTTTTCCTGGAAAGGGCTGCAAGGGCAATTCCGGCGTGTGTCGCGGTTTGAACCCCGGCGTATGTTGCCCTGGGGGCAACGGAAACGACCTAGGAAGCGTTGGTTTCTACGGCATCCCGACTGCGTGGCGTATCGACGCCAAGGGCCACAACGGTGGTCAATGTGCCAACACCATCGCACAATCGTTCGTCTCAGGCACCACATGGGTCTGCATTGACGGTTCCCGCTACTCTGGGGGCAGCTACGTTTTCTGGGGCAAGAAGCGCGGTGAGGGAGAGTCCTCAGACGGCGCAAAGTTGGATGCCTTCCTGCTCGAAGATGGAACTGAGCTCAACATTGCCGATTTGGACGAAAACTCCATCTCTGAACTGGTATGTTTGACCTTGAATTATGAGTCTTTGACAGATCTGATGCTAATACGTGTTATAGTAAGCAATGTCCTTCTTAGAACGAGGCAACAGTCCTTTCCTGCATATGTCCATCCTTACCCAGAATCGTGACCCAAATTTATCGTGTATTATCAACGTTTCCGGGCCCACGTATCTTTTACCCCATTCTTCTACTTCTTCCTGATTTTTCCTTCTGTCTACGGTGAAATGTACTAATATATACCTACTTTCAGTTTCTCGAGCGGCGCAACAAACATCACCGACATCCCCGAGAAATTTCACAGTCTCAGGATGTAATGGAGAGTTCTGACAAATGGGATCCAGGATTCGATGCGGGCGAACTTTCGAGGTGTGGGTTGTGTTTTATTTCAAAGGTTTGGTGCTCGATTGCCTGTTGTTGCTGGGTGAATTCTTGGACTGGACCTCGGCACATACTCGCCACAACGGGTCCTTACCCAAATCCTACCCACAGACGGCTGGCGGCAAGACTTTTCTTCTTCTCTCCTTATTTCAGTACTTAGTAGGTAGCTTAGTGTTTGCCAATGAATACTACGCTACGGTTGCGTCCACTCCGTCTTGCGGTTGCTGCCTCGCCTGCTTACCTATTGTTTTACCAAGTAATAATGATTCGCCGTTATGCATGTCAATTAGTGGTTGCAAAGTCCGAACGAATCTTCGAGGTCATGACTATTATGAAGGAGTTAATACGGCTCTGACTTTGCTCTTTATGCTCAAGTACACGGTTTGTCCCTACCTATGATCGATGGCATGGTTCGGCTGTACTCGGAACAGCATTCCAGCTCAGCTGCTGAGCCATATTCCTCATGGCCGACGCGCACAAGTCATGAGCTGTGGCACAACATATAAATCTATCTTGCAGATAAGCTCGCTGTCTCTAAGCGATGGTCATGGGGGACTACCCAAAGTGAAGCTCGTGCTCGCGATGGACGCTTTCCTGGTCCTCGGGGCGATGCTGAGGTTTTAAAGGTGTAGGTTTTTCCTCGCGTCTCAGCCTGGCAAAGACGAAGTATCAGCCATCAGCCTATTCGGACGAGTTAGTACGGCAAGTGGCGGATAGGCTCCGCAGAGCTGTGAAGCGAATTTTGCATTTTTACTGGCTTGCACAGCCTTATCATTCATTGGGGAAACTGCATTGTTAGTAAGCGCAGGTTTGTCCTCGAGGCTTACATACGTGCATAATCTCCTCCGGCGTCAAATCTGTGAGCCACGGCTGCGAGCTAGTAATATGGTCCTTCGTATCGTTCAAGTCCCGTTGCGTGTGTTTGAGATTGGTCTCAAGACTTTCAATGTTACGATGAAGCTGCTCTATTTCTAGTAAAATTGACCACATGGGAAATGAGGATGAGGACTTGGTCTCGTCACATATGTTGCAGTCCTTCATACCCCCCAAGGATGTTTGTGGATGACGCTGATGACTTATGAGAATACCGCCGCTTTTAGTCTCTTTTCTATGTCTCTGGCCAAATTCATTGTTGCTATTCTGTTTAGCAGGTCTAGATGAGTGAATAAAGGAAAACCAGCACAGACACATCGATGACAGGATGCAGTGCCCTTTGGGTGAGCCACAATAGGTTCAACGCCCTGTCAAGTCTCTAGACTTCGGGCAGCTTTATACCGCTTGGCTGCGACCGAGGCTCTATTTCCTTTATTCACAATTTCCATTTTAGTCCCTTTCTTGGGCCGCGACTCCGGAAAAGTGAAGCACGGGCAGCCTGTTGCTTCCTGGCGGCTATCGTGTGACTACCCACCCCAATATGGGGGACATGGCGCGCATGAAGTCTCGTCGCAATGTCGCCGACTTCCTCGGTCCAACTTGTAAGCGAAATCGCGCACAGTATAGTACCAAAGGGTACTTTAAGCACCATTCAGCCTCGCACGGGAAATTCTGCTCAGAAAATTGAATGCCAGAGTCGGGACTGAGGCCTGGACAACTGCGCCCAGAAGAATCTAACATAGTCGTGTCTCGCTATGATTCGTTCCTGCCTGAGACGTGCTATGTACTCCTTGTTATCGTCTCACCGAGATTCCGCTGTTCCCTGCCTCAACCGCCCGGCCAGTATGGGAAGCAAATTGCACTTTCAAAATCTCACGCCCGGTATAGCTCTACTGGTTGCGGGTATAAGTAACGCATTCCTACTAGCTCAACTCTGATTCGGCATATGGAGCCCAGATCCCTGTACTATTGAATGCACCCATATGCACCCATATGCACCCATATGCAGCCACGCCAACAATGCGATGAAAAAGTAACCATCAGGTCTAGTCGAGAGGGATGGTTTTTTTTTTTTAAGTAGTGTTTACGTTCCTGTTCTCAAGATGAAAGACCAATTTAATTGGAAACATAACTTCTGGGGACTTTTGAGGCATCAAAGCAGTCGAAAGCATAATATATTGGAATCCACGGAAGATGCAATGCCCAACGTTGCGTTGAAGAGAGGGTTTCCCAAGACAGCTGCGAAGGAGAGGCTGTCTCCGTGATGAAAGGTGTAGTGCAGTTCTCTATTTCGGAACCAAGTGAATAAAAGACGAAGACATGTACGATATAGTTTATATGATCTAAAATGACGGAATGCCTATTCCTGCGGGGGTCTGTGGCGGCTGACAAGTCTTCTTTAGTATACCAAGATTCTCTGAGCATTCAAGCCTTCTGCTCACGGTAAGTCATCTATAGAAAACATGAGTTGGGACAGCTATCATTCTACAGGTCTCCCTATAGCGTCAATTATAAGTCCACTGGAACGTCTATTATAGCTACGTATGTAATAGATCAGGTTAATAACTACCACAAACTGACAGAGACTAAGAGAAGAAGAAAAAAAACAGAGGAATTAATTTTCTGCCCCTAGTGAAGATGCAGGTGACATATGTGCGCGCCCTGCTGTGGGCACGCTGCACGATCGCTCCCATCCTAACACTACAGGCAGCATGCTGCATGACAGTGTTGACACAGTGCAGCGCCTATATCCTGACACAGAATGGCCTATGGAATGTGCCCTGTTACCACATAATGGTCTAGTCGGGCAGACAACACACTTCCAGAAACAGCACTGACGCAATCATACGTAAGAATCTAGAATAAAATATTGGCAAATATCAGACACCTTTCTTGTAGTGCCCTCCCACGTCGGGGTTCAGAGGCTGATAGGTTAGAGCGCTTCGACCATATGTGCATATACATCCGAATGCCTACTCAGCGCCACTGCCTTCGGATGTGACGTCTGTAGTTGTGTATCAGAGCCTACTTCACCTTCGTCAACGTGAGAGAACCGCTATGCACCGCTGAACACGCCGAAACTATCCTTCCACCATCGTTCCGGCTCCCGATGAAGCTTCTCAAAAAACAGCGGAAGCCGGATCTGGCGTATGAGCAAGTCCAAGCCGAGAAGAGAACCGTTGAGGCTCGGCTTGATGAAGTTGAACGCGCTCTGGCTGCAGAACAAGACGACCATCGCAACGATATTCGGAATCTGCTGACCAAGTTCAACGAGCTGTCAGTCGCCTGTGCTGTAGAACGGGACGAACAAAACCGAGAGATTGAGGCCCTGTCTGCCAAGTTCGACCAACTTGTCAGAGCCCGTGCAATAGAAGAAGACAACCAGCGCGACAGGAACTCGAACCTTTCGGCCGCACGCCTAACAGAAGATCAATGGTGGCTCATTGGTGCTGGGCCGGGACCGTCTGCCACGAATCCATTCGAAATGCAAGAAACCGACAGATATCTCTTCACTGCGGCAAGCTCAGATACTGCACCGGACCTCAGACCACCGACGCCCCGGCCACCGACGCCTCGACCATACGGACCGGGATTCCCCCAGAAACGAGACACTGATATTGGAAGAAGTGGTCCTTTACAAGAGTGCAATGTCTGTGTCGAGACCAAACCTATAACGGCATTCCCAGTCTTATCAATCTCAAACCAATGTGAGCACATACCACAAACGTGCTACAGCTGCATTGCCACCTCCATTAAGACGCAGTTTGGGTCAAAGATATGGAATCAAATTCACTGCCCCGAGTGCCATGGCCTGATGGATTATCACGACGTGGAGAGACAGGCTGATGAAGAAACATTTGCAAAGTAGTATCCAAGTCTACACAGTTAAGAGAACATCAATTGACAAGAAACAGGTACCAGGCCTTGTCAGTCCAGGAGACAGCCAACGCAATACCGGGTTTCGTTTGGTGTCCAACGGGTTGCGGCTTCGGGCAAGTGCAGGCTAATGCCTCCATGAATCCCATAGTGCAATGCGGCGGCTGTAATTACGTATTTTGTTTCCGCCACCGAGTGAAGTGGCACGACGGCCTTGGCTGCGAGGAATACGATGAAATGCGGGCGAACCCTGACGGGTTTCGCAGCCACCTGGAAATTCTCAACGAAGAAGCCGAAAACCAGAACCGGCGGGAGGCAGCGCTGAAGCAAGAGCAGGAAGAAGCCGATCGCCGCTTTGCCCAGAGCTTGGTCGACGACGAAGAGGAGATGCATCGGGCAGAGCAATTAGCGGCGGAAGAACGCCGCCAAAGGGAGAGTAGAGAAGTAGCTGAAGAGGCTCGGCGACAGGCGGAGCGTGAGGCCGCGAGGCAGGAAGCAGAGCAAAGGAACAGAGAAGCGGCGATCAGGAAGCAGCAGGAAAATGCCGGAGAGAGGCTCGTCAGAAGTACTACCAAACCGTGTCCCTCGTGCAAGTGGCATATCGAGAAGAACGAAGGATGGTATGTTGACGTATCCCTGTCGCCGTGGCGAATTATACTAACACTCCTTAGCGATCATATGACGTGTAGGTTGATTATCTTCTTCCTCTCTATTCCCCTCGCGCCGTTGTGTCTCGATTTCCTTCGCAGTATGAAGATCCTTTGGTGTACTTTCCCTCTCCTCGTTCATCACCCGACATACACTGAAGCTACATTGGCACCCGAGTTCCAGGTTTCAAATGTCGTTCTGAGTTTTGCTGGTTATGTCTGTATCCATGGGATAGCCATGGCAGCTCTTGCAGAAGATAGCTCAGCAGACATGTCTACCTAGAACGATAGAAAGACCGACTTCCACCAGGAGCCATGGTGAGCCGCCGGTCATCTATAATATTTCCAATCATGGTGTAGGAGACCGAACTAATCATCTTAGGCGCTCATTGCAACTTCCAATTTTGTTTTGAATGCCTGGCAAATTACGACAACATCACATCGTATGGCAATGACAGGCATGGGAATTACTGCCGGTGGCACAGCAATAATTTGCCAAATTGAAAGCGGACGACATGGCAGATTGCCGCTGGTATGAAGTTGTTCCCCTGCCGTTTAACGTATCGGGCTCTGCAAGCGACTTGACAACAGCCTAGTGCCCGCCGGCAATTGTTCATTACTGTGAATTGGACGAGAAAGGAGTATTGGAGGCTGCCTGTCACATACATGTACATATGCTTAATGTTTGACATCGCAATATTCTCGGCTATTAAACACGTCTTATCCAGTTTTGAACAGAGCTGCATGCCTATTCGGCACTTGTTATTTAGCACCTCATATTCCCTCTTAGCTTTGATAAAATACACCGGCATGAAATCAACTGAAGAATCAGTGCCACACTGGTTCTGTCAATCCCTTTCCTGACATGGGCGGCTCGAGTTGTGCGGGATATGGCGAACAGCAACTTTAGCGCCAGCTGATTGGTTGGATAAGAAAATGAGATCTTCACCCTGTATAAAGGAGGGGGTTGATTCATTATTCTTAGCGGCAAGGCACCTGATTCGTTTTCTGAAGCTACTTACATTAGTCATTATGGACATGAGAGAGAGGCTGCATCGCACTTGTGCCTTGGTTCTAACACCTCAACACGACAATGCTATCTCGTTTGCCATTATTAAGACGAACCGTAAGAGGAACTCTACGGCCGCTGCGAACCTCAGCTGTTAACCATTCGCAATCGGTTGCTAATCTGTCCACATCCATGGCGAGACGGTACATTCCTCTCGGGCTCGACAACTTTGAAGACATCGAAGAATATCGGCCGGGCGGCTACCACCCTGTGCACTTGGGGGATATTCTCGATGGAAGGTACAGGATTCTTCACAAACTCGGGTCTGGCGGCTTCTCGACAACTTGGCTTGCTCGTGATAACGTCGGCTATCACGCGCTCAAGATTCTAAAAGCCGAGGAGACAGAATTGTCGACGGAGCTTCAAACGCTGGAGCGACTGGCGAGACTACAGGCTGTTCACCCCAAGGATAGCCACGTGCGTCACTTAATCGATCATTTTGTTGTCCAAGGCCCCAACGGGCAACATGACTGCCTAGTGACAGAAGTGGCTGGACCGAGTATATACGAACTATATAATGTTCCAGGACATGGCTACGCTGCAGGAGCTCGGAGACTTCGAGTCGACATTGCTCGCAAGATCATACGTCAGGTTGTGGAAGCAGTACATTTCTTGCATTCTCTCGAGATATGCCATGGAGGTAAATACACCAGTTGTACTTGCCGTTTAGATGACTGAGGAGTGTTGCAGATCTCACACCATCAAATGTGCTCTTGTCATTAAGGTCAATGACCGACTGGACTGAAGCGGAAGTATACGAGAGATTTGGTACACCGAGCACGGTGAAGCTTGTCAAAGCCTCAAAGTCTTCCTCGGACAACTCTGCACCTGAGTATGTGGTGGAGCCTGCTAGTATGCCCGATGCGAAGTACTTCACGCACGATGCCTTGCTCGTGGATTTTGGCGAGAGCTTTCCATTTAGCAAGCCGCCTAGTCCAGGGGATATTGGAATCCCAGTCAGGTACCGCGCACCTGAGACGATCTTCGAGTCGAAGCTCACTCCGGCCTCTGAAGCATGGTCTCTTGCGTGCGTCCTATTTGAGTTTCGAGCCGGGAATCCTCTCTTCACCAGCATCCTAGGCAGCAAAGATGAGATCATCCAACAGATGGTGCAGATGAAAGGCAAGCTGCCCGATCAGTGGTGGAAGTCGTGGGACAAGAGGTCTATGTGTTTTGACGAGGATGGCAAGCCCCTGAAAGAATGGCCTAATGGAATTCCCATGGCCGTCGAGTACCCGATTGAAGAAATGGTAGCGGATATTGGTAGTGAGGACGATGAAGCTGCCATGTTTGGATCTGTGATGTCAATGCTAGAGCCAATGGGTACAAGGGTTCCCGAGGATGAGGCAGAGAACATGAAGGATTTTCTAAACGGCGTGCTAAAGTGGTCACCGGATCAACGCTGGTCTATCACGCATATTCTTCAACATCCTTGGATCTCGGGACATAATGGGCCGATATCAACAGCGTCGTACAGTAATGCCGACCAGCCTTAATGTACATGAGCTCTCTGTCAATTGGAAGGCTCCGATCAGGTATTGGCGTCGATATGACCACATAGTCGGGCCTCCCAGAAGGGACTGTAGAATTAGTCTATAGAATGCGATTGATATATCGCTAAGCACGTAGTTATCTCACATGTCAGTCAATTTATGGAACGTGGTGAATGTTGCACGATTCATATGAGTTGACAACGGCAATTCATGGGTCATTGGCTTTTACAGCGAGTATAGCGCATAATACAGCCCCGCAATACCTACCGCCTTGCCCAGCGCATTTGAGGGCCCCTCCAATCAAGCTTTTTTTCCCACTCTAGCACCATTCATTCGATATAACTTCGGCGGCCAGTGTTTTCCTTTGGCTTGTGCAGTGGTTGGAGGTTTCGGCAAATCCATAGGCTGCATTGTTCCCTTGCCTGAAGATTACACGAAAGCACCGGCACAAGATGGCGTCCACAGAGTTGACCCTGATCCTCGCAGCAACGCGCAACATGGGCATCGGCCGCGCCGGTGGCCTGCCTTGGACCGGCCTGAAGAAGGAGATGGCATACTTCGCTAGAGTCACCAAAAGGCTACCACATGACGTAAGAGAGCAATCAAAGAACCCTGAGAATCGACCTCCAGAGCCCAGTTTATGCTAATTACCGTCCATAGGTACAACCGCCCGCTGTCAACGCAGTCATCATGGGCCGCAAGACATGGGACAGCATACCGCCCAGGTTCAGACCACTCAAGGGCCGACTGAACATTGTCATCAGCCGGTCCCATCCGGAGGCAGCGGCGGCGCCAGGGGTGGAGAAACTGGACCTGGACACGGAGCCCGTCCGGGTCAGCTCGCTGGAGCGGGCCGTCGCGTACGTCAACGAGCAGGGCGGGAGCATTGGTCGCGTCTTTGTCATTGGCGGCGCGCAAATCTACACGGCGGCCCTGCAGCTCAAGGAGGCCAAACGTATCCTGCTGACCAAGATTGACACGGACTTTGAGTGTGATGCCTTTTTCTCACTCCGGCTCTTTGAGTCTCAGGGCGATAGCAAATGGGCCAAGTGTTCCAAGGAGAATATGGATGTATGGACCGGCGAGACGGTGCCGGAGGGTGTGCAAGAAGAGAATGGCACGCAGTATGAGTTTCAAATGTGGGAGAAGGTAGAGTAAGATCAGAATGGGGGGAAAAATGTATTAACATCGGTGTTCAAGGCACTCGAGATTCAGGCTGGGGGTTATATAACCGCAGAGCTGCGGCATCCATTGCGCTGTTTACAGATTGGTCTAATGTTTTCATTTTCAGCCGTCTTTTTGTCAATATTGTCTCGAAGGGCTCCAGGCAATTGCAACCGAAACACACAACAGGCGTGCAGTGTCTTGCCACAGCCGAGCTCCTTCAAGTGTCCATCTAATTCTGCAGGTTCGCTCGAGTCAATGAACTTATCGATCCAGCTTCTTCTCACGAATGAATGCACTTGATATCAAGCACAAGACGATAAAGATCATGGCCGGGAGACATGCCCAGGAAGTCGCAACAGCATAGCAGTCCCGCACCACGTTGGCCACGTCGATGGGCAGCTCCCGGATGTAATCGAGAGACTCTCTGACGCGCTCGGCAATCTCCTCGGCGCTGCTGTCGCTCAAACGGAGCGCCAATTCGGTTTTGAGAACCTGCTGCAACACGGCCGTGGAAACACTGATGCCGATAATGGTACCCAGGGATCGGAAGAGGTACGAGCAGGCGACAGCTACGGCCATGTCCTCGGGCGCCGTGTTGGATATGATGGCAATGAGCGTCGTGGTGATGGAAATGGATGCGCCGAGGGCGAGCAACACCATGGCCACGAGAACGCCAATCAGAGATTTTGACACAATACCGGTGAACAGGGCAATGAGGACCAGACTCAGGCACAAGATGCCGTAGCCAATGAGAGTCAGCCAGTAGTACTTGCCGGTACGTCTCATGATCAAGCCGCCTCCCAGTGAGCCAATGAGACCCGAGACGGTGCCCGGCAGGAACATGAGGCCAGACTCGGACGCTGTAAGTGCCAGGGCGCCCTGGTAAAAGAGAGCCACAAAGAACCAGGCTCCCATCTGCGCAGCAAGTCCAAAGAAGTTTGCGCCGTAGGCGGCCAGCACTGGAGGATCCAGAATCACGTGGCCAGGTGCAAAGGGATTAGACGCCCACTTGTTCTCGATGAGAATGAAAGCCGCGAAAAGGACCGGGGCGAGCGCCAACGGGATGATGGTGCTCAGCTCGCCCCAGCCCTCGTTGCTACCATTGTCCAGACCAAAGGCCAGCAGGAACACGGCGCCCGAGAGGGTAATGGCGCCCGGGAAATCAATCTTTTTGAACTTGACGGCCCAGTGCGAGTGGTCCGTCTTGGGCAGATCGAGCACCAGGAAAACGGCCAGCCAGGCAACAATGGCAATGGGGAACTGGCCGATAAAGGCCCATCGCCAACCAATCGTGTCGGCAATGAAGCCGCCCAGGGGCGCACCGCTGGCGATGCCGGCCGCAAAGACGACATTGATATAGCCTTGCTACAACACCACATGTCAGCAATTGTCTTTTCAGGTGCATACTAGGTAAATGACTTTGGAATAGCTCCTCTGAGCCGTTCTTCCAAGTCTGCTCTCATAGCATCACATTCTAGAAATGTTTGCTCATGAGACAACCCAGAAAGGAAAGAAATAACACCAAAATTCACTTACCCATACTCCTCGATCTCTCAAGGATACCAAATCAGTCATGAGAATCGACACAATTGCGTTCATTCCTCCTCCTCCCATCCCAGCAACTCCCCTAGAGACACATAGCTGAATAATATCTTTGGAAAGACCACAGCCGAGACAGCCCAGGCCAAAGACTGAGTAGGAGAATAAAAGGCACTCCTTGCGTCCAAATATATCGCTCAACTTTCCGTATAGAGGCTGAAATGTAGTGAGTGTCAAGAAATACCTAAAGGTATCAAAAATTAGTGCAGTGTTTACCAAGAAAGCGCATGGATTATACTCACGATGTGGCAATCCAGCTGGTGCTGTTCAGGGCGTCCAAATCAGACCCAATCTTTCCATAAGTTGCCACCACCAACGTCTGATCCATGGCTACAAGTAGAATCTAGAGCATTGGGGATTTAGCATTTCGTTCCGGATTGGTAAAAACCTCTGGGTGTTCCGTGGGGGGTTGCTTACACCAATAGCAAGAGCCGGGAGCAGTGTAGCCATGTTGACCTTGATCTTTGGTCCACTGTGATCTTGGGTATCCCGACTGCCACCCTCGGCCACATTCTCACTGCTCGCCGTGGCCGGCTCGCCAGACTGCTGTGGTTCCTGAAAGGTGCCATTGTTCCCATTCGGCTTTGCAGTGATGCCGTTCTCGGAGGTGCTGGCACCGAGCAAGGGTGCCGTCTCTGCGGCCACCGCGGCTTCTGAAGGCAGCTTGGCAGACATGTTGTATATTGTCTCAATGTGTTGAAACAAACTTCCTGAAGAATTTCAGGCACAAGTACGACAAGTGCTACAATTGTCCTCAAAAGTTCCCCTCCAAAAAGATTGTTGTTTTCTCGCCCTCAGTCGGTGAGAATCCGATAAAATAGCTGCGGGCTCGCGATAATTCGCGATCGGTTATCTCCCCGCCTTCGGGCCCTGCCGGTACCGCTCTTATCGGCATTGTGAATCCCGCTTACATAGCAGAATGCCGATTTGGTTCTAGTTCTCACGTCTACTCTGTGTTTCTTGAATAACATTGTTTTATGCATTCAAGACGCGGGATTATTGGAGCTGGACAATTTTGTTCCCCCCTCATGGGACTCATCTGCTGGAAATATAAGCATCTTTTTCTGACATATGATGGCGGAAAAACAGCATAGACGCCCCATATACCGTCTGCTTGATATTAGAATGCCGCTAGACCCCGAGACGGAAGGTTTCCGTAAGCAAGAGAGCAGCAAATTTCCGAGACTGCCTTTTTTTTTTTTTTCCCCTTCCTTGTGCCCCGACGGCGTTTCTCTGCTGCACACAGGAACGAACGCTCCTTTTGTGCAATGGTAAAGTTCAATTACCGATTCTACGTCACACAAAACACGGCACACCAAATGAGAAAAACCTGCTGTAAATCGTTCCTCGCCATTGGATTGGCTCAAGGAGATTGATGATCTGACCGACGCGAGCACTTGGCGATCCTTTGAAAGTCGGGTCGGTCCAGGGGCCTGCATCTACCTACTGTACGCGGTCGCGAACACTTAAGCAGGTACATGGCATAGTAGTAGGTGGTGCTGCTGCTGAAGGTGTTACCCGACTAATGCAATAGCAAAGGGGGGTCCAGGTTCTCTTGCGAGTCGTACAGATTTTTAATGATCTCGACTGCACCAAACCACCAGTGGGCATGAGCGATTTTGCAAGTCAGGACCAAGGAGCGTCAATCTTTTTTGAAGAATTGAGAGCCCGTGTCTTTGTTAAATAAGAAGAAGACTCACGGGTCACAAGCCTTCGCACAACGGTAGGGACCTGAATAAATTATACATTGAGACATGTGATGATTACACCAAGTCACGCCGAACCATGTACTATGTAATAATTTTATGCGTACATTGGTACCTATCTACATTTTGGCGTACATAAGGTACACTGTACATAATTTAAGCCCTTGGTCGTGCGCATATTCCGCAGCCTTTCCCGCGCATAAACGATTGGCACTGGCCGTGATGCAGAAGATTGCAACATGATGCGCCCTACAAATCCCACACAAATTCACTACTACCGGGTTTAATCAAAAGAGGCCTCAAGTTCTCCGGCGCTCCCTACTGGTCCATATTCCCCTCCCCGCCGTGGGCACGAACTCACTTGCCCACTGTGTACGGAATACCCAGGTTCCCACCTTTGATCTATAATGCAGTCTAGGGTATGATGGCCCCAGGGTTGTTCGGGTGAAACGCTCGGGATGTCGACGCTATTCCTGTCATTTGCCAGCAATGGGATTTTTAGCTTTGCCCTTTGTCCCAGGTAACTCCCAGTATGCGACAAAAAGAGCCCACGATTCTCTGCTGCCTTTTTTTTCTACACATACGTACACGAATACGGAGACAAGCCCGGCCATAATAGCAAAGTGGTTCCTCCACTCTCCAAGACGCGGCCCCCCTTTCCCTCCTTGGCCCAGGCCTTTTTTTTTTACCTGTAGCTTCGCCCAGTTTACCCGTGGGTAGCTTCAAAAAGTAGCACCAACGTTGGCCCCAACGGCCAAGTGGCTTGGGGTCCCTGATGTGGTGGCTGATCCGCCGATGATCCTCGATGCGTCATGGTGTATCCGAACACAGCCGCTGTTGTCTCACATCAAATTCCAGGAGAAGAGTTGAAAGCATTGTATTCGTTGGAAAATATGGAAAGGGTGAAAAAAAGATGCCACAGCATTTTTGCTCTGTTGTGTTCATACAGGCCTTCCGAGGTATCTCTTTTTTGGCTCGTGCTGCCTCTTTGGCATCGTCATCATTATCACAGCTATTGCCATCATTAGTGTTTTTTTCCTTCTTTCTAATTCCCTGCGCATAATAACAACAGACAAAGTAATAGGTAATATTCCTGCTACAATAACAACACGCCAAACACCCAGCGGATCCCCGGGTCTGTCCCTGTTGGATTGTCGATAAATTTGGAAAGTTGATTTGACTGGAAAAGTTTCACATCCTTCTTCTCACAGGGATTGTGATGGGCTCACTAAGTGCGTGCAGTTACGCAGTTATAGCCAGATATAGTTTATAAATTAGCTTGAGTAAAAGGAAGCTATTTCCTATACGTAGATTTTATCGTAACCTATTTAGGCACCGGATTAACTATATATCCGGTGCCGAAAATCGGGTGCACCCGTAATATTACCTTTTTTCCGGGCTTTTCGGGGAATTAAACCCTAGATTTTTAAAAATTCCCTTTTTAACTATTAAGCTATAATAACCGCTTATACCCTAATTGCTTTACGTAACGCTCCTTTTCCGTAATCCCTATTATAAAACCCGAAATTTTTTTAGTTATAATACGTTTTTTATTACGAATAAAAGATTTAAAACGTAGGGTCCCTAATAATTATTAATAAACCGTTATTTTTTTAATATAAAAAAAAAACGCTATCCGGGTATATTTAAAATATTAAAGCCTTTATCGGAAAATGCTTAATTAATTAACTCGATATCGAAAGGCGCGTAACCGGCTATTTCGTATAACCGGTATTTTTTTCGAATAAATAAAAAGATTCCTAATATTTTTTTCGAATAAAAATAGGAAAATATAAATAAATTAAGGATTTAATTTTAAATTCCGATAAAAAATAAAAGCATTTTATTAATTAAATTTTCGAGCTTTTTTTTTTAGCCAGCCTTTTTTTTCGAGCTTTTGCTAATTACCTATTTTTAGTTATTTTAGTAATAGCTTTTTATTTTTTTTTTGCTAAAGGCCTTATTTTAGCTTTTTTTTTTTATTTATTTTGTTATTTACGCCGAATCGGGCTTTAAAATTATTTAAAGCTTATATATTATCGAATACGGTTCGGGCTTATTAAGTAGGTTTTGCGTAATTTTATTATTTTAATAATAATTTCCGTTCGAATTTTTGTTTTATAAGGTGCCGCTCCGCATAAAAAATCCTTTTAATAACCTATTTTTTTTATAAAAATTTTTTATCGAATACTAAAAACGGCTATTAATTTTCGCTTTTTTATAATAACAAAAAATTTTCGCTTATTTTTTATAGCAAATTTACGTAAAATCGTAGCTAAATTTTATTAAATACGTTTAATTTAATTATTTATAGGCTAATAATTTTGCTAATTTTATATTTTATATTAATCTAAAATAGCTTTTTAAATATTTATAATATTTCTAAATTTTTAAATTTAAATTATATTAAATTTCTAGCCTTAAATCGTTTTTATAGCTTTTTATTCCTATTCGCCGTATTTTTTATTTTTTATTATATAGCTATTATTATAGCTTAAGCTAAATCCTAGCCTTTTTTTTATTAATTTACGAATTTTTTAATTTATTTTTTATTTATTTTTTATAAAAACTCCTATAGCGGAAATATTTACTTTATAAATTCGGCGTAATACCTATAAATTAAAAAAAAAAACTAGCGTTAATCGAGGTATTACGGTTATTAATAGCAAATATAGCAAAAAAAAAATTCGGGTTAGTTATACTAAGCGTACGAAATAAAAGCTTTAAAATATAATTAAATTTTTTAATTTATACGCTTAATCGAACCGTTAATTTTTAAATAAAAGGCTATAAATAATTTTTTTTTTAATATTTACGATTTTGCATAAATAAGCCTAAAAATCGCTTATTTAATTCGATTTTTTATTAAAAATAATAGCTCGAAAAAAACCGTAAAACCTTTAATAATAGTTAATAAAACGCTAAACGCAATTAGGCGCTTTTATAATATTTATATTTTTTGCTATAATTATTTTTGCTAAACGATTTATAATTATTATTATAAAATAAAGGTTTTTTTTTTTCGTAAGGAGCTCCGTTATAAAATCGATAAAAAATTCCGAGTAAAACCGGTTTAATATAAAAAAAAAGGCTAAAAAGCCGCTTTTTTTCTCGCGCCAAATTTTAAAGCGCCTATAAATATCGCAATTAACATAAAATCTCCGTATTGCCTTAAATATTCCCGGCTAATAAAAATATTTTAATATTATTATAAAGGTATTATCCCTCCTTAAATAGCCGGTAATAAATAAATCGTAAATTTTTTATATAAATATAATTTAAAAAAATTCCTAATTTAGGATAAGCAATTTTTTTCGGAATAAAAAGGCGCTTTTAAAATTTAGTTTATATTCCGCAATTAATATCCTAATATTATATTTTTTTTTAAATAACCCGGGCGGAAACGTATGCGCTTTTAATTATATTATAAAATATAAATTAATAAAATTAATATTTTATATTATAGCTTTATTTTAAAATAATTATAGTTTAGCTTTAAAAAATAAATTTTTATTTTTAGGGATTTAATAGCTTTATTTTACGCTTAATAATTTTTATTTTATAAGCTTAAAATATAAAGGTATTATATAAATTAATGCTTAAATATATTTAGCATTTTCGAAAAATATAATAATAAATAGGAGCCACTCGTTTTTAACGAGCTATAAGCGGCGAAATTCTAATTTCGGGTTATCGACCCCTTTAAGAAGGTCTTATTTTAAACGGCTAAAGATATTAAGTTTGCCGCTTTTTTTTTCTTACGCGGAATTATAATTAAAAATTAAACTCGGATAAAATTAAAAATTATCGAGTTTGCTTTTTAATTAAGTTTTTTTTAATAATAAAATATTATAAATTTTTATAATTTGTAAAAATTTTAAAAAGTTTAGCTAAGCTTTTTAATTTTTTTTTTATTTTTTTAAGCAGCGGATAATCGCGAATAGCTTTTTATTATAAATTTCGTAATTAATTTCGGCTAGGTTTAATCGTTTAAAAAAAAAAGGCTATAAAACGTAGTTTTCCCTTATTATCGATTTATAAAAAGGCTTTTCCTAAAACCTAACCAAAATAATCGCACTCGATTACCGTTTTACGCTTTTCGTTTTATATCGCTAAAATAGGTATAATAATAAAAAGCTTTTTAAAGGTTTCGAAATTATATTTTTTAGCTAACCTTTATTTTTAAAATGCTAATTTTTTAAATAAAGCTAATAAAAATCCTATAACGTCGCTAAATTAAAGGATAAACTCCTTATAAAAATTCGCGAAGCCTATAAAATTACGAATTCTTTTTATGCTAATAAAAATCTTTTATTTTTTAATAGCCTTTATTTTTTTAAAATTAACTTTAACTCCTTCTCTAGTATAAATAATAAATCCTAAATATTTAATTTAAATAATAGCGAATTCGCATTTTTTAAAATTAAAGCAAAACCTAGCCTTATCTAATTTAATAAGGATTTTATTTACCTTTAGTATATAATTTGCGTAATCGCCGTTAAAATAAATTAAAACGTCGTTTAAATAAATAAAATAAAAATCGTCCAAGTATTTTTATAATATAATATTAATAAACCTTTAAAAAATAGCTAAAACTCCCGTTAATTTAAAAGGCATTATTAGCTATTTAAATAAGCTAAAGCGAATGCGAAAAGCGGTTTTTTATTTATTTTTTTCCTTAATTTTTATTTTATAAAAAGCGGCCTTAATATTAACTTTAATAAACCACCTAGCTTTTAAAAAGGAACGCAAAATTTCTTTAATAAAAGGAAAAAAATAGCGGTTTTTTTTTATAATAGCGTTTAAAGCTCGGTAATTTACGCAAAAATAAAAACCTCCTTTAGGTTTTTTTATAAAAAATATAAGGGCTTTTCCGGGAAAACTGCTAGCCCTAATCTAATTTTTATCTAAATAATTAATAAATATTTTCCTAAAAATAAGCAATTTATTTTTAAATATACCGTATAAAAGGCCTTATAAAATTTCCCGAATTTTATTTTGCTTATTTTTAAATAAGGTAATCGCATAATTTACTCCGGGTTAATAAGGTAAGAGCTCCGCTTATTCGTTATTTATAAATAAAAAAGCGTAATATTTAAGCTAAAAAAATAACGTATCGGTTACTTTGGAAAAAATCGTTTTTTTTTTAATTTTTAGCGTTCGATTAATATTTGCTATTATAACGGCAAAAATCTAAATAGTTCTAATTATTTTTTTAGAATTCCTGCGCGTTTTACGCATTTCCGCTATGTAAATAGCATTTATAATTATTTATGCATTTTTTACGTATTACGTCCTATTTTTTATTGGTTTAGGTGCCTTATTTTCGTATTAGCCTTTTTTACGGATAAGGAAACCGTGCCTTTTAATACTAAATTTAAATATTTTTTTTTTAAATAAATATATTATATTATTGCTTTTTATCTAAGGTTTTCCTAATATAATATTATAAGCTAGGTTAAAAATAATATATTTTATTATTTTTTTTTTCCGTCCGTCGATATTTATTTAGCAAATAGCGATTTTTCGAATATATTAACGTTTTTTATCGTTTTTAGCGAGCCGGAATTTTTTATTCCGGATTTAAATACGCTTAAATTTTTTTTTTAATTATAAAAAATTTATTAAAAGCAAAATAATAAAAACACTTATTATCGATAAACGCGTTATAATAAAATAAATTATTAATAAATATATTTATTAAAAAAGGGGTAATATATATATTATTTAAAATATTTAAAGCAATAATTATAGGTTTTTTTTTTAAGCTTTAAGGGCGATTCTTTTTAAAGCTTAAGCATTTTCCGACGGTTTTCTATTTTTTTTAAGGTCCGAAATAACCTTAATATAGCTAATTTAAGGGTTAAAATTAATAAAAAAGCCGTAAATAATATATTTTTAGTAAAAATATTTAAATTATTTATATTTAAAATATAATTTTTTTTTTCGGAGGGATTAAATTTTTTGCTTGTTACGCTAAAAAGCTCGGGGTTTTTATTTATTCTTTAACGCCTTTTTGCCTGCTTATATTGCGTTTATAGTATTAATAACGGTAGTAATAAATTGCTATAAATTAAATTTATTAATTTTTTTTATAATAATATCCTTTTTAATATTTATTCGATTCCGTAAGGTTTCCCGAAAAAAGGTAAAATAAAACGAAATAGCTCCGGCTTTTTTTAAAAACTAAATCTTTATATTTTTGGCTTTTTTACGCTTATTTTTTTATAAGGCATTTAGGCGATTAGCTATTTTTTTAATTATATTTAACTATTAGTTATAATTATCGTTAAGCAAATCGAAAATAATTAGGCGGTTTTTTAGGCTTTAATTAATAGCGGAATTAAAAGTAATAATTTTAATTGCGTTTACCTAATCTAATTTTTTATTAAAACCAAGCTAATATTTAAAATCGTTTAAAAAATCGGAAAATTTTTAATTTTCCTTTTATTTTATCCGAATTAGGCGATTACCCGCGATTTGCTTGGCTTTTTTATCGATAAATTAGTTTTCGATTTTTTTAAAGAATATTTTCTATTTAAATTATTTAAGATTAATGCTAATAAATTATTGCGCTACGCGAAAACGCTTATTTTTTAAAAAGGCTATTATAAAATTAAGGTAAATAAGCTATTTATTACCTAATAAGTAACGGTTTTTTATTATTTTTATTCTCGCTATAATAAAAAAAAGCTTAAGGGATTTTATTTTTCCGTTTTAAAAGGGCTATTTAGCGGTTTTATAATAATTAAAAGCGCTATTATAAAAGGCTTAAGCCGTATTTTCGGGGTCGGAATTTTTTATAATATCGTATATTAGGGGAAAAAGCGAGGGGTTATCGAAAAAGGGAAATTTTAAAGCGATTTTATATTTATTAAGATTTTCGGATATTACGCTATTAAAAGTAAAAAATAGCACTAAAAATTTTATAAGCACCTTACTAATTTATATAAAATTGCAAAAATAAAACTAATTTATATATAATAAGCTTACTAAATGCGTGCAATTACGCAATTATAGCCAGATATAGTTTATAAACTAGCTTAAGTAAAAAAAAGCTATTTCCTATACGCAAATTCCATCGTGACTTATTTAGGCACCGGATTAATTGTATATCCGGTGCCGAAAATCGGGTGCACCCGTAACAGGGATTAGTCCTTCTCTTTTTGATCAAAAAGCAGTCAGACATTCATTTATTCATTTCGAGTTCATCAGCCCAAGCAGTAGCATGTTTAAAGGAACGAGTAATATTAACACTTTATCCGGATCTGAAATAAATAATCAGGGAGGGAAAGAAAAAGTAGTAGGCAGCAGCTTTTCTCTTAAAAAAAGTCCCGAGGTGCCTCCTCTTCAGCCCGCCCGACCCCCAGTACCCGGTTTTGCTGGCAGAAACTTGGAATCTGGAATCCTGGATCTGCACTACTACGATACTTTACCCACACCCACACAGTTCACCTTCATCAGTGGTTCACCCAATCCATCCACTATCCCAAGTTCCAACGCCCATCCCCCTCCAACCTCCACAGCGCCAGCGTGAGATTCTCAGCATTGTACCTGCATTAGTCTGCCTATAGAACAGGGATCATTTACACTGACGCATGCTTCGAGAAAATATATCTGCGACTACACTTGCGGGCCACCCTCTTTCGTTGGGTCTTGTTCTTGTGTGTTTTTTTTCCGCCCATTCCTTTTTGTTTTTCTTCTCCATCCCCATAAACGGTCTTCATGGAAAGGATGCATCACTTTGCGGCCTTGACCTTGATCCTGACCGCCTGCGAAACTCAGATGTAATATTACCCATTATACTACTACAGTACCAACTTCGCCTCATTTTGCCTTGTGTTCCAGACCTTACCCGCTGTCGTCACACAGTACCTGCCTCGTACCTCTTTGCTTTGGGGCCTGGCCTGGGGTGGTTTAGTTTTCAGTTTTATCTACACGAGCCGTTCGTTCTTTATTATTCATCATGGAGTGGAACACGGCCACGCTGTTGGCACCAAGGACGGGTGGTCGTTCACGTTTCTCAAAAGCGCTGCCCATGCCGCCTTCTCCTCCGCATGAGACTCCTCCCGAGTCTATTACTGCTGCTGCTGCTACTCGTACGCCTACTACTGCCACATCTCCAGCTTTTCAGATTCCTCGAAAACTGCCTGGACTGCCCAACATGGCGACAACCATGGCACTCCCGCCGAGGAAGGACTCTGTTGGAGCTCGATTCATCCCAAAGCCTATAGACTCACCACTCCCGGCCCTTCCGGCTCTTCCGGACAAGGTTTCCTCTCCACTAGAGTTGCAAAAAAAGATGCCTCCGATACCCAGAAAGGCCGTGGCATCACCACCTCCAGTCGGGTCTTCCTTTACCTCATCGCCACCACTCGAACAGCTTGAGCCAGAAGCCGTTGATCCGGTGAAGCTCAAGCGTAAGTCATCTATATCGAGTCTGCTGTCGGCCTACTCAAATACCTCGTCAGAATCAGTACACATGTCCTCACACCGGAGCTCAGACACAAAGGGTAGCGAGGCTTCACTTTCACCAGACCGGGACGGGCAGCGTGGGGGACAACAAAGAGACTTATCAGCAGCATACAAGGCGTTGTCGAGGAATCCCTATGAAGAACCCTCGGCTCGTGAAAAGGAATTCATGATGCATGAGCCATTGCCGCCGCCGCCTCCCACAAAGGAAGCCAATGCATCTCCACGGCCGGCAGCACAGCGGACTGGATTGCCCGCCACGCCGCGGGGTGGGAGACTACCTGCAGCCCCAGCCCCAGCAGCTGCCCCAGCAACGATACAAAAAGATGGCGATGCATTCACCTCTGCTGCACGAAAGACGCCGTCTCCACCACCTCGACGAGAAATTTGGCGGAGGAGAGCATCATCGAAATCAGATCGAAGCATTGCCGTATCGGGACTCAAGCTTGCTGTGAGTCACGGCTCGACCGCAGCGACGACAATGGCAGCTTCACAGCCGGCTCCTGCTGAGGAAGCTTCGCAGAAAGCAGCTCAACACCCAGCCATCCTCAACCCAACTTTGGCCTTGAGTGCAAACAATGGTCCTCAGCTGCCACCACAACCCAATTCTGGTCTGCCAGGTCGCAACATTAGGCCACAGGCACAGGCACAAACGCAACCACAACAGTCGGCTACCAACAATGCAATTGACGCTCTCGACAACGATGACGAGATGAAGAGACTCCGGGAACTCAAGATGCAGGCCTTGGGCCAAAGTGCCAGCCAAGACTCTGACAAGTCCACATCACACCTTCAGCCTTTGGACTCGCCCACTCTGAAGCCATCCCCAGCTGGCTTTCCAACGATTCTAGGAGCGCCTGAAAGCACCAGGACTGCAGCGGATGACCAGCCGCCCCTGTCGCCTCCAACCAAATCCCTGAGACGCCGCGAGGTCGGAAGGAAGCCCAGCCTGCAGAACATCAAAGGCAGTGAAGCTGGCGCGGCCCAACATCTCCGAGAGGCCAGAAGCGCCATTGATCTAAGGGCTGCCCGCGACAAGCAAGCCGAAGCTGCAATGGAGAACTTTCCAGCACTTGAACCGCCACATTTTCCCGGACAATACTACGGAGGTGCTCCATCGCCGCGATCGCCGCGCACTCGTGGATTGTCCAGTGCGTCAAATGCCAGCGGGCGACGAGTCCCTAACCCTCAGCTCATGGTGACTTCGCCAGCAACTCCACCGGCACCGAGACCGCGGGTTGAGTACAAGGATATGGAGTACATTCAAATGACCCCTCAGCAGCAGAATGACCTTTCGGCTGCCATTAGAAAGGCCTTTGGCCACAGCAAGGACTGGGCCAGAGTGACTCCGAACAAGGACGGCGTATGGCCGTGCAGAGAGCTCTCGGCCGATCATCTCACGTGCGCCTCCGACCACAAAGGTTGGGTGAACACTCCCAACGCTCACTATCCCATCGCCTGTATGCTCTGTCACGATGGCAGCAAGGAGTCCCGACGTGTCTGCCGCAGCTGCGGAATCCGAGTTTGTCCTGGCTGTTCCGAACTCCTGACAGGTGTCAAGATTGAGAACCTGGACTTCAACGCCCTTGCCAGCAAGGAGAAGGAAAAGGAAGACGCCATCGCCGGTGATCAGGAGGGCCTGTATATCAGCAAGTAAAAGGAGAGGGACTTGCACAGGAGATTCGCAAGATTTGACGATGAAGAGCGCGCCCGGACGCGCCTACCTCTTTAAACATTCTTGAACAATTTTTTTTTTCTTTGGGGTTCTTTGCATACAGCAAAACTATAGGGAAGGCATGAAAAACTGGAAAACACATGTGGCGTTCTGAGTATGTATATATAGGTAGAGGAGACCTCATATGGACAGACCTTCATTGGGAGGTTGTACAAGTAGATACCACACCATGATCCACACGTATCATGATCCGTTCAAGGAACGAACGGCAGAACAAAATATAAGAAATGAAAAGTGTATATCAATGAGAACAAAGATCTTCAATCGCGCTTTGAATGTGCATGTACTGAAAAGGTCGGGGCCTTCCGAAGCAAGAGTCACACATGGCCACAAACCAATTTACTCACCCTCATGCCAACTGTTCTTGAAGATGGCAATGTCTTGTCTGGAAATGAGCTCGGTAGAAATACATTGTCCTGTACTTGGGAATACAGAAAGAAGAGTCCAGATCAAGCACGGAGGTGGAGAGAGAGAGAGAGATGGAGAAGAAAGTAAAGATCGAAAGTTCTTCACGAATGACGTGAGATTGAAGAGAAAGAAATACAAATGGAAGCAAGTCTTCAATGTCTTGGCCCGCAGCGATCTGCCATCAAGGGATCTGAGATCCATCTGCCAGGGCTGAGATAAGCCTAAATGTTCTGCAACAGATAGCCTAAAGCCCGCTGGAATCCTCTGCCGACTCGGTACCTTTTAGTGGGTGCACCCGACAATCGGAGCGTTGCAACGGCCAACGCCGAGTTACCCACTAAACCTGCCCTGACGTACCTGCAGCCGAAGCGCGATGGATAAGGGACCTCCCTGTTGATGCGCCATACAATGCGATCCTATATTGACTTTTAAACATTACCGCGCTCGTCCGCTTTCAACCTCCTCACCATGTCCTCCTCGACAGGACTGAGCCGAACGCGCTCATTGAGACAGCCTCAAGCGACGTCCCGAAATCAATTGTCACAGAGAGATGGCGCAAACAATACCAGCGAGTCCGGAAGCGCATCGCCGAGTCGGCTGCCCCAGATCAAGCCCTTGACGAGGTCAGGGACTATATCAGGGACTACTTCATCATCAACCACATCGTCCACGGCCGCAACAACGGCGCGCAGCCGGGCGGCGAGCTCGGCAAAGAGCACCACAACCACTGCTTCAGGAAGACCGCTGTCGGGGATATTCTCAAGCAGACCATCGACCACATCAACAACGACAACAGCCACGAGGCAGCGAGCTCCAACGGGCCCCGAGAATGCAGCCGCCAGACCGCTAGGCCGGGCGCCTTCAATACGACAGGTCTCTAGCCAGCAACCACCGGCGGCGACGACGACCACCACCACCACCACCAGTAGAAGGGTGCCCTCGGGCAGCAGCAGTGTCGGTGCTAAGCGCCCTACGTCCTCGGGCGGCCTGCCTTCCTCCGCCGCGCCCAAGACTAGAGCTCCGACGCACACGAGAGCAAAGAGCACGGCCACGGCGCTGACGGCCGCAACGACGCTGCGACCGCCCGTTTCGTCGAGCGCAACCGCCACCGCGGCGTCTCCTTCCTCGGCGAGCACCACATCAGCGGTATCCCACGCCGGCCGACCCAGCACGACGAGGTTACACGCGCGCAACGTCTCCCAGAGCGGCGCCGCCGCCACCGCACCACCGCAGTCACCGGTCCACGGCTCCCGCCGCCCCACCTTTGACACCAACCAGCAGTACTACTCGCCGCTCAAGTCGCACGCGCCCAAGCCGCTGACCTCGACGTTTCTGGCGCCGCCGTCGCCGTCCAAGCTGCCGTCCAACGTGGCCATTAGCGCCGAGACGTCCCGGCTGCAAACGGAGCTGCTCCAGCTGTCCCTGTTGCACCGCGAGGCCGGCGCCGTTACCCGGCAGTGGCACGAGAGCGCCCGTCGGAAATTGGGCAGGCGGTTCAAGGCGGCTGCCGCCGAACACGAGAGCATTTGCGCCCAGGAGCGGGACGGCGTCGAGGCGCGCAACGTTGCGGCCCTGCTGCGTTGGGGCAGTCAAGATGGAGGAAGACTAGGTCTCGAGGAAAAGTTGCAGGCCTTGGATCAGATTCTCGACGAGGTCTGGGCCTTGACCGAGTCCGAGGGCAGATACGGCAGAGTCGTCGAGGGTTTTGAGGCGTGGGCCGGTCGAATGGCGGATATCATGGCCAAGCGTCGGAGTGGGCGTGCAGACGACTTGGTGCGCGGCGACGAGGTGCTCTTTGTGAGCGATCTAGACACCCGGTGGAAAGATGAATGCGCCGGCCACGTCAGGAAACTCGAGGCGTGGTGTCTAATGCTTAATGAGATTGGCCCGGCACCAGACGAACCCAGCGAACAAGGACCGAGGTCCAGCCTTTCGCGAATCCTGGAAGGCTGCACGAGTCTGGTGGTGGATATGCTCGCGGAGCTCGAGGTCATGCTCGGCATTGAGAGGGATGCGCGCAGGTCCGAGGACGATTGGATCGAGAGGATGAGCGAGCAGCTCAAGATTGGCGATCATGAGACCATGGACAGGGAGCCTCCGCTGTGGAAAATGGTAATATAAAATTTCTAGAACTAATCATGAACATAATTAAAAAGCGGACAAGTCATGAATCATTTCTTAACAAGTGACTATCTATTGTTGCGGTGTTTATATGCGTGAGCGCGATCCTGTTGACTTCTCGTGCTGACTTGTTGACATGCAATTGTGATCATTTATTCATACGTCATGAACAGCTGACACGGATTTTCCAAGAGAGAGGTCACATTAGTCATCCCAGAGCCTGACCCTCTCCTTTGTCTTGCCGCCCATGGGCTGCAAGCCAAAGATATCCTCGGGCAAGGCGCTCCCGCCCTCCTCCCCGCCCGCCGGCTCCTCGCCAAACAGGAACGCCGTCCTCTGGCGGTCGGCACTATCCGAGGACTTTTTGTGGTGTTTCTTGGCGGCCGGCTTGGGTTTGGATGATGACGACGACAACGAGGATGACTCAAAGGCTGAAGATTTTGGCCCCGTGGCTGAGGATGCGGATTGGTCTGGCTCCAGCATCCAGGCAAAGGAGGACTGGGCCAGGGTCGAGCGGGTCGGAATGGGTGGGTGGGGTCTTTGCAGGACGGGAAGCGGTGCCGGCTGTGAAGTTGATAGGGGATCGATTTCTGCGATCGGCCCTGCTTCTGCTGCTACCGCCGCCGCCGCCGCCGCTGGGGGTATTGTAGGGATTGCGTCTGGGGCGTGCTCGACCTCGGTTATCATGGGTAGTGTGGCCGTATTGTCTGCTTCTGGTGCTGGCGACGACTTTGCTTCGGGGGACTGCGTGGATGTGGAGGCAGCTGCGTCGGCTGGCAAAACTGGCTCAGTGTCTGCTGGTAGTGGTATCGAAGCGTCATCGTTGGCGGCTTGAGCTTCGGGCAGCGCCACGGTCGAGTCCTCCAGATAGACCTTGACAAACTGAATCTTGGCGGCGGCGATTTGCAAAGCTTCTCCGTGCTTCTTCTTGTCTTCCATATCCGAAGCCGCCAGAGCATGCAAGTTTGCGAGCGTCTCTTCGAGCATGACGGCGAGCTGCTTGTTCCTCCGGTCTAGCGCCGCGACCGCCTGCATGGCCGTGGTATTCGGACCAGGTTCGGAAAACAACTCACGGCCTGCCTTCATTGTGCTTCTAGCCTCGTTGACGTTGCGCCTGATTTCTCCCAATGCGTCACGCACGGCCTGGTTTACGCCTAGCTTTTCGCCCCTTTGGAAGATACCCTTAGCTGCCCCCTGGAATAGAGCCTCTACTCCGCCCGGCTGTTGTATGAAGCGGGTAGGGAAGCGCGAGGGCGACAAGGGCGATTTCCTCCCATCGGCAGTCTGCTTGATGTCAATACCTAATGATGATTTTGGTGTCGTTGGTCTGGATGATGCTGTGGCGGAAGCTGGTTGCCTGCCAGTGTATTTGAGAACCAGCGCAGAGCCTCCGTCTGGATTCAAGTGGTCCCTCAAGTACATGGCATCATCGACAAATGTATGTGGTCCATTAGGATCCTGTGGTGATGGATACTTGAGGAGTAATTGCAACGCGACGGAGTAATCGGCTTCAAGTACTATACAACTAATCAGTTTATAATCGTGAACATGGTGGTGTTTAGACCTACATTGCCAGCGTATTCTGAGTAACATGGAGGTGCATATCAGATCTACCAGATCAAGCTTTGGATCAACAGAGAAAAGAGTATCCCATAGGACAAGCATCTGGTCAAACGGGTATTCGCGGGAAAACAAAAGTCGAATCCAACGGCTGCTGCTTTTAGTCATGTCCAAGTAAGCCTTGACTTATTCTGAAAACTCACATCAAGAATATTTGTGGCAGGACCTCAATATTTTTGAGATGGGTTGACAGGTCCGGATCGACTTTATATAGGAGGACCTCATGTATGTGCTGACTTTTCTCGACAATAGTAGACCGCCCGATGCTGCTTGGATTATCGTCTGTTTCGTAAAAGGCCTTTGCCTGATCCATCACCTTGGAAAATAAGGTAAAGGCATCGTGCTCGATAAAATTCGCGTCTAGCATTTCCACCATGGTAAGATCAGCCGCGCCTTCGGATGCCTCGCCATTTGGGTTAATGGCATCTTGTTCCAGAACGTATACGATTGGCGCAAGCAGTTCGTGCATTCCTTGCCGATAGCCACCAACGTCTGGGTTGAGTTTGCAATAGATGAACAATACATCGAGGATGAGCGTCTGAGTCCGCGGCTCATGGTAGAATGGCTCATCTGGAAGGCGCTGCACATCTTGAAGGATTTCTGCCCGTAATGCTTCATCCTGCCGTAACGTATTCCAAGGTGACTAAGGAAAGATTAATGCCATGCTGTAGATCGCGGCTGCAGGGGGGCATACATCTGGATCATCGGCGAGCGGATCGCTGCTCACATTGGCCAGGTACTCTGGATGCTTGATGTATTTTAAGAAGTGATCTCGGAGAGATGCATACGTGCTTCTAGACTCCAATAAGGCATGAGACCAGGCTGCTGTACTAGAACCGTGTCCAAGGAGGAAAACCTTCCAGCATACAGATCTGCATCCGGTAATACAGGGACTATCGGGGCCATTGGACTTGACCGCCTGTTGCAGGTGAGATATGCTGGAGCTGTGTTTGATTGTTTCTTGCCATCGAGGGCTGTGATTTTGGTTAGACACGACACTCTAGAGTATAGTCAAACAGATGGATGGGTGAAGAAAGATCTCACGTTGATTCCACCAAGGATCTCATGATGACAATCCCGGCTGCCTGCAATGAGGTATGTCAAGTAGGTGAATTGGTCGGTACCTGCAGCTAGAGGCGTCGTAGATGCAGGTGACCAAAATTACCGATTAACCATGTGATTACGAGAAGTATGTATGTAGGCAGATGGGTTATGTATGTACACTGTAGGTTAGTCAGGAAGGTGGTCTGGTTCAAAGATAGTTAGGTACCTACTTGCTTCACCTTGCTCGCCTTACTTAACCGTGCACCCGCCGCCGCCGCCGTCATCGCTGCCCAGCTTGGAGGGGTCAAGCTAGTGTGGCCAGGGTATTTTATGTCCGATTATGCGGGGTCTTTGAGTGAATTGCCATCAAGAAGAAACGTTAAAATCTACATTTCATGATAAATTGTCCATCTCGAGTAGATACTGTATATCCGAGTACAGATGGGTGCACGTGGCATATCCTCTCCTCAAATGGAGATACACATATCGGCGTGCATCGTGGCGAACAAGGCGTCGTATGTACCCCCCCGGAGATAACTCGTCAATACTGCTGCTGCTGGTAGTTGTGCTCTGAATGACGACGACCCACTCCTAAACGGCATTAGACCTCGGCGACTGGTGCTGTTGTCATTAATCAGCACTCATCCAGACCTACTGTTTCCTCCATCTCACCTCCTTGAGCGCACTAGAAGATTCCCAATTTACTACCTCACGGGAACATTCGTCCTGTCTTTCATTAGATAATCTACATCAGAATACATCTAAGTCACAATCAGACGGCATGGCAACGGCGATTCCTGATCTCCCGATCCTGGCCACAGACGATTCGATGCTCTCTCGAAAGTTTGGCCGGGAAGTTGCAAATTACTTTTCGGGAAACCCTTTGAACAGGCTCTCATTTCTAAGAGCAGATCATGCATTCTTGTCGTCGGCATTTACGCATCCTTCAACGTCCTTCCTGCTTTTGGAGAACTCCTCTCCCTCAGTCAAAAACCCCTCCAGCCTAGCATATCTTGCGAAATCTGACATCGAGCCTTTGACTGGGGCTGACTTCTTTGAAAAGACCGAGGAGGAATGGGTCAAGAACTTCAATTCCAGCATTGCCCGACCCGTGGTCCTGTTTCTTGGCCTTGACGAGAAGCAGAAGTCGGGCTTCGAGTACAAGGAGTACAAGGGAACGCCGTATTTTGCCATAGACGTCACTCCCAAGGGCGCTTTGGCTGACAAAGCCAAGAGTGTTGTGGAGGCAGTCAAGGCAAAGGGAATCACCTTCTTGCCGGGAGCTCGGCCCTTGCTGACACTGAACGCTCCTGAAGGTGAGGGATATACTTTTCGAGACTGATCATTTTACTAACTTGTCGCAGCCGCTATTTATGCTCAAGCACGTTCTCTCCTGGACTGGAACGCTCGCAACCCCTTTTGTGCTGGATGTGGCTCAAAGACCTTGTCTGTAAATGGTGGAATGAAGCGAGTCTGCACACCGACTGACCTGGCTGGTGTTCCTGAAGGTGGCGCTCCCAAGGAACGAGAGGATTGCCCCACACGACATGGTGTCTCGAACCTCTGTTTCCCGCGGACAGATCCCACCATGATTGTGGCTGTAGTATCCGCCGATGGCACCAAAATGCTCCTCGGTCGACAGAAGAGATACCCGCCGTATTGGTACTCTACACTGGCAGGTTTCCTCGAGCCCGCCGAGTCAATCGAGGAAGCAGTGCGCCGCGAGGTTTGGGAGGAGAGCGGTGTTACTGTAGGTCGAGTTGTTATTCACAGCTCCCAGCCTTGGCCATATCCGGCAAACCTGATGATTGGTGCCATTGCGCAAGCCACTCCAGACGGCGAGACCATCGACTTGGGCAACGATCCGGAACTAGAGGCGGCAAAATGGTTCCCACTCGAAGAAGTCAAGACGGCGCTTCTCCAGGGAGTGAGCGGCTTGGGCGAACCAGCACCAGCAGGCTACAAGGAGGGAGCTCTCCGATTGCCTCCTCAGACAGCAATTGCAAACAGACTGATGGATGCTGTCATTGGAGGATTTTTGACTGCTGCCAAGATCTAATGGGAAGAGAACTGAGGATATGAGTATAGATGTGATTGGCGATACACTGAAGATTCAAGAGATAGATTTGGTAGAATTTGATATCAGTAACATTATATGCGCCAAAACAAAGACGAGTCATGCATATTGTGTCGCAAAATGTCATTTAAAGCCAGCTTCAAAAGGGAGAGACGATAGACGAAACAGAGGGCGGAAGACATTTCGATACCTACCTAGTATTATTCTCCCCAAAGGGTCCTCAAGGTATGAAGGGAAGGAAAGTGATAAAGAATGCCAGCTGGCAGCCCCTCGGGGACCCACCTGGCGGTCGTCGCCCACCCTGGCCCCCAGCTCAGCCTGCGCCACTCACCGCCCGCTGGCAAACCGGCAGCCCCACCTGGCAGCCCTCCTCGGCCATCCATAAAACTCTGCCCGCGCCGCATCCAACTTCTCTTTCCTTTCCTTTCTTCTTTATCATCAGTAAGGGTTAAAATTATTACCGTCAAGTAATTATTTTAAGTCTTTGAGGGCTCCGCTACGGCGGCTTGCTGAGGGTTATTACTTATTCTCTGTGAATTTCCTTCCGTTCCCGGCCCCCTAGAGTAAAGGGAAACGCTCTTCCTAATCAGCCGCCGACGCCAGCTCTTCCTGGTTCGTGACTGTGGGGTGTTTGCTACATACTCTCATCTAGATAGATATTTTTCCTAAAGCGAGTAAAGCTTGTGCTTTGCTATGATTTCGCTGGGCGCCTGATCATGGTCAATATTGCCGATCTTTCAAAATTGCTCATGAACTACGTGATGTCAAGTGGCTTGGCCACGTAATTTGTCCTCGTATTTCGCGTTGCGCGTAAAGAGGTGCATCGTTTTCCGAGCGTGGTGGATTGGATTAGCTTCAACCCACAAGTGTCGTTCGACTTGCGGTAATCTAGCATCTGCCGGTCTTATATTCCTGGGAGAATGTATACCCAATGTCATACCAATGTTGGCCGCAAGTTCTGGATTGTGATTCACGTCTAGGTCTCTCGCGCTGTCATGTCAGTCGAGTTCGTGAAAACGACTTGTAATACAACCATCACATCACATTCAGAACGAGTCGCAACAATTACTTTTCTGGAGGTTCGCTGATTTGATTGCTGCTACCTTTGCCTCTAATGCCATACTACGAAGTTAATCAAGCATGAGCTGTCTATGCCCGTCCAGTAGTGCTACATCCTCCAGTGAACTACGACACCCGCTTAGTAGAGGCGCTTGGGAGGAGACATGGAAGCCTTGATGGTCAAGCTTCCAACGTTCTGCCAGCCCTTCTTCAGCAGGGAGACGAGGTAGTTGATGGCCAGCATGATGTTACCGACCAGCTCCTCCTGTTCCATGCCAACGTTGCCGACAGCGACACCCATGCAGAGAACCTTCTTCAGCTGGAACTTGATGGTGGACTTGACCTCGTTGATCTTGCCAGTAAGGTCGTCGGAGTGGGAGACGGGGGTAGGGAATTTGCCGGCTGTAGCATATCATATTAGCAAAAGTCACAAATGGCAAGGAAAAAAGTATGACTGTTGCGACTTACCCTTGGACAGACCAGGACCCAAGAGACGGGGGATCTGCTTGATCAGAGAGTCGGAAGCGACGAAAGCATCGTACTTGCGAGCGAGCTTCTTGATCAGCTTCTTGTTCTTGTTCAGCTTCTTCAGGTCATCGGCGCTCATCTGGGTATTGTGTTAGCTCGTCTGATATTTTTCCCATTCTCGACACTGCTTGTCGGCAGACTGCGAATACTTACGGCGTCGACACCACCGTGCTTGGCACGGTCGAGATCGTGCTGGTCACCAAGAATGCAGATGGCCATGTTGGGGCGGGGGATGGTCGGCAGGCGGACGGTACCCGAGAAACGCTTGTCACGCTGGGGGTCGTAGTTCTTCAGGCCGATCTGGAGCTCGACGGTCTCCAGAAAGTTTCTCTTCTTCTCATTGAGAGAGTAGTCCAGGAGCTCCTGGACGTTGGAACGAACTCCGGCGACTGTGATCTTCGACATGGCTGCAGTCTTCCACTATGTTGCTCTAGTGGTGAGGATTTTTTCGTTCAGTGGTTTGAAGTCGTAAGAAGGATCAAAAACGCTCTGCTTTGCGGGATAGCGAAATTATTTCTGTGGGTGGAACTTTTTGCGGGGTTCAGCTTGCAGGATACTTGCGGGCCGCCGACAGGTGCCAGCCGGGAGTCACCACGAACACTGCCCTTGATTGATACTGGCCCCACCTCTCCAAGTTCCAGTTGCTCATCTTTCTTGAACATTTCAACGGCATTGTACCATATACTCCCTGTATGGATCTCATTCGGAGCTTGACCACGATACTATACTGACCCACTAAAGTCTATTCTGACTTACATACTCCAGTCCAGCACTTGAAGCTACATTGTTGGACAGCACACTCATGTCTCTGTCATACAGTAATCATTGCAGCCCATCTCGGAACATGCATGGACTTCACCTCAAGTCGGCCACTATGCAATCTTGCCATCTTTTCAGGCCTCATAGTTGCCAAATGGACCCTCTGCATCAGCAAATTTTTGCCACGCAGGCAAAGTATATCGCGTGCATCATCATTGCCATCAAGCAGACAGTCATTTGTTATGCAAGAGAACTGCTTTCCAGTAGGCTCCAAGCCTCCCATGGCGTCCATCTTTAAGCTTCACATTTGAAACGCACTTGTCGCCCTCTCACTGGCCCCTCTCTCCAGGCGCTTTTGTACTACGCCCAAGCCACGTTTCGTGACTGATGTTTTGTGACGCATCGCCATCTCTCTGCGATGGACCAATCGCGACACATTTCTGAATCGGTAGTCGAGGCTCAATGGCGATTTCGCACGGACATGCTCAAGCGACATATATCTCGAGTCCTCCGTTACCCCAGACCCCACGAGGAGATCAACAGTGTGAAACATGGTGTCTGCAGAGTGTCTTGTCAGTCACAACATGCACTTCTGTCGGCGCGTGGAGATCCGAACTTGCAGCAGTTGATGGATAGCGAGTCGGCATCCAGTCACACCATCACCCAGCACATCATACTAGGTAATTCGCCGAGACGAGCTTGTCATGACTGCATTTTTATGTCCGATTGAGCCCTACCAGGGCGAGTGACGTCTCCGAGCAAGGCACTATGCATTCGGCATGCCGAGACTATAACATAACTAATATAACTAAAATACGATAGTGAACTGTCACTCACGTCACTGCAGGACCATCCTCCCACCAAGTTTCGATTCCGGAGGTTTCTTACGACTCTAGCTGTACTCTTCTGTCTTCTAGGTCAGGTACATTGTTACCGAGTTCATCCAAGTTGGCCCAGTGAACATCAGGACCCTCCTGTGCTATTTCAAGTCTGTTTTCTTTTTCGTCTTCGCCCCAGAGTGGATAGTATCCACTTGGTGATAAGTCATCTATCATATGCGGACATCTCTTCCGCTTGTTCAATATAGTATGGCAATGGTTTCAAACGCCGCGATAATACACCATGTCACCTGAGATGAGCGTCCAGGTAGGTGAGGGCGTCTCGCGGCCTGTAGCCTTGGTATGACATCTGGTATAGGCAGGGGTAGCCATAAGCTGACTTGTCAGAACAAATGTCCCGATTGGTCGACCTGCGTGAACAAAATGCCAGATTCGTAGGGTATCGTTGAATATGGGCACTCAGTCATTTGTTCTGCCACTCGCAACCGAGCTCAGGACAATGAGGTTTACCGTTTGGGCAACGCTCCACCCCCAGAAACCATGGTCTTGGCAACCCGACGAGCCGAAACGGGCACAGATGCCGGCTCGTGCTTTGACGAGGGCTGACAGGGTGGTCGGTCGTGCCGCAGCCGTTCGACTATCACCTAGTCAAGGGCTCATGCTTGCATCGTTATTGTTTGACATATCACTTGGTTCTTTTCAAGAGACAGACCTCAACGTGCAACACGCACGCTGACTGGTCCGACATTAAGGTTTCGTTGCCATTGTTGGATAGCACCACCGATGCTATGATCTGCGTCGAGCCCCACTATGAAAGAAAGATGGTGGCCCCGAAGAGAAAAGAAGCTATACCATCACATCCATTTGCCATCTCGTGGCCTTGGGGTGAACCATTGCCAAGCACTAGTGGAGAACTCGGATACGGATATACACGAATAATTACAAGGCGAAGCACGACGCCACATGAAAAGCAAACGAACTTTTCGTCTGTTGTCAGTTCGGCGGCTTGTCAGTCATGCTTTATTACCGGGTTCGAGAGTATAGAAATGCCCGTGACTGCCACGATTCCCTGACCTGACCACACTCGTCAGAGTCCTGGACCGTGGCCAGAAAACCTGCCAGGCCTCCCACTTTGCAATCCAAACTCTTCTTTTCTTCAATGGAACAAAGAGTTGATAGACTCCCATGTTAGGATCCCCCAGAATTCTCTTGGGGCAATTTACATGGTTCTTCCATCAATCTTTCATCAATGTCTTACTAAACGAGCACAAGCGCGACCATGTCGACCAATATCTCTTCCTTTGCCCCGGCCAGCTGGCCTGAGCCCAATTACATTAATCCAGAGACGAGAGGTCCAGCGGCCAAAATCGTTGGCTGTATTCTGATTTCGCTCGCCAGCATTGTCATCTTTCTCCGAATGTGGACAAGACAATTCATTTCAAAGAGCTTCGGACTCGATGACATCCTGATAGTTTTTTCCTATGTAGGTATTCTTCCTTGCAAGGCAAAGATGGCGCTGACATAAAAGACAGGTTCCCGCCACAGTCTATGCCATCATCTCCTTGAGCAGTGAAGTCTTTCTCCAGGGAAACAGGCACATTTGGGATGTTGAACCTAGATTCTTTAGCCCATCTTTGCAAACCAGGTACGTGACTTTGACGTGATGTAAAAGTTTACGAACCTTTAAAGTACTGACTCAGCTCCAGCCTTGCCGAGCTGATTCTATTCGACCTGGCAACAAATGCAACAAAGCTCTCCATGCTTGCCACAATCAGTCGGTTCACCACGAGTTCCGTGAGCAAAAAGAAGAATACGGTCGTCCTGATTATGGCCACTGTCATAAGTCTCGATGCCTTTATATTCTTGGTCGTTGTTATTTTTCAATGCAGGTTCGTCCACAATGGTCATTGTTGTGGATTTTTTCTTATACTGACAGGTTTTGCAATTAGCCCCATCTATGCATATTGGACAATTGGCTTAAAGTCCAAAAAATGCATCAATGAAGCAGCGCATCTGCTTGCTGCCGGAATTATCAACACCTTGACAGAAATCATTGTTGTCTTTTTACCCATGAAAACAATTTTGAAGCTAGAACTTCCAAGAAAACAGCGAGCGATTGTGATTGGGCTGTTTGCCACCGGCTTTCTGGCCTGCGCTGCGGGAATCGCCAGAATTGTCTTTACCTGGTTGACCACGAGCGCTGCCGATCACGACACCGTATGGAATGCCTGGGTGTTGCGGCTTGCGAGCGGTATTGAACTCTATCTAGGAATCGTACGTCTATTGACCTGCTGTTCTACTACTATGGAGTGTGCCATGAACTGACCGTTGAATATCGCAGATTTGTGCTTCAATACCTGCAATCAAGCCCTTCTTCGCCACCTATCTTCCCAAGCTCATTGACGCCAACATTCGCACGTCGAAGACATCGCTCTACCTGAACGAGCCCAAGCTTCCCACCATGACAAAGAGCAACTTTTCCGACTCCCGCGCAAGGTCACAGACGAGCGTACACGTTCTCTTCTCGCCCAGCCACCCACTGCTGCTGCCCGTCCCCGAGCCCGCGCGGCCCGCCCAGCAGCGCCGCTTATCTCTGAGCAGCAGCCGAGCCGCCGCCGCCGCCACCGCTGCCCCGACCAACCCCCTCTCCCTCTCCCCCGTCGTGAGCCACAAGAAATCGTTGAGCGCGGACCTCAACAAGCCGCTGCCGACAATCGCCAGACACGCCTCGGCCTCTTCCCAGGTCCAACAATTCCAACCACAACTACCACCACCACCACCACCACAACAACAACAACAACCATTCCCCATGGGGCCGTTGCCTCCTCCTCAGCGCTCCTTCTTTGACGACAATGATCACGAAGACGGAGATGAGGAGGCAGGTCTGGGCCTCAGGAGGCAATTCTCCACGCAGAGAAACGCGCGGAGGTTCTCTAACTCGTCGTCGGTCACGTCGACAGAGTCTAGTAATGATGATGACAAGGTGGACCGCACGACAGTCTTCATCATGTATCAAGGGGAAAATGAAGTTTCCGGTCGAAGCTTCTTTTAGAAAGAATTCCTCTCCAGTTCTCATGGGGCAATGATCGAGACATTTTCTTTTTGCTTGATGTGGTATTGGCGACGCTCTTTTCTTCAACATATTTTGCCAGCCCGTGTGTAATGATCAATCGTGGGTTACAGGGCAAACATACATAGACGGCCACTACGTACAACTCATCAACCAGGATCATTCTTGGCGCTCGGCGTTTCTTTGCTTCTTGTTCTTCTTCTTCGAGATACCATTCCTTCCTTTATTATTCTGGATTCATATCAAAAGCAGTTCAAAGATCCGGCTTGGGGCAAACGGGACAGGTCAAGTCGCGAGAGCGTTACATTTGGCTGGGATTAGAGCAATAGGACATATACATCTTAGTCAAAGTAATGAAGCATGTCAATCGAGAGAGTATTTTGGGACAGTGAAGATTTAAACACACGAATTTCAAATTGCTAACAATCTCTAGGGGTCGTAAAGACCAAACAGGTATCAAAGTTCTGATGAGCCTTGCGCTCTACATTCTGTGCGAGGACTTGGCCTCTTGTCGGTATCATTTTCAAATTCAAAAACAAAAACAAATCCAAAGTCCAATCACAGACAGGTATCTCTCAACGCTTCCAAAACTCCCAATCAAAAATGAAGAAGCAGTCGCAGCTGCGGCGTGCTCATTCCGGGTGCTAATGGTATCCTGAAAATGGATAGATCCTGGATAGCTCAACCGTGTAATGACAAGGAGAAGACCCCGATGGGGTCTTCCAAATGTCACGGAATGTGCTAGGACTATTCGTATCCTTTTGGGTCCATTATGGTGAAGAAAAAGTCTCAGCCTCAAGGTTCATTCATGGACTGTAGTCCATGTGGGCCCGAGAGCTGGGTAAGGTGCATGCAATGGTTTCCAGAGAAACCGGCTTGCCGTTTGTAATGCACTTGCAACGACTAGATGCGATCCGAGATGTCGTGTTTGCCATGTTGTCGGGCCTCATTCAGCCGCTGTGGTGGGTGTAGGAGCGTCGGTGAGGGTCCCGGGACTTCTTGAGTCTCCTGGAGATCTTGTCCATGGCAGCAAAGTGCTCTTGAGCCTCGCCGGATTGCTCCAGGACCTCAAAGGCAACAGGGTTGTCAAAGCGCTGGAGGTAGGTCTGGATGGCATTGCGGTGGGACCACCACTGCTCAATGAGAGGGGCTTCTGCTCTAGCAGCAGCGGCCGCAGCCTCTTCCGCAGCGGAAGGCTTGGAAGTGGGCTTGCGGCCGGCCGAGGTCTCAGAGTCCTTGCTCTTGCGCTTGCGGCCCTTGGCCGAAGCAGACTGAGATCCGCGGCTGGAGTGTGGTGCTGCCGACATGTTCAGGGAGGAGCCATTGTCGTTGTGAACACGTCTCATGTGGTCCCTGAGGTTCCAGTTGCGTGGGAAACCGCAGCCGGGAACGGCGCGGTCGCAACCCTCATAGCTGCAGAGGTAGGGCTTGTCGCCGTGACCGTGCATGGCGTGGGCCTCGCGCTCGTGTCGGAGCAGGCAGGCGGTTGAAGAGAATCTGGCATTCTCGCAGGATTCAACCTTGCAGCGGTAAGGCTTCAGGTGGGAGTCGACAAATTTGCTTCACAATGTTAGACTGTTTTCGGGGAGGCGAGGAGCTCATAGATTTTTGACATACTCATAGTTGCACTTGAGCTTCTCAGGCTTGTGGTTGCAAGAGTCACGTCCCTCCCATGGGCAGTGGAAAAGACCATCAGCTTGGGGCAGTGCGTTCTTGTAGAGGGGGTGGTCCCGTGCAGTGGACTCGCCGTCATTGCTGGAGCGGCGGTTAAAGCCAGAGCCCATGACTGCGTTCTCCAGAAGTTCGTTTCCGTAGAAGTCATCGGCGGCATTGAGACCATTTCCAGGGTGGTGGCTCAGACTATAAACTTGTCAGTCTAGGGAGACGCATTGTGCTGCCGAAATCAGGGGGGACCTACGTAGGAGACTGGGCAATAGCGTGGGAGGTGGTGCTGCCTTGGGAAGAGGACCCAATTGGTACGTGGCTCCATGCAGCCTCGGTAATAGCAGGGCTGGAAGTCCGGGAGCCGCCAATGGGGCTGAATGAATCACTCCACGAGGCAGTAGGAGAGTTACCTGTGAGGCTTGGGTTGTAATCCAAGCGCATCTGGGTCGGGTCCATGTGCTGCTGACCCATGTTTGTGGGAAGCATATCCGTAGCGTAGGAAAGTCCATTCACCATGCCAACACCCATGGGCAGGGTAGGGTAGAACATGGGCTGCGAAGAAACCGAGTGGGCATCGGAATCGTGCAAAAGGAAGTCTGCCTGAGCGTTACCTGTAATGTCAAAGCTTGACATTTGTGATCCCTGTGAAACAGAGGATAGAATTCTTGGGCGGCTCTTCAGCGAAGAGGCCTTGATGGTTCTGTTCTTGTGGCTGCTGCCATTTGAACTCTGGGAAGTCATCCGTCGCATGGGCTCTGCGATCATGGCTGGGGCATCCTCTGCGGACATCCATTTTCCGGAAAAGTCATCCTCTGTGGGGTCCTGTCCCATGGCTCTGGGAGTAATGTGGCCAAAAGAAAAAGGAAACTCAGATTCTCCATGGAAGTTCTGTGTGCCTTCTGCAGTAGCATCCCATAACGAACCGGTCAGGTCCGTAGGTACTGTTTGGGTATAGAAAGGTCCTGCGGATGTGTTCATCATGTTGTGAGAGTATGTGCTGTATTCACTGGGTTGGTTAGTGTTCTGTTACCCACTGCCTCTAGCCGAGGACTGTAATAATAGTTTCTCCAAATGCAAAAAAAAAAAAAACGACAAAATGGAACTAGCATTGGCACAACTTTGCTCCTGTGGTATTGATTAGTCTTTGCTTCAAGGATATGAGGGGCCTCCATGCACAAACCAAGCTTTGACTGGTCAGGTTCATGATCCAGTTTGATGAGGTGTCCATGGATGTCCAGGTGTTCGGTCCAATGATTGAATGCCAAGTTGGTATCCGGATCAAACAATTAAGGAAAGAAAACAAGCAACAGAAAAGTGGCTCCAATGAAAGGTCCTTTGGTCCTGTGGTCCCAAGTATAGCGTTCTTGATGCTGAGAGTTCTCTAATGCACAAAAAGAGAACATGTTAGTGGCCAAACATGGTACACAGCTGCGTGCAAGAATACGAATCGCTACAGTCGATTCTTGTGGCTAATACGTACAATTAAAATTGCGCGTTAATCGCTTAACTCATGACAAGTATAGCATGCGCTTCCAGGAAAAGAAAAGAGGTCCGGGCTGAGTCCATCAAGGGGATGTAACCAGTTGAGGTAAAAAATGAGAGCGAAATGCGAGAAAATGCGAGCCTTGGAGATATGTTGAAAAAGTCCGTGGAAATGAAATATTGAGCCGTACGTCCCTTGGGTAGTGATTGGTCCAGTGAAATCTATTTGCTACGTGGCGACGAACAAAGCAAAAGGGAAATCCGGAGAAACTGAAACTAGGTGCGAAAGAAATCCTAACAGAGCAAGACGGGCGTCTTCCGATATATCCTGAAGTCCTGGAAAGTGTCGGAAGGGGTCCATTGTAGTTGTCCTTGGGTTTGATGAATCCATGATATGAAACGAAGGAAAAGTGTCCATTTTATCCTGGGTTTGTCGTTTTACAAGTATCCTTTGGTTCGAATGTCCAATTGGGTCGTACTGTCCATGAAGAGAATCTGTAATCACGTTTCTGTACTTTGCGGGCGATACTCACCATCTGCTCGTCAGAACAGATGAGACAAGAGTCTCAAAGAATTTCTGGTTTTGTTGATCCAACTGAGGACAGGCTAGTCAACTCAGGCGTAGTAATCCGGGTGAGATGATCCTGAGCGGTAGTCCATGGTAATCCTGAATTCCTGAAATACGGATGTCCTCGAGTAATGTCCTGGAAAAATCCTGGTAGGTTTGTCCTCATAAACAGAGGCCGAGCACTTGCCGGCCGAAACAGAAACATATTGACAAAAGAAATGTACATGATTGAGCGAACAGCATGAATTGATTTGAAAAGCAACGCAAGCGAACCTCCGGTGATGAATGGAAAACTAATGTAATATACCTCGCGGGAGTGTGGACGTTGTCCATGTCTAGAGAAGAGTTGTAGCTTGGAGCCACTGAAGCACTCATGATTCCTGGCAGCTATGGACACAGCTGTGGGAGCCTGTCCTCTTGATTGTAGTCCTTTGGGGATGGAAGATAGTCCTTGTGGAATACTCTGCTACAAGACGATATTCTGTCTCGTGTGAAGAGGAGATCCTTGGGGGCAACTTTGTTGTGGTGGTTGGCGGTGTTGTTGGTTTTGCTCTGTTGTGTGATCGACAGCAGAGATAATCCTTGGGATAAATGGGTTGCAGAAAGACCAAGGCGGCAGTTCAGGGCTTGATGCTTTAAGAGATAAAGTGGCAATATGTGGGAAAGGGCGGAAGACGATTCGAGGGAACTGGGTCGTTGGGCATGAATGATCTGTTGGGTTGGGAGAAAAAAGAGGAAGAAGGGGGCATTGGGCTGAGTGCTGGGGACTGGGCGGGTTTTATCGTGATGGATGAGAAGGGAAAGCGGGAAAAGGACAGGGACCTTTGGTAGCTGGACAAGCTGGAAGCGATCGCCAGGGGCCCGTTCTGGTAGGCGCTAGCACCACTACCTCAGCACACCCATGGCTAAACCCCCCCGCTTTCGCTGCTCTGGGACGAGGCCATTCGCTGGCCGTGGTCCATCTGCAGCCCGCTAACTGCCAACTTCTTCCATTGCTTCTTCCCTTTCAGCATGGGTGCCCGCTGCCGTGCTTCCAAAGCGCTTCCCACCACCCCCGTAACCGCGGCCGTCACATTGGTCGCAGCCTGTAGCAGACACTGCGCTGGCCCTCTGCTTCTGCACGTGCGATAGGCTGCGAGTCAAGCCGCCTGCTGCCATTGGAGTGCGACCTGGTCTATGGGAGGGTCCTCGCGGCCGAGAGGTGGAGAGCCAGCAACGACGAGAGCCTATCAACCTCACCAAGAGGCATAATTCCGCAATGTGATCACAAAAGAGTGATTGAGGGATTATGGCTGCAGCGGCCAACGCAGCACTGCAGCACCAGCTCAGAAGGTGAAGCATATGACGACGCCTAGCACACCTTCCTGAACCTCTCGCGACTCTAATCACCGACTTCCCAGGTCTCCCCCGCAGTGCCCGCTGCTTCCGTGGTGCGCGAGAGCCGCCAGGAAAGTGTCACTTCTTGCCAATTTCGTCCAATTGATGAGCTTGGGACAAAGCTCAGAGCTCTACGTGGACTGTGAGCACTTGAGACTCGTTCTTGGCTTCGCCGAGCGACAGCCTCGTTCAGATGAAACCGGCTTACCGAGTGGGGATATGACCGACCTCTCGCGAGATGAGGATTGTCGGTCAGCATGGATTGCACACCTTTTCCGACCTACACCAACCTCTTGGTGCATTAATTTTTCTCACCTAGCACCCAGAGCCCTGTCGGTGAGCTGCGAATTACTGCCAACTTGAGCCAACATTCGCACAAGCCGATGGCTAGAAATGATCATAATCCCTTCAAAATTGCTCGGAATTTTTCACCGTCAATCCTCATAAACACATCTTGGAGTCATGCTTTTCACTAGATTGCAAAGCATCACCTCTATTGGGAATGAATTTCACCGCTGCTCCGACTCATCATCATCACCCGTATGGAGCTCCCGGTGATTATTCGAGACCAGCTAACCAGGTGTCCTTGCCGGCTGAAATACGAAAATTCCATACCCAAATGATCAATCATTTGTCCAACTGACTGCCTGACCGGGATAACAGGCCAAGAAACAGCCAAGCTGATGAAGGGGGTGGTCCATTTGTGTGGTCTATTGGATACACTTGTGAAAGTCCTACATGCAGGTAATATACACAACGTTATTGTATTGTTGGAGCAATGTGCATTACAGCATCCTTTACAATGTGCATATGCTCCCCATATTGGCCCGGGTAAACATGGTCCCTCCTCAGACCGGTCACATCTGCCAAGTGTTCCGCATGCGATAACACACATCGATTCAAAGTTTCTCCGGCTCAGCTTGATTCATCACCACAATGAGCAGAGCAGAAGAGGATGATATTTGGGCAAGTCCGGCAACAATTTTCTTGAGTTGGCAGGTATAACGATGTCGCAACAACGCAACGACAACAACCCCCCCCCCCCCCTCGTTGACTACTTGGGTGTCGACCACCACTATCTACCGTGTGCCAGTCCGTAGACTCGAGAGCTCTTTCAACTCCCGGCCGACGAGGCTATCGATCCTGTCGAATATGCACATGCAGGCATTCGTTGTCTGCCAGTTTTACGCCCTGCTTCAAAGCGTGGTCGTGCATATTTACCAGCACAATCTGCATTGCTGCCAAACGGTGTGAACAGCACTTGATGGACAAGAGGCTCGGCTCTTGGGAGCGAAAGACTTTACACCAGCTTACTTGATTGTGTGAGGCTATCCATATCAGCCACTGGGGAACCCAGGACCGATTACTACTACTTTTGGGCGATGGCCACCATCAGCCCAAACGGCTTCTTCCCATAGCCCCTTGATCTCGTCTTCTCCGTCAAAATCGTCCTCCCAGGCAAAGAGTCTCATGGTAGTTTTCGCCGCTTCCCAGCTCTTGATCCTGAGCACCTGACTCGCGAGGTTGATCTTATCCATGTATGCATCTCGCATCGCCCTCATCTGCACTTCTTCCGTCGCAGACGTGATTTTGGCGGCCACGGTCGCGCACGCCCCAAACATGACGGTCCAGAACCACAGAGTCTGGCTGTACTGCCCCTTTTGCATACAGGGCTGTGTTCGGCACACGTCGGCAAGCAGCTGCTCGAGAAACCAATTGAGCACAAACGAATCTACGCGCTCATCTTGAAGTATGATGTACAGGTAAAAGTAGCACGAGAGAAAGTCACTCCTGCTCTTGTCCACCGACTGCATGGGACAGCTAGAGTGGCTGTCCAGTGCTGCCCTGGGGTCGTGATCAACGTTTCCCAATGCTTGCAGCGGATCGTCTAGCATGCTCAGGGCGAACAAGTCGTGCCTCGGGCTCATTGGGCGTATCGCCGTGCTCAAAAGGGATATGACTACGGATTGGTGGATGTCGTCGGTTTGCATAATGTCTAGTATGTTGAAGGGCGGCCGTGACTTGAGCCGACGCGTTGCCCTGCAGTCCAAGTCAGAGCCAGTCAAGTTGGTTTTTTGCCTCCCGCGTCAGAACACAATCACATACATGAGAATGACTCGTTGAAATAGCCCAAGAGGTCTTGGGGTACCATCCTTTCTTTGAAGTTGTTTGATCCTAATCAGCCCGCGCAAGTGGAATGCGACGGCATCCGCAGAGCCTAGACAGTTCTTTTTTGACAAAGTCAGCTTGCTTCTGCGGGAATGGCCACGAGAGAGGCTCACCTCGACCAAAGCAAGGCTTGCGATAGCGGCAATGACACCATCTTCTACGCCGGGCTCGGACTTGGCTAGCTGGTCATTCACGAATCGGATGGCCTGGAGCTTGTGGTACAAATATGATACTTGGATTTGCTCAGAAATGCCCGTCGACCATGTCCATTGCAACGAGGTCATGAGCAAGGCTGCGTGGAGGAAGCCTGGATGCGAAAGGGCACGTTGAACACTGATATCATGTCAGTCGAAAAATATCTCGAAGCATGATAGGCTTCTTTGGTAGGCTACTTGCATAAACGAGTTCTTGTCTCGTGCTACAGACGTTGAATGTAAAATCCTAGTGCTAAGAACTGTTGTGTTTTTTAGTAGCTATCACTATGTACGCTTGATCATAGTGCTGATGTCAGATACTCACATAATTGAAACAATGGCCTTGACTTGTACGGCACCTCAATGGGGAGACCCTCGAAGGGATCTCTCGGTGTAGCGTCCAATAGACTCCATGACGCTGTCGACGATGCATCGTCATTCTGAAGCTCTTCAGAGCTGGCTTCTCTGCTGGCGACAAACATGACAGATCCCGGTGCGTCTGAGAAGACGCACTCACCGCCATGACGGAGACAATATGTGCTAAAGTACTCAGATCATGTTAAAAATCCAGGACTACCTGAAAGGATGCGGATAATCCTGCAAGGAGGGAAAAACAACCCCAGAGAGCTTGCGCCGTAAAGACGCAGCTGCACGTATATACACATGTGAAGACAGGATACTCTATGCGCACTTACCATATGGGTCGTCTCTCATCGCATCTAATGTGTTTTCTTTTGCAAAGAGTACAACCTAAAAGTTCGCAGCGCGCGGCATTCGCAAGGCATCCGTTTTCGTCTCTGAGGCGGCCCAGTGGCCGGGCTACAAGACCGAAAACGAAGCGCCTCACGATACGCGCGGCCCCGAAATCAGCACATGTCGTCAAATCATTCAATCATGTGGGGAAACCGCCGAATATGTTTTGGGGGCTCGAGAAAGAATGCCTAGTCGGGCAAAGAGAGAGAGGGAAAGAGGAGAGACTCACCATTCCTAGATCTGCGATGGAATTTTCGTTGCCTCTGTCGAGCTGCTGTCCCCGGCTCCGTCATTATGAGGTTGCCTGGCATGAGTGGTTGTACGTGATAGTGGACGATGGCCATGTATCTGATGAGTCCTCGTGATCTTGCAGAAAATCGTCTACTCGGTAGTAGTATGCGTTCGTTTGCAGACGTTGCTGCATCTTCTCGCAAAGATGTACCACGATTTAGGTTATATTTCTGCCTATCTCTTTATTTTTCAAGGCAGACGTATTTCAATTTTTGTTTTTTCTGTCAACGGCCAAGCATGTATCGTGTAGCCGCCAGCCCACGGGAACGGAGGGGTGGTCTCTCGTTTAACCCCCTCCCCCCTTGCCCGTTCGCATTCTGACCCTCTCTTTTCGCGACAACGGCTTTTTTCTCTCTTTGAAGGAACAGTGAGATCATTCGGGACCGATGATTGGAAGAATCCTCCCTACTGGAGTCGGGACGGCCCCCAAGGATTCTCTGTAGGGCATTTTATGGCTGACTGCGCAGGGATAATGAGCCAGTCCCCCCTGACCGAGCAGTACTGAACAGGGCGTAGCTTCTCAATCCTTCCACATTCCCAAGCGACCACTTGAAGTCACTTCGCAGGTGTTATTAAAAGCAAAATGTAACATAAAGCCTCCCCAGGTAGACTTGACGGTACACCAAAGCGAAAAAGAAATAACAAAAATATGTGCGATCATTCCATGTTGTAGCGGGTATGAATGTGCCTTCTACATACCTTGTGATGATTGTCGGGGCCTTTGAATAGCATGTCGGAACATCTAACGATATATTCATTGTCTTTATATCTTTCAATACGGTGACAGGGACATCGACCCAAAGGCCATGGGATTGTGGCGCTTTGACCGTTGGAGATTTGGCTGGTTCCTGGCATGGCTCCAGCCCTATGAAATCAATAAAGAAGTATGGATGTTGCATCATTTCAAGATGCATTGCATCTGCAAGATAGATTCGCCCAATTTCTTCAGTCATTGTGCTTTTTTCTGACATTGAGTATCATGGAAATGCTATAGATAGCCTGTCACACATTCCACTACAACTTCTGTCAACTATGGTGTTACACCGCGGCAGGAGTCGTACGACAACCGTCGGTCCCGAGCCGAGCACCTCAGACTTTCCGCTCCGCTACACAGGATTCGAAAATCTAAATAAGACTGCGAGGAACCCGTAATGACGCATGAGCCAGTCGCTTCGTTTTCCTCTAATTCGTCTTGTCATTCCAAAAATGAACGGGCTGTTCAGAAGATCTGGTTTCGTCTGAACAATAAGTGATGAAGAGCAGCTCAGCCTGCTGACTGTCACTTGGCAAAGAGCAAGCACGTGGCTGAATAAGGCAGAGCAACTCCACAGATCATGCATGTGATCTCTCTCATCTACAAAACACATCCATGAAAGTGGATCGAACACCCGATCTGTCGTTCTATTTGAGGACAAAGGCCCTTGTGTGTAGGTATGGTGCTCAAGGGCGTAGACCAGCGAGCGATTCTGGTAGGCTCGCGGCAATCTGATGACTTTATATGGTTGCCTGTTGGTCATCTACTGTGTAGTATTGGAGATCAAGGCCATACTTGGGACTCTTGGTGGTCTGTTTTGTAGTTGGGTCCCTCCCACATTTATCGCGTGTGCAGTGTACCAAAAGTTATTATTAGCAGCTTCCCCCAGGCGAGCACTGTCGCCAAAAAGCTGCCCGAGCCCGAGCCGCCCGTGCGTCCTGACACTATATATCTGGGGTCACTGTGTGCAACTTCTATTGTGTCTGAAAATGCTCCATAATGACAACGCTCGAGGTTCATTGCATAAAATTTTCGTCTCTTCAGGCTGCCTGGTAGTAGGATCCTCTTTACATTTCATTCTGCCACGGGATATGTTTATTTCTAGAGCCGCGCGAAGCCCCCCCAACAGTAATTAATGGCCAGTCGTTATTGACACTTTTCTGCTGTCCATGTGGCCACTAATTACTTGGGCGGAGGGGCGCTACTTACTGCCTGGTGGAGGGCGGCGGACCAGCTGGCGAAGCGATGATCAGGCTCATGATGGCTATTGTAATATCATATCATAGTGATCCATCTCCTCGCGACAATGGTTAGATAGGTAGATACCTACTGCTATACCCAAATCCTGTAGCAACTGCCCAAAGAAAAGAAAGTCCTCGCTATTACTCCCAGGGTAGTTCCCTGAAGAACAAACAAAAAAAAAAGTCCGCCCGTTTATAATGTAATAAAAAAACTAATGCCGCGTTGTCGCAATGGTGGTTGGGCTCCTGTCAAAAAAACCCCCCATTTCGGAGCCCAATTGATGCCCTATGCTCGATTCGGGAAAGGATGATCCCGCGTGTTGGTGTTTGGGGGGTAACGTCTTTCGTTCTTCGCCCGTCCTGGCAACGCTCTGCTATCCAGCTTGAGTTGCAACGCCTCCCAGGGTGTTCCCAGTCCGAAATGCTAAAGCAATTGAGTTTCTTGGTCTTGCTTGCCTTTGCTTGCCTCTCGCTGCCTGCGGGAAATCAGCTTACCCTTTACAGGGCAGATCCTCGCCCGTTGGGAAGCAAGCAAGCAAGTCAGAAAGAAAAAAACAAACCGAGCGGGAAATTCTGGAAGCTCGGGTCACGAACCAACCTCTTGATGTAGGTGACGCTGCTATCTATCAAAGGGCGGCCCTGAGTACCCCGGACATGACTTACATACGGGGCGCTTAAGACGTATCTGCTTCAAGAAAAGGTCAATCTACCCGAGAGTGCCCCAGCTCCTTGATACTGACCAAGTGGCGAAATCTCAATTATGGTCTCGAGCCACTAGGTTAACTAGGTAGGGGCCGTACTTATACTGATGGACCATAAAAAAACCACACCCGCCTCGCCCAGCAGAACCAGTGAGTTCGTTCCCAACCTCATAAGCCAGGACGCCAGTACGCAACGAAGGAAAGTCAGCCAGAGTTGCTAATCAGAGTACCGTTTGCCCATGGGGGTACTTTGACATCTTCAACCACTCGGACTTCCAGATTCTTCATCTTCAATCCACCAAGGACCGGACTCTCGGAAATCACTTGGGACCAGAAAATTATAGGGCCCCAATAGTTCCTTCCAGTCATTCGGAAGCGTTGAGCACACCGCTCCACGGACAAACAAGTATATCCCCGTTTGAGCTTCACATTCCGTTCGGTATCCCCTAGGTTCTCCCGGAAGAAAAAAAAGATCTGGATCTCTCTGCTCAAGGACAAGCCCCAAAGGAGCCCCAAATCTGCCACAACAGGGAAGGCTGACGCTTCGAGGAGCCCCCCGAAGCTTTCTTATACTGTCGTTGTGTCCCCTCGATATAGTCTTCGAGGTTGCTCTTTTCTTTCCCCTTTCGGACGTTTTGCGCCCCCCGAGAAATGGCCCAGCAGGACGTACTTTATAGAACCACTGCAATGTCATCCGGACCCGGACCCTGGAACTCATCCCGCAGGTGCGATTTCATACCTAACCTACATACCTACCTCCCCATTCGGACTCCCGTCGTCCAAATATCCATGACCGAAAGAAAGAAAGAAAAAACCAGGCTGACTTTGTTCCTCGAATAAAAAGTGTCGCTTATAGCGATCCATACAACGGTAACACTTTTGATAATAGTTACCCTAGGCCAAGGTAAGGAAAAATCATACCGATAGAACCTCCCTCCGATGCGGACGATCCCCAATAACCAGATCCGAAAATAAAGCGTTCCATACACGACGAGTGGACCGGGACCCTCGTATAGTATCCCAGTCAGTGCGTCATTCTTCGACACCGCGAGCGGCCGACCCGAGTCTGCCATCTTCTCCTCATCCCCGGTCCACACCTCCCGGCCGCTGTCCGGAGTGTATACCACCACTGCCGGTCCTGCGTCGAGCAGCTCTTCCCACATTTGGGACGCCCGGGCGGGCTACTCTCCCACGGACTCTGTGGACGACATCATCACCTCTCCCGGCCCGTCCGACTATGGATTCGAGAATGGAGCTGCCGGCCTGTCTCTGTCCAGTAATGGAAAGCCCTCTTCGTCCTCCAGGAGCGGTACTACCACGGGAAAAAGTGTCTCTGGCCGCCCCCAGCGGCGCCCGTCGAACCGGGACGAGTTTGACGGTCCCCATCAGTTTCTGCAGCGGCCGCCGCCGAGCTACATTGCCATGCAGGAGCGTGACCTGCCGCACCTGCCGACCAACCTGCTCGTGCAGGAACAGGACAGTGTCCTAAATCAAGTGAATGACCGGCTGTCGCAGTGCGCCTATGACTTTGTCGCAAAATACCAATTTCCTATCCCTCTCACTCAGGACATGAGGCCCGTCGAGCGCCCGCAGGATCGGGAATGGACCGAATGGGTTTACTTACTCAAGCGGCTAGCAACCAAGAGGAGAATTCCCGTAAGCTTTTTTCCCTTTATCCCCGAGGCCTTCTGGTTGGTGACTGGAGAATACGTGCCTTTTGCACCGATGACCTTTCGTGTGGTTGTTACCATGACTGACTTGATGTATCTACAGGCCAGGGTTTTGTACAATGGACAAATTAAGCAATTTGTCACCATCTTGGAAAACTCGTTGGGTAAGTGACTCTCCAAGATGAAGAAAAAGAAACAAGAAAGAGGAAGAAAAGCTCAGTGGTCGTGACATCTTGACTGACCATTTTCAATAGAGATGCGCCACGCCGCAAAGCATCAATCAAGACCACTCAAGGATGACAGAAACATCCTTCAACTAATCAGCGCTGGTATCCAGGTGGCCAAAATCTTGAAAGATGCCGCCGCCATGGACTACCTGGACAGGTTATATATTTCAACAGATCAACAGATTAAGGAAAGAAGCGCTGCAGCCGCAGCTCGTTTCCGTTAAAACAGGGAAAAAGAAAAAAGTGACGGAGAAAAAAAAAGACCTCAATTTTTTTTTCATTGGAAGGAACAGGACAAACAAACTTAACGACTTATGATACCTTGGTGGCAGCGATATCTCTTGGAAAACTCTTCCTCCTCATTTCAGAAAACCAGTGTTGGGCAGTAATCTGGGAGACCCGAGGCCCTGCCGTTGTGTGAGCCATTGGCGAGAGGGTATGTATGATGAGAGGTGTACGCCGTCGGAACGAATAATCATGAATTTCTTTTTTCTTTTTCTCATACATTTAGTGACGGTTTGACTTGAATTGAGGTTCGCGGAGGTCTTTTTTTCCTTTCACTCTCATCAAGAAGGGGAGCGCCTTGAGAGTTTCGAGGGAAGAAGTGTATGCGTTTCAGATCAGTTGTGGCAAATTGGCCTGTACTTTTATGTCGTCATTTTGGATTTCCCCCTACATTTGAATCGTTTTGCTTACATACTGCCACATTCCGTGACTCATTGTCTGCCGTGGACAATGGTCATGGTATGGGTGTGGTTGGGTTTTTGGGCACCAGCGACGTGTACTATGGTGATTAGGCATGATTTTGGAGGGTGCAGTAGTCTATTGTTTGACGGCTGTGAGTGAGTGCATGGGACGTGTACAATAGAATGGACGTATGTATGTTCTTGTTCAATTAATCATTCACTCGATCAAATGCCAATGGGTTCAAGCTTTGCATGTTTCTTCTGTACCCAAAACCACCTCTGGTGTACCTGGTTGCCTACAAGTGGTAGAACGTCGAAAGGTACGGTTCTAGTGCTAAGGAGGGGTGATCTAGTAACCAGAACTTCCTTGGCAGCGGGAGCTTTAACTCTTCTTCTGTCTACAAGGCATCATCGATCCCACACTTGTTTGTTTCTGCACGGTTTTCTACCTCCGATCACAGTAAGTATCTTGGAGGGCCAATAAATGGCGTCTCACTTTGAAATCATTCGCTCAGTATGGGAGCTTCCACAGCCCCCCAGGCTCTCTCTGCTTTACATGCACAAAATGATTCTCCATCCTCATCAGTGAAGATACCATTTTTTCAAATCATCCACAATGATGGGACCAGAATCTGGTTTAAAAATCTCTCAAGAAGTAACGCATCCTCGGCGTCGCTGTCCACGATCCTGTCTGGTACTTCCTAACAGGTAAGTATATAGGTGCGCTTAGCGCGGGAAATCTATATGGACGGCACTGCACTGTCTGATTACTCAATAGGTGCCACCCGATGAGCGCTTCGCATCGTGAGACCAAAGCGGGCCAGCTCGATTGGTGGGCTGCGGTATATACTTATCGGAAGCTATGGGGATGTTCTTCGGGTGTTGCATCCGTCCAGGTTTACCCACAGTGTGTAGCGGCGTGCAGGTCGGTCAGTACGAGTTATGGGGGCCAGAGATACCATGCACGCAGCTGGTCAGCATAGGACGTTTTCATTGGTCTCTACCGGCCAATGTGTACGGCGAGGCTGTGGAAGGCAGCAGAACGCCATGCTCTAGTGTTCCCCCGCGTCAGATTCGAGTTTGTTCTGTTCTTAAACTCTTTCTCCCCATGAGGCTTTTACTTGATTTTGGTTTCAAACTTTCTATTGCTGCTCTAGCTCGGTCTCGAAAGTCCTCAAGATCGTAGCTTTCTATCCATCTCTTTATTCACCACTAAGCAACGAGGTATCTACAAAGCCTCATGATGGAGAACGAGGCCAATGTTGCATTCAATCAGTACACCAACCACTTGGCGGAAGCATCAAAACATCGTCGGCTTGCACAATGGGAAGACGCCTTTCGAGAGCTTAAATCTGCCGAGAATTTCGTCGACCAATGGAGGCAGAGGGTTCTCTACGAACTGGGCGCAGTCGAACGGCGTCTGGGCCGAGTCAAGAACGCGACAAGTTACCTCGAACAAGCCCTGGCTATTACCAGGGTGGACGAGCTGCAGCGCATTCACATTCTCGGCGAGTTGGCCATTGTGTACCAACATGCACAGCCGGTGGAAGCCTCCAAGGCCCTGAACGCTGCCAAGGACCAGTACGAGGACGCCAAAGATCTTGCCAAGGTGGAGTGGCAGAGCTATCATGATCACGGTCTGCTGAAGCATAAGCACCGAGCACTGCAAGCAGATGCCCAAGCTTGCCGTGCCATTGGCAATGTTGGGTTGATCAACTACCTCCGATCACTGGATGATGGCAACACGGATTTACTGCACGAGTCCATACTCCAGGTCGAGGAGCGCGTGCAAAGAGCCCAGACCCTACAGGCAGTATTACGACAGGACCCGAGCACCGAGGATTCAGATTATGACTTTCATGCATCGCTAATACAGCAGGCACATACTTGGGAATCTATTGGTTACGATCGTCTGACACTTGCTCGCGTGACGAATAACGAGCTGGAGGAAGCTTTGAGATGCGGCGAGAAATCGCAGGCCTTGACGCAGCACTCTCATGATTCCACCGTCCGGGGCCTATCGCGCTTCTTCTACGGCTATGCACTCCTCAAGAATCGAAAGATGGACCTGGCTAAAAAGTGTCTGGGATTTCGAGATGATCACCTGGATACTTGCACAAGCATTGTTGCCTTGTGCAGGGAACCTCTCGAGCATTACCCAAAGTATCTGGAAGAGATTACGATTAAAGAATTAGGTTTGAACATGGAACAGTACGATGAACATGGTTACAATGCTCTCGATTATACCGTTTTTCAAGAATCCGCCGAGATGAAGCGGGTTGTGCTTCAAAGACTCCGGGAAGGCAACTACAATGAGGCGGAAAAGGACGAGTCAAGGCGTGCTGAAACAATCAAGAGGCTGGAAGAAGAGTCTGTCCTCAAGAAGCACTATCGAGAGGTTTTCCAAGAATGTTTAAGACCAAATCTGATGAAGGGTGGCAGAGACGTGGTGCAAAAAGTCCGCGATAGCTACGCCGATATACTAAAGAATGACGAGGCCAAAATGGCCAGTTTTGATCAGCTGCGGGTGGTGCCCTACTCGGACTTTATCGCCCATGGACGACTTCCGCTCTTCACTGACGGAATCACACGGGAATACTCGAGTATCCGCGCCGCTAAAAGTGAGAAGACCACCAAGGATTGTGTCGTCTTCTTTTCTTACAGATGGAGACTGCCCCTTGAAAGTCGTCCGGATGACGCTGTCGAGACACGGTACGGAGAGGGCACCCAGTATGGCAGAATGTGTAATTCTCTCGAGTCGCTGCTCGAGATATCCAACAGAGACTGCTGGGATGGTAGTGGTGGCCTTGATGGCAGAAATCTATACATATGGTTGGTGAGTACAAGCCCTGCTTGCATTTATTTTCTGTCGAGCACTTCTAATTTCGACGGCCACATTATTAGGACTGTGCTTGCATCAACCAAGAAAATGCAGATCCGGGCATTAAAGCACTTCCCATCATTACGACCCAATGCGACGTGATGATTACCCTCAACGAACCGGGTTTCTTCGAGAGAGGTTGGTGTGCCGTTGAAGCAGCTCTCGAACAAACCATCAAACAGTCATTCGGGGTGCACAAGTGGTATGAGCATAACTTTGCTGAGAATCGTTTGCAAGAGTTTAGTCGACCGATTGTCGAGGATATTTCCCGGTTGCACGTCACGCGTGCAGAGGACAGACCCGCGATAGAATTTCTTTTCCGGCAGAGAAAGTTCCTAGGTAATGGAGCAAAGTAAAGATTTGTGCCATTTGAACTACATACAAATTTCATGGTAGCGAGATTTATTGACCCGAGCGGCTGTTCCGCTGTACTTTAAGATACCATATGATGTGCGTCAGAGTTGAAAAATGTCCTCTTGTTTTGTTCTCATACTTTCTACATTGTTCATGATGATCATATGATATCCCGTACGGACGTGATAAATCTTTAGCAGCGTCATGGAGGGGGCAATAGGGCATGGCGATACTATTTTTATTCACGGCATCTGCCGTTGGTAAGAAGAAAAGACATTGGAACGATATCTTTTAGTGCCTCCCCTACATCCGATCCTAGTTAGTGTTATAGTACTGGGCAAGGTATTGAATCCTTTGAGATCCCTGCAGAGTGCCCTGAGTGCCTCCAAGACCTGAGGTTACCCTGCCCTTTACATACTAAAATATTAGGCCCTCTTGGCTGTGCCACATTCGCAGAATACTGACAGAGGTTCAGCTCTAAGCTTACTTAAGGTCAGGGTTGCCATGGATCAGACCATACTCCATGACTTGACTGGAATGTAATTTCCCATCTAGCTGGGGTGCAAAGCTGGGAATCAATGCACGTGTGGCTTGAAAAAGATGCTTAAGTGAGAGTCAGCTCTCTGGCTTTCCTTTTTTTTTTATTCTCAGTCGACGTGCGTGTCCATCTCAAGGCAGATCGTGTCGTGCTGTATACAATATTCTCACATTGTATTTGACTGTGTGCACGTCAAACATCATGCAACTCCCTAGGGAATGGATTGTTCTACTGGCCGCCGCAACATCGGCCCAAGCTGCCGGGTGGTCAGTCTTTGACATCAACTATGACCAGTGGTCCGAGGTGGTCGAGAGAGACGTCTGCGTCGTGGGCGGAGGAGCCAGCGGTGTCCATGCCGCCGTGAGCCTCGTTGACGCCGGTAAGACGGTGGCCGTGGTGGAACGCAACGACTTTCTCGGGGGTCACACGCACACGTACGTCGACCCGGACACGCAGCTGCCCGTTGATATCGGCGTCCTGGTATACCAACCCATCCCCGACGTGCTCGATTTCTTTGCCAAGTTTGACGTGCCGCTCCTCAATCTGTCGACGGTGCAGACGAATCAGATCGGACAGCCAGCCAACTTGTCCGTGCCGGCCGCCCTGTACAGCTCGGCCCGGCGCAATGTCGACTTCCGGAATGGCTCGGCGACGACGTTGGACTGGCCGGATGCCGAGGCTCAGGCGGCAGCTCTGCAACAGCTTGCGGGCATCCTGTACAACTATTCGTATCTGCTCTATGGCTACGACCTGCCTGACCCCATCCCTGAAGATCTTTATCTCCCCTTTGGCGCGTTCTTGGAAAAATACAACATTACGGCAGCATTCCCAGTATACTACCAGTACAGCGAAGGCATGGGCGATTTGCTGCATCTGTCCACGATTTATGTGATCAAATACTTCAACCTGGAAGACCTCCAGTACTCGGCTTCTGGATACTTGACCCAAGCCAACGGCAACAACTCGCAGCTCTACCTCCGGGCGGGAGAATTCCTTGGTTCGGAGAATGTCTTTCTAGAGTCTGTCATTGTCTCGGCCAACCGCCAGAACACATCGAGTGGCAGACCCGAACTCTTGATCTCGACGCGCGACGAGGGTCTCAAGCTGCTGTCGTGTGGTCAGATCCTGCTGACTATCCCGCCAACTCTCACCAATCTGCGCGGATGGGACCTGACGGCAGAGGAGTACGCCGTGTTCTCGCAGTACATAACCACCAACGGCTACTGGACGGGGCTCGTCCGCAACGTGGGGCTAAACCAGTCCGAGTCCGTGTACAACACGGCGCAAGAGACGGTCATGAACATTCCCGTGCTGCCGGCCCTCTACTACGTGAAGCCGACCGGGGTGCTGGACGACGTGTGGTACGTCAAGTTCTCGGCCGACAACCCGACCCTGACCGACGGCTTGGTCAAGTCGTACATTGAGCGGCAAATTGCGACGGTCCAGGATGCCAGCAACATGACGGCCGCCGAGCCCGTCGAGTGGCTCATCTTTGAGTCACACACGCCGTTTCACTTGCAGGTCTCGCCTGAGGCGATTCGGGATGGATTCTTTGCGCAGCTGACGGCGTTGCAGGGTGGTCTGAACAACACCATGTTTTACACGGGTGCCGCGTTCCACACTCAGGCCAGCACAGCGCTGTGGCGGTTCAACAATGATGTAGTCGTACCAAAGATGCTAGGTCAAGCATAGACGGATTTGGACACCGATGTAGATATATTTTCTTGCATCATGATGTTTTCTGATACGAGACCGGGACGTACATAAATTTAAACTCAGTAACCCAAATACAAAAACTCAAAAGAAAGCCTTGGGTTCCATGTGCCTGGCAGGGCGTAATTCATGTTCTTTACCGATGCCGCAACGAGTCTAGCGCTGCAATGCTGCATACAGGTCGGTCATCCAAAACAGTTTAGCGCGGCCATGGGGCTGAGCCGTCGACTTGGGGGAAGCACGTTTAAGCAAGACGACCCCTCGTTCGTTGCTCGTCGCTGGTGGAAGCTGATTTCGTTAATTTTGTGTAATAATTGTCATTTTCGTTTTGCTGCGTTGATTTTCTGTTTTGTTAACTTGGTCTTTAAGTGACTCAAAGATTGAATAACCGTCCGGGTCATATATCGTTCCAAGCAACCATTTATGACACCCAAGGATTTGTGAACGAAAGTCGTCGTGAACTTGGACTTAGCGACAACTATAGGCCCTACTCACTGCTTGGTGACGCCCCGCCTGGACTAACAGTCAAGTCGCAATCATACTCCAAAAGTATACGGATGGTGAACACTGTACTACAACAACAACAACAACAACAAGCAGTACTCAGATTACACCAAAACAAGAGGACGACTCAATACATTGTCAACTAGAGGCATATTACAATTCTTACGTCACAATGACCTCCGTCACTTCAGCATCTCCATCGGCGCAGAGTCATCGGCGCACAGAATCCAACGAGGACTCAGACTCCTGGCAACATGTCAGTTCCAACCCGGCCTCCGTCTTTTTCCCAAGTCCGGGCAGCGGTGCCGGGAGCATGGGAAGTTGGATGATGGCTGGATACCCAAACAATATTGAGCGATCACCACAAGGCATGTCGCCATTACATCTGGATACCGACTCCAAGAATACGTACTCTGGTTCATTTCCGGGCTCTTCCGAAAACGTCCTATTAGCAACAGCAGACGACCTCCTTGACTCGCTTACGCACGACATTGAAAGAAACCAGCAATTCGTCCCAAATCAGGACTTCATGTACTCTGGGGCTTTTGACGGTATGCATCTTGCTGCTGCCGCCTTCTGGGTTCAGAAATATATACTGACATACTACTAGCCAATGTTGACTTGCCGCCGTATTACGATTCACTCCAAAATGAAATCGATTTCTCGAATGCTTCGAGTCTGGATGGATTGGACTTTTCTGCTCAGCCGACTGATCTCGGCATCCCGCAAGATTATCTCCATGGCCCCAACGTGTCGCCGTGGACTGCCACCAACGTCAGAAGCCAAGAGCTGACCTTTGAGAACACCACATTTGCTGCATCAGACGCTTCTCAAGCCTCTCCCGGAAGCAGTTCGCACCACTCGCCACGCCACAGCCCAATCTCGCCGCCAGCCGCCGTTGCCGAAAAGGCAGCGGCAGCACCACCCAAGCCCAGTCTCCGAAAGCTTCAGGGCAAGAGCAAGGTCGAGAAGAAGAAGGCGGCCGAGCCGGCCAGCAGCAAGTTTCTCATCATGACGCCCATGCTCATCAATGCCGCGTCCGGCAAGCCCAATCCCTACGAGTGCTTCGAGGCCATGCGCATGACGCACAAGGGCAGGAAAGGACCGCTGGCCAACGACACCAAGGAGAATGCGCTGCACGTCCGGAGACTGGGGGCTTGCTTCTGTTGTCACGCGCGGAAAGTCAAGGTAGGACGAGATTGCAAGACCCTGGGCGAGTGTATTGTAAGAATGTACTGACTTTGATTCAGTGCGATAAGGAGCGTCCCTGCAAAAACTGCTCAAAGCTGACGGCCGCCGTACCGCAAATCATGTGCTGGCAGTTTCAAGACTTTCTTCCCGTCTTGTTTCCCGACTTTATTCGTGGACACTTTAAGAAGGACCAAATGGCCGCCTTTGTCGCGGAAAATATCGAGAGCTTCACCGTTGGCGGCGTCGAGAGCCCCTGCGAGGTCGAGCTGTTTTCGGGCACGCGCTTCGACTCGACGCTCAAGGTCCGGGCCAAGTTCTTCACGGCCAAGACCCGCGAGGCCCTGCAGCATTGGCACATGAACGATGGCCTGAACCAGCTCGACCTCCAGAGCCGCAGCTCGGCGCCCATTGGCATCGAATTGGATAATGCGACGTATAGGGACGAGCTGCGGAAACGCACGCGAGATTACATTCAAAAGATCACCCTCGAGCCGCAATATGCGGAACAGGTGACGGACTCTTGCCGGCATACGACTCTGCCGTGGAGGGTGCTGAAGATTGTTCAGAGGTTTGGCCAAAGATCTGACGTGAGTTTACAAGCCGGAAAAGATATTGTACTGATACTAACCCTCGGCTCAAAACAAAATAGTCGCCCATGGTGAAGAAGGCCCTGTCAATCTACGCCATGCACTACGTCCTAACGCGGCACCTGTGCATCACGCCGGCCTCTATCCACGCGCTGCAGCACACGAATCTGATGCCGCGCAACGTGCCCTGGCTGACGCCGCGTGTGCTGAACCGGCAGATCAAGTCGCTGCTGGACGAGCACCTCCTCAAGGAGATGCAGGCCCTCTTTGAAGGCTTTGCCAGGTCGCTCAAGCCCAAGACGCGCGGCGAGTGGGCGCCCTGCCTCGCCGCGTTCCTGGTGCTCTGCCTCTTCATGGAGACGGTCGAGGCGGCTGCCGACACGTTTGTCGTTGCGCAAAACCAAGTCGACGGCCTCGGCGGCAGCACGGCGGCGCGGCCGTCGCCCGAGTATCAGCGCGACTTTGCCCTGCGCATCTGCCGCGAGGTCGAGAATATGCCGTTCAAGCAGTTTGCCTACCAGTTCCACCAGATTTATCAGACGCACACCAAGGACATTTCGACCAAGGCCTTTAACCCGCTAGTGGACGATAGTTTTGTCGAGCAGGGCGACCTTGACATGCCGGCGTCTGAGATGGTGGCCAGTCTTAAGGAGTTGTTGCAAGGAGATTCTTGTGAGTGTGCCCCCTTTCCTCTTGACATGATTTTGTGGTCACGAGTGGCTAACACTCGGCATAGACTATGAGCTGGATTTCTTGGTCGCTGATCCCATTCTACCCAACGAGGGAACGCATACCTTTCCTCGTGACGCCTCGTTGAATTATACTGGGCGTCTACTGGCGAGATTTCTGCTGTCTTTTCTTGATGATAGATACCTTTTCGATGGTAGATATTGATAGCACATGTTTGATGTATATAGTACATGTTTATCATGGAAGCGAAAGGTGATCAAGTCAATAATGAGCAAACATATTGGTATCCAGCTATTTATAAAAATACAAATCACGCACACAAAAAGAATGTTTGTCCGATTTAGTCCCGCTGCCGCACTAAGTCCTACGACAGCAGGGTGGATTGGACGGGCTGTCTAGGCCCACAGATTCATCTCCCACTTTGAACGATAAAATGAAGTTGACGCTCCTGCGCATTGAAGAGTCGCAAGAGGTAGGCATATTGTGGGTTTGTTTGGTTGCGTGTGTGTGTCCCAAAGGAGGGTTTGGGGGTCCTTTGGCTATCTATCAAGTGGCAGTTGAGTCGATGCCGACGCGCACTGGAATGCGTGCACGCAAGACAAGAGAGAATGTTCTTGCGCGGCATTATCACCTACCGTGTGGACAGAGCATGGCAACATGGTCTCTCTGCTGTTGAACAGTAGATGGCTGACGCTTGTCCAGGCGCTTTGTTCCTGTTGTTGATGGATGATGATGTTGTTGATGAGAAAGAAACGAGACTGGCAGAAATTGCGATTGCAGAGTTTTGGGTGCGCGTCGAATTTTGTGGGGTGGATTTGGTTTAGGTGGGTGGAATTGCTCACACCAACCACGTGACCTGGCTTGCGCTCCTGCCGCCTGCATCTGCGTTGCCGGGCGGTTGGAATTTTTTCCCTCTCTTCCTTTCTTCTTTACACTTTTTTCGCACCATAAAATCAACCGATGTCGACTCTGTTCACTTGCTGTCGGTCATATTGGCGTGCTAGACTAACCCGTGACCGCTACTATTTGATGATTATTTCTTTAATCATTTCGCAATGTTCTTCCTCTCGGGGAAATTGCGTATTGGTGGCACTCGGTACATCTACATGATAATGATCCATACGAGTTTCTAGAATAGACCCAACTCATCATGACAACGAGGCAAGTTATCAAACTTGCATTCGTGTCAATGGACAATGGTATTTTTTGAACGGGGGTCTTTACTTCCTTCTTCCGACGATCAATTCTGGAGGCCCCGAGATGGAATTGAATAGTGTCCCGGCAAACTCAAGTTCCGAGTCCTTAGCACACATATGGCTTCATGTTGGGCGGAAGCGACAGTGCAGCCTGTAAATGCTTCGGTGGAGCAGCATCGCTTCTATAGCCCACGTCTGTCTCCAGTGATATGCCCGTGTCCAACGTCAGCCACTCATATTTTGGTGATTGTCCATTCGGGGCAATTTTGCAATTACGATTTTTAGCGACCCGAGCTTATTGTGAAGGCGTATCGCTCAATTGGCGTATTGGAACTACTGTGTACATCATCTTCTACTAGGCGTATCGACAGGCGTATTGACAGATTGGGTCGGATGGCACGGAACCAGAGCCCGAAACAAGGACCGCGACGGGACCCCCCTGGCTTCCTCCAAGTAGCCATTGAATAGCAGATCATACGTTTGGTACATGCTGCTGTACCTACGTTAGCTGCCGGCATACCTCTTCTTCAAGTGTTGGCTGTCCCCCGCATTCTCGCGCGTCGGGGCAAAGAGACCAACAAGTAGTGTACAGTACAGTACATTTCTTCTCATCTCTCTCATTCCTACGACCGCGTCGCGTGTTCTCAATCCTTCCCTCTCCATCTTTGCATATTGTGCTGGTGTACAGAGTATACAACAAACGTGCCACGATTACAAGTATTCAGTGTGCGTTAAACACGTCGTCTACCCACTTTTTTTCCTCTTTTCGGACAGTCAATCGCCTATCGTTGATACTCTGGACGCGGCGTATAGCTGATCCCTACCAGTACTTAACCTTGTTTTTCTGTTCACTAGATTTGGTCTCTCTGCCTGCATCTCAACTCACCACAACCCTCACGAAAAATCATGGTGACTACGCGCTCAGCATCAAAGGCCGTGACGGTCGCTTCCACGCCAAACCCCCAAGTATGGTATCACGCGCCGGATCGCGCCACGCTCCTGTGGTTTGCCATTTCGCTGCCTCTCGTGATCTGGGACAGCATCTACGTGCTGGGCCGACCTCACACCATGGAGGGGGGATTTCGTAAGTCTCATACAAAGGCCACTTTTTTCCATGTCCGACTGTTGCTGATCATTTCTTTCTTTTCGCTGCTTCGCAGTTCACTGGCCTCTATGGGCACCCTACAAGCTCTATGGAGAGACTGACTACGTCTACGGCTGGAAGGCCTACAACAGCCGCAACGGCTTCACCTCCGCGCAGGGCTCTCTCAACGTCATTGAGACGGCCATGTACCTGGCCTACATTTACCTCTACTTTAACCAGGGCAAGCCTGTCGGCGGCGTCCTGGGCGGCGAGAAGAGAGTTCTGACGGGCCGCGCCGCCGGCCAAGCCGTTCTCATTGCCTTTAGCGCCGCCGTCATGACTTTGAGCAAGACGGTGCTTTACTGTAAGTTGTCGACTGTTTGATGGAATGAGAAACACTCGAGTTTTCATGTGTATGAAGGAGACCTGACTTGAGATCCAGGGGCATGCGAGTACTTTTCGGGCTTTGACAATATTGGTCACAACAGCCTGCCGGATCTGATCCTGCTCTGGATTATTCCCAAGTAGGTTTCCATCAATTTCCTGTGCCAAAAATATGTTCTAACATTTGTCAGCGGCGCTTGGCTCATTCTCCCGACATACATGATCTACGTCATGGGCGGCGAGATTATCGATGGCTTAGCGACCGCCTCAAAGGGCGCAAACATCAAGTCAGAATAGAGCAAGCATCACTTGAGCGAAATTTCATCCTATAGGCGTGTGTCCCTAACTTATATTGGTAAGAGCACAAGATGCCTCGAAACAACGTATTGATGGGGTATTATGTGGAATTTTTATGTGGTAGAAGCCGAGTACACCTGGATTAGGAGCAATGTTTGATACCCAGATCCATCCCAATATCCTTCTCAATCTTGATCTCGAAAATGAACATGTGAGACTGAAAAGTCATGCTATCAACTCATGGATGCTGGAGTCTGTCTCAATCAGAATCCGAGTCGTCAGTGTCTCCCACCTGAACGATGCCACTTCCTACAAATCGGCAAAAGAGTCCACTGGAGGTAAGGAAGGAGGACGACATTGTCGAGCGATTCTCGAGCTCTCGGTTCTGCGTCTCGGGGACATTTCTGCTGACTGACTCGTACGGAGGCGTGACGGGCGGCGGGACAGGTGGTGCTGGAGAAGGGCTTGGGCTGCCGAGATGAACGGGTGGAAGAGATGACTGCTGGCCAGCTCCGAGGAGGTAACCAATGGTGGCCGCGTTGTGAAGGACTACAGCAGCCACGGAAATGTCAATCAACAACTGGCGCACAGACATGGTTCTGTGATGGGGTTTGTTCATGTGTGGAACGTGTATGTGAATGGAGAGGTATTTCTCCATGTCTGTGTATTCTTGGAAAGAAATAAAAGAGAAAGAAGAACTCACAATACCCCAGTCTGTTGGTACAATTTATAATCAAACAGCGTTACAAAGATAACCACCTTTTGCGCATTGTAGTTTGCAGAACGTTCGAATCACGGCCCTCACGTGGTGTTCAAAACATGCATTCACCTCAACTTTGCTCCTGATCAAATCACAGCCGACTCGAAATCTCAAGCTCTACATAACTTCCGGGTTCATAGCCTTTTCCCCTTCTTTCAAGGCTCACGTTTGCTTCAGAACTCACTTTGTCCGCGAATCTGCCCTCTGATACCAAGGTCCAGGATACAATATAGTTCAATCACGTTGTGGTCACTTTACAATCTCTGTATCTCTACAGGGACAGTAAAAAGAGTGAATCACAGGGGAGATCAGCTCAACGGGTGCTGTGAATAGCGGACGCATTTTGCAATCGTGACCCAAAGTTTCTGGTATTGAGATGAACGTACAAATGAGTATCTCTGAGCCAATCAGAAGGGCATAGTTGAGAGAATCAAATTGAATGTGGCGATGATTCAGTCACGCTCTTACTCCTGCAGTACTAGGGAGTTCATAATGGTGTATATTGGAGTAAATATATCATATATTATTAGCGTCGGACCACCGAAGGCTCCCCGATAAGCGGCGTGCACCAGAGCGGATACTGACTCCGAATATTCCGTCCGGCCATCGGCTTACACCGGGTATACTTACGCCTTTAAAAGAGTCAACTTCCATACACTTTGCTCGAAAGGTTTGAGTTTGCCTCATAGAACGGACAACTGTGCGCAGTGTGACAAAAATCCGTAGTCAAAATGGCAAGCCAGGATGACATGCTCAAGGTTGCCAGCGCGATTGGGTTCGAGATACCTCCGGATCAGCTTGATGACTATACCACACTTCTTGGCAGGATGAAGGGAGCGTTGGATACCTTGTCGGCCATGGATGGTAAGTGCCCTAAAATCCATACCGAGTAGATTTACTTGAAAGGATCCATATACTGAGAGTAAATGCAGATTATACACCCACGCCAGATTTCACCCTCACACCACGGGAAAACGTGCACTTTCCCGACCGGGCAGACAACCCGCTCAACGCCTGGGCATGGAAGTGCGACTGCGCGCACGCGCAGCCGACGTCGGACCTGCTCCAGGGCAAATCCGTGTGCCTCAAGGACAACATCGCGCTGGCGGGCGTGCCGTGCCTGCTGGGGACCGAGTCCTTTACGGGGTGGACGCCGAGCGTCGACGCCACCGTCGCGGGCCGCGTGCTCGAGGCCGGCGGGCGCATCGCCGGCAAGGCCGTCTGCGAGAACCTGTCGCGCGGCGCCGTGTCCGTCAGCGCCGCCACGGGCCCCGTGCATAACCCCTACGCGAGGGGGTACTCGGCCGGCGGCAGCAGCTCGGGCACGGCGGCGCTGGTGGGCGCGGGGACTGTTGACCTCGGGCTCGGCTGTGATCAGGGCGGGAGCATCAGGATCCCCGCCGCCATGTGCGGACTGTACGGCCTCAAGGCCACCTTTGGCCTGGTGCCGTACACGGGCATTGCCAGCAACGATGCCAGCGTCGACTTTGTCGGTCCCATGACCAGAACGTGTACCGACTGTGCCGTGCTGCTCCAGGCCATTGCCGGTGCCGACGGGCTGGATGATCGCCAGGGTGCTGGGTGCCCCTTTCCGGCGCAGGTGCCCAAGTATGCGGAGGCGTTGGCGACGAGTGGTAGGGACGGCGCCAAGGGCTTGAAGATTGGCATACTAAAGGAAGGTTTATCGAATCCAGTGCTAGAGGAAGAGGTCAAGGCCAAGTTTCTCGCGGCAGCCAAGGAGTTTGAAAAGCTCGGCGCCACGGTCGAAGAGGTCTCGGTTCCTCTGCACGAGTCGGCGCGGACCATTTACTCCGTCATGAGCAAGATGGGCAACCACATGGGAATGCTAGGACGGGCGACTGGGCGGCGGCAGGTCATGATGACGGACCTATTCGAGAAAAAGGGCCTCCCTTACTCGCCAGAGGCTCTGTCCAAGATGAGCATCTTTAGCAAAGAAGGACTGTTCGCGGGCGAGTTTGCCTGGTCCAACTACCCCTACGCGCACGCCAAGGCCGTCAACCTCTGCCGCAAGCTGCGCGACGACTACGACGCCGCCCTCGCAAAGTACGACGTGCTCATCATGCCGACGACGCTGCGGGCGTCGTTTCCGCTGCCCGCCGTCGACGCCGGCCCGTTGGTCCACATGGACGCCAACAAGGGCATGACGGAGAACACGGCCCCGTTCAACGCCAGTGGCCACCCGGCGCTGGCCGTGCCCATGGGCTTGGTGGCATCGGCGGCGGACCGGGCCGTCCAGGTACCCGCGAGCATGCAGATCGTGGGACGCTTTTGGGACGAGACAACGATACTCAAGGCGGCTTACGCGTGGGAGCTGGCTGTAGATTGGAAATCGTTCTAGACCGACACTAGTGACAACATGGCCTACTCATGACTGAGATAGCCCGTGGTCTTGACTTATTCGAAGTTGCTACTCGCAAGGCAATTGCCTGAGACAGGCAGGGCCCGGTGACAGGGGCAGAATATCAAGGTGCGGCAAAGTGCGGCAAAGGTGTATCATTGTTATTTGAATCTCACTTGACAGGCACGGATGAGACTTTGTTCGATGAATAATCGGTAATATTTTAAAGTGGTTGAATGATTGACTCGCTCAACTTTTGATTCCGACGTCCCTATGGTCCGTGGAGTTCTATCATGGTTTTGATACATGATGAAGCACTAGAGTATATGCTACTTGGTATAAGGAATGGCAATGGGTATCAATAAACAGTAAACAAAAGAAATAATGCGCGGTCAATGCAAGTCGTCGTTGCCACGTCTTTGCATCGTATCGGTCATGTCCTTTCTCCACGCCTCCCCCAATTTTACTCCAGGGACTTAAAAGATTGTGCTGACCCTTCGAGGTGGCATGGCGTCAATCTCCGTCAAGCCACCAAGGTCATTATAACTGTCCCAAACAATGTTCTCTGTTTTGAGTTGTGAGCTGTGCAGCTCACTAAAAGTTTTGATGTCTTCCAAAATCTCATCACTGCTTGATATCTTTGAAAGATCGTGTTTGTGCATGGCAAACCTAGGCTTTGGTGGTTCCATGTGCGAGTGGCGATATCTGGCGGGCCGACTCTGTTTTTGTGACCCGCGGGATTCGAAAAATGCAGACAGGGGCCGTGACGTTGAACCCATTGACATGGCTCGTGGCAAGACAACTCCTTCATCCTTGTCACGCGTGGTGGATCCAATTGTTCCGGAACGGCAGAGTTCCCAAGGATACGCTCTGCTCGTTTTGACTGGGCTGCTGGTCAGCGACCCCATGAAAGAAGTGGCGGCGGTAGAGGCGCTTCCGTCCTCGGATGCACTGGCATATACGCTACTTGATTGCGAAGCCGTCGATGCCGAGCGCGAAGTGGTGACCGTGTTCTTGATCTGAGCGACCATGACAGCAACGCTAGACTCATCTTCGGTCGGCATAGGTTCGAGGTCGTTCATACCATTTCCGTAGCCCTGAACCGTGATTTCCTGATAGTGCTGAGACTTGCGCCGGCTTTTCGATCCGGTAGGTGTCTTGTCATCTTCTCGACAACCAAAGACTCGCATGGATCTTCGAAATGTGTTGCTCCGTGACAGTCCCTTGGGGCGGCGTGCTGGGGCTTCGACGACTGGGGATCTGGCCATCTCAGACTCAATGTAGGCCTCAACATCTTTGTTGCACAGTGCAAGATAATCGATGTCTGGCTTGATTTCGAGAACGGGTGACTCTGGAGTCGATCGTCCATCAGACTGACCACTTCGGCCATCTGTTGATGTGGATGGGTTTCGTGAGACAAGGTCTGACTGGCGCCAAATGAAGGAAGGTATCGGGTGGTCCCAAGGGGGAAGGTTGGAGGTTGAAATGCAGAGACTGTAGGGGGCACGAGCACAATCCTTGACCTCGTCAGGTGCGCGCGTGGCTTGTAGCAATGTCTGATACATTGTGTACACCAGGATCCACCGGACTTTTCGCGCATCGGTCAGGCTAATCTGTTCCTGTTTATCTCCCTTGATGGGTGCGAATATGCAGTCCTCCTCGAATTTTCGGTACGCCCTGACAAGGTCATTTTTCAAGAGCTGCATCTTGCTCTCATTCGTAGCCTTCATGAGAGCAATGTGGCACTCAACCCGTTCGCGAATGGACAGCTTGGGTTGTTTACCAAACCATGACATTCGCCTCGAATTAACTTGCTGAGAGATATTCGGAAGAAGTGGGAGTGGATTTTTGAGCGTCGAATATTTGCACCTCGTGTCAAAGGACTGTACGCTTTGCAATGCGCAAATTCCACCCTGAGCTGAGGGAAGAACACCCGCCGTCGGTTCGAAATTCTCGTCCACCAGGTATTGATACAAGGCCTCGAAATCATCTTGGAGGGTTTGGTACACGTTTGCCTCGAATATCGTGGTTCGTGCATGAATGGATCGTGGAGGATAATAGCCGAGCTTGGCTGCGTAGAAGCCTTGAAGCAATGTACGAAATCGCTCCATGTGTGCCCGAGCACCAGGAGACAAGCCGAGATAGGCCTCGGACAACTCATCCTGAAGAAATGTGCTGAGCATCTTACCAATCTGGCCGAGCTTGACCTCCATTTCTACAACGGCGCGTCGCATAAGTTTTCTGGTCACCGAGGACACAAGCTGATCCATTGGTGAGTCAAAGTCTCGAGCGCTACGATTAAGCAATCTTACCTGATACTCTGGGCACGAGGACAATCGTTCGCTCATGCCGCAGCAGTGTGCAAATGCCTCGATGTACAGATCCCGGAGTTGGAATGTTTCAGCCAGACGAAGATTAGCCAATGCATATGCCGGTCTATTCTTCATCTCCAGATATCCCTCTTCGTCCATGTAGCCCATGAGGTCGGCCACATTGTCCGCATCTGGTGAACGAGACTCGTGCATGCTGTGCATTAGGTTGATAAGTGCCTCGCCAAGATGCTCGCCGACTAGCGACCTTCTGAAGACAAAGGCAAAAAAGTTCCGAGTCGCCAAGTGATAGCTGTAGGCTTGTTGCTTGTCCGAGTTGGGCGGTGCTGGAATGTAGAGCTCAATGCGAGGTTGCCGGTCGCTTGACTTTGAGACACTCTTTGAGCGAGATCTAGAGAGTGCTGATATTGACCTTTTGGACTCTTCAGACATGAACCTGTCCAGGAGCGGCTGGCACTTTGCTTCCTGGAGTGTCGAGAATGACACCTTGAAAGCTGGGCCTCTGCGCGACTGGCCCTGTCCACACAAGTGAACATAGCAATCCCCAACCTTTTGCCATAGTTCAGGGTCCTGTCGACTCCAGTTAGTATATGCGCGCATGTTTTGGTTCCGTCTGCACAGCGCCCAAGAAAATCACCTTTTTCAAGCAGTCCCACGGTATGCTGGACCTCGCTGCGCCGTCCCATCTCATGATGTTCGAGTTGTTTGACAGTTGGGCCTCGGTGGTGGCAGCAGGGTCAGTGCGCCTCGACTTCCAGCCTCTGGATCGTTCCGAGACGCCATTATATAAGGAGAAATGCCGTTGCAACGACATGCCGTGAAGGTGTCTGTCGTTAATATAAGCGAGAGTGGGCGATCCCAAAGTGATTTGGGATCGAGGATCGTGAAGATTGTGCGTTGTCTCTCTATCTGAGGGAGACAGCGGCTATGGTAATGTATATGAAAAGCGCTCAAGGTGGTACGATATGAAGAGTGCCCACACTCGCCGCCTAGTCGACCGGGATGATGGGAGTATCGCAGTCGACAACTCACTGCAGCTGTCGAAAGCTATTCGTATTCTCCATTTGGTTGTCGATCTTTGATAACCTTGAAACCGGGGGGTGGTGGCCAAGGGGTTGAGGAGAAGTTGAGACGGGGAAATATGAGAAAGATAGACCAAGAAGCAGCACACACCCTCTTTCTTGTTCTAAGGTGAGAGGAGTTGCAGGAAGAGTACGTCAAGCATTGCGTGCTCTCCACAAGCCTACTGAAAGAGGGCGAGATGAGACGGCGGTAGATGCGGGACCCGTCAAGCATAGATAAGTGCTCTTTGTGGACTAAAGGAGTTCGTACTGTCCTCGACTAAGACCCGAATCTGAATTAGTGACACCGCTGGCCCTGACGATAGTTTGGAGCTTCGCAGGGAACCGGGATCCATAAGACATCCACACGATCTGCCCACCCCCTGTCCTCGGGTTCCCGGTCACTGCCCAGTCATGATTGAGGGACAAGCCCATCTCATTCTGATAGTGGCCTGATTGACCACTGTTGAGAGCGGGCAAATGGTCGATGCGCAGTGGCGATGAACCGCTTAACCGCTCGGGACTCCAGGTTGCCAGGCGAGGGAAGAGACATGCCTGGGCATCAGGGTATGTACCATGGTAGATACTCCACAGTATTCAATGGCTTGAGAGGGGGAAATGACTGGGTTTGCTCATCCTCTTTTGCATGCAGCAGGATTAGAAAGCATGGACAAAAAAGTATGAATTGCATGTTGTACATACATATGCAGCATGCAACGTACTTTACTTGGCTTAGTAGTGACATGTGCGAAATACGTCTGCTAGTAGTGTGATTAGTTTATTATTTTATTCCGTACGTGGGTGGGTGCAATCTGGTATGTACTGTGGTGGAAGGTGAGCGGCGGCTAGCGGCAGCTCTGAGTCCCGGACTGCTGATCTCCTCAAGTCTCTCATTCATCAATTCATCATTCCCATTATTGCATTTGATTCTGATTTGGCAGTGTCATTCCAAGGTCGCTAGCGCCGTGGTAGTGTACAAAGCGTAGCGTAGTGCAAAGATTCAAAGCTGGGAACTAACCTTGTCTCGCTCCCGAGGCACCGGAGATGGTGGCTTGAGATGCCACAGTAGTGCCAATCTTGCTTGTCCAACGCCATGCCGACTGGACCGGAGTACTTGGGGGGATTGCCCTTAGGCCCATACTTGCCATGCAGCTACCGGCCGCGAAAGAGGGAGGGAGAGAGAGAGGGAAAAAAGAGAGTTGTCGGAGAGTGTGTGTGTTCCCAAAGCTCTGGATCCTCAATGGTCTTGGCCTGGGGCTGATCGTAGTTTGATGTAGCTGATCTGACGATGCGCCGCGCCGTCGGTATGAGATGTGTAGGTTCCCTACTAAGCAAAAACGTCAAGACTCGAGACCAGAACAAAACAGCGACGATGAGTCCGAGAAAGACGGACGACTACTTTCAAATGCTACACTGGCAAAGCAGCCGCATCCCTTTGCCAAGTCCTGACGTGATTTGCTCCCTCCCATTAAGCTACATGCATAATAGTCGCACGTAAGCTCCTAAATGAACAAGGGGCCAGCGTGCGACCCCGGTAACAGCGGTAGTACTACACTGCATTACCAAATGGCACTAGCTGTCAGCCTCTTCAGTCTTGGCACTTTCTTCTAATTCCGGCCAATTTTGTTTCTGTAGCTGCCAGCTAGCGAATCTTCTTTAGCCTAGCAGAGATTGTTCGCTCGGAAATCTTTTTTTTCTGGGGGGTTTTTTTTTTTCTCGTCTTCTTTCCTTCGTCGAGCCACTAGCGTCAGTCGTTTACGGCATTGGACTAATTCATCGCTGCAGATCTCTTGTTTTGCCAAAGGTTTTGCTTCAATATTCCATTGTTCCAAGTAGAAATACAGCCTTACTTAGCCTTGTGTGTGATATCTGATATGGCGGCAATATATCAAATATGCAAGTGTTTTGGTTGGTATTTGGTTTACTCATCCCCCCCACGAGAAATTGCCCTCCTGGCCCATGTCCTCTGCCGCCGCCACGGCGAACTTGAACCCGCTGCCAAAAAAGAAAGATGCTGGGAGATTGACGGAAAGAAAGAAAAAGAAAATTAAACTCATTAGCGGAGCTCCCGGTTCCTTTGCCGTTTGCAGAGAGAAACAGAGGCACGGCAGCTCGAGTGAAGTTGAAGTTCAGTAACATTTTCATCGACGGCGTGTACCAAAAGGGTGCGCTGAATCGCACAACATCCCCACACGCTTGTTCAGCTTCATTCTGGTCGGTATGCGGGGCCTCCGTATACTATTACTATTACACATAAACTACAATTTTTTCAGCTGGTATCAAGTTCGTGAAATGGTGGTCGGATCTGGTAGATGTCCAGATAGACGAACCAGATCTCTGGGTCTGGAAGCACTGTCCCAATCTGTCAGGGTTTTTTCAGGGTTCTTGACCGAACGCCACCGTTCCAGGATTAGACCTCTCAGCGGTCCATGTCGTCTGGATTTCGTCTCTTTCTTCCTGTTCAGACCCTTTGAAACATGAAACATTCTCGTGGAACCAAGGCTTACAGCGGATATCCCGGTTCGGTCGGCCGTCTTTTTCATGTATGTTTGTCATCCAGAGCGGGATTTTCTTTACATGTCAATGCTTAAAAAATTGATGTTGTTGCTGCTGCTGCTGCTACTGCTAGGGATGCAAACAGAAGCACCGGCTGTTCTGGATTCTTGAGCTGGACAACGACGGCGACAACGCGATGCCATCCGTCTCCCCCCACGCTATGATATTGCCGGCTGCGGCTGAAATGTACAGTAACTTGTGCGTGGCAGCGCATCGCCGCGCATCGCATAGCATTTGACATGTTACATATGGCATAACATCAGCATCGGCATCGCATCTGCTGCCGATCGCGAGGATGGATCATGGGCAATGCACAGCCGAACTCTACAAAGATGCCAGGGCACGCACTGTGAGCATACCAAGCTGTCCTTCTTTAGTCGTTTCATTCTGTGTAAGTTTCATGCTAGGGAAGGCTGCACAGACTGAAAATGTGATTCGGTTTAGAGATTAGCCATTGCCGCACGACATACCCGAGATCTCTCTTTGCTTATTTGCCGCCGTACGACAACGACAATTATGCGTTTCTGGGTCTATCCTGGCCGTAGGCCGTTGAGTAATGTCGGCACCCATCAGCCATCCGTTGCCATCTTCACGTTTCCATGTAAACATTTTTGTTTGGCCAAGTCAAAAGCAGCCGAGTTGAGAGAAGAAAAAAATTTCGAGTACGGCTTGGCTGAGTACCTTTGTGAAAGCATCGTCAAGTAAATAATCTGCTTCGCAGCCGAGAGCCGTCTTGTCCGGGTCGGGCAGCGAATAGTCAAGGCAACTCCAATGACCCCAACACGAAAACGGTCATGTTTGTAAATTTCATCATAATGAAGAGGCATCCCTATTTGCGACATGGTCGCTTACACATCAAAGCGCCAAGGGTTCTACTCCAGGGTCTAACATACGGAATATATGATACCGACATGACATTAGTGCTCGGACTCGGAGAGGATTGACAGAGACCCTGGCGATACGTACTTTGGTAGATGGTGTAGATATTATGGTTAAGCTTAGCTCCTAGATTGATCTGCGAGTTCATGACACGACATGGGGATTTCTTTTCTTCTGCCTTTTCAATAGTGACGTCAAGCTTCGAGTACGACATTATGTTGTGACGTTATTTGAAAAGAGATAATCTGGAAGTATCAGTTTCATTGGTATGCAGATAGGTAGATGATCAACGTTGTACGCGAATTGACTTAGACGATGCCGAACTTGGGGAATTATCAACTGAATGGGGGGTCGCTACAGCGAATCAGTTGGCGCGCAGCTGACAGCATCCCTCCTTGGCTTCCTTCATTCCTCAGCCCCTCCAACACCTAAACTGCACTACCGTCCTAGGATAGAGCTTCACTCAGCAGCTTCAGTAGACCGACCGTAAGACCGGAGAGACAGACAGCCGACCCCACCCCCATATTGAAGCCAACACGCGCAACCTTCAAGGAGCGCAAACATACCTACTGCTGCGCATAGCTCTGGGGGCTCGTGAGGTGGCCTTGCTGCCATGTAGCAACCGCGCAAGAGCTCTCAATGGCTTCTTCTTTCACCCCCTACAGCTTCGTCCAGTGTCCTTGCTACGACGCGGCGACACATTCCCGTACCTCAAGCGGCAGATCGTCGCCCACGTCTCAAAACACTCCCAACGATGATGACTGTGCATTCGACCCGCGCGCTCCGAGGTCCAACTACAGCTTGTATCCCATAGAGCATCTGCTGTACTGCGTCGACTGCAACCAGATCCGATGCCCGCGCTGTGTCACCGAGGAGCTCGTCACCATCTACTGCCCCAGCTGTCTTTTCGAGGTCGGCGCCAGCAGTGTCAAGGCTGAAGGCAATCGGTATGTGCCACGCGTTCTATAACCCTAATTGCTGCGAGCTTGCCCAAAGAGGCAAACGCATCTGATCCTATATCTTTACGCACCTCCGCCGCCTATGGCTTCTCATGCATATGGATAACACGCCTGTCGGATGATAACTAATCAATCAATCCATCACTGCAGATGCACCCGTAGCTGCTTCCAGTGTCCGATTTGCATTGGACCGCTCGCCGTCCAGTCAGTCGCGCCCGCGCCGGAACCCTCACATCTCACGGCAGACAATGCAGGCTCGGCCCCTCCCGGTCCCTGGGTTCTGTGTTGCTCGTACTGCAATTGGGCTTCGTCCGAGATTGGAGTCCAGTTCGACAAACCGCAGGGTATCTATGGGCAACTGCTTAAAATGCGTCACGGCATTGGCTCGAGTGACATACCAAATGCACCCGTGGATGCTGTACCCACGAAAAGGGATGTTCTCGCAGAGCCAGAGTCCACCAAGTCACGTTTCGCCGCCATGAAATCTTTCTACCAGTCTCAGCTTGCCAGCGCCAATCCTGCAACTAGCAGCATGAGCGGAAGCTTTGGCGACTATGGCTTTGGTTCTCCCAATGCTCTCACCCGTATCATGAGCCTATACTCTGGAACCAGCGGTCTGACTGCTTCCAAGACTAAAGCCAGACCGACCATTATACGGGAGGCCGACACTGAAAACGAGGGTCTTCGGTTTCCCGATCTCGACGAGTCTGCTGCCATAACCAAGCTTAGGCACCAAGGATACGATGGTACCGTGACAAGGCCACAAGCCGCGGTTCAAGTCGAGGAAGGTGCTCGGTTCGCTGATGAGATGTGGCCAGTTCCCTACTTGCTTCGGTCAAAACGTGCGAAGCGATGTCCTGCCTGCCGTCACATCCTCAGTAAGCCAGAAGCTAAAGTGAACAATACGAGATTCCGTATCAGACTCGTGGCAGTGAACTACTTGCCAGAGATCTCATCCAAGCCACTCATCCAACCAGGGCTGCCTCCTCCTCCTTCAGATCTGCTGATACCAATGAAGCCTACCCAATACTTGTTGACTTTTAAAAACTTGATGTTTGAAGACATCAAGGTCAGCCTAGCGACCCCTAACACAACCCCTGGTCGCTTTGCATCCCGTGTCACCGTCCTGTGCCCACAGTTCACCATTGAAGCAAACTCGGATGACTATGATATCAACGAGGTACTCAAAGATGACCGCCGGCGGGAGCGCGCGGACACTCTACAGCAAGTCGAGCCGGGAAAAGTATGGGAGCGTGGACGAAATTGGGTCAGCATTGTTGTTGAGGTGATCCCCTCATCTTTGCGCATAGAACCACGGCCCACTATCCTCAAGAAAGATGGTGATGGTAAAGATGATCTCAGTCCACTCAAGGAGGATGAGGATATTCTCGAAATTCCCATATTTGTCCGTTTGGAGTGGGAGAGCGATCCGGCCGGAGACCAAGTGAGTACCTCGGCAAGTAAGGAAAAGGATGGCAAGGAAAAGAAGGAATTGGCGTACTGGACGGTACTAGGAATTGGGCGGATTAGCCAGGAATGAGCGGTGAATTGTTATGTACATGAGATACCCCCGAGATACAACCATATAAACTGATAGAGCTGGTAATAATAGTAGTGATCTTGTCTGGATAGGTTGCCATTATCTAAAGGGGCTACACGCTTGAGAATGATCGACGGTGATGAATATCAATATGGCCATTACCGGCGGCGTGACCAGACGGCAGGTACTCAAGTCATACGACATCGTGATGGGAGACTGACATGATACATTGCATATGGGAAGAAGAAGTTGATGGGATGGTTTGGGCTTGTCATCAAAAACCATGCTCGTCATTAAAGAAAATGTCACAAGCTATCTCTGAACGCCATGCCCTTTTGTGTGAATTACGCCGGGAAGAGTAGTCCATTCATGCTATCATCTCAGGATTCATGTATGCTGAACCAGGTATTCTTTTTTTTGGTATACCTCTCTTCCAAATGAACCGTTCCGATTCAAACGCCGGAAAACCAACCCATCTCTTTTTGGTTTCGCTTCCCTGATGTTATCGTCCCCAATGGACAAAGCCTTTTTACCGCTTAACCCTAGTACTCGGTAGAGCCAGACTGGGGGAACTCAAAGGTGACACCACGGCCAGTGAGGCGGCGGTAGACCTCGGAGTAGGTGTCGAGGCGGTAGTCAACACCACCACGCTCCTTCTCGTCGAGGACAACCTTGAGCAGCTTGGCGCCGTCCTCCTTGGTGCGGAGACGCTTGCCGACGATCTCGACGGGGTAGACGAGGTCGGCCAGGATGGCGTCGTGGACAGCAGTCAGAGTGCGGGAACGGGGGCGCTTCTGGGTCTGGGTGTTGCGGGAGCGGGCAGAGCGCTTGGGGCGGGGGAGGATGCGGCGCGAGGCCAGGATCAGGACGTGGCGGTCAGAGAACTTCTTCTCGAGCTCACGGGTCAGGCTGCAAGACGAGTTAGTTTAGATTTATCTTTGACAGGACGTCCCCCAAGCGGAGAGATGGGAGATGGAGAGGGTGGAAAAACTTACCGCTGCTGGACGCGGTGGAAACCCTGCAGAGAAGGGACGGGGACAAAGATGACAATAGCCTTCTTGCCGTGGCCAACCTCGATCTAATTAAGATCCAAAGTCAGCAGGCGAGCTCCAGGACAGACATGTTTTTCATATGAATGTTCCTTGGACCGCTTCCCGTCCTATTCCTCTTGATGTATTGTATTGCTAGGTTTCTCGATAGTGGTGCAGAGACTACTGTGGTTGCTCCCCTCTCTCCTCGTAGTCAACATGTGGCTTCGGGTTCGAGGTCGCGAACACACGTTGAAGTACAGGAACGAATCGCTAGGGATGTCGCGGGCAAGCGAGCATGTAGCATAGCAAGTAGTCCATCGTAGGAACAGGATCAAGTCGCGATCTAGAGGATTTTTTTTTTCTCTCGTGTGGTTCTTCTTTCTTTCACGTTACGGGGGACACGAGCCATCGATTGGCTCGTTTCTTGTCTTTATCTTACCTCGCGGGCAGAGACGAACTGCAGAGGGCGGAGAGCGACCTTGAGGTCGGCAGTGTTGGTCTCGAGATCGTAGAGAGCGCCAGCAATGCTGGTCTCGAGCTCAGAGGGGTTCTGCCTCGAAGGGCTGTTGGCGGCGATCTTGTTGAGGGCGGGGGAAGACATCTTGGGCGACGGGACTCTGGGCGTGAGACTGCTGGTTGTCGGTTGGTCGTGAAGATGTAAAAGTCGATCGCGGTCGCTGGGTTTAGCAAAAGTTCGGAATTTGGGGGTGGCCGCAATCAAAAAATTCAATTGTGGGATCGTGTGCCAAGCACTTGTGGGTAAACCCCGGCAGCTGGCTTCTTTGCTGGACGTTTTTGGCCCAATAGGAGCAGTGACTTTGTGGTATGTGGGTCTCTCTATAGAGTCGTCGCATAGGTGCACCTCGAACTTTGCATCAACTATCGAAAGGCAACAAACAGAATTACAACTTCTGATAATGCCATAGAGCACATGTTGCTTGGTTTCTCCCATGGTGCATGGCTATTTCATTCGCAACATGATCCATAAATCGGCCTGTGGTCGCTCCGAAGCAGCATCTCAGCTTGGGTGTCTTTGGCTTTCCAAGCTTCCTTTCATGAGGAGCTTAGCATCGTCTAGATACCCTGTCGAGGCTGTATTTGACTTGACTTGTCTTACTCGAAGGATGGACGATGGCCTGTCCAAATTAGCTGAGGTTAATATTGCGCCTTGCTCCTCAGCTGTGTTGCGTCCACTGCGTGGGGATGCATACCAGTAAAGTTAATCCACCCTTGGTGTTTGGAGGTGTTGAAGGCGATACTCGAAATATAGCCTGTTCTCGAACCCTTCTTTGGGCTCTCATTCAAACCTTCGTCGTCGTATCCTGCTATCATACTCAATGATCCGATCTAAATCATCAGACTTACGAGGGAGCGTCGACTAGGAACGAAAGCTTACGATCATTTTGTTGCTGGTAAATCAGCTGGCGAGCTTGGCGCTGACGCAAGGGCAGTTACCCAACGTTCACTGCCCGCTTCCTGATCAGCGGGTCTTTACCCCCAAGACATGTCCTTGTGATGATCCGCAGCACCCTTTACGCATCTTTTGACAGCTTATTCGGATATTCTACCAGATGTCGTGGTTGGTGGCACAGGTTCATGACTGGTTCCGACAGACGAAGCTCCGCCCCCCAAAGTGCATCTAACCCGACCTTTGCAGTATGCTCTCCAAGCAAACTCATGTCAATTTGGTAGAAGCGGGAGCAACTGCTTTTGGGCGCGTCTTCCTCTTCCTCGGATAAGAGATGATGTGCTCTCTGGGCGACTAGTATAGAAATCCTGGGTCATCATGGCTTTCAGCCATGGAAGATCTTGCGCCTTGGCTACAATGGTTTTCTGTACTTGCGCATCGCCACACTACCCAACACGTTGTAGAAGTGCACCATTCAGCCTCTATTATTAGGCCATGACAAGATTTGGCCGGATTATGGTAAAGTGCTTAGTCTGTGCCTGTTGGGTCCATCTCTGACCAGTACATACGAACCTCTTTGCAGTGTAACATGACTGCTATTCCGTCTTAATGACAGCAGGTTGTCTGTTTTGTTTCCAACCTTTTCCCCTTGCCCATCTCACAACCCTAACCAGCAGTGCAGCTACGGATTACGCTTCTTCTGCCATAATGTCTAATCCAAACACAAAACTCGGTTTCAATTGTCCAAAGGGGGGCGACTTTTATGTTTGCGATACTGCAAAAATACGTTTTCTCGGCTGCTGTGACGTCGATCCATGCGCCGACGGCTCTGGTCTATGTCCTCAGCTGAACCTCAAGCCTTCTAGCTTCTCTTCAGACTACTACAATGAGATCAAGAAGCAGGAATGTGTAGATGCAAATGCCACGACTGACTGGTGGACCTGTCAGGCATCGCCTCCGTTTCTTGGTTGCTGCAAGTCGAACCCTTGCGATCTGGGAGAATGTCCAACAAAAGACTTGGAGGCAGCTCGTTTGAGCGATGACCCGAGTGCCGCGCAGGTTTTGATTGGAACCGCTACCACGACCTCGACGCCGACAAGCACACCAACACCCAACTCGCACGACGGTGTACATTTATCCACGGGCGCCATTGTTGGAATAGCCGTCGGTGGTGGTGTACTTCTCTTGGCACTTCTCGCTATCTTGGTTTACAGATGTGGGTACTTGGCGAGGCATAGAAAGGCTCAGAAGGAGGTCGAGAAACCTCACTCTTCTATTAACAGCCCATTTGGATACTCTCGTAAGTTATCCATCGACTCACCCAAACTTTCTTAAAAATAAAAATAAAAAATCTAATACAAGTACGTAGCCGTGTCCCCGGGCTTCTCGCAAACATATCAAGATATGCCACAATCAGCACACAGTGTCGCGTTTCCAGATTCGCCGCCGCCACAGGGTTATAATCCATACTCTCCCAAAAGACCATACGATGTTCCTCCCGGATCACCACCCTATGAGAACAACTCGAATCTAGGGGTGTCGGATGCATGGAAAAATCAACCTCGCCACGGTTCGCAAATGTCTTCAGCCACCTGGGACTCGATATCGACAGCTATAGCACAGAGGCATCATCCCATGTCGATGGAGCTAGATGGACAGGACACGGAAATGCCAAGACCGGTATCCGAATTGCCTGGAACGGGATTAGGAGCGAGATGAGAAGATATCATGATATTTAGGCAAAGGTTGAGTTTAAAAGGAAAGAAAATAATGCTATTTGTACCTGATACACAAAATAAAACTACCACGAGTTGAGAATCACCTTCTTCTTTTCTTCTTCCTCGCAATCATTTTGTGAGTCTTTGTAGACTTGATGATATCGTTGCCCCAAGTTTTCACGTTTCTAAATCTTACGAACGATATGTCCTGGTGCTTGTGAAGAGCCAGGCAGGTATAAGGCGCAGGTATAAGGCGCAGGTATAAGGCGCAGGTATTAGGGCCTTGAAGGCTTGATCGCTTGCAGGGGTATGTCTGGGCCTTGATTATAGTGGCGGCCGGCGTTGAGAAGTGCTGGTCTTCTCAATAGCCACACTCCATTTTCCCTAGGAATAATTCACACGAAGCATTGAGTGAAAGGAGGGATCGAAAGTAATTCAGCGAAAAGGGCCGACCAAACCTCGTACTGTGGAGTTGAGTATATTCACATCTCACTGCTATGTCAGTGAAGCGCCATGTTGGGAATAATATTAATCCTGCCGGTTTCAGGCAGGATTGATGCGCAACTAGCTCTGCTTTGATTTCATGTCGTGCTTGATTGCTATAATCGAATGTTATACTCTAGCAATCACATATTTTATACTTGACAATTTCTTATCAATTTGAAAGATCCTGAAAAAAATCCCTAAGCTCCATATTATCCAAGTCGATACGAACGACGAGGAACCACTACCAGAACAAGTCATTCCTATCAACTAGACATCATGGCGAACAAGACAGCGCCAGTTGGCTTCGTTCTCCCATTCGCCTACCGCTTGTTCTTTCTGGTCATTGAACCCATCTCGGCACTCGTGGGCGCCTTTTATGCACACTTCCGCCAGGCAGAGTACCTGGCCCTCACACACGCCTCCACAGCCCCGGGCGGCACCGCCATTCCCACGGGCACATCCGTTGTCCTATCCCAGCTGGCCAACCTCTATCTCCTCTTTGCCCTCAACGAGGCGCTCGTCCTCCGGTCCACCGGCGACCTGAGGGTGTGGAAGACGGTGCTGTTTGTGCTGCTCCTGGCCGACTTTGGTCACCTGTACTCTGTCTCGGCCGTCGGCACCAGCGTCTACTGGAATGTCTCGTCGTGGAACGCCATTGATTGGGGCAATGTGCCGTTTGTATACCTGGGTGCTTCCATGCGTATTGCCTTTCTGGCGGGTGTCGGTATGGAGAGTAAGAAGACTACAAAATCCAAATGAGGAGCTGGTTGTATTCCTTTAGACACTTTCTGGTGCGCTTGGAGTTACGCTCTACGTCGTATGGGAGGCATTTCACGTTTTGTTGGTAGGAGAATCGACGACTGATGAATCACAATAAATAGTCTCGATGAACCCGGAATTACCCATCATACATCCACATAGGACAACCAATCCGTATTCAGTAGCAATAATGCAAATACAGAGTCTTTTATAGAGCGTCTTGGGCCCGCTATACAAGAGTTCATATGATGCAGTACACCTACAGACTATATCCACTCTCCTTGACAGTCATCATCATGCCGCCCCTAGGCCGTGCTTCCAAGGCCAGCTCAGCAAACACAACGTCGCCAAAGACGGTATCCAAATCCGTGTACGTGCTCTTTGGCTTCTCATTCGGCTCAAGCCCGGCGCACACAAAATCAAAATCTCGCACCGTGAGCAGTAGCACGACGCGCATCATGTCCATGGCGAGATCCTGGCCCAGACACGCCCTCGCCCCGCGGCTGAAGGTGCGGAACCATCCTCGGGGAACCGAGTCGCCCAGGAAGCGCTCCGGTCGAAACAGGGACGGGTTCGGAAAGTAAGTCTCGTCGTAGTGCATTGTGTGCCAGCAGGGAACGATCACAAGGTCATCGATGGGGTAGGACTGGTCCTGATAGGTAACCACGGAACTGGCAAGGAATCAGCATTGGATAGGAATAGTGACTAGAAGCAACAAAGCTTACCCTGCTGGTGCTTGCCGGATACCAAAGCCGACGGGGAAAAGCCGTAGGGATTCCTTGATGACCGCCGAGGTGTACTCAAGATCATTCAGTCTACTAGGGTCAGATTCGAGAAGACCCAAAGTTTCTGCGGTACTCTTTCCAAAGACGGCGTCGTGCTCATCGCGCAATTTTTGGACAACCTCGGGATTTTTGGAGAGCAGCATATTTATGTACTGTCGAGCGTCAGCCGATCTGTAGGCTGCATAGTGTCCTCGGTACTTACGCATAGAGTGTCTACAGTTGTTCCTTGGCCACCAAGCAGAAGCCCCTTTACACTGTTCTCTTTGTCAGTCGCATGCAGTAAGATTCACGTGACGAGTGGACTTACTTGGTGACCAACAAGCCAAGTTCCTCCTTGGGCAGCTTGGCCGATTTGACGCTGCCTTGACCCTCCTTGGCCAAAGCCTCTCGAAGCATGAGGTCTAGAATGCTCAGAAAGTTCTTTCTCGTCGGGAATACATTACCGTTTCTCAGGGTATCCCATCTCTCTTCGATCTTGGTACGAATGGCCGCATCAAGCCGCTTCGTGATTGCGCCCTTGCGCATCCGCACCTTGAGCTTGACTAGCGGGTTCATGCTCAGACTCTCATTGATGAGCTCTACTGTCTCCTTTAGATCATCCAGGTACGAGCTTCCCTGCGTCTGGGCGTGCAGAGGGAAATTAAAGACAATTTGCCCGACAATGTCGAAAATCAACCTGCTACACTCCTTTTCGAGACTAAAGGCGCCGCCGTCCCGGGCGAGCGACTTCAGCCGGTCCCGGAACAAGATGGTCTCGTCGGCCATGAGACCGGTGAGCGTGCGCACATGCGACATGAGAAAGCTGGGTGCCATGGCATGATGAAGCTTCTTCCACACCGGACCATTGGCCGCAGCCACTACATTGGGGCCAACCATGGAAGACAATAACTCCTCAGACATGGGATGCTGGTTATAGGCGCGCTGCACTTGGACTTGGTCCATGAGCTCCGGCTCAATCAGGACGACTTGAGGGTCTGCCACGGGCCATAGATCCAGGTAGAAGATACCTTTGAGATTATCTGTCCATCACACATCAGTCAGCTTTTAGGATATTTCCTTGGTAAGAAGAATAGATGCTTGTGTAGAATATGATGAAACGTCATATCAGAGTCAATGAATTCGTTCAGCTCAAACCGAAGAGATCCCATACTCGAGAATCTACCATAAACCACCAGATATGGAGATTGTGACCAATTCATTCTCTCATATCATGGACACATAGACACTGGGAATACGAGACGTTTCTTATGGACTTACACTTTTGGGCAATGGCCGTTATGTATGATTGGGGGTGCATATTGGGTGGGAATGTCGCCGCAATTTCTCCCATGATTTTGAGATGGCCCCAAAGAAGGCTATGGGGCGGTCCTGGCTAATACAACATTTTATCAGCATGCCTGTACATTCCGCGAAATTCCATCAATGGTATTGGGGAAAAATCGAGCGCTTACAAGAGACCGAAAGCGTCTTCTTGTCTGATATAATTTGTAGAAAAATTGCAGCGCAGCTGTAGCTGCCAGAGCCGCGGCGAGCATGATAACTGGTGCCAAGTCCGCCATATCTCGAGTTGTTTGATGATTGAATTTCACGTGTTGTTCGGTTTGCTCTTGAATAGGCACATCGACAAGATCCAAGTTGTCGGCACACAGTTTCTTGGATGTGCTGGCAAATTTACTCATACCAATGCCCAAGCAAAGGGGGTATCGACGCCATCAGCTCGAACTGGACTAAGATACATTTTGCTGGCGTCCACGTCGAAGCGTGAGACTAAAGTTAGCCCATCAGAATCAGCACTAGGAAGACACGACCATGACTATCTGGCAGACATCACGAACCGACCCAACCCCTTGTTACAAAGGCTGTAGTCTGGTAGCTGAGAGGTGGATAAAGAGCTAGCCAGGACAGAAACTAGAAACAAGAAAGATGGCAAACGAAAAAGAGGAAAGCGCTGTGCTCAATCATGAAGATTTATGGAAATTCTCATTTGCTTATACGTATTTCCACGAAGTCAGAAAGTATTGTATTCTGGTAAATAAGCAATTGTCTGGAGGCAACTTGGCCGAGGTGGTTCATCTTTGAACACACCAGATTTCATGAATGTATGTCTGCATAAACTTGGAGCACTTGATGATTGGCTGGCTGCCTGCATAATCGTGCTAATATTGGACCGATCAAGATGACTATAGTATCTTGACTGTACGAAATACTATCCGATCAGAGAAGTGCTCGTCTTCAGACTTCAATATCAGTACACGGTGCGGTGTAGGGTATTATTCACCCCTTGTGTTGCACAATAAGGCTGAGTAGTGATAGCACATATCCCCTTATCTGGCAAGCACCCTCCTTTTTGACTTGATCGCCAGAGAGTACTTGCAAAACTACCCAATCACATACCATAAATTCTCCCCAGATTATATTATCTAAATAACTTCGTAACCACTGTTTAAATCCTATTTAAAATATAAAAAATAATAAATAAATTCCGGAATTAACTTAATATAGCTTTTTAAAAATTAAAAAAATATCGGCGGTCTTTAAGCACCGGTCGAATGCAGAGATTTCGAGTGTTATAGCGGATATGTACTCCAGTTTTTTAGGCTCGGCGTACCAAAACTGCCATATAAGGCAAGGAGGGTGCTTGCCAGATAAGGGGATAGTAGTACTGTAATAGGTCTGTGGTGACTGGCTGTCATTTATTCCAAACGTCTTTGGATAGTCTAACCATTATGAGCTTATCCCATCTACGCTACGACAGGGGGTTACAAAGCTTACCTAGGTAACACCCGCTACTGTTTAACCCGATCCCCCACAGCCAGCAAAGGCCCGCTGACACCGACCGGCGCCGGCGCTGATACATGCATACCTTACCCAGCTAGATGAACTGCGCTCTACACGCTCAAGTTAAAGCGGGTTCATGATCCATCACCATCAATCAAGAGTTATGCTGATGACTGATCACAGAGCCCACATGGCATTTCATGTCCGGCACAACTCTCCCATCATAGTCTCGCTGTCGTTTTCTTCTTCTACCTTATCCTGATGGGTAGTGCGTACTGCGCTACGGAGTAACCTTATTATATTTGTCGTCCTTCCAAAACGGCCGGGCCCTTCGTCATTCCCAACCCCTCCCCCATATCATTTCTCCCTCTGCCCCGCCAAGTGTGATTTCCCTCTTGTCACGTTTGACGCGCATCATCCCACCACCATTACTTGTGCTTTTGCTTGCTTGCTTGCTTGCACCTCCTCCACCTCCTTATCAGACTGTAAACAAATAAGTCGCGCAGAGTAAACATATAAACAATTCGGCGCCATGCCAGACTGGCGATCTCAGTACCTTGCCAACTTGCACGAGGCCGAGTTTCGCAACCCGATCAATAAGGATATAGTCTCAGCATGTCAGTTCAGATTCTCGTTCTTTTTTTCTTTTTGTCTCCGATAAAAACTACCGCCCCCGGTCTCCCGTTGCTAGATTAAAGAGCAAAGAAAGGGAGAGAAGCGCAGGACCCTTTCGACTAATATCAAGCCTCGTTGCCCCCATGTATAGGCTCCCAACTAGCAGACCGCGTCGCCGCCCTCGAGGCGGAAAAGGCAGTATTGGAACAAAAAGTCCAACAACAACCACCTTCCATCACCATCGACAACACCAGCCCCGGCAACGCCGCCTCCTCAGACACGACTGCAACAGCACAGCTCCGACTCGACCTAGCCGAAGCCCTGCGGTCTCGGGGCCAACTCCAAGCCAAACAACGCAGCGCCGACACGGAGCTGACCACGCTGCGGGCCAAGAGCAAGGCCGACGACCGGCGCGTGCGCGAGCTGACAGCAGAGCGCAACAGCCTCGCCGCCAAGTTGCGCGACCGAACCGAGGAGCTGGTCGGCAAGAACCGCCTGCTCAAGGATGTTCAAGACGACAACCTGACACTCAATATCCAGCTCGACGTGCGCGAGAACGAGTGCAAGAAGATCAAGGCTGAGAACAAGGAGCTCGTCGACCGCTGGATGAAAAAGATGGAGAAGGAGGCCGAAGCCATGAACCTTGCCAACGAACCACAGGCAAACGGGAGAAAGAGGTGATGGCTGACCACCATCCTACTCATCACGACAAACCAGAAAAAAGTACGAAGTGGTTGTATACTCTTTGTTGCGAACGGGCGATCAACGCCCTCCAAGAGATATTGGTATCCTACAGTGATATCATATACAAGCAACACTATACAGTAAGTGCCAAATCTTCTGTCTAGCCTTCAGAATGCACTTCGCTGTCATGCTGTCCCTCTATGCGCGCAAGGCTATGCAAATTCATCGCAGAAATGCACAACTCCCATTCTCTATATTCTTCCACCGTTCTTCGATATTGACTGGGCTGGTCAAGTGCCTAGGACTTTCTGGTCGAGACAAAGTAACGACCTCCAGCTTTGGACCAGCTGACCCAGTCCTCATAGTACTGGTGCTCCTCAACTTCAAAGATACTGTTGGCGATATCGTTGACTCCGTTCTTCTCGTTGCCCATGACAAAAGAGACGAGCGAGATGACCTTGCAACCAGGCTTGAGGTCCATGAACATGCGTACCAAAGCATCGTTCAGGGCTGGCGTAAAGGCCTTGTTGTTGACTAATATGCAGTCGGCTCTCTTTAGGGTCTCGAGGATCTTCTTATTCGTCCGAAAGTCGCCCCTCTCCAGAGTCACAAGGCCCGGCCTGATACCCCATAGTAGACATCGGGATCTGAACTCCTTCTCCTGTGCTTCAGCAAAGTTGCACGAGTTCTCCACCATTTCACAGCCATAACTTGAACATCCAATTTCGAGCGCAGCCTGCAGGACGACATTGCCGACTCCCGAGCCCAGATCCATAAAAACCTTGTCCGAGGTCATGTTTGAGTGTGTTGAAAGGATGGTCCGGACAAAGGGAGCCATGAGCTCGCCGTACACATTGTCGCCTCCAGGCTGGTATTTGTTGAGGGACTCAACATTTGGTGAGACAGTGCGCTCGTAGACCTGGGCAAGGATAAAGTCGACTAGGTCGTCAGGGACATCGTGTATGGCATCGAGGTTCATTTCTACAGAACCATCTTTTACCAATGCCGATATTTGCTTGTTGTAACCGTCGAGTGCTGCTTTGAAATCTTGAAACTCTTTTGACTGGGTATTGGAGCCGTTGGGTGTTTCACCATTCCTCTTGCTGGAATGACTGGCATTATTCGAAGCTCTTTCCATGAGCCTGTAAAAGCTTGACTGGTTGTCGATGAAAGGTTTTGCTTGCTCGAGGGTGAGATAGGTTTCGGCGACGTGCTTAACAAGGCGCTTTATATCCTCCACAGCATTGATCTTTTCCTTGCGAAATACGAGCTCATACCTGTGCCAACTTGTTAGTAATCACATCTCGCAAGAACTTGTATAATAGCTGGTCGTTACCTTTCAGGTAGCGTTCGGGAAGGATACTGCACTTTGACAGCAACCTCCTCCTCTGGTGCACCGAAAAATGCAGGCGGGCATCCTGTCGATATCGAGGCAAGGTCGGCGGCGTGAATAATTCTAGGCTCCCTGGGCTCTTCGGCAAATGCCTTCTTGTGGCGCACGCGACGATTCGGATCCTTCCACTCGGTAACCACCTTGCGCCTCTTGCCAGTCAGGGCGTGCTCGAGCTGGTCATCGTCATCGCCACTGTCGTCGGAGCCCCACATTGGCGTCGAGTCCTTGCGCTGGACAGCAACCTTGCGCTTGCGCTCGGCGGCGCGCAGGCGCTCGTCAGAGGAGGAAGGATACGGCGACGCGCTCTTGGTGCGGGCCAGGCTCCGAGGGTCGGGCGACACCCGCGGGGACGAGGATGGGTATTTCGAGGAGACGACACGGCTGCCGTTTGGGGCGAGGCTCGACGAGGATCGCGGGGTGGCGGCGGCCGAGGACTTGGCCGGTATGTTCTTTTTCACCACCACTCGCTCGACCCTCACGGCCTGGGGGGCCGCCTTGGGCTTGAGCAGAGGCATCGCAAAAGTTTCCTTGCTTCACTTGTCCGGTGACCGTGCAGGAGGGGTTGGGACCGGCACACGTGGGCGAAGGCGCAAGGCGCGAGGGTTTCGTCCCAAATGAATGGATGATTGGAAGGAGGGAGGAAAAAAAGAAGAACAAGCTTAAAGGGATCTCAGTAGGATGGTGAAAAGTATAACCTAATCGCTACCGGACGGGAGAGGCTGCAGGTTCGCGGCGAGTGGGATGATGGCGGGTTGTCGGACTTTGCGCCAGAGAGAGTCGATGCAGTGACGAAGCAAGACTAATACAAAGCAAAAGCTTCCGAATAGCCGGGTGAAAACTGCTGCAGAATAGATGGTCACAAAAAAAAAGCAAAACAGGGAAATGTGACAAATACAGTCCTGAAAGAGTGTTGGAAAGAGCGTCTTTTTGGTGCGGCTGACGACGCAGTGAAGGAAGGCAGTTTACCAACGTCTGGTGGTTGGGAGGGGTGTGGAAGAAAAGAGTAAATGACTGAAAGTTGCACAAGTTTTTAGTGGGCTGATGTCGCTTGCCCTTTTTCTTTCCCCTTCAGCCTAGCAGTAGCAAAGGTAGTACGTGAGATTTGTACAATCCTCAACATGTACTAAAAAAAAACAGGTGCTCACTGCTGTGTTTACCTCAAGCCGGGCGCTGTTACTAATTAGGTAGGGGACCTGACGTTAAAAGGCACGAGAGCAAAGTGTCTTGGTGCTTACATTTCAACGGGCGAATTCGATTATGCACCGTTGTTACATAGCGAGTATTCTGTACTGTACCCTTCTCTTCCATAGAAAGTTCCAAGGCAGGACAAAAAAAAAAGGAAAGGGTCGTCCCCAGCCGCCGTAGGACTAGACTCTGACAGGTGCAGTACGGCGATGCAGGGCAAAGGCAAGTGCATTATCTGGCAGGGCAAAGGCAGGGTGCAGGCAACCAAACAAGGTCCCAGGACCAAGACCAAGGCCCAGAGTCCAGAGATCAGACAATTCCGGGCGTGGGGGAACAGAGCTGATGGCAAAAGAGATAAGTGGGGCACAGTCATTCGATGGTCGGGGTTGTTCGGGGTTGTGGTTGGGTTTCTGGGGACTGGGATGGTAAGTGAGGGACAGAGAGAGAGAGACGAACAGAGTGACAGGCGTGGCACAGACGAGTGAGTGAGTGAACAAGAGAGTGGCCTGACTCGCTCGGGGACAAAAAAACATCTCCCCATCCATTCGGATGCTGTCCCTGCCCTTTCTCTCTCCCCCATCTCTCGCTTAACTTGCCGATTATGCATGCTAAGTAGTATATTTCTGGGGACTTGCTGGTCACAGCATCACAGGTCTTTAATCTACCTACCTACCTACCTACCAAGGTTGAAAGGCGCATACCTAGCTTTACAGTCAATTTATATAGGAATATAAGATAGATATCTGAAAATCTATATATTTATTTAACAAGGCATTATATTTCAGGGGACGCTATACGTTTATCATCTGCTACCTTTATACCCTATTTATTGTACCAGCTTGGCTGTAAAGTCAAGTTATTGATAAGCTTCCGGATCTTTTTAACTTAGCTTGTGCCTGCCATATATTTCTTCATGATTATATATGTGCATTTTGTAGCACCTTCTCCGTGGCCAGGGATCTGGTCTCCCAAAGATCAAGAACCTCGCCATACAGAAATTTGATAGGGACATTTGTAGAATAACCATTAACGCCTTGTGCCTTTGCTATTGTGGTATCTTGCAAAACTCGATTACAGTGTCCAGACGATTGCCTCCTTCCCCAGTATTAATAGTGACCCGTGATACATATTCTGGTCGGCCAGGTAACGTATTTGTGCCCACGAATGATTCAAACTAGGAATCTTTCTGCTCCTTGGCCTCTCCCGTTGCTTTGGCCTTGGCACTCGCCATTGTACCCATGACGAGCTCTGCGAATTTGTGTCCCCTTTCCTTGACAGCCTGAACTGAGTCACGACTTTCGAGCTTTTTCGCTTCGAGTGCTTGTCTGAGATGCTCAGTCTTGGAGCTCTCCTCGCCAGCACCGGCACCCTCGCGGTGTGCCAAACCCATATGACCCAATGTCCTGACTGCTGCCGAGCTAGCCTTGTTGTAGCCGGAAGATGCAAGAGCCGGTAGACTGCGACCCGCCTCAAGGATCATGCAATCATCGCCAAAGTACTTTTCCTTCTCGTTGACAAGCTTGGTGAGATATGTTGTCCGACGAGGCCCACGTTTCTCAGAACGAATACGCTCCATTTCTGCCTCGAATGCACGGTCGTACACGTTGAAATCAATCCCGGTCGGCGAATCAGACACGAAATCCGCAGGCGTTTCCGAACCTGCAAATTCATCGTGGTCGCCGAGGCCGATTCCCAAAAAGGCGGGCGCTCCTTCGCTGGAATTTTGGGTTTGGCCCTTCACGTCGGGTGCTCCGCTTCGGGCAGGATGACCGTTTGAGGCAAGATAGGCTTTGCGTGCTTTCACCAACTCGGCGGCCTCTTCGGCGTTGGATTTGTTCCGAGGTCGATTCTCCTGCTGCGGTTCTTCTGCAGTCGGAGTTGTGTTACCAGAGTTTGCTGGCGAGGAATGTTTCGAAGATTCTTGAGGCAGTTCTATCTCAGCTGCTCTAGGCACTTCCAACGTCCTCGACATCCGATGCGATGCTTTGAGGTCAGGGGTTCCAACGCGGCTCTTGTAAATGAGCCCTTTGAATTTGTTGATGGCTATCATCTGTACTAATTGTTAGTAGACAGTAGCGGGTCGTGTACGAGAACATGTACTCACAACAGTCAACATATGACTCATCTTACGTGTCAACGCATGATTGACTTCAAGCTCGTTTGGTGGCTCTACGAGTTCGGTAATGTTCTCCCCTTCAGATAGAAGAGGGTCCTCGCCATCTTTGGTGACCCAAGGATGATTCTGCTACTGTCAGCGTGGCAAAATGCTAATTGTATGGTGCAGATCTTACCCTCATCTCTGCCATGGTGATCCTCTGCTCCGGGTCCTTTTGGAGGATCCGCCGCAGGAGGTCTGAGAGGTTCGGATCCTCGTCGGATGGAATAGGAAGCTCTTCTGTGCGAATAGAATCGTACATTTCTAGAACGTTGTCACGATGGAAAGGCAGTCTGCCAAACTTGAGACAGTATAATGAAATGCCCATGGACCATATATCCGCGGCCTTTCCTGATATATCGCCGTGCCTGGCCATGCACAACTCAGGAGGAAGGAAGGCTGGCGAACCGGCAGATTTGGCTGTCCTCATGTCGGCAGACTTTTCAAACATTTCCGATACTCCAAAGTCCACGATCTTGAGGCAGTCGTCTTCCGTCAAAAGAAGGTTGTCCGGTTTGATATCACGATGTATAATACCTTGTGCATGTACTGCAGCATGTGTCAGTTCTCAGAGTTGCCCAGACAATGCACATCAGCGGGGGTTACCTACAGTATTCAATGCCCAAAATCAAGTCGCGAAACCAATGTCTGCACTGTTCTGCACTATAGGCTTCGGCGTCGCTGTCTAGGCCAACCTTCATGACGACGCCCTTTTTACACATCTCAAGAACCATCCAAAGCGAATCCTCTTCGGGATCGTCGAGGACCTCGATCAAGGACACCAGGTTTGGGTGATTCAGCTTTTTCATGATGGCAATTTCTTCCCGGATGAAAAAGAGAGAATCTTTTGCCTCGGCAGCATCGTGCTCACTAAGTTCCCTTTTGTGTGCAGACCATGGCGACCGCATCCCTCGTCCGGGTCTGAGGCCACCAGGTCGCTTCAGAATGTTGGATTGCGCTCGTTTCCGCAATCGACTTTTGGAAAACTCCTTCATGGCCTGGCAGGTTGATGTCAGCTCACACAGTCATGAGTCGGTCGTGCAGATGTTTGCTTGAATTCTCACATATTCATTGCCAAACTGATCTGTGGCCAGATGCACGGCTCCATAAGATCCTCTGCCAATCTCCTCCTTGATGACATATTGATTGATCCTGAGTTTTGTCCCGTCTGGATCATCGCTGGTGTACTCGGAAATGGCATTGAGAGTTTCCTGTCACAGACTATTAGCTGCCAGGGTCCTTGACACTTGCGCCTGTGCTGATTCTTGGCGCGAGAGATGGAAGTGCCCACCTTGACTTCGCGATGTTGACTTGGCGTCCTCTTGTGCTGCCTCATGGGGCTATGGTATTGCTGAACGGCAGGTGCTGATCTGGCTTTCTTAGCAAAAGTCTTGCCGACATTATAAACCATGTGCGTCGCCTCGTCCATGGCTCGCATGTTTATTGTGCGGCTCCGCTGCATGGTCGCATTTCTATCTGCCTCATCTACAATATAGATGGCGGGGTTGCGAGCAGGTGGTGAAGCTATCTCTTACATGTGGGGGACAATGGCGGGGCGGTTCTGTGCAGCAGCAGCAGCAGCCGTGGCATCCTCATTAATGGCTATACGCGGCGACGGCAGGCTGTTGGTGCTAGCCATGCGCGCTCTGCCGTCGCTGCCAGGCGCAAGGCTGTCCCCGCCAAGCGCCGCAGGGGCGAGAGTCGCTATCGCAGGTTCCGTCGTCATCGTGTCAAAGTATATGTGCGATCAAAGCTAAGTGAGACTTCTAGTCGTGAAGCAGAGCGCGCTGTGCGGATCGAGGGGGGTCGTTCGGCATTGGTAGCGAAAGGTAGTTATGTAAAAGGACGGGACGTTGGAGGGGCAGATGGAGGTCAAAGAGGGGACCTCGGAGCGCAACCACTGGCCAACCCTATCCGTATATGTAGATATACCAGAGAGAATGCAAGATAAATCCGTGACTGGGCTGGAAGGACGAGAGAAAAGAAGGAGTAAAATAACGACTGTAGGTCAGCAATCGAGGGCGGGCACTGGGTACGTATTTCAACAGCTTTCGTATTTTTCTGGAGGAAGGCCGAATCGAATCCACATGAGCTCCCGCGACCCTCATCTCCTCCCCCGGTCCATACCTACTGTGTATCCAATCCTGTCCAATGCCGTGTGCCGTTCAGACTTTTTTGGATCTATTACAGACAAATTCAGCCCAACAGCCGTCCTTGTCCCTATCTGCCCCGGGAAATATGTAATCGATCCATACGAGTGGCTCATTCCGCAAATCGACGAATAGCGTCGCAGAAACGCGATTTGCTTATCCTGGCTGCAGCTCGAGACCCCCGGTCTTCTTGTCAGACTCTTGAAATTGAACAAGAAGAGAGTTGAACTGAGATAAACGTGCCAATGTGCGCTTCTGAAGAAGCTTTTCCATGGTGGAACCCGCCCGTCAGCCGGTTCTCGTAGGTACCTTTACCTTAGTGTCGGACCCCGCCAATGAGGTGGATCGGTGCCCCTCTAACCATTTGATCAGTGAACCCACGTTCCCTTGAATCCCTGTCTCCTTAGCTGCCCTTGCGGGTAAGCGGCTCAACCAAGATTGAGAGAAGGAAAAAAGGGTTGGTACCTTGTACCGAGCTTTGAGCTTGTCTTCCAACGGGGGGGTCAATTGGTGTTAGTGTCCTAGACGCTGAAATCGCGTTTGGCCAGGCCTTGCCGCGGCGCAGCAAGCATACCGCAATCGCAACCACCGCAACTGGAACCTTTAGCAGTCCGCAGTTCAGTGGCTGTTCAAGCAAAACGTGTCATACATAGCCACATTTATCGATTGCGGTCTGCAACTTCCCAATCCACAAACCTCTTTGCCAATCATACCTTGCCAGTAACAATCAGAGTCCTTGACACCGCCAACTTTCTCTCATCAACGGGGGTTTCCGCGACGAAAAGGCAAGGGGCAAAAAGGGAGCTGAGGACAGGTCGGCGCCCGAAGAACCACAAGGACAAGCAAACGGTGCAGTGTCGGCATGTGAATGCCCGCACCTTTACACAACCTGAACCATGCCGGTCCAGGTGTATTCGTTTTACATCTTTGACAGACACAGTACGCCCCCCGCCTCTCGGCTCTTCTCTTCCTGCTCTTCCTCTACCGACCGAACCCACTTGACGAAGAACCCATGGCCCTGAACTAACGCCGAAACCTCTTTTCCAGCCGAGTGCGTATACAGCAAACTATGGATCTCCGCGCCGCCGCCGGGGTCGATATCATCGAGTGATGGCGCGGGGGCACCAGGCACGGCACCGCCGCCTGCCCCTGTCGCCCCGACCGCGAACAGCATCAAGCGTGCCGGCGACGATGCCAAGCTCATCTTTGGTACCGTCTTCTCCCTGCGCAACATGGCGCGTAAGCTCGGCGGCGACGATGACGCCTTTATCAGCTACCGCACCGCCCAGTACAAGCTGCATTACTACGAGACTCCGACCAACCTACGCTTCGCCCTGCTGACCGAGCCCGGCGCCCCCAGCATGCGCAACGTCCTGCACCAGATATATATCAATCTCTGGGTCGAGTATGGTAAGTCGATGTCATGGGTGTGCCATGGATGTGCTACGAGTCCAGAAAAGGAGATGTACTGTTACATATCTGAAGACAGGCCGGACTTTCATCATTGCGGAGCTTCCGTGATCCAGGCATTTGATCCAGATCCAGTGGCTGACTTGTTCAATTCTTAGTTGTCAAAAATCCTCTATCACCCGTGGAACACAAGGGAGGCGAGGGAGTCAGAAACGAGATGTTCGAGATGGGCTTGGACAAATTCGTTCGCGGTCTGATGTAGAAGTCACTTACCAATGACACGGAGAACAAATCAACGATGTAGACCGGTGGCCAATGATCCTCAGAGTTATACAAGGCTTTCTCGAAAATCATATATTCTACCGAGTTGCGACGATAAAACCATTACGGCCTCGCAACACGCAGATGCAGCAGGACAATGAAGAGACAGCAAGGGTAATGTGCTCAACCTCTCGCAGATATGAGAGTTTTATCATATTGATACACGGCGCACAGCTGTCAACGACAACCATATAGACACCATAATACTAGATATTCAAACCATGCCAGGTGACGCCTGCCCTATGAGTAGTAAATTTCGATCCTATATGTCATGATTTCATAAAAACTTCATGGGCTTATCTTCGGGGCGTCGGTCATATCTGCGGCCAGCTCTAGTGTGTCCTTTTTTTTATGATTGCTCCGTCGCTTTCGACCATGCGCTCTCGAATGAAAACTGCGATGGCTCCTCCCGATCGATCATTACGACGCTTTCAGACACCTGACTCTGTCTGATGCTATCCGAAGGTGCAATAGACTCTGACTTTGAAACATTGATAAAGTCATCGTCGGCCTGAATCTCGTTTTCCCAATTGCTCGAGTACACCACGGCAGCGAAGGCTTCCAAGTCCTTCACACTCTCCATCTCTTGCAGGTATTCGTTGGGCATGCCGTTACCAATCACATGCGCTTGCCTGGTCAAGACTGACAAGATCTTGGGCAGCAGTACAACCTTTGATAGTTGTTCATCCTCTGATTCGGGGATGACGGCGCTGGTCGGCTGACGATCAAATGCGCCTTCGAGGAGCTTCTTGTTCAACAAGACGGAGAAACCGGCATCGAGCAGCAGAGTGAGGACGTGGTTGAAGGCGGGCGACTCGATGAGGTCGGATGTCTCGTTGAGCATGCGACGGAGCGCACTTGGAGTGGGCGACGAGGGCGCCGTAGTATCTGTGCTGGTCTCGGCGGCTGCACTGTCGCCCAAGACGCCCGATTCTCGGAGCACGAAAGCCTCCTGATCTTGCGGCGGGAGCAACAGCGACAGCCACTTTGAGCCCTGGGACGGTGCCTCGACCTTTTTCCGTACCTCTATCGTCAGTTGTGAGAATGTGTCGAAGCTCAGGAGATCTCTAGGGCTGAGGTGGCCAAACACATCGCGTACTGCCTCCTCTACTCGCTGCATAATATCGACCCAGCCCCTGTTTAGTAGCCACCAACTGAAGGTGAGATACTTTCTGTTTATATCAAAATCATTGCCATATACGTGCTCTCCGTTGTCGTCGTCATTGTTCTCCAGGCTAATAGTCGATTGTCCTGATCCGGTTGCGAGGGAGATGACGCTCGACAGGTAGCTGCGGCGGCCGAGGAGGTTGAGTTGGACTCTCGTGAGCATAGTCAACAGGGCGAGCGTATAGATGAGTGTAAATGCTCTTGTGATTGCTGTTCAACATTTAGCTTCCAAATAATCAAAAAGCTAGACGCCAGTGGCTGCTGCTTGTAGACTTACAGCTTATGGTCAAGTCGTCCCACAGCTGTCGCTTGGTCCTCCTTGACTTTTGCGCACTCGCGGGAATCTGGCCGCCTTCTTGCGTGCCATCGGTGGTGGATGCCAAGGGCGAGGGCAGTGTGATTTGGCTTGCATGTACGCCGCTTTCGCTCTGCAAGCTTACTGTACTTTTACCCTCTTCTTCCGTGAGGGTCGTGTCTGCGATACTCGGTGGTGTTGCTGTAGATTCGGCACTCCTAGCGTTCTTTACGCCCTTCATCTGCTGGATTTCCAACGTAATCTTTTCTGTATTCATGGTCTCGAGCACATTGGTAGTGGCTGTTGGTAATAAGGCCAAGACTGTAAATGTGCAGTCTTCTTGGTTCTGTTCGAAACGCCGCCGGAGACTATTTTCCAGGTATAAGCCCAACGTCTGGCAATGAAACGTGTAAAATCAATGCATATGCTAAACATACTTCTCCTTGGCTATACGATCACTACTCATGCGCTCACGGGCGTCGTTGAGCTTGGAGAGCAGATATTGGGTCGCAAAGTAGCCAGCTCCTATGACGCCGGCACCTATCGCGATAGGCGTCCGATTACGCTGGAACCATCTGCGGGTAGCGGAAAGCATTGTCGCAAGTCGTTGAGGGGTTCCCGCAATGAATTGCCAGAGTTTGAATTGAACTGACAGTCCAAGACTGTCAAGTTGAAATATGTTGATTGGAAAAGCTGCTGTTCACCAAGGCTTCAGCAGCTTTCCTGGCCGTTGTTCTAAAAGGCAGTTTCCGACGGACGGATGGTAATGTTGTATTGCAATAATTGTAGCAGCACCAAACATGAACTACTCCAACTAATTGCCCCGGCCGACGCGTGCCTCGGTACCTTCTGACACGCAACTCTCAAGGCACTCTGACTCGGGAAGCCTGTGGCGGTGCGTCTGGGGAGAGAGACCCCATCGGCTTTCCACCAGCCACACATCAACTCTCTCGACTCTCCTCCCGGTCATAAGCGGCTCAGCCCAATGTCTTCCTCCGGATCCCACTTGAACAAGTCTGGATTGCGGGTTGGGCCCCCACTTCAACGCAGCATGACGCTGGGCTTCAGTGGGCTGGGCTAGGCTGGTCAGTTTTCCCCCCCGTCCTGGTTTCGCTTGTCTGGGATTGGTCTGATTTCCCTTTGATGACCGACTGCCCCTCCAAAACTGTTCAGGTGAGCGGGAAATGGCCATCGGACATCTTCCTTTTTTCCCTTCGTCTTTGAACAAGCATTTCCCAAACGAATCTCTTCTCAAATGGTTTCTCAAAACACGCTCGGAATCATGGAACAGCAGAACCCTCAGGAGTTCATACTGGATGTCTTTACGGACCCGGCGTCCGTCCGTGACGTCGTCAGAGGTTCGTTCGGCCCATTCCTATTTGCCGCAACCAAAAATGCATCCAGCTGCCCCGCAGTCCCGTACGTCGGCGTACACACACATTAGGGACCTGCGATGCTTGATCGAACACCGGCGACATGCAGCGACGACACTGTGACGCAGCGCGATGGTTTCGTGAGAGTATATGACTAACACTGCATCTTTAGCCATATTACATACCATCTTCTTCCACCGTTTCTTCCCCGCCACCATTCCACAGTCGCGCGAGGTCCTCGACATCACCCTACCCTTTGTCCAGGACCAGGAGCTCGACACCATGATCGAGAAGCGCACGGCCGAGCTAGACCGCGAGCTGAGTGCTGAGAGGACACATGCGCCATACTCTGCGGGCGGAGTATCCGTTGGGGGCGGCGGTCGCGGCAACATATCCGTTCAGTTCTTTGAGAAGAAGCGCAGGAAGACGTGGTACATGCGCGCGGCGTACGGCGGCGGCGATGAGGAGATCTGCTGGGAGTCCTGGACCGTAAAGGTGACAGTGGCAGAGCCAAAAACAGAAAGTGGTGAGTGGCCGAGTCTGGCGGATAGCCAAAGGACCTACTCAGTTTCCATTACTAATAGTTTGGGTATAGAAAGAGCAAAGGTGCGGAAAGCCATGGAACAAACATTGCTTACGACGGTCATGAAGATTATTACAAACGTCAACCAGCACAAAGACCACATCCCACCGATTCTCACAAGCGAGTCGAACCCGTTTCCATATCAGATCAACGTCAACCAGAAAGACGCTGGTTGGGCCAAACGCATAGGGATCTACTGAGACATTAATCACAACATTTTGGAATTCATGCATGATATTGCAACGGATAGGATCTATGGAAATGGACGGCGTAATGGAGTTTTTGAGGTCGAAAGCTAGACTCGGGTCTCCACGGATTCTGCATATACTCTTCGACCGAGGTCGGACGGAATAATCGATACCCCCTTTTCTTGTTGACAAGTTCCCTACACCCATCATTGTCTTCTTCGCCAAGAACCTGGAGTTTTTGGACTCTCTGATGACTGGGCAAGAGCAGTGTTTATTATATCTGGTAGAGCACCATGAAGGATAGAATAAACACCAGCCACCGAAGATATCACATCAAAGAACGCTGACTAATAAACACACCAGCTAATCTGATAGTATATTTAAATACAAGATTATAAAAGTGGATCCCAAGGCGATAACATCGGCACATCATGATGAATGACTATTCTTGACATTACCATGTCGACTCACCAGATGAACTGTATTTTAAGGACAGCCCGTGCCTTGTTAGTTGAAGTCATTATGGCTAGGAACGAGTCTGAGTGGTTCCACATTGGAAAGTAAAGTATGTCTAGTCCTTTTACCGTATTTGTATTATACAGAGATAGTCTACTAGAATATTTGCTTGCAGTAGTATTGCCCAAGACTGGACCGGTTTGCGAGACGTTTTCGTTTTATATCTTAAGCGACGAAACCCCATTTGCCCGAGAGAAAGGCCGTGACCTCAAATTTACCAGGGCTGTCTGGATGGGATTGCTTTGGAGCAAAGACCTGGGGCGAGAGTAGGAGCCTTATGGTGCTGGATCAGCTTCATCAGCAAGGTGCCACCTTGGTTCATGAGGACATGTAGTTTGTTCTTAATTAGCGATTATTCATGATTAGCTGACTGGAGTTGCTCGGTGGAGTCCAAGGCTTGAGAAGTGCTATAAAGCCCAATGTGTCGTGCTTTAATGCCCAATAATGGAGCCCCTTCATTGCATTTTTAACCTTCACAAAGGGTCGGGAACCCGGACTGTTTGCAATTCCTGCAGCCTTATTCGGTGGAGAGTTCAAAGCCCTTTCATTTTCACTGCAAATTTAGCATTTCACAAGTGTCTAGAGATTCCCTGCGGGCCTTGCTATGTCACACTTTTTTTTCACTGCAAATTTAACCCTCAAGAAGGGTCTGGATGTGACAATCCGCGAGTCCTGTACCCTTGTCTTGCTTGCGGTACGGCCTTGGCGCTTGGCCTCACCGAAGCTCCGAATATCAACAAAAGAGCCTGGGTGCGAACCATCTGCCTTATTGTGTAAAGAGATGAGAATGTTTGCAATTACCACGGTTCTGAATATAACACACAAAGGTTGCAAAGTGACACTTACAGCATACGTGATCAGGCTTCGCATCAATCATCTTTGTCGACTCGTGAAATTTCATTTTGTTCAATGCATTCATTTTCAGGTTCCCCCCACGGTCGAGGTCTTGGAATGCGAGAGGCGGATCATGCCCGGATTTCATCTTATATGAAATTCTTCGATTGATGATAGAAAGAGATGTCTCATATATATTGCCGTTGAGTTCATCTATTTGTTTTCTTATACATGTCTGGATTCTGAGCCTGGAAGTCGACTGTATTTGACTGGTACGCACACTGCTCTTACATGGATGCAAATTCTAGCCATCCTCAAGAGGCTGAAATCTCATGCCCACATCGATGCTGCCGTTGACAAGACAAAAAGGAGAACACAAACGCCGACGACACCATGTGTTGCATTGGGTTTTACTGCTGTCTGCGGAGAGATGACATCTTGTGCCGGAGCAGGACTCTCCAACGCAGCACTAGTCCAATCTTCGACATCTAATTCCTCGTAAGCATCAAGTTCGTCCTCGCACCATCTCTCGATCCTGTGAGTCAAGGGTCAGATATATGTCTGTAGTAGTGGTATTGAATGACTTACGGCTCATACAGCTTCGAAATGTACTCCAACATATAACCGGCCTCGAATCTCGGCGTCCGTACGTTTGCCTCGTCGAGGCAGTAGCTGACTACATCACGCATGTCTGCTGAGCCTGATTTATCGCGCACCATTGTTACTAGTTGCCTTACTGAGATTGGCTCCCAGTCATCAACCTCCCGGTTCCACTTCTGATATCGAACTGCCGTGTGCTCATCTATCCTTGGAGCTTGTCGGATCGGCGTAGTCGTGAGCAGCTCAGCCACAAGGATCCCGAAGCTAAGCAGCTTGTTATCGTGGGCATGATTGCAGTCAGTCCGATGTTGGAAGTCGACCCCAAGAGTGTTCAACCTGACAGCCAGGTCGTTTTTCAGAGCTGGAGCATCGCACACTGAGCGCAGTCCCAGAGAACAAAGGTCGGCAGTCCAAGGTGTGTCCCACAACAAGAAGACCCAGTTCGTCAGACTAAGAATGAGTTCTGCACGACGAGGCGTCCAGGACATCAAAGTAGCCTCATCTTCAAAAATTCCATCTCGGAAGAGGCGACCAAACGATCGGCACCGCTGGGATATTGGCCATGGCTCTTTGCTCACACCTTGAGTTGGATTGCCGTTGCCACATATCGCATGCTGCCAATCGATTGATGGAAATCCAGGTGGTACTGATCCATCGTGTAGATCTCGATTGTGTTCCACGCACATAGACATAATGTCTCCATCTAGTCCAGTTGGAAATGCATTGAAAGCAAAGCGAACCACGACGGGATCCCAATGCTCCCATTCTTTGACATTTCTAGCGCCATCGTGTCTCCCTATCTCCACCGTCCAGGAATGTGTCTCTCTGGAAATTCGGCCAATTCTGCGAGCTTCGTAAAGATCTTTGGCCCTTTGCGTGAATGGAGAAAAGAAAAACAGCAATTGAACCAGCCTTTCAGTATCCTCCAAAGTCGGCGTGGAAAGCCGAGTAGTTCCAATTCGTCTAGAAAACTCGTGCTGGCAGAGTAGCGTGATGTTGTCAATGGCGGTCTTCAAATCTTCGATATGTTTCTTGATAGTAACGTCTGTAGACAGCGCGAATAAAACCCTTTTCCAGGTTTTCAGTTCCTCGTCAGACTTGATTCCTATGGTGCTTTTGAAGATCTTCCAGCGGGTAGGTGGTGCCTCGAGATCCTTGGTGACACCTTGAATTCTTTTCTTAGTACTTTGTGAGAGATCATGGATACGTTGCCGTGCCGTCAGAATGTCCTCATATTTATCTAGCCAGATAGTCTGATATGCAGCAGTGTCAAATCGGCGCCAAACCATTTCCCAATTCCGATACTTGGACTCTGATGCTTCCAGGCTCAACTTATAGTCATTAAGAAGACTTCTGCAATCTTCGTATTTCTTCTTTAGCTGGTACAGATGTGGAAGGGTAATAAGAACAAATGAGACTTGTGCTATGGAGAAGCCAATGGATCCAAGTATCCCCGACGATTCCATTGGAAAATCGTGGCAGCCTTGGAGCACCTGTCAACGAAATCGGCAACTTCGGGCGCTGAAAGTCTTTCGTTGAAGTTTCCTCGATGATGAAAAGGTTTGAATCGTTGACAGCCCGGCCGGCGAATTGCTCACAGCAGCACTCGGGCGATTCTGCACGATTTGAAAGATTACGCCTTGTCCTTTTCTCAATCATTCATCGCCTAGGCACCACAGAATTCCTTGTCTAATGCACTGCCGCTTTCATTTATGTAATGCAGTCTGGTACCCAATAGCGTCTGAACAAGCATAGGCAATGCAGCCTGACGTCCAATGGCGTCTGGACAAGATCATCCATGCCTGCATATGTTGAGCCATCGCAATTGGCACAAGTGTGCCCGGTCAAGGCTGACTGCTACGTAGCGCCGTGCACCCCAAGGGAAAGAGCACTCAACTGAACCCTTGGCAATGAATGCCTGATAGCGGAGACTATCCACGTGATTCAACCTTACGTAGATGTGTTACACAGCGGGGTTTTCATTCCGGTTTCTCAGCACAGCATATTGTAAGAAGACTCACATCCCAAACCACCATTTTGTTTGAGTATCAATTAGTGTTCACGGTCTATCTGCCCCAACGATTCTCTCAAGACCAAAGGAAGTAAAGCACCGACCATTGTATAGTGGTTTGGAGTCAGGAGAATCTCGCCATCATGTCAGAGAGCGATCAGTTCGAGCAATCCTTGGAGCAACTTTATGCAGACCTTAAGGAAACTATACGAGACTCTCTTAGTAAGACAGGCAGCGGCTGGGCTAGAAGACGACCACAGACGGCGTTGATTTTGCAGAAGAATTTGTCACAACTGACACACTGGGGTACCGATATTCGCAATGCGACACACAAGACACTGGACAAAGTCGAAATGGAGGACGAATCATTCGCTCTGACAATTCGAAATCAGTTGGAGGACGCCGAAGAATATATGTCTCAGCTTCGGCAACTGTGTGAACGCAGCGGCAATGGACCCGCCCTCGATATTGATATCGAAGCTGGTTTAGTAGAGAGTATGCAAGTCTCTGTTAAGTGCCTGCAGTATCAAGTCGATCCTTTGCGCGCATTCATATACTCTCTCAACCAACCATGGGCGCTGGGAAATTCTGCTTCTGGTACTCAGCTTTCGAACACAAGCTCGACAAAAGAACAGACTACCGTGGAACGGGGATGCTTTGAGTTTTCAGATACTGTGCGAAGATTGCTCGATGATCCTGAGTCCGATCTCAGGACACTGATACGTGCTTGTGTTTCGCTCAATTTCGAAAACAAAACGTTTTACTCTGAAGGCCCTTTAAGAAGAGTCATGACTTTACCACGGGTCGTAATCTTCCTGAGCCAAGAATATCCAGATATGTCCGAATCTGCAATCACTGGCCTGCTCAAACAGATCACAGCGCGTTTCCTTAGGGTGTTTTCCATCTTGCTCATATTGAATCGAGGCAGCCATATTGCAGAATTCATCGAGAAAGACGTCAGTGATGACAAACTTCCACTGACTATGAAGTCTGACTTCTCTAGAAGAGATGAGCTGCCAATATTTTTCCAAAACAATGGCGACCAATTACCGCTGGACTGGGAAATTTTCGAACTCCTGGACTTTGATCATTTACAATGGAAGTTCATGACCCCTGTACTGGATTCGAGGCACTTCCACCATTGGCGCTTGGATCAACGGATTCCCTTGCCTTGGAAGAGTGGGACAGAAAACATGCCTACATCTGGAGGGGTGAAGAAAGTCAGAATTCAACTTGGTTCTCATAATTTGAGCAATATCACAGCTGTGAGCAACCCCTTTCTGTTCTAAGCGTTGCACCGGCTTACCTGCTGTAGGACATAATTGCCGTGAAAACCATGCGCACTGACACATCTTCACCTAAACGGACTCTGCCCCTTCCAAATTTAATGAATATGTCATCTCCGACTAGTAAGGATGAGTTGTTGAGGGTGCTCAATATCCTTCATAGCTTCAAGAGCCCCCATCTTATTCAGTCCTATGGAGCTATGGAACAAGGTAATGAGTTGCATTTGATTTTCCCTTGGGCAGAGTGCAATTTGCGAGACTATTGGAAATCCAATTTGGGGATGTTGAGTAGTGCAAGCCACTCGGATATCGGAAATGAGCCAACGAAGGCCTTCGCCGCCTGGGATAACATTATATGGTTGTCCGATCAGATACGCGGCATCGCTCACGGATTAGCTACGTTGCATGATCTCGTCAATGGAACTGTCATAAGGCATGGCGCCATCGAGCCCGAGAGCATTCTTATGATGCGCGCGTCCAGGGAACTCCGGGGCAAATTCGTCATTGGAGGCTTTGGCAGGTCACATGTCTACTCTGAACTAGATCGCAGTGATGAAAATCGAATGGTCGCCAAGCCAAATGCATACATTCCTCCGGAAGATAACATGTCAGGCAGAGTCCTCAGCAGGCGGTCAGATGTGTGGTCTCTGGGCTGCGTCATGCTAGAGTTCATGTGTTGGATGCTCGGGGGTAATGAAATGATCGAGTCTTTCACAAGGAAAAGATCCCCAAATCATACCCATTTACATCAATTCAATTTTCTGGACATGGTCGGCGAAGACACAGTTGAGGACTCTCTAGCACCAGATGGGGTACGACGTCACCATTATTCAAATCCTGTCACTTTTTATGACCGCAGCGGTGGAGGCACAATTGAGATCCATCAAGCAGTGGCTGAGGTATGTACGCTGGAGGTCCGTCAAGCTGATAATTACTGATTTGCGGGTGTGCTAGTGCTTTCGAGATCTACGAGAACTACGGTCGTGCACCGAGTTTGTGAACGATGTTCTCGACATCGTGCAGAATCATATGCTGCTCATTAAATCTACCAAAAGAGTGTCGGTGATTGAACTGACGCACATGTTGGATAGTACACATACCAAAGTCATGGCTTCCGAGGTCTATGCAACGCATCCAATGCCCGAACAAAAACGTCTGGCAAAAAAAGAAGAACATTTCATCTACATAAAGTACGTTCCCACTCTAGCCGTCATCAAGACGTTACCAGGCGACGCCACGAGGAGGCAGTGAGATCCGAATTTCGTCACCCAAACTATAATCACATGAGCACATCCAAAAACAATGCATACATACCTCAACACGTCTTGGTACACGTCCAGGCCGTCGACGAAGGAAAAAGGCCATGGCGTCTCCAACGTCTAGGACCACGGTCTACGCTCAAGGGCACGCCCCAGGCCAGCTGACACCATTCTACACGGCCGCCCATACCCCTTTTTTAGATATAGATATCCAAAGAAAGAAATATGAACGGACGGGGGGCCACCCAAACTATTGCGCAGCGCTTTTACTTCCGTGCGGTATCACTCCGTGCTCTAGGAGGTTTCCTTGTAAGAAAGTCCACCCCGTAAAGTAGGAGGTCCAGGGACTAGAGGTCGGCTGGGTTTTAAGCAGCCTCGTCCGTCTAGTTATTTGAGTCGACGTGGGGCATCACAATGGATCAAACCCTCACGACGGGTCTTCCCCCCAAACGAGCTCAGAGAGCTCGAGTGATCAGGGGAGACCTTCCGCACTGGGGGATGTGTAGAGACGTGGGGCTATTGGAGGCCTGCCCAAAGAAGGCAAAAAGGAGGATGGGTATCGGATCGAGTTCGCGAGGAGGGTTCGGTCGAGGAGGGTTCGGGGTTTGCGGTCGGAAGGATTCGGTCGGGGGGATTCGATCGATGCGGTCGGGTTCGCGGTCGGGGAAATTCGGTCGGAAGATTCGGTCGATGCGGTCGGGGTTGGGATCGGTTCGGGAGGAGGAGGAGGAGGGAGTGGGTCCACGGAACCGCAGCTGATACCGGGGCACCTTGAAAATTAGGAAGAGTTAGAAACGTCAGAGTATGATGATGGCATTAAGAAATGGGACACATGAATGATTGATTGGATTGATGGATGAATGAATGAATGAATGAAAGAGTGGTATGAAAGAATGGGATGAAAGCGTGGTGGGTAAAGGGTGATGGATGGGGAGTGCATCATGGATCATGGTGATGGATCATGGTGTTGATGAAGAAAGGTGGTGGTACTAGATGAAGATGACTTACCATGGACCAGACATCCAGCAACCTGGTAGTCCAAATAGAAAAGTAATGAATGAATGAAGCTGAATGAATAAAAGCTCCAAGCTTGTGATCTGTTTGTGTTGATGGGAAGTGGTGGAACAAGTCCAGAGGGCAGGCATTTATAGAGCAGCAGAGTGGGTCCCGGCTGGCCGCGCGCAAGTGGTGAAGGAATTCTGCCCACCCCCGTGCCCGCGCAGGTCCAGCCCGGGGGAGGGGGACAAGCCGCTGCGGTACGTATCTGTATGGCTTCACGGCGGGCGACTGGACGCGACGCGACGCGTCTTGCTTGCAAACGCCGGCCAAGAGGTCTGTGGCCACTTTGGAGACACGGCCAGCTCGTCTACGCTGCTTGTTGCTGATAAAGTTCATGGTACTGCTCGAGTGACCCAGTGGTGTTTTAATCCATTTAGTTAGCTATTTTCATACAATGATCTCACTGATTACGATATTTATATTCTATTCTAACAGTGACCCTGATATGACATGGCAAAGAGCACGCATCTGTTGCGATGACTACACTTGGTCTTCCGCAGATGAATTACCATGGCATATCCAACATGAGATTATACTTCAGCTGTCTCCCTTTCTACTTGACATCTGTTGCCTAATAATACCAACTTGTGATTTCGACGTTGACAGCAAGACAACGTGAAGTTGCATACAGCCTTTCTGGGATTTCATTGGTGCAGGAATTACAGGATACTCAATGGAAGAGGGAAAAAGTTATTTTGGTCTCCCAAATATTCGTGCCCTCAAGGCCGAGAGTGACTCTCAGGGCTGTATACTATAACCCAAATTAACACCGACTTTTCTCTACTGCCCCTCAGATTAGACATTCAATGACGTGCTGTGAGAAGAACCAAGACAGTACTTTCAACTTTCATAAGAGGCGGCCGTTCATCAATAGTGTAGTGATCTCGACAATATTTGTCATATAGTAATTGTATTCACACCTAACCAGTTTTATACATTTATGATGCTACCTTTGTAGCATCAGCCACGCGCCCTTTGGAGTTTTCCCAATGTTGTACATATTCTATCGACATAGATTTCCCCTCCCCATATTAGAAACAGTTGCTTTGCTATCATCAACACCCACTTCATGCTTCTTTGCCATTATCGCCAAAAATCTCGTTGTACGCCACCGGCTTTTCCTGGCCTACGATGTGGATTGGCTGCTTTTTGGCTAGCTCATTCTCCTGGTCACGGAAGTCACGGCCTTCCTTTGTGTATCTGGGTAGAGCTCCACCAAACATGGTATTCCATTGCTTTTCTTTGTCATTTTGCTTGAACGTCGTCTTTCGTCGTCTCTGGCATTGCATAAAGAGTCGGTGAGCTCGCCCGTCTGGAAGTTCCTCAATGTTGTATTCGACCTCCCAAACGTCGTCTTTGGTGAGATTTTCTGGCCTTGTGACGTATTTGCCGTTGACTTTGTTTCGAACCGTCAACACCATACCAAGAAGGGGAAACTTGTCCTTGGTCTGCTTCTCCACACCTGCCTCTTCCGCAACAGGTTCTGACGGGTCGGCGGCGTCTTCTGTAGTCTCGGCTGCAACCTTATCAGCCAAGGCTGGTGTCTCATCCACGGCATCTGGAACTGTGTTGGAGTCTGTTGCTTGGTCGTCTTCGCGGGATTCGCTGATGATTTTGCTGAGAATCCGTTCGAATTCCTTAAGCTTGGAAGAGACGGCAGCATCAGGCTGCTCTTCCGATGTACCCTTTTCATCAATTTGGCGAGTCATGCGCACAATGAGATTGCTGAGTGTCGACATATTTGGGCTCGCTGATTCGCCATCAAGGTCCTTACTTTCTGCATCCTTGCTTTCGGATTCGTCCAAATCGTTTTCAGCCGGCGATTCTTGGGATGCTGGCTCTTGGGATGCCGCTTCTTGGGATGCTGCCTCTTGGGATGCTGCCTCTTGGGATGCTGCCTCTTGGGATGCTGCCTCTTGGGATGCTGCCTCTTGGGATGCTGCCTCTTGGGATGCCGCTTCTTCGGATGTCGCTTCTTCGAATGCCTTTGCAGGTTCAGCCTCAACCTGCTCTGACCTCGTAGCGACTGATTCGGTGTTTTCCGGTGCAGCAGTTTCCACCTCGGTCGCCTCCAATTCAGAGGTTGCTTGGGCTTCGTCGGTTACGACATCAGTGTTCTCGGCTGCGGAATTTTGAGCTTCATCGTCCACAACATCTGTGCTTTCGGCTGCGGATTGCTGAGCTTCATCGTCCACGGTATCTGTGCTTTCGGCTGCGGATTGCTCAGCTTCATCGTCCACGACATCTGCGCTTTCAGCGGCAGATCGCTGAGAACTATCAGTGACAACACTCAATAGCGCATCGACGTAGCCACGGGCTTCTTCTGGATTCTGATCTTCGAGCAGTCCACTCTCTTCCAGCGCGTCCTCGATAGCCTGTCGAACAGCCCCGATACCAAGTTCGTCATCTTCCATGGCATCTTCCACCATTAGCTGAATGTCACCCCAGGATACGACATCGTCATCCTCGTCTTCGTCCTCTTCTTCTTCTTTGATTTCAGTCTCTCTCGGTCCCTCTACCGCCTCAGCCTCGTCGATCTTCTCTTCAACCTCTGCCCCCTCAGTTCCTTCTTCCATCTCAGTCTCACCACGAGCCTCCGACACGATCGCATCAGTGATTCCACGCAACTGCCTCTCGACCACCTCTACAGAATCCTTGTTCTTGCTTTGCACCGACTCAATCTCTTCAGATGTGACAGGCTTGAAAAAGGCATACATGAAAGGGGCTACGTTTGATTCCCGCGTTTCGACGAACAAGCGCAAAGACGTTTCGGGGAACTTTGCCGTGGCGCGATCAAGCAATTGATTGAACAGCGTAAGACTGAGTTTGAACTCCTTATCACCAAGGGCCGTATCACTGGTACCATGTAAGGACAAGTCCATCTCACCTAGCGGAATGTACTGAAAACCAAAGATGCGCTGGGTGTTGTGGAAAGCAACAAAGATGCCATCCATTCTGCCCATGCGGACTTGGAGGGAGTACTTGAGGAAAGCGGCCCGGATCATGTCGTGATACTCGCGTTCATAAGACTCCCAGTTGCCATGACGATGACGAAGTTCGTACCCAAGGCCTTTTTCATAGCCTTGGACATCCATGCGAATCGAAATGACAGCTCTAGTCTTGAGATCAAACATGCCAGTACCGGGGACCCTGGGATCGTGAGCGTCTAATTGAGATCGCATCATGAAGTCGCCCAACCCAGTGTAGTGATATGCTTCATCGGCATTGCGCTCCTCCTCGGAGATTTGATGCGAGTTCACCCGACGGTACTTTTCATACTCCTCCTTCGGCAACGTCAGCAGCTTTTCCATGGACTTGCCAAGCATGCTTAGAATATTGGCCGAATCGAATTCCTTGTCGGCGTCAATCGCGTAGACGCCATCTTTATAGTGCAGAAAGGTGGCTGCCGGGCTTCTCAACAACCTGGTAAAGTTTGTGTTGGGCACTTGAAATTCTTGCGACATCATTCCAGAGTTGATCTCTCGCCAGCTGGAAAGAAGATAGTGGAAATGCGAAAGCGCAGCGGTCATGCTCGAGGTCGATCCAGTATACTTCTTGCCGTGCTCTCGCGCAACGCTAATGAGCGTCTCATCCTTTGATGATGTAATGTACTGCTTCAATGCATCAAAGTCGAATTCTTTGATGGGCATGATATTTGACAGGTATGGGTCGAAATTGTAGACCTTGGAACGAGGATCTTGAAGATAGTATACACCAGGGTTAAACAGAGCTCTCTCCAGTCCATACGAGAGAGTCGGGACTGGAGGCTGGGGTTTATCAATGGGAACCAAGTTGAGTTCATTGGCGTTGATGTTCGATATCTGGAGTGGTTGTTGCTCGAGTTTGGATTTTTTTGGCGAATCGGCTTGGTTTTTTGTCGATTTGTTCTTCGCTGGAACTTTTTTGGCTTCCACTGGTTTACTCGATACACCTTTCTTGCCTGCACCTTTGGTGGGAACATTCTTCGGTTCTTTGCTTTCTGAGTGTGATGCTTGCAGCGCTCCAATTGACACACCGGATCTCAAGAGTGCAGCATTCAAAAGCGCGACGTCGTCCATCTTTGGGACGGCTTGCTTCTTTTTAGAGCTGATCTTGGGACTTGGTGGACTTGGTGGACTTGGGGGACTTTGCTTCCTCTTGCGTCTTCGTCCGTTTGACTTGGGTTGTTGATTGGTCGCCTCAGCCTTTTCCTCAGACTTTGCTTCAGTCTTTGCTCCAGTCTTTGCTTCAGTCTTCGCTTTAGGTGGCGCCTTAGTCTTCGCTTCAGTCTTCGCTTCAGTCTTCGCTTCAGTCTTCACCTTGTGTGTCGCCTCAGTCTTCGCTTTAGGTGTCGCCTCAGCCAAAGTCTCTCGTGGTTTCTGATCTGGCTGAGACTTGGCTGCCTTTTGTGGCTTCTTCTGTGGCTTCTTGGGTTCCGTCTGTTCTTTCGTCACACTCGCTTTTGTGCCGCCGTAGTGGATATTTTGTTGTTCAAGAACTTTTTTCAAGGCTGCGAGTGCTCCTTGTAGTACTGCCAGATGCTGGCTTTGGTCCGCCGAGGCTGGCGCAATCTTTTCGGGTGGTGTCTTTGCGGGCGACTTCTTCTTCTTCTTTGCCTTGGCTTTAGTCACAGCTTCTGGTGGGTTCGGAGCTGCCTTTTCTGAAGAGCTAGATGCTCCAGGTACTACATCTTTTGCGGTTTCTACATCCTCAGATGAGAGACGGGCTGAGGTGGTGAACAATCGGTTCTTCGTCCGCGTGTATACGAGTTGGCTAGATGCGATCTTGCTGGGGCGCACGCTCACTGCGACCGGCGGCCGGGCAGCAGCGAGACATGATGGGCAAGTATATGCTTTTCCAAGGCGGTGGATGGCCTGACTTCTCAACCGAAGCATTGAGGCGACTTGTCAAAGTAGATCGTCGCTTCGGTGCAATGATTGTGATGGTGATCGTGGTGGCTGAACAGTACCCTACGTGTATGTTCTGGCTTAGCACTTGCTACCTGTTACTATGACGGCTCGGAGCTCCCAAACTTTTTTTCTGAGCGGCGCGTCTTATCGCCTTTTGCGCCGCGTTATCGTTGACATGGATGCACGACTTGAGCCTGCCAAGGCCTAGCGCGATCCAATGGATTCCATCTATTTACGAGAGATCCACTAAATTCAATTTAGCGGTTAATGGTTTCTCCGTATAGGCATTCGAGGTACATGGAAAGCAGTTGTAAATAGAATTGACACTTCCCTCGTCATTGGAAACATTCATTTTCAGAGGCGTCAATCTCGGAACGAGTGCCTCAGAGACCTGCCGAATTCGTGTGCTTCTCGACATGTGGCGACCTTGAGCTGTCGTCGTCGAATCTCTGTCACCAAATCCCAGTCCGTGCCTTTTGGCCATGGGTAGGACACAAGAGAGGACGACATGCCTTTTCCTGACAGACCTGTAGCCCATCTTCTCGGGTCAAATGGTAAGCCAAATTATGAATCACTACACCGCCAGTCCCTACACTAACATTAATTAGGCCCCGTTCATGCAGTCGCCTATTCGGCGTCGCCAGGGACATATATTCTGACGGGCTCATCAGACCGTTCGGTCCGCCTGTATAACCCAGCGCCAAGCACTTCGGCACTGCCTCAGAACTCGTACATATCCAAGCAGCAGACAGCGCCACCTATTCCACAGGGTCGCCTGATTCAGACATATAGCGCGCATGGCTACGAGGTTCTATCACTTTCCGTGAGCGCCGACAATGCGCGCTTTGCCTCGGCCGGTGGTGATCGATCGCTTTTCCTTTGGGACGTGGCCACGGCGCAGACGATCCGCCGTCTGGGCGGTAACCAGCAGTCGCACACGGCACGGATCAACACTGTTGCGTTTGCCGGCGACGACGACAGCCTCCTCGTCTCCGGGTCCCTCGACACGACCGTCCGAATTTGGGATCTCAAATCTGGCTCATTTAAACCTGTGCAGGCACTGACCGAGGCCCGGGACAGCATCTCAGCGGTTGTGGTCAGGGACGCCGAGATCGTGACGGGCTGCGTCGACGGTCGGGTCCGGACATATGATGTGCGCATGGGAAAATGCGTTACAGACGTCATTGGCCCATCGGTGACTTCCTTGTCGCTCTCCAAGGATGGAAATGCCCTCTTGGTTGGCAGCTTAGACAGCAAGATACGATTCATGGACCGCAAAGATGGCACGTGCTTGAAAACGTATGGTGACCCCGGCTTTCGTAACGAGGAGCTGAGGGTACAGAGTATTCTCGGAGGAAAGGAACAGTATGTCCTTGCAGGTGATGAGATGACAGCCACCCCTGGACGGAATGGGGAAGGCAGGCTTTGGGCTTGGGATACTTTGACTGGCAATGTCGCGGCCAAGATCACGGTTCCTTGGGGACCAGCTGGGTCAGAGCCAAGAAAGAAGCTCATCGGAAAAGATGGCAAGGAAAAGGAGCGCAGCAATGTGCTGAGCTGCATCGCATGGAGAGCGGACGGATTTGGTGATCAGTTCTGTGTTGGCGGCACATCAGGAACAGTGACTGTTTATGGATACCATTGATAAAACATTTGCTATCATGGCCCTAGAGGCAGCTCTTCATCTTTCGTTTTTTGTACATTTGTCATGCGCCAATATTAGCGTAAAGAAATCTATCAATGCCCGCCACGTACGCCAGGAACGCCCTTGCCCAAGATGCAATAGTCTTTTATCCTTCAAGACTACCCAGACTTTAATACACGCGGTGACATTTACAACGTCGCAGACCGGAGCTCATGACTTTTGAATTCTTTAGCCCATACCAACAAACTTGAACCAGTTTGGACGACAGTCCTCCTTGTTCAGCCATGCCTCGCCATCAGTGAAGCGGCCAGTGACACAGCCCTTGCACTTTGGCGAGTTGGGACAGTTGAAGAAGGGAATGTGTTGATATCCGATATCGCGGAACCTGAAAGTCGCTAGTTAGTAATCATGGTATTGTTTGTTGGCATTTCAGGCTGGACTTACCAGTGGATCTTGCTCTTGTCCTCAAAGAGACCAAGCGCGATACTGTGTACTGGCGCATCACCCCATCTCTCATAGAAGAAACCACCAGCACGATCAAGATGGTTGAAGTAATCCTCGTAGACCTGGCTCCTCCAGAAAGTCATGTCTGCAATCTCAAAGTTGCTCCAGAAGTGGCAAGTAGAGTAACCATTGGCCTGCTCGTTGTGGCTGGGGCGACGCTCCTTATCGGTCACCCACTGGAGAGCATTGTTCTTGTGCAAGTAATGAGGGTGCTGAGCAATGAACTTGCTGGTCTCTGGCCACAGAGTAGGGATCGATTTGGGCGCATCATAAAGGTTGATTGTGAAACCGTACGTCTTGTTGTTGTCCTGCATGTAGCGGAAAACATCATAGTCCACGTCGCAGAAGAAGTGAACCTTGGGCTCTACACGCCAGTAGAACTGCATATGCTCGAGGGCCGGGTGCTTGTAGAAGAGACCACTGTTCCATCGACACATTTGGTGGTACGAAAGTTTATCGGCGTATTGAATGTCGTTTTCCTTGAGAATCTTCATCGACTCCGTGTATAGATCATCATTGATCCACGATGGCTTGTCCCAATGTTCGGCAGGGATGACCTCTTGAATCTTGTTAGCTGTTATCGTCTCCTTGCGCAAGAATGTTCCTACCATATCGGCACTCTGCCTTTGTCGCGGCTTGCGTCTTCTTCTTAAACTCCTCACTAAAGGGCACTTCGTTGAAGAAGGTCCAGGGGTAGTTGAACTTGTGGTTCCAGGTTCTTTCCAGATCTCCCATGGCCTGCAGCATGCCCTGCAACTCCTCATTTCGTACCAGGGCAAGCAATGTCGCATTGATTCGCGCCGACGGGTTCGCATCGGGGGCGTATGCGGGTGATACTCGCACCAGATTGCCTTCGGGCTCTCCGGTCGCTGTACATACATGTCAGGTTATGAAAGCAGGGCTCTCGCGACAGATGGATATGACTTACGATCCAGGTTGGGATCTCGCTCCAGGTTCTTGAGGGAATCACCGGGACCCATGGGCGTCGATGGCCGCCATATGGTGTAGAGGAAGAAACACCACATGAGTATGGCGGCAAGGCCCAGGGCGCGGACCGGCTTTGCGATGGCCATGATGTCGGCTTGTGTCGACTCTCTACTGTCTGCGGTACATGAACGCGAGAGTTGCAGCCTTCGTGTCGCGACCGAGTTGAGACTGGGCTCACTTGGCGGGTTGGTGCAATCCCAGGTGAAAGTAAAGAGAAGGATGAAGAGCAGATTAAAAAAAGCTTAAAAGCTTGTCCGACGTGTCTCAATTGTTTCGTCCAACGATGGGTCGACCGACTAAGCAGCAAGAGCCGAGCAAAAAAAGATGATGGCCAGCGTGCGGCTCGAAGGATGGAGAACTCAATGGTTTTGCCTTAGCTTTAGTGTCGTCCTGTCCCAAGCCTGGCATAAGGTAATAAGGTAGTATTATGGCTTATCGATGAATGTGGCCCTGGAGCTTTTCCAAGGTTTGCTTGGGGGACAGGGACCGTTTGCTATGAAAATCCCACGTCGCAGCTTGACGCGGCCTCTGCTGGAGAAAAAAGGGGGCGGCTACTTCCAGCTCATACGTCTGCACATACATTCCATCTCGTACCTAAACAGACAGCAGCATTAGCGATACCGTGTGAACGCGACGCGGGGCCCAGGGGTGAGGGGCGTTTATTAGGTGCCGTCTACAGCTAAGGCAAGACACTGGACGCCTGCCTAGGTACCTTGAAAGTCAAGACAGAGAGACGCCAAGGCACTGTGGATTGCCAGGATCCCACCCCAACCTACACAGTACAAACCTCTCCGCGTAATAAGGGTGACAATCAATCAATGCAGGACTTGTCAATGGTGTAGTCAACACCCTTGTCCGCCGACAAAACACGGAGACCAGTCGCGTCTTTACGGCTAACGGCACTACCATCCCCATGTTATTACTTCTATTGGATGTGGAATAGGACGAGGCTCGGGGTTTTTGTACCAGACACAGGACAAAGGCATGAATAGTTCCTGCGCACTGCTCACCAGTTGCAGTAGCCCTGGTCGCTGTAATGGCTTTTGCAGCAAGACTGAGCGCCTGGACCGAGGAGCTCATTGATGCTATCGTGACTCAGGTACGTATACAATTCCAGACCAAAATTCGACTTGAGGTCAATTCAAATGAAGAAGAAGAAAAAAAAAAAAAGCTGACAACAACAACAGCAACAACAACATGGTCCTAAAAGACGAAAACCTCTGAGGGATTCCAGTTTACAGAAACTCCGTCACCACAATTTCCTACGCACCAACCAGTTTGATGTTGAACATCAGCTCAATGGACTGGAGGAGCGTTTCCGGGTTCTGAATCGAGATGGGCTAGCCGACAATTTGCGCGACAACTTGGAAAAATTGTCTACCATCTCTAACAAGTTCACTCCTGATGTCCTGCATTTCCTCTTGGCATTAGCAGATCGACCTTTCGAAAACTCCAAACTCAAAGATCTGGAAGCTCTGCGACAGCCCGAAGAGGATCCGGGACTGCAGCTCAGCTGGGCAGAGATTGCTCGGGAAGATGATTGGGCTGCGGACCGCGAACTTTGGAGAAAGGTTGATTTTAGAGACGACAGCTCTGAAGACGAACTCGTCGAAGACTCGGATGCATCGGAAAAATCTGCAAGCAGATCGCCTTCAAGCGTCGAGGCTCAATATAGACGCCGACCAACAGATTTACTTCTCAGCCCGCAGGAGGTGGATCTCAACCAAGTTCGCGAGTCTCAATCGTGGAGGATAGTGACGACCGAAGCATTATCCCAGCCTGATAGAACTGAAATCACAGAACTTCATGCTCTGCGAGAAGTCCTATTCATGCTCAGGGGCTTGAGCAATGATTTATTCAATGCTGATTGCCGACCCGCCGCCAGATGCAAGTTACCCCACGCATCATGGAAATCATTCCAAGTTGTATTGGGCACGTGGGGCGAGTTCGGAAGGAACCTTCATGTTTTGCGAAGGTTCACCAGAAAGGATCAGCAATCGCCCCTCCTTCAGGTATTTCGGTCTGCCATAGAACAAAGGTTGCAAATTCTTGATAGTCAACTCGCAAAGACCGAGGCAGGCATTGTGGCTATCCGCAAGGATACTGTCGTTAGTCTTCTCAAGGCGGCTGAAGACCTACGACCGTGCTTACAACCTCTTTGCGTACTATCACAGATCATCGACAAGCTTGAAAAGGAAAACTACCCTCATCCATTCCGATACCTGGAGCTGTTGTTTGATCGAATCGGCATCGCCCAGCTAGAAGGCGATAGCCAACTTTACCGGGCTCTGGGCACTATCTTCTTTGAATGTTTCAAGGTATATCTCAGACCTATACGCCAATGGATGCAGGATGGTGTGCTTTTGCCAAATGATTCAACTTTCTTCGTCGTCCAGGTACGAGCTCAACTACCATTGAGCCAAATTTGGAGCAGTCAATTCAACCTGCGCAAGTCTTCAGACGGAGCCCTACACGCTCCTAGTTTCCTTCAGCCGGCCGTGGACAAAATATTTGCAACAGGGAGGAGCGTGGTGGTTTTGAAGAACCTGGGCAAATACGAGATTAACCACGATACTGGCACCGAACCATCTTTCGATTTTGATGAACTCGTCACGTCTGGCAATGGGGACTATGCTCCTTTCTCCGACGTGTTCAGCTCGGCTTTTGAGGCCTGGATGCAAAGCAAATACCATTCAGCCGCTGCTCGGCTGCGACAGATACTATTTGATTCTTGCAGGCTTCGATCGGTTCTCTCGGATTTGCACCATATCTATCTCATGATGGACGGGTCTTGTGTAGATGCATTTGCAAAGCCCCTCTTCAACAATCTTGACCTTCTCAACATCAAATGGCATGATCGTCTGCTACTCACTCAAACATTCCACGATGCCTTTAGGGCAGTCGTGGACGTTGACCGCGTTGTGGTTACGACAGCTGGAGATGTCCCACAAGATATTATCTCGGCACGTACAACTGTTCAAGAATGCTTACCAGTCATCGCACTGACTTATAGTATGAATTGGCCACTCCGCATCATCATCTCTGAGGAAAGCATCGCACATTATCAGGCCTTGTTCACATTGCAACTACAGAACCGACGGGCGATATCCACGCTGCATAGATTTCGACTCAAGATGGACAGCTCCTCTAATTTGAATTACGAGCAAGGACTATATTACAGGATGCGCTCCAGGATTTTGTGGTTCTGCAACTGCCTGAAAACTTACCTTGCGAATCTCATTATAGCTCCGCTCACTTCACAACTTCGTCATGATCTGGACCGGTCAGAAGACATCGACGCCATGGCATCTATTCATACCATCTTTACCAAACGTGTGCGGGAAGCTGCCTGCCTGAGTAGCAAACTCAACCCCATTCGGGAATCAATGCTTGAAATCATGGACCTTGCGATATGCTTGGAAGACGCCCGACAAACGGAAGCTAAACGTCAAGGAAAGGAGTCTGAAGAAGCACTCGGTGCCTCGTCAACACCCATGAGATCATCACAGAATCCCAAGTACACTAATGCTGCCGAGGACGAGGATAGCTCTTTTCTCGACGATCAAGAGAGAACCACAAACAGTTCCCCACAAAAGCCGTATGTTGAGGTACTTGCGGATATCAACAAGGAATATGACAGACATCTCCAATTTGTTAGTGGGGGCTTACGAGGCGCGGCACGAGCAGCCAAAGATGACGCTGCTAGTAAATGGGACCTGCTGGCTGAGATGCTCGAGGTCGGTCTGGAACACAATCACAATTCGTGGTAGTCCTGGTAGTCCTGGTAGTCCTTCATGGACTGGTGGTAACTGATAAGGGTCCGCTGTGGCGGCCGTCGTCTGTCGATCCGGAACCGAATCAAAACATGTTGCACTGGGGCACTGGGTAGTATGACTGACCCAGGATTGCCTGCATCTCATTCATAGTGTCGAATGTTTCTGTAGAAGATTACCGCTTCGATTGGAGCAAAGTGACGAAAGATGACGAAACACTACGGTGGCCGTCCTGGTCAATGGGTGTGTTGCTTCTGGAAAGTCGCTACAGGCCCACTGCCCATTAGTCTCGGCTTTGCAACCTTCTCGATTCCAATTTGAATCGAGTGGGCTCATGAATAGATTATGACGAAAGCACAGATGCATGCGTTCGTCCGTCCCGAACACTCGGTGTGACTCCCATTTGCCATCAATAGTCTCACGAAACGTCAGGTACAACTGCTATTTTAAAATAACCGACATCTGACATCACGACTGGAACACCCACTGGGACATACACCCTTTGTAGACTGGGACCTCTCTCCTGTGTTATGTCAAAGAATGTTGCCTGTATCTTCTTCCATCGTCTCAAATAGTCATACAGTCAACTCGCCAAAGTAACATGTAGACTGCCCAGTAAATATGACCTGGCTCTTCTGAGGAGGTTGAAATATTCTTGTTGCGTCATAACAAGCAGCCGCAGATCGAGATCCGTGCTAAACCCTGTCCAAAGCCGGGATTGACCAAACTTATGCGAGAACTCCACGTTTCGGCAACTTGAACCTTCTGCATGTATCCGGGGCTATACAGGCGATCTTTTATTTTACTTTCTCGTGCTGAGTTGCAGGCAGCAGGTTGTTGTCTGTTTATTGCAAACAAACTTGGGTGTTGCTATATCTGGCGTATGAATTCACTTTAGTGGGACAAGATGATTTGACGTTGAAGATCATCACATCGCCAGCGTCCATCGGTGCTGCAGGTGGTATGCAGATTGCTATCATCACCCTGCCTGGCAGGATCAGAAATTAAATGCGTTGGAGTAATGTTCAATATGGCAGAACCGGCCGTCTTGAAGTGGAGATTTGACATCACTCGAATCAATTGATATCATCTTGATCATCTTGACAGGCGGTGCTGGTTCCTTCTCTCTCTCAAAAGGTGACATCAGAAAATATGTGGGGCCACGTTCCAGAACACTCAAGCCCCCCAAACCCAAACAACCATAAGGCTTAGCTGGTTGAGCCTCAAGCTAGTGATTACTAGTGCAAATCCGGGAATATTTGAGGCTGAATGCGCCACAGCCACAGATCCACTTATCTTAACTCCGACCTGACCTCTACCAGGACATGCAGGCAGCTAACCACCAAAACCAAACATCACGGCAGCCTTGCGTACGCCATCACCAGCTTCTTCAGCCACAATCATTTCTTGCCCTAGCCCATCATGTCTGAGCGAAAGGTTCTTGTAAGTTCTGAACCAATAGCGCAGTCTACATGAAGAAATCTCGATACTAATTGCGACAGACCAAATACTACCCGCCGGACTTCGACCCGAGCGCGCTCACGAGAAAACGCGGGCCCAAGAGCGTCGGGCCCAAAGTGCAGACCGTCCGTCTCATGGCGCCCTTTAGCATGCAGTGTCTGCGCTGCGGAGAGTTCATCTACAAGGGCAGGAAATTCAACAGTCGCAAGGAGACGCCCGAGAACGAAAAGTACCTGGGGATCCAAATCTTTCGCTTCTATATCCGCTGCACGCGGTGCTCGTCCGAGATCACCTTTGTCACGGATCCCAAGAACGGCGACTACCGCTGCGAGCGCGGCGCCAAGCGCAACGTGGAGCCCTGGCGCCAAAACACCGAGGACGAGACGGACGAGCAGCGCCTCGCGCGCCTCGAGCAGGAGGAAGAGGAGCGCAACGCCATGGTTGAGCTCGAGGCCAAGACCGTCGACGCCAAGCGCGAAATGGCCGTTGCCGACGCTCTAGACGAAATTCGGACGCGCAACGCCAGGCTGGAGCGCTCCGAGCGGGACGGTGTCGAGTTCACGGTTGCCGCGCCCGAGGATGATGAGGCCGCCCGGCAGGATAAAGAAGATGAAGAAGCCGCCAAGGCTGCGTTTGCGGCATCGCGGCAGGTGGACGACATTGTGGATGAGGTTCTGGAGGAAACCGTTCTAGACGCAGAGATGCCGCCCCCACCCCTGCCAACTATTAGAAAGGCGCCGCCGGTCAAGAAAAAGGTCGGTCCAACTGCCTTGGGAATCAAGAAAAAGGAAGCAGAGCCTCAGCCGCAGGCTGTAAAAGCACCAGAGAAGAAGCCCATGGCCAGTCTGGTGAGCTATGATTCGGATTCGGATTAAATTGCCGGCCCTTTCGGATTACGCGTCAGGCCGAGAAATCGTCACGAGACTTTTGATACTTGTTTATAGGCATAGCGAGGGTTCATGGCGTAATGGATGTTTTACATGGCTGATTAAATCATTACTATCACTACCCAACAACTTTTACTCCAATAAGAGATTTGATTGTCAAATAAAGTGTTGGTTTCCAGCTATTTTATGTCATTCAAGCATAAACACGTGTTTTATTTCGAGATATCGTTCATTTTTTTATATTCCTCGCGATCTTGATGCTCACCTAGCTATAATTCGCAAACACCAACTACGCAGATACCCATACCCCCTACAACCACCCACGAAGCCAAGTATTAAGTAGGTATCTTGCATATCATGACCCCTCTCAAGAACACCAAGACGCGCTACCTGCGTATGTCCACAAGACACTACATTTCGGTTGAATGTCACCTAAAAAGGTACCGTCGAAAGAGGGATCTGCGGCGGCACATGGCCATGTTCCCTGCCACCGATAGTAACCTCTTCAGAGTCGGCAAGTCGGAACGCCATTCATTTTTCTCTCTTGACCCCGCGCGACCATCCCCCTCCAAAGACGGAAGAAGGAAAGGGGATAAAGGGGTGGACACGCGGGCATCCTGCCCGTTGATCGGTGGCAAAGGCAACAAGGGTGATGGACATCGGCAACCACTAACCCAGGCAAATATGTGCACAGAAGGGTCGCGGTCGATCTGCGCAGTAGTTTGGGGGGTTTGTACCCATCGTCTCCATTGCCACGGGGATGAGGAATTCGTTGTAGAAAGGGACACTCAGAAGATATGCATCCAAATCGTCACGCTAGTTTCGCGGCATCCCGAGCACCCTTCGAAACAAGTCACCGGTGCAAATATCAAGTGCGTGCGTGCATGATTGAATGAGATTTGTGTCTTCATGATGCGATAACTCTCTTGTGCTAGGGCTCACTCATGAACAAAATTGTTCGAGCAACTCCTCAAATTTATCCAACCAGAACGCCGCGTCTACTTGTTTTTATATCCCGTATGAGTGCCAAAAACCAAACACCAAGCTCCCATGCTATGTAACCGGACAAATCCCCCTACAATCATAGTAGTCGTGGAGTCGTTATAGAAATGTCGCTCAGCTCGAAGGCGAGCGTTGGGCGCAGATTTGCGCTTTAAATGAGACTTTCGTCTTCTCATTGGCGTAATAATTTTGCCGATGTTTAAATAAAGTTGTTTTGTGTGCCGGTGCTGCAGTGACTTTGACGATCGGAACAGCGTACTTAATCAAGTACCGCGCTTAGTCGTGGTAGTCATCATGGGAGCTCCGCGACGACGACGACGAAGATGTTCCGTTGGACATGCTGGGAGTGCCACGATCCGAGCGCGGGCTACGTCTGTGCGATGCCCTGGACATCTCCTCCATTTGCTTCTTGGTGTGTTGGTGCATGAACCGAGCATACGATGGCAGGTCGCTTGGGGGAGCGGGAGAGAAGGGCAGAGCCGACGAGGTGTAAGTACCGCGAGAAGACATTGTGTTTGGTGTTAAATTGGAAATTTTGCAGATAATGATGCTTGATGTGAATGGTCGCACGAGTCTAAAAGACTAAATTGACTAGGCTTGATGTGTTCAAGTGCTGAATATAAATGTTTTGAGATGAAGATGAAGTGAAATCGAGATCTGAGGAGGTAGATTCAGGGTCTTATTATATCAAAGAACAGACAAGAGAAGGGTCGTCCCAACCGATGATGCAGACGCGGGCGTTTGAGGCGGCTTCTGACTTCAGAGCAGCAAAAGAGTCCCTTACACACTAGACAGGTACTTTCTCTCTCTCCCATGGGCGGGGGTCGGCTAGCCAAGAGCGTCCGTCAGAATTAGTGCTTCCTACGCCAGATTCCCATGTCTCGACCACAGGATACTCGAGATCTGCAAATACCATGACCGCTTTCGTGCCGTGACTGGAACCTACCCATGCAGGTTATGGCGTAGCTGTGTCCGGGCAGAGGGCTTCTGTTTGCGGACCCTTTGCTGGGATGGTTGCTCGCCACGAGCATGGGGGGGAGGATGATGCGGTATTGCTGCCACCCAAGTGGATAAAGGACGGGAGTATTGGCTGGACGACGAGGGGAGACGGGGGCCCCTAGTCCCAGCCCTCACTTTGTCCCCCCAGACCAATGACAAAGCATTGCAGAATATGACGGGGTGCCGGGGTGATGAGGTATGATGACCGACCTGACGGAAGAGGAAAGACCCTGCAGATCTTGAAGTCATACCCCTTATATCATGCTATTGGCTGGCTGGTGCTGAGAAGTGCGCAGCAAAGTGAGATGGTGTGGATCCCAAGCATCAGAGGCACCCGTTTCCCACACGAAAAGCTAAACTCTCTGGCGGATCAAGGTCTTAGACTCTGCTCTTCTCACATCCGAAAGTTTGTTAATATTCTATGCAGTAGTAGTTTATACTGCAGTTGCGACTCCGTCATGATGAGAGCAACTTGAATGTTTCATTGATTTGGGTAGTTGAGCCTTTGCACACCTGACTGTAGATCGGTAACTCTGACGGGCGGCAAAAGATGCCTTGGATTCGCCTTGTCCTGGTTGGTTTGGCTGCCACTCTGCCCACCTAATTTGCCTACACTCGGTGTCTGAGTTTATGAGGATGAGGCAGAATCGGAGTTAACCAGGACTAGAATACTAGCCGGAACCGTCGCACGGTAGAGGCGTACCCGAAAGACCAAGCCCTGCAAGGGTCGCCAGAGTTGGGCTTGGACTGGCGGGCTGCGCTGTCTGCAAAATGCCTCGTCTGCCCGTCTGTCATAGGGTGTCAGGTATCTACGCCCGCTACGTATTCCTGGTCAATTTGTTTTTGATTGGGTCAAAACATAATCTTGCATGTGTCTTCATAGTACAAACACATGCTGCCCCGTCTGGTTTGCAGACCATGACCCGGGACCGTGCATAAGTGGCCAACTGTGTTACGGCAGATCCCTTTTGCTTGAGCTTGTCTGCTTGTGTTCACATCCGAATCCCCAAGAGGCAAAGACAGTCACCCCAGATTCTGCGCAACAACTCTGGTTGGCTCGATACTCGCGTCGACTGATGGTAGCGCATATCGACCAGGGGCAACACCTGAGCTCCATGCCATGGTCAAAGTGAGTGTGAGGGGCACTGTTCAGCCCTAGAGGTGCGTTTCGCTAATATCATTTGTTGAACTGGAGGAAACCTCCCGGGCCGCGAAAATTCAGGGTCCTTTTCTCCAAAATGCGATATCAAAATATGGGCATCTTTGAAATGGTGGATGGTTTTATCATATGGATCTGCCATGTCGCCCCCTTGTGCGGGCGGATGCGGATCAGCAGTCGTCCTAGTCGAGACTCTCCCTCGTCGCCAATATCCATGTAAGCCATGGCAAATTTGGTCTTTGCCAATGGCAACATGACCCATCGCCATACCCAAGATACCTTCAAGCAGTGACTTGAAGAAGCTTTTCGGGAGCATGTTTTGTGCTCCTTGCTCCTATGCCGGGCACACAGTGACGGACACAGATTTCATTGCTGTGGAGCTTCGACTGCAGCAGCCTCCACCATCTAACATCAACCTAAACTGCAGACTGATGGAGTCCATTTGGGGTAATTTCAGCAGCATTTGCCATTTCATTTCCCAGTCGAAAGGTCTTGATTCGACGTCAGAATTGAGACCGCAACTGCCTGTTGGTTGGGGCAATGATCCACTGTCAGCGGTCATTAACCATGGTCCGTGGCCGTGAATTCAGGGTCCAAGTTCCAAGGTTGCAAGTAACAGGGGCATATCGGGGAAAAAGACAACTCAACAAGCGAACAAATTACAAACTTTTGCCAAGACAAGACAAAACGCGTCTCTGCAGAATGGCGCTTGGAGAGATGGGATGAGCATCATCATGGGGAGAGGCAAGCGAAAGAAAAAAAAAACAAAAAAACAGGGCAGGGCAGGCGACCATAGGCGCCTCGATGGTTCGCTAGCCTAAGGTACTGGTGCTATGTGTTTCGCATGAGGAACTGGCAGGTACCTAGGTCGGCAACCTTGACGAAGAATGGTCCGTGCCCGGTGAGGTCACTCGTGCGCGGCTGGGAACTTCCGCCACCGCCCCGACAATTTAGGACTGACAGGTGCAACCAGTACACAAAATATCGAATTCCTTGAGCAAGCCAAGAGCCCACCCACAAGAGTCCAGACACATCTCCAATATGATGTCAGCAGAACAAGCTCGAACATCTCTTGTTTGTGTTCTGCTTGTCTCACAAAATTATTAGGGTTCGCGAGTTACCGAGCATCCACAGGGGTCACTATATGGAGCATTCACAGACTGAGTTGCTGCTGAACCCCCCCAGTCCCGTCTCGCTCGGCGAATCATGCAAGAGCTACACTATCCAACATAGGGAATGATGGAATGCTAGGCCGAAGCTGCGAGAGTCTCTTTTCTTGGGACCGCTGCCCGTCGTCTTCTTCTAATGCCCAGACAGGTCATTCCGGGCATTCTAGGCCCTTTTCGACCAACCTGCATCAACACTGTTTGCCGCTGACGATGGGTCTGTTCCTAACCCCCGACCAACATATCGGAATCACACGTGGTGACGAAATAGGGGCTGCCAAACCGTGTAAAACCATATGATTTCCTTAATCACTATCACACCACGCGGGCATGCGAACATGATGGTTGCAGATAGAGGTACGGGTAATCAAAAGATATGCTTCCAAAGATCGACGCCATAGTTTCTCCAAGCGACAGTAGCCACTAGCTTATCTAGACGGAAACTTCATCGTAAGTCGGTACGATCCCAGCATCGTCTGTCATCAGTATACTACTGGAGAGGTTGCTATACATTTCAGAGTCTTGGGCAAGCTCCAATCTCCTTCCTGAACAAACATCCCTATTGCGTCCGTGGCTATGTGAGGGGTTGTCAGAGCAGTGGCGATGTGATCATCTGCGGAGACAGCGAAATGATCATCCTCTGGGGATGGACGATGTCCCAAGTCTGACTCCTAAGCTTTGCGGTCCTTCGAATGAGCTATCCAGACATAAACTATGATGCTGTTACACTCTGAAGGAGGCTCACCAATACTGCCCTTCACACCCCCGATTAGAGTCATCATGTTGGTTGTGCGCTTGTTTTTACCGCGTGGGACGACTCGTTCACTGAATCGGATGACGCACATTGCCGTGAATAGACGTTCTGTATCACCAATAACCGACCTGGTTGGTCCCTGTCTAACGGTCGGCCTCGTGTTGGGGCATACGTGCAGCGCGCGGACTCTGACGTAGCTGGCCATCCACAGCCCATTGTTCACCTACTACGTAAGCGAAAAAATGATTAACTAAACCTACAAGATCTATTCATTGTATTGGTTGGTATGTGTGTCCATTGTGACGCAGAGTGCCAGTCACAGAAGAGGCTGGGGAATTGGTCATTCATGACATCCATCAACTTTGGTGTCGTACATGTCGGGTCGACAGCGTTACCTTTTTACATCATACATGAAGCTGTCTTGATGATCTGGGCTTATTTTATTCTCTTTTCAACTTTTATTAAAGCCAAGAGCCGTGTTTCGATATAACTGGCTTGATACTGCAGCAAATGTATCGTCCTAGATGATTTCAATATACGCTCATCGAGATGACCCAGGAGAACAGAACCAAAGCAACGTTTACAGGCGAGTCTCTAATCCACACTATCGAGCTCTTTCCATATCCAAGACGAAGTCTACATTTGACCGTTATATCATTGTGAATGCGGCATGAGACCACAATGATTCGGTAGTGCCAAATCGAGATGCCCGTCACTGATCGAACATGTGTCGCCACCTTGCGACACCAGGCAGACAGGGCAGGTCTACGTTCCTATAGATCGCCGATTTACGATTCTGAAAGACCGGCGAGCAGTTATGACGTCCTGTTCCCCAACAATAATGATTGCTCTGCTTTTTGATGTGCATTCGAAGGGAAATCATCTAGATGACCAAGACATAGAAAGTTTGCCACGAAGTGACCACTATGACAAAAGGCCTTGGAGGAGCACATCGGCATCGATTAATCGAGTTGGTTGCGCATTTGCGTTGAAGCTTTTACCATGATCTCGAATCAGGTATTTGGATCTAATCCGAATATCACTGAATCTGACTTGGTCATACATGCGCGCGCTACCCAGGCAATGGAACTTGCCTGCGTTTTCTGAGTTGAACCTCGAGGCAACAGTCGTTAGTCAATCGACATGCCTATCATTCGGCTAAATTAAGAATGTTGAATCTGCACTCATCCCTGGAATATTAGCTCAGAGAATTGGCATTATTTCGATTCCAGCATTTTATTATAGGATCACAGAGCTCTGAGTGGTATCAATTTATCTTATACGGGTGGCGCTCAGCCCCAGATTGATACATGCCGTGGTATGTATACTAAGGAACACAGAAAATCGAATGTACGGAATGGATTGTTCATTTTCTTGACAAATTATCAAATTGATTGAGGTTCATGGTTTTTGACTAAAAAAGAAAAATAATCTTTGCTGTGTCCCAAAGATTTTGAGACATCAACATGTGAGATTCCAACTGCATGGCTTATAATTAGATATGTCAGCACGAATTAATAACAGAAACGGCTTTTCGTGGCTTTGGTTGACCACTCAGTCCAGAAAACTAGCCATATTCAACCAGTATGGATGAAAACTCGTGTATAGCAATTCATACTGGTGTAAAAAGTTCGGTTGCCAGCGTCTGTTAAATCATCTTCACAAGCAATGAGTATGCACTGCTCATCCTCATTCTTAATGTAAATAAGACTGATGATCGGTCTGGAATTAAGATATTGGTAGATAAACACTGTATTTCTCCATGCCAGATGGACATATCACAATGTCAATCGCCCCTACTTTGCTTCGTGTTTATAGTCATCTATATATACTAGTCGTCTAAGTCTAGGGCTCCAGGTGCCTTGCAGCCAGCCCGGGCCGGAGTGGGGCGCGATTGCGGGTTGGCGGCGCCCCGCGTCATAAGCTTGTTAAACACAAGCCCGACGCGTCTCCCAAATAACCGTGCGATTCCCAGGAGCTTCAACATCTTTCTCCATGCGACTGCAGCCCAATGCCGTCGCTCGCTCCAGACCCATACAAGACTCCGAGATGGAGCAGTTTCTAAGAGAGTGGAGGCAGGACGCTTATAACAAGGCACAGTACGACTCTGCAATTTTTGTCGGGGACAAGCTTCTGGCCCTCACGAGTACGTATTCTGAAAGCATCCCTCTGGGAGATCCGATTATGAGCTGACCGACCTGCTTGCTCAGACGACGACAATGATGCCTTTTGGCTGGCACAAGTCCATTTTGCCACAGGCAACTACACTCGAGCGCAGGCATTTCTATCCCGGCAAGACCTCATAAGCCGGAATCCCTCGTGCCGATACCTGGCTGGACACTGCTTCATCAAGCAATCACGATACGACGAAGCACTCGCAGTTCTTGGAGATCGAAATCCCACACACCTGATTGTCAGCTCTACAAACAAGCGCAAAACACAAAAGAACAGTGGCAAGTCGGACAAGTCCAGTCGCCGGCGTGATGGCTCCGATGAGGAAGCGGCCAACCGACGTTTCGAAGCGGCCATGTGCTTCTTACGCGGAATTTGCTACGCCAAACAAAACGCATTCGATCGCGCAAAAGAATGCTACAAGGATGCCGTGAGGATAGATGTGCAGTGCTTTGAGGCGTTTCAGCAATTGATGAAGAACTCGCTCATGTCTCCTGACGAAGAATGGCAATTCCTCGAGTCACTCGACTTTGACTCGATCAATGTTGGTGGGGATACATCCTCTTCGCAAGAAGCTGCCGAATTCACCAAGATGCTATATACAACGAGACTGTCCAAATATCGGAACCCAACATCCTTTATGACTGCTTGTGAGACACTGTCCACACACTACAACCTCGCAAGCAACCCCGACTTGTTACTTGCACGGGCAGACTTGCTATACACGCAATGCCGCTACAAAGACGCTCTAGACATTACAGATTCAATTTTGGCAGAAGACAAGTACAACTTCAGCGTCTATCCGCTCCACCTGGCCTGCATGTATGAGCTCAAGAAGAAGGCAAACCTCTTTCTTGTTGCTCACGATCTGGCTGACAGCCACCCTGAGGAGCCGGTGACTTGGCTGGCAGTTGGCATCTACTACTTTGCCATAGACAAGATTGCTGAAGCACGGCGTTACTTTAGCAAAGCTAGCATGATGGATGCACATTTTGGACCAGCCTGGATTGGATTCGCGCACACATTCGCTGCGGAGGGTGAGCACGATCAGGCGATCTCAGCATACTCGACAGCAGCTCGTCTGTTCATGGGAACTCACCTGCCGCAGGTGTTTCTGGGGATGCAAAACCATGCACTCAACAACATGACGCTTGCGGACGAATTTCTAAAGACGGCCTACGGTCTCTGCAAGACAGACCCATTGCTTCTCAATGAGATGGGCGTAGTCTACTATCACCAAGACCGACCCCTTGACGCCGTGAAACTCTTTGTCCGAGCACTGGAGGTTGCCGAAGACATTGACTCGGAGCCAGCGGCTTGGTTAGCCGCACGCACAAACCTCGCTCATGCATATCGACGCGCTAAAAAGTATCCTGAAGCGATGGAGCAGTTTGACGAGGTACTTCGCCTAGGCGGGAAAGATGCTGCCATCTTTTCCGCCAAAGGTTTGCTCTTCATGGAGCTTGGGCAGCCGGAAGAGGCCATTGTCGTCTTGCATCAGGCGCTGGCCATCAATGCCCAGGACCCTATCGCCACGGAGCTTCTTAACAAGGCACTGGAGGAGGCTGCAGGGCTCGAGCCCGTAGTAGGTGAAGCACAAAACGAAGCACTAGATGGATTTGAAAAGGAGATGGAAAAGATCCGAGGACCCAAAAAACATCGTCCTCCAGTCAAGACACAAAAACCGAGGGCTGTCTCTGCTTACGACAGAACCAGGATGAGGATCATGGGTACAGGAGGCCCATTGTCTGACGTTGAGATGGATGCCATGGAGTAGGCATATAACTCCCACACGGATTACGATAGGATCATGAGTAGGCGTCTACGGGCATTTTGGGATTTCTTACAGCGAGTAGCATTTACAGTACGGGCAATGGTGATTCAACAAACAGAGGCCAAGAGTTGGCCATCGAGTCTTGACGATAGAACTCAATCGCCAGTGGTTCTTGACGAATTCACCACGTTTGATATGGTTGCCTATGTCTAGGTACCATTCCCATATGCACTCACTTCTCTAGTATTGCCTCATTTGGACAAATGCATGTACTGCAAAGACGGCACGTCGATGCAAGGTCTCGACCGCCATGCAGGTACAATCAATAATTTGACGGCATTCATAGACCCCATGACTAGACTCCACAACCTCGGCACACCACCATGGCCGTGGGATGCGGTTACATTTTGCCTGCTCAAGCCGTCATCCATCCACTCTTTGCATTGATTTGCGATCCACATGAAGGGCGGACTTGGTTTTGCAGACGACGGAGTTTGATATTCCCCTCTTCTCAGATTGAATTTCTTATAATCACATTTTTGGCTTTTGATGGACATTGCGCCACATGTTCTAGAGAGAAAAGTACGAAAACGTCAGAAAAAGAGGATACTATGTAAACAAGTCTGCCCTAGGCTCTAGCTATTCTGCCTGCCCTGCAAAACCCCCATCTAGTAGTTTTATTCATGACTCGTAGGCAAGAGCTGGAAGAAGCAAGCTGATTCGCCCAGCTACGAGAAAGGAAGAAAAGAAAGAAGAATAGTAAGAAAGGCGCACGGCGCGGATAACACAAGCAACTCACGGACCGAGACGCAAATGGGCGTGTGTGAGTGGGCATGGAAAGAAAAGAGGGACTAGTCTTTTGGCGTAAAAGATAGTCCAGGTGGTTTCGTGTGGGTTTGGTCTTTTTAAGAATTAAACTAAGTCCATAGTTGTATTAGAATAACTAGAGATCGACAGAAAACGGCACGAAAAGACGATCACACAACTTGACAGAGAGGCGTATTGGAGAAAACGAGGCGGACTCGCGTGCTCCACCATACGGTAACGATTCTTTTGTCTGGTGTTATTGACGAAAATCATGGTTTATACTTCATACTGTCTTGCTTAGGACCATTGATACTCGTTTTGTTGGGAATCTTTCTGTAGAGATCATAATAATCAATGACTGGTTGGCCCTGGACTGTCTCGAGTCTAGACAGCAAAAAGATAAGTGTGTCTGAACCCCTGACCCCGTAGATAGATATCGGTTAAGCGAGCGTGGGGGATCTTGTCCCAGATAGTAAAATCATCATGGCTTTTATTTCCCTATTTCCCATCCCGGCGGGTTGGCGCGATCCAGGCGGGCGGGAAACTCTAGTCTCTCTTTGGGTTCCCTGACTTTCAGCAGAATCCCGCCCCCCGATCGCAAGTACAAGATGCGAGACATGAAGAGAGAAAAGAAAAAAACGCCCCCTAATCCCATGTATTTTTGCGGACATATTTCCCCAGGGCCTCCAAAGGCTGAGCCGCATAACCGACCCAGGAATCAGGATGGCAAGGGCGCTGAATGATTAGAGTTTGTACTAATCATCTCCGACAAACTTGCCATTCTGGAAAGAGAAATGGAAGATCAAAAACTGCAATCGAGACAAGAAATGGGATAGTTTGATCGTGAAGATGGTGGGAATAAAGCTGCTAGTCGTCATAGGTCAGCAAAGCCTGTCTGCCCGTCTTCTTTGCGCTGGTCGCGTCTTTTCATGCGCTCTTGGGCGGGAATCTCCTCCCAAAGCGAGACTAGAGTACTATGCGAGAATTCACACCTAGAAGCCTGGCTTGTTGTCATGCTTTAGGGTATCATGAATCCTACGTTGCGGTGGAACCGTTTTTGGCCTATTAGCCTCTCACATATCGTGGAAATGGCCTCTCGGGACTAGAACAGGCTTTCAACGTCTTCCCACACACACACTCACACACTCACACATATACACACCACCATCTCGTCATGCAGCTCGACTGAGACTTCTCGCTTTCGGATGAAAGTCAAACCGGAGAATCTGAAAGAGGAAATCCGGTGATGGGGACATCAAGAACGAGTGTGGTGGTGATCTTTCTGTCAATACACCTTTGTGATCAACCATTCTAGCATCCATCATGTTTCATTGGCTAGTACACCATGGTCCATAAGCGATACTGCCACGACAATGTGACTAGGCTAGTCATTGCTGGGCTATATTATCAGTCAGCTAAGGAACAGTTGTCGGCACTAGGCTTGAATAGTGGTGATGATTTCTTTTCGCACGTTTTTCTTTGCTCATTGATCGTGATTGCTGTCAATAGAGAGTCCAGCCCCAGATGAAAGTTCCCAATTCGTGAGAGGCTCTAAATTGGCCTGTGCCGCAAAGTACTAATGCCCGCTTGGTTGGAAAAGAGCCCATCAAGGCCAATATTCAGATCCAAGAAGAAAAAAATCTCTCAAAATGAGGCAGCCGTATGTACTTTGTACGGTGGAGATCCGTGTCCGAGCAGCTGGGTTCGACCTGAGATTGGTGACACGGACAAACGTCGATCACCCGCAGTCTCCAGACAATTATTGTAACATACAGGGCATGGCGGCTGGGAAGTGGGAAGAAGGGGATCATGAACAAATAAACACGATTCAGGTACCTCGTAAAAACCCACCTCCAAGACCTGGGTACGATGAGATGATCCATCTACTTGCTTGGTGTTGACAGAGAGAGTACTCTACGTGCCTTCTTTCAAAGACAGGTTTTGACAGACAGGGTCTTTTTCTGTGGATATGGGCCACATGTACGACATCCTTTCGAGGGTTGAAGCCATGATCTGACACTTGAGATCCAAGATCAGGGACTAGAGGGACTAGACCAGAGAGAACTTTCCTCAACCTGGCAAGGAATTGCGACAGAATGGGGAATGGCGCCAACTCTTTCGAGAGTCGCTCTTTTTTTCTTCTTCGCTGCCTTGATAGATTTTCATCATGGCGTATTTCCCTCTTGAACCGTGCTAGCCACGTGTGAAGGCAACTTTTTGGTCAACCACGAACAAGACACTAGGTTATTAGATAGGTTAGTATAGTGTAGGGGGGACCCATTCTACAGCGGGTTACTACACATCGGTTACTGCAGGTTATCGGCGCTTTGAGCAAACGTAGCGTAGCAAAAGTTCCAGCTCCGAAGTACTACTGTACGTAAACTCGTTTTGCCCCATTGCGCCCCTCCATTCCCATTAATGGGGGATCCGTTTTGGTTTCTACTCTGTAAAAGTCGCATTTCTTGACATGCATAAGTGTCGAATATCACCATACTATCTCTATGGAGGTTTGATATTGCGGTGAGCCCTGTCAATAGTAGTAGGCAGCGTGGTCACATCTCCCCGTTATCCAACCGACCTGATGGGATGGATGGTCCCATGAGGTGGAGATTTGAATTGGGTAAGCCGATCACCCCGCTCAGGAACCGAATCGCTGGAATCGCCCGCTTGTCCTTTTTCTGTCACTTTCCCGAGATACTGGCTGGGCTGGACATTTCCCCATCATGATGGAAGACATGCAGAGCCTAAGTGAAAATAAAAAGTAAAAAAAATAAGCAAGACGGAACCGTAGAGGGAGAAAAGCTGAACTTTTGCAACTTGACGTCGGGCGATTCAGGAACCAATGCGGCCATATGCCGAATAGTGGTGTGAAGAAACCGGACCATGTAACCCGGCCCTGGCAAGTCTGGTGACAAGTGAAGGGAGGGGAAGGGAAAAAAAAAAGTGTGATGGGCAGTCGAATCATGCGAATTGAATGCTCAACATACAACCTGGCTGGCACATCCAGCCAATACAACTTCACAACATGGCACCTACTTCGTTGCAGCCCATCCGCTCTGGATTGCCAATGGAAAAAAAAGGAACGACAGATTGCAATCGCGAGGCTTTGAGGGCTGGGCCAACTGGGCAACGCAAGAGGGCATGCATGCCTTTGCTTACTTGCTTACTCGAACTAGCCTGAACCAGTCGACAACGTTTTCTGGGTTCTGCTGGCGTGGACCCTGGCTCAGATATGCAGGGCCGACGAACACGACATTTGGGCAGAGAACCAATAGCCGTCGAATTGGGACCTGTGATTTGAGAACACCGTTGCCCGTAGTGGCAATGTCCCTTGCATGCACATTTTGGGGGTTCTTTGGGGATATTCATGATCGCACCAATTGCACCTCTCACATTTTGATATAACGCAAGTGAGCGGAACAATCTTCTATAGCCGTCCGGAACGCATTGAACGGCCCATGGCTTTCCTCTGATTCCGGCAATGCCTGGAGGACAATCTTCTGGCAGTCAAAAGAGGACGACGTTCAGACAGACATGCCTGCCGGGATGTACTCTCTAGAAGTCCATATGCGCCATGCTCTCTACCTGCAGGCCCTGATTCTCAGCATGTCTCCAGCCGAAACTGTAACAACCACTACAAGAAGAAAGAAGAAAGACCAAGAAAAGAAACAGAAAAGAAAGAACAAGAAGAGTTGGCTAGTGGAAGTTTTCTCGATACTGCTATTCATGTCCGTATACGGCCTGACCACTGTGTGTCGCATACTTTGTAAGACGATGCAGGTTTGAGATAGATGAAGTTGAGGGGCAGAAACGAATGAGCCTGAGTATCGCACTAGACATGCCAACGACGACTGCGTGGGGAAATTTTCTGACAATATGGAGAGATTGTTGCCGTTCATGCGGTCGGACCTTTTGGGTATTGTGATTATCGATATACCAACTTCCTCAGCTTACGTAGTCCTTCCTAGTCGGCTCCTCTATTGCATAGAGGATCTACCATGTATGGAGGTTTGCTGCTTCCTGGGTGTAGATCATGTTGCGAATGGATTGCAATTGTGTAACATCCGAGTCTTTGGCAAGGGGGTTCCAAAGCGTATCCAGCACATTGGGATGGAGTCTGAGCGCTGTGCAGTAAGAAACATGACCTAACACGCAGCAGGGTATCCTTGGAGGCCATTTCCATTTGGGAGGTACAAAGGAGCATGTATATTCCGATTATCAATCACGATTTGACTGTGTAGACGATCAAGTACGGCGAGTGCCCCTGGATTGTCCCGTGCTCACTCCAAATGCCATATACACTACTGTAAGTAGGTTGGTAGAAACCAATCGATATTGAAACACTTATCTCGCAGCTGGGTAGGCTGGTAGTCAGAGTGTCTGTCAATGGAGTAGGGGAGTCAATGCACCCCCAAGGTGTCTAAACAAACGTTGGTTTGTGGATTGATGGGCCGTGCAAAGATGTTGTTGGATATGGGAAATTGCGAGGCGCACAGTTAGAGTATTCTGTGGTATATGTAGTGACAGTTGGAAAAATGTCATTAGGATACGTTGTAGCCATGACCTTCTCGTTTGCAGTAATCTATCAAGTGGCATGAGTGTAACAGAGTCAGTCTGCAACCCACTATCTGCAGCTAGCTTGCAAGCAGCAGTCAAAAAATGCACAACGTTCAAGGCTCCACACCCGGCTAAGGGCAGATGGGACGCTGCATTTGTTGAAGGATCAGTCAGACTGGTCCAAGACAAGCAGCTAGTAACAGGTTGCATCTCGGACTGTCGGTGCCAAGTACATATCGAAGAAAGGAAAAGAAAGAGCCCAGGCGAGCAGATGACTATGGAAGTGGATATGCAATCTCGGGTAGCGCACAAGCAAGTGAGATCTGTTGTCCGAGCACGTGGATCAAAGAAAAGAGGCGCTGTCCGGCCTTGTTAGCTGAATAACTACCGTTCCGGTAGCAGTACAAACAAAGTAGTCGTAGAAGGCGCCAACGAGTTATGCCTGACAACTTACTGCCTATAGCATTCGATTTGGCTGTTCGATAGTCTTTTCTCGGCGTCAATACGGTGTTCTGCCAGGGGACATTGGTTGACCAAGAGATGTGTCCTTCTTTTCCCTCTCAATATATGGCTATCCATTGCGAGTGCAAAGTCGAATGTTTTGCTGTTCGGGTGCTCGTAATGACCGACTAACGGACGGACGGGACCTGCAAGATAGATGGCTCGCTCACCGTTGTAATCTGTATTGTTTTGTCCCTGGGCGGGCTCATAGCGGCAGGTAAGCCACATGCCTTCTCCCGCTGTCAAGTTGCAGGTCGGGTTGCACCAGAAGCACTGGGGCTGGACTATGGATACTGGCTGCTGGCTATTTGCTGGTGTGCTGCACGGAATAGTGGCCAACACTAGAGTAGTATTAAGGTATGGACGGTCTCAAAGGCTGAACATATGCTCCCATTCTTGCTCACCACAATATGCAAACGACCTTCAAAGAACCTGTTGCGAGGGAATTGCACGGGGATGGCTGGTGGCTTGGCATAGTCCACGTCTGCGCCGTTTTGTGGACACTGGAGGGGAAGTCGTGAATCGGAATGGCGTGATATTCACCACCTAGATCGCACTTACATGACACATGCGAATGGACCTCTGGTTATTACCTAGGTTAGGCAAAGAAAGACGACAAACAAACAAAAACAAAACAGTACCTTTGAGGGCGAGAAGGTTGACTAGGCAAGTGTGTGAAGTACCTGCCTACCTCATCAGCTTCAGCTAATAAAGCTAGATAGTAGTATTTAGTCGACGGACGGGAGGGAAATAGATAGGTTGATAGTGTAGCTTCACTTACGATCAAGCTCACCACCTACGGAAGACCGTCTGTCCGACCTGAAGTAAATCATTCGCATCCGTGCATTTGCTTACAGGCTACCGGGCAGCCAATCCGTCGATCCTGTCTGTGTTATGTTCCTGGAAGGAGCAGACACACACTCTGGGATGGATTTGGGTAAACGGGGCCAGGTACATCATCTTTTTTGGGGTGGCTGGCCGCTTCCCTCGATGGCCGTGGTCGGTGAGGTACAACGATGCACCAAACCTAGAAAGAGGAGCCCTGGAAGATGTGGTGATTTGGGGTCCGTCTCCTCTAGCGAGATACAACGGAATGCAGGACGATGGAGCCCTGTTTTCTCGGTCTACCTGTCTTGGTACACACATTTACTTGTCTACTGTTACATATATTACCTCGACGACTATGTACCTCCAATGACCATAGTTTACATACCACCACTACTACTAACCTGCATACACGCAATCAGATCCTGTGGTGTACCTGGCAGACCTGACAGGGACCCTGGACGCCGAACCATTTTGTATGTTTCCCTGAAACCGACACACAAGGGTCGTTATTTTATTTTCGGGGCCCTCTTCCCTTTCTCTGACTGATTCTCGCCGACAACATGGGACAAGTTTTCCAAAGACATCTCGAGGTTGTTCAGAGTTGAAAATAATGCAGCGTAGGGAGGAGGGTGGAGGGGGCTCGTACTCCTAGCTCGGCTAGGAATTTGGGGAAATGCCCTAGCCTCCTTTCACATACTATGTATACATGGTATTATTGCCCTGCATGACTTTTGTAACCCAACCTGGACACCATGTGGCCAAGGAAATTAGTTTGGGATTCGGGATTGCATTTGCATTGCTTGCATTTTTTTATATTGAATCGCGTCGGAGGAACAATAAACTCAATTCCTTATTATGTATTGCACTGAGTACTACTTACTGTATGTACGAGAGTGGTATGAGGTAGGTAGGCTGTGGTAGTATGTCAGGTCAATCAATAATAAACTGCGGTCTGACCCCCCGTATTATTAGTGTGAGATCATATATTCCGCCCCTCCAGTGTGCATGTACATACCTACATTACCTACACTACCTTGACTATCAATGGCCCGTGATGTCTGGCCGTCGTTGTAGGTCGCTAATCAGTGTAGAAAGGTACACCCTGTCACATTGTCTGTAACCGTCCGGGCATTTCGGCATTCGATCGACGCTAAAATGTCCAGTCGTGGATGAGAAAGACCAGAAGAAAAAAAAAGTACTTGCCCAGGTACCTGAATGGATTGATAACATCGAATCTAACCAGTGACGATAGTCAGTCTACTGTGTAATATAGCTAAACAGATATTTCTTACTGAGGCTCGAGCTGTACACCAGTAGTTCTTCTTCCATGGCTGGGAAGAGGCTGATGCCGAGGTACCTCACTGCCTCCAGCGTTCTTTGCTTTTCTCGCTTGATCAATTTCCCCCCCTTGTGGTGGGGGAGGGGGTCATCCTAGAATGGTGTGGTCTAACCTATATAGCAGGAAGAAGAAAAACAGAGAGAAAGACACAAAGAAGCAAAAAGAGACGAGAGAGGGAATCTAGCAACGACAGATGCATTGGATGGGTATCATGATGTATACTGGTAGTCCATGCTGATACAAAACAACCCTTTTATTGCTCCTGATTGTAGGTGGTTATCATGACCGACCAACCTACAGGAAAGACAAACCTAACTGTGCTGCCCACCAGCCTGTACCTATCACTCTATGCCTCGATCTTGGGTACAAAGTCCTTACAGAGGCATCACCTTGCCTAGCTACAGTGCTCGATCCATTCTAGTCCTCTCCACTAGCTTGCACTACGCGCTGGCTACAGGTACATGCTCCTCCGTACATTTATCTTATTACCCACCTTAGTTGCCTCCCGTCTCCGCCCCAAGGTACCTTGGCGCAGCTAAGATGTGCATTGCTTGCGTAGGTACCTACATATTTTCTCATGCAGGTCGTGTCCGCTATTAATTTGATCTCTCCTTGGGGTCCAAAATCCTTCTCTGCCCATTCTTTCCGCCTTCTGTGGGTTTGTACCTACTTTGTCTGCGACTGAAAGAAAAAAGAAAAAAACATGACGGGGGACCACCTTTTTTTTTTCCTTCGCGCGCCGGACTTCTTATACGTCCTCACTACCTCCCATTTAGAACGGAGCTCTCTCGGGACGAGCCGAGTTCGCTCTTTTCCTTCCTCAATTACAGTCGCCGCTCTTCATCGGGGCCGTCGTAGCTTTTTAGGTCCTTATTTTCTTCTTCCTTTTTCTTTCATGTCTTGATACCCCCCCCATACATTTACTTCCCCACCAACAAGTAGTAAGGCAGAGGGGAAACAACTAGGGAAAGGAAAAGAAAGAAAAGAAAGGAAGAAAGAAAGACGGGCTCTTCTCTCTCTTTTTGTTGTTGTCGTCGTTTGATATGTCACCTCTAATTCACTAATACGTCCACGACCTTCTCGTTGCCCGCCGATCTTTTACGCAACGTCAAGAACAAAATACGCAATCTCCTGTTTTGTGTTGGCCTCTCCCTCACTACAGCCAACCTAGTTATTCAGCGATCTCGACGTGCAACACATAAAAAAGCCGAGGCATCATGGAGGGCTTCTTGCTGGTCCCTCCCGACCGGACCGCCCTGATCGGTCGTGCTGCCTGGAAGGTAAATTCTCACCCACCCAGCCAACCATTGTTTGCGATACATCAACAGAACAGCCAATTGATTCGTGGTGTAGCAACGTTTTGTCGTTGTTGGCAGTCCGCAGAGAGATGTGGTACAGTCTAGCCCAAGTCTGTCGCAGGTTCTATCCACGAGCCGTATCAAGGACGCTCGTGGGTCCAGCAATAAGATCAAGCAGATTCCGGCTCCCGATGCCGTATACTTGTCAATATACAAAAACAAGGAGGACTGGGATGCCGTCCAGCAACACTCGTTCGCCTCCATAACCGATTGCGTCGTGCAGAACTTTGCCCTTCGGAAGCAGGGCCCGCCGTCGCCAACACTCATCCTACAGATCTCTCCCGACCCAGCCACGGACAAGCTTCGAAAGCGGCGGTCGAGTCGCACAGCTGGCTTGACTTCGACAAAGGACTCTGGGCCGATGACGCTGTACTTTCGCCCTGCCGACGAACACTACACGCTGCATGACTGGGCTCGGTGCATCTCCTCTCTGATGCAACCGGGAGTCCCGGGAGGGAAAGCTTTCCAGACTCCGAGCACGCCCATTTCCCCCCTCTTTTCGAACCCCTTCGCTACATCATCCCGTGACGCCTCCGAGTCGATTCGGCAAACTGTATCGCATAGCCAGAGCCAATCGAGTCAATCAAGATCGAGCAGAGACAGGCCTGTTACCTTTTCGTCAGGATCGCCAAGTCTGAGGTCGAGGAAGAGTGACTTGTCATCGCATGCGAGCTCGGTCAACGCAATGGGCATGGGGTACATGGTTCCCGGCCAGCACTATACCACTGTGCTGCCCACGGATCTCCCATCACCAGCGACCACGGTCTTTGACTATCCAGGAGACTACATGCTTGGATGGACATCAGCTCAGGGACGCTCGTCCACGTTGAGCTCTCCAATCCGGGGCAGGGGCAGCGTAGGTTCCCAAGGCCAGCAGGGCCCGCCAATGTCAACGTCGCCTCCGTTTCCTAGAGAGACGATCCTCGACCGTGCGTTCCAGATGAGGCGCATTCCGGGATCGGACCGGGAAGCCCTTCCGGGTGAGGAGAACCTTAGCTCGTTGGCCAGATTCGAAGCTCTGATGCGGGAGAAGGAGGAGCAACGGAAGAAGGAAAAGGAGAAGTTGACGCTCATCACACCACCCATGACGAGCACGTGGGAGGACGATGATTCCGACCAAGACGATCTCAACGACGCAACCGACGACGAATCCACAGATGAAGATGTCTTTGAGGAGGAGATAACGGGCGACAGGCATGCAATTGGCCCATCGACGCATCGCAGCCTCCATTACCTTTCCAACCGGCACAGTTCGATTTCCCATACTGGAAGGACAGCTCTGAGCTTCCATGCAGACTCGGGAGCATACGATGGCTCGTCTATTGCCCGCCCACATACCGCCCATTCCCGGCCACGGCCTCTCATGTCCCCTAGGACAACCAGCCAACCACAGGTGCCCTCATCACCACTCGAACCTCCACCCAGACCGCGAGAAGACGCCAACCTCCGGCCACACGCTGAACACCGGAATTCCGCCTCGAGTGCAAAGCGTCTCAGTTTTACCGAATTCACCCGCCGCCTTAGCAGTACGAGTAGTCTTTTAATAGTTCAGACCAACCAAAGCACTGGTAGTAGTAGGGCCAGTAGCGAGTATGAAGCTCAGCAGACCACACCCCGAAGCGGGCACAACACTCGCAACACACCGCGACCTACCGAACAAGAAAAGTGCAATTGGCGCGGCAGCATTGGAGTGTTTGGAGGCGGCGAAGGTGGTTTCCTATGAGAATTCATTCGAGACGAAACGAACCATAAATCCAAACATATACCACACACGACATTTCTTTTTATTTTCCTCTCATATTTAACGACTCGGCGGGATCGAGATCTTACGAGATCACCCGATATGTTATTTTGTACGATAAAGAACGTCCGTTTACCCTGTCACGACTTTCATGATCGAAGACCCCTCCAAGATGTCGCTCTGCTGGGGCACGGTTGAGCATCTTTCTCTATTTTATTTATTTCCTTTTTCCCGTCTTGGACATTCCACAGCTTGGTGGTCCGCTACACTGTCCCTTTGGAGATATTGGGGCCTGGAGAAGTTGGAATTCCGGAGAAGAACCTTAGCGAGCATTTGGCGGGGAGTACCTGTATTGTATTTTGTTTTTACTATTTTACTCTGTCTGGAAGCAATTCGTGGACACATAATGCAAAGATGGACAGATGTGATACGATCGAAGTATCGAGCACAAAGATACTTTCCAGACAGCCGTCCCCTCATTCCCTCTATTGATGAAAACGATGAGAATGGCGAGGGTGGTTGGCCATGAAACAACCTTATGAAATCTATCTACAAATATCAATACATATGAAACGAGCAAGGTTTTGTTGATTTTTGTAATAATGATGGTCGTGGCTTTACAAGCTGGAGTGACTCGCGTGAAGTTTTCTTTCGTGTATGCTGCTGGGAAACAGATAGCCATTCTTCATTGAGTGCATTTCTGCATGCAACAACGCATTGGGCGTCAATTCGGCAGTCGAATGGATTTCTGCGATGATTACTGGCAAATCATTCATCTTATTATCTAAACCACTCTATCTGCGACAGTTGGGTTTGTATGTAGTCGAGTGTCAAGTATATATGATTTGCACCTAGTCTTGACACCTTATCCGCATGTTCAATCTCGACTAGAATCGCCCAAATCCAGACCACGCATATGGAAACGCTTTTGCATATCAATATTTGCCATTATTCGAGATTCGAGCAGTCTAATGTTGATGATTACTATTATCTTTGCAGCTGAATAAAATATCCTCATATCCTTCATGATTGTATGTTTCATATATCCTCCAAGGAGAGACTTCAGACGCCTCTCTCCATTCGTCCTTGTCCATTAGGGGGAGGTTCCATGAGCCTGTCTTTCGCTTTTTTTTTTTTTTTCTCCCATTCCAGTCTCTAAACCGTCGTCGAATTTGCTGCAGGCCTACCGGCCGGGCTGACGACGATATTATTCTCAATCACGGCGGACCCATCGTACAAGGCGAGGATCTGCTCGTCGGTGCAGTACCCGGAAAAGGGCAAGACGAGGACAAAGCACTCAGAGCCTGGGTCCAGGGGGGGTGTGTTGGTCACGTTGAAGACGGACGCTGGACCCTCGGTACTGTAGAGACCCTTGTCGTTGTCATCATTGTCGTCGTCCTCTGTCCCGCAGTCTGCGAGGTCTATACTGCCAGTCGCCAGATCCTTGCCAAACATGGTGCGTTGAAAGAGCTGGTAGGCTGTCTCGGGTTGGTCCGAGTTGACTTGAGGTTGTCAAATGTCAGTATTGTGAGGAGTCTTTCGTGTTGCTGTTTTTGGAGGGAGGGTGGGAAGGGTGGTGGTTGTACAAAGACAGGAGGTGCCGGATACTTACTGTGGTGGCCGGCCTCAAAGACACGGGCATAGGAGAAGCCATCATATTGACGGACAAAGCCGCCAATATACTCATCATTGGTAACAATCTCGGCATATCCAGCCGCAGCAAAGTCGTCCTTGTTCTTGTAGTCTATGTTCAAGCTGACTTGTTCTCCAGCAACCCCTAAGAATCGAGCAAAAAGTCAGCACTCAATTCCATGCACAAGAGTATCAAGAACAATAGCAAGGAACAGTTTCAAATACGTACAGTTGCAACGAAAGTCACGGTCACCATTGATCAGTGACACCTTGACTCCGTCGTCGAGGAGCTGGGCCAGGTCGTCGGTGAAGCCATCAAAGACGAAATCGCCAACGCCAAAGAAAGCTATAGGTCACATGGTTAGAAAAACTCTAATATAAAAATTCTATAGGTCAGGTAAAATGGAATGGCATGTAACTTACTATTCTGCGTTGGGTTGCTGTTGACCGTATAGTTGACATCTGCGCCCAGGGCCTCCATGACCCAGTCTTGGTTCAGGTATCCGTACACATATGGCGGAGGGAAAGAGATTGGAGTCGAGTGGGTAATATCAAAGGGATCAAGCTATAATGCTAGTTAGACAATCCGTTTGGCTGATTTTTTCTCCCCATTCCCTTGTTTTTTTTTATTTTTTTATTGAGTTCTTAGAAGACTTACCCCAGAGAGCGCGTCGTACGCATAGTAGACATACGTCCAGCAGAACAAAAAGGCTGAACCGCAGACCTCGGTGACGGTATCATTGGTACCGTATTGGTCGTGGTATCCGTTTGGTGTCAGGGCGCGGCAGCTATCAAGCTGGTCCTTGCAACCTCCCGGCGCGGACCAGTTCGCCGCCGCCGACTCGGCAACCTCTACCGGGTACGCCTGGATCCCGTACGTGTTGTTGAGGGCAAAGTTGGGATATGACTCGGCATACGTGGCAAATTCGGTGAAGCCGCTGATGATGCCCACAGTGTCGACAGAGATCTTGAGGTGGTTCTTGGAACACGACTTGGAGCGGGTTTGCAATAGATGCGCGATTGCAGGCGCATAATGTCCACCGCTACAAGAGCAAAACTGTATCAGCATACAAATCTTGTAATTGGCCGAGATTTATACAACTTACTATGACTGGGCCCAGATACTGATGCTCTTTCGTTGGTACTGTTCAAATCTGCCCAAGCATTAGCCATCCGCTTGTCTCTGGGCATTGAATTTCTAGGCACAACTCACTCGCTCAACCACAATTGCAAGAACTCCCAAATGGCCTCAGCAGCCACGGCAGTCGTGGGAACGGTGCGGGTCAAATCCTGGCTCGCAAACACGCCAGCAACAGCCGTCACGTTGAGAGGGCCCGTCCACGTGTCGTTGGGATATATGTCTCCAGACAACCCGTCAATGACGCCGGGCGTGGCCACGTCGTAGCTGTACCCGGTCTGTACGGGCTGATCAATGTACAACATGTTGACGTGGTTGTTCCACGAGTATGGGTTCAGGACGGTCGAGTTTGCGTCCGACTGCACTCGACACGGGCCGTTCTCGTTCAATGCCTGGTCAATCGAGGGTGCTCCAGGTCCTCCCTGGAGCCAAATGCTCAACGGGGCATTTTCTGGATCATTACGCGCCTCGAAAAACCAAAAGAAGAGTTTTTGAGGATAGTCTTGCAAGCTCGTCGAGTTGAGCGTCAAATAGCCACTATATGATTTGACGCCTGGGGTAGTCTCGCAGATATTGGGCTGGTCATTGTGTCAGAATGTCTGTGGTGCAAATGATCTGTGAAAGATTGTTTGGAGTGCGCTGACCTCATTGTACTCTATTTGAATCCCTTCTGATAATCTTGATCGCAGGACGCCTGCCGATACGGTCGAGGCAAGCCCACAGGCGGCCACCAGGCTCTGGCCTAGGAGGCACGAGAATGCACGCATTTGGCGGTCGTGATTCGTGTGACTAGATGATGATTATGATTTCCGAAGTAAAACACAATAAAGAAGCAAAATATGTCTTGCCTTGTTCAAGATGATGTAATTGATAAGTAGGTAGCAAAAAAGCCAAGTGAGTGCTGAGGAGGGTCGTGGCAAGCTGACTTATATACGAGTTCCCAACCACCACCAGGGATTAGACGAGCAAAAGGGCCATGGGCCCGGACTTCGTGATAGCTACCTGCCTAGATGACCAAGTTTACTTGCATCGTGCCGTAGACAGCTTTGCCGCGCTGTCGCTCGCCGAAGAAAGCAAAAAAGTCCCAAGGCTGGGGTGCTAGAGGAGGAGGGGATTGCCGTGCGACCGAATTCCGAGGCCAGGGATCTCCGCATCATGAAGGATTGGGATGCTTGTAGTCATCGGGTAGTTTGGCCACGATTTTCTTCTGTTTCTCGCCTAATCAAAAGGTGGCTTGCAGTCGTCCAAGCAACCTCGTGACGGAATCAAAAAAGGGGAGAATAACAGCTGAGAAGCATCTTTGCGTGTGCAATATTCTCGGGCCGTGCTTTGCCCCTGCTTTCGGCTGTGCAATGGTGAGCATAACGTAAACTAACTTGAACTCCAGCGGCCTGCGTCGATGAGGCTCATGCGGCGCAAAGGGCTTCGATGCATTGCTGGCAGTTTGTTGGCTCAACTAGAACATACCCACCCGGAAGCCAAGACCGGTACTCAGCCAATAACAAATGAAGTTTGTATTTTATGTTCCAGAACTAGACTCCGCTACTGCCGAGATGGAAACGCAAGCGGGTCGAGTGTTTGTGTTGGTATAACTAGTACGGAGACTATACTTGATCATCTTGTGGATATACCTAAATGTTTGGTGTTTGCCATTGCAGTCGCTCGCTCCATGATCAGAAAAAAACACGGGCCTTTTTTCTTTTATCATGACCAAGGCATAGATTGACGATTGATCTCTTTGCTTGGAGAAGACAGATGGTTTGGTTTTGCCCATCATGAATTGGGATGTATCTTTATCTTCTCTCGCTGATCGATGATCTACAATGAATGTATGATGTGACCCTGGGAGCTAGCACAGATCTGTAGAGCGACGTGGTTCCGTGGCTCATCTGGGGCCAAAAAATGCTACTAGTCTGCAGTGTAACCGATGGATAATGTAGTGAGTGCATGTAGCTCAAAGGCACAGACAAGTCGTCGACAGGGCTGTTAGGATGACGAATGGCTGGCCGAAAAGCCTGCCTCTAATGTACCTAGGTTACCTGCCTGCGGTGTGCCGAAAAGCTGCTTGTGCCCACTGCACTGGCTGCTGCTCTTTGCTGTGCCTTAAAAAAGTCCTCAGCCCCAATCCCCAAGCTGTGTGCCTAGGTAAGATTAATGCCCCAAAAGAGACGCGGAAATGGGCTGAGCTGGAGTCGCCCATGCCTATTTGTTGCTGGAGCCTTACTTTTAACATTCACGATATGTAACATTGATTGCTAGAACTTGCAACCAACTAAGCAGTGCCTTCCTTATCTCCCTAACTTGAACTCGGGGAAGGGCGGTTACCTAACCTGGTGTCACATCACATCAGTCGGACATCGATCGCTACGTACTGCAAGCTGATCCTCGCCCAGGCACGGGCGGGACACGTAAAGGTCAGATAGATACATGGCGGATGGGCCGTTTAGGTTGCGCGACAGACGCCTGGAAGCTACCGTATGTATGTATGTATGTACCTCTCTATAAGCTTCAATCAACTTGCTGTCACCGCCTCGAAATACCCCTCCATCCCCCCTCCCGCCCTCTCCAAACCCCCCCTTAACAATCGCAATACCTATCATGCATCTTCTGCCCTTGCCCATTTTCCTGCTTACCGAAACGGCATTTGAGGCAGATGAGCAAACCGCCATTTTCGAGCTGAACTGATACATGCGTTGCCAACCTGCATGGACCAAAGTGGAATGGCGTACATGCAATTTTGACTGGCATTGAGCTACCGACCATTCTTCAGCTTGTGTCGTGTATTTTCGTCATAGAAACTTAATCGTCTAATGCTCGTTATACTATCTCCCGCATACGCCTTTTCTCTGGGCTGTCTACATCATGTGCCCTTTTTGGTATCTCTCATGTCCAATCCTCAAAATAAAAAGTCAAACGTGTCCCAAAAACAAAGTCATCGTCGCACCTAGCTAATGTACACTGCCAACGCTTGCTTACCCTCATCCGTGAGACGTTCTTGTACGTAGCCCGCAATGACATTGTTTTGTGAAGCGTTGGCATGCGTAAGATACTGCTTCACCCACTGGGGAACGTCCTGGATCTGAGGGAACTCGTCTCTGGTTGGCTGCCTGCACGTGTTCAAAGGCGTAAATCCCATGCCGAATCCAATATCATCAACATCTGCCTCGTTCACCACCTCGTTGCCACCGCCAGTGGCCAACGTGGGTGCATTGGCAAGCAAGGTCAACATGGCTTCACATGTAAAGCGCCAACCCCCCTTCTGGTACCGCTGTGCGAAAGCCTGACTCTCTGCAAGTGATTTGGCAAACGACACAACAGCCAGCTTGCGATCCACCGGACGGGCCAAGGTCTTGGAAATGGGAAGAATTTGCTGCAGGTAGATGGGCGTGAAGATGTTGGCTTGAATGGAGTCAGTTTGCGCGATAAAGAAATCAGCTCCCAGACCAGCTTCAGTCTTGGCTGATACCAAGTGGTAGAAGCAAACAAAGTTTCTCTTATACGAGTCAGAGGGGTTGTTTTGCAGCTTGGTGTACAGCAATTGCAGAATTGTGACAAAGTATTTCTCGAGAACGGGCCTACAACATCATGTCAGCAGTTGATGTTTCGCAACTCCTTGATATACATACTTTGGAATAGACACCACAATCACGTCAAGAATCTCGAAGGCGCTCTGCTCGGTCTTCTTGCCACTCAGGAGTTTCTGGAAGATGCCCAGAATTGGCTCAAGCTGATTTTCTGCAATGATTGACTCAGTGGCTCTGGGAATAATGGCAGCCAGTAAACGGGCGGCACCAGGCACGTTGCCTCGGGTCTCCCAGATCGTAGGCAGAATAAGGGGACCGACTAGAGCCTTGTAGTGGTCGGGCAGTGCACCGGAAGGGTTTGGCTCCAGAAGCGCGGCGAAGAGCTGGAAGACATAGGGAATGAATTCTGTCGCACTTTATTAGTCTTTTTGTGGAACAAGAGTTTCAGACATCTTTCCTACCGTTGACCTCTTCAATGAGAATCGTGTGGAGGGGAGCCCACAAGCGTTCCTGAAGTTGAGCACTAGCACCAGGCGAACCATTCCTAAGTCTTGGTCAGCCATGTTCCACAGGTTAGATGCACAGGACTTACTTGACCAATGCGCCCAGAGCTTCAAAGTGATAGTAGTAGAATCTGGGGTTGCTTGGGTTCTCCTTGATGACAGCCGTGATCCTGATAAGGTGATCCAAGACCATGTCTGCAAAAGGCAGAACACCGTCCTTCATAACGATGAGCACACGCATGATGCATCGCATCAAGAACTCATTCTCTTGCATCTTTGCCGGTGCAGTGTCCTTTTCCACAAGCTTGAATAGGTGATCCAATAAATCCTTGGCGAATGGCTCAATATCGGTTCGAGAAAAGACATGGTTGCCCGCGTCATCAGTCAAGTACAAGACACGTTCGACTGCAATAGCAGCATACGTGTAGACGACATAGTTGTCCGATCCGAGGTTCTGAATGAGTGGCTGGAATGCACCTTGCCATTGTTCCTTTGTAAGCTGGCTGCGGAATGTGTAGAGGAACTTGATGGCGTCAACCTTGGAGATTGGCTCGGACTCGACATTGATCAGATCTGCGGCAATGTGCTTCTGGAAGAAGTCGACAACATCAATGAGAGAGTTGATGGTCTTGACACCTTGTGCTGCAGTCACAGCGCCCTTGGCAGCGATCGAAAAGAAGAGTGAGACAGCAGTGTCCTTGTCTTTCCAGTTTGTCTTGCCCTGCTCCAAGTAATGGTTGATGTAGTTTCCGGCCACTCCAGTCACCAATGCCTCGAACTTCTCCTGGAGCTTCTTCAAGAAATCCGTAGCGGCTCGTCGTCTCGAGTCCGTGTCGGATCCCTCGAGATCTCTTCTAATAAACTCAATGGGCTCATCCTCAAACTGCTCAATATCAGACTCACGAAGTGCGACATTGGGAAGCACGACGCCCTCAACAATTTGCTTCAAGACAGCCTCATCATTGAAGTTCTGAGCGTGTGAATCTTGGCTGGCAATAGCTGTCAGGAACTGCAGGGCCTTGCTAACAAGATTGTCGTATTTTTGTTGGGGGCCGAGAGAAGACAGCAGATTCCATGCGCTTGAAATGAACTTGGGCGCAAATCGGCCAAACTCGTCATCGTATTTGGTCGTGTATAATTGCAAGACATCGCAAATATCAGCCTTGACGTTTTCCAGAACGGAAGCCTCGTCATCGTCATCTGTCACGAGCAAATTGTTCTGATATACCAGGTACTCGTGAAGTAAGGCTGCGATACGGTCGAGGGACTCTTCGAACTGGGGCGGTAGGTCTTGGCACGAGAGGTCGTAGAAAACCTTGATGAGGAGATTGAATGTCAGCAAGTAGGCCTTTAGGGCTTCCTTGTTGTTCTGATTGGCCTTGATCTGACCGTCGGTAGCCTGATTTGCAAGTGGTTAGTAGGTTTCTCTCTGTGCTTAGGTATATATACACCCACGATCATAAGCTCAAGAAAAGGGGCCGCAAAGGTCTTCAGGACGTGGTTGATCTCGGTGAACAGTTCATCGGATCTGTAAAGCGGTCGCCATCTCTGAAAGATGGAATGCGCAACTTCCAGCACGCCGTTATTGACTTTGGCGTTGTCCGGCGTCAAGCGCGAAACGAGGTCCTGTTGATTTAGTCAGTAAAGCTGTGTCATTTCTTTCTGTCACGGAGCAGCATACTGTCACCAGTGTTTGCCATCTCTCCCAGAAGTCAGAATCCGCGATCAAGCTGATAGCTTCACCAAGCTGAGTCTGGATGGCGGGAGGACAAGTAATCATCAGGCCAATCAGCTCTTGTTTGATGGTGTCCACCTCATTTGAGGGCAACTTGTAATTTCCTTGTGCGTCCTGTTCGAGTTTTAGTCCATGCCTCCCTCGAGCTCGAGAACCCAACATACCACATAGTTGAATCGAATGAAGTTTTTGAAGTATAGGGCGGCCGAGAGACGATTCTGTTGTGGCAACGACTCGTTGTGGACGATCTGAAGGAGGAGGAGGGAGAAGCCCTGGTGCTTCTCTTCAGCCTTGAGTGCGAGTTCGGCTGTGTATTTCGTAAGCAATCTGCATATAAATCTCTTCTGCCCTGACGACCACCGTGAGAAAGGATTTGTACGTTGGCTTCAACTTACCCTTTCTTCGCTCTGCCGGCTTCAAGGTGGCATCCAGCAGCTGGACCACTTGGTTAAGGTCGCCAGCCATGGTTGTGGTGCTTGTGATGTACAGAAAAGACGAAGATCAATTTCCGACAAAGACGGTGGCTTGGAAGGATTGTACAAGAAAAAAAGTAGAGGCTGTAATTTGAGATCACGAAATTGAAGACAAATGTGACTAGGTACTGTTTTCGATTTGTTTGGCGTACCTGCAGTTTGTTTGCTCTGGGCCCGATGGCCAACCACAGCAACCGACGAAATGCCCCTCAATTTTAGTAGCGGGGTTCAGTCTTGGAGCCTGGAAGGTGCAAGACAAGACTTTGGACGGGGTCCATTTAAACGGCCAGAGCTCCGGTTTAGTGCAAGACACCCTGGGTTGAAGGGCTTGAGGCTTGAAAAATATGTCAAAGTTCCTTGTATACACAACGAACCAATCGCATCTCTATATATCATGAAAATATCAAACTGGTGCATACGAGCTAACTAAGTTCAAGATTATCCCGAGCCACAATTTGGTCTTTACATTCAAGGTGCAGCCCCCAAATGTAGGGGCTGGATCTTTTCAAGTTCATCCTCTGTCTCATCTACAAGTGCGGCCAGTGTCGGGCTACAAAGGCTACAAGCCACAAGCCGAAGCTAGTCCTGATTAGGCTCTAAGCTCATTTTCATGGCTCCGAAGCTGTTATTTTTTGCGGAAGCTCGGGAGCTTGTAATTGGAGATCGAGAAAGGATAAACATTTGTGCGACTCGGCTCATGACCTGGAGGTAGGTACCTACGTAGGTACTATGCAGCTGGACGTTTTGGGTAGTCACAGTGGGGGTGAAATTCGAGCTTTTACGTGAACGTCAAGTGAGGTTTGGATCCATTGCTGATGCATTCGGAACTTGTAGATCTTATCTTGTATTAATCTACAAGTCTCGGACTTCTTACAGACTCTTTGTGACATTTTACGAGCTTTGTCCTGCGTTATTGCTCTCCGGAACGCTCCCTATCGCACCGAGTCAGTAAGCACCCGTCCACCGGCCATAGCGGATTCCGTGAGGTTAAGACATAGTGTAAGCCGGAGGTGGAGGACTGCATGACGGAGAGCGCCCCCGAAAAGGGCTGCCTTCCCCTTGGCCGAAATTTAATGCACGCCCGATACCTGCGCTGAATGGGAGGCTGAGATTTTCCTGCAGCTGTCCTTTCCTCTTGGTGAATACTTCCCTTATGCCCTATATCATCTGCCCGTAAGTGAAAGATGCCCGTCGTCGTCTTGGTTCCTTGCCATTCCACACAGTCCGTGGCCTCTGCTGTTGCTAGCAGAATCAATCTGGCCAACAGATTGACTGCTTGAACTACATGCTCTCCGGGCCGACGAGATCGAAGACTTGGACATCAGGGTCCGCCTTCTGCAGAAATCGTGGAGCCCATCCTCTTCGCTACATCCCAAGAACCAACTTTTCCCTTCACAGTCCTGCTTCTCCCAGATGCCTGGACCACAATCGCATACCGAGAAACCACTGACATGTTGCGTCGAATAGTGTCCCTTGGCCAGCAGGCTGATGAAGGGCACGCAGAAGCCGACAACATGTCTCCATCGCCTGGAGACGATGCCGACACCAAGCCTTCGGGTGGACTTGCCAGCGTTCTCAAGACCCTGACTGGTGGTGTGAAATCTTCGAAATCGACCGCAAAGACCCAAGATTTGCCAGCGAGCACCAATCAAGACGAGCGACCGAATAATTCAAGAACCGCCAATGGCCTCCCACCAAACTTCATGGAAGCGCTGGAGCAGCTGCGAGTAGGGTCGTCCTTCAGCGAGCGAATCGCAGCTGCCCAGTTACTCCGCCTAGCTGTCATTGATTACCCGTTGAATCCAGTCCTGGACATATGGTACGCTGCCAAGGATATGATCGACCCTGGAAACCCTGGACCTGTACGAGTTGCTGGATGGGAGCTCCTAGCCGCCTGCGTCAAACATGCCTCCTCTACAGATCTAGAGCGCAAGGAATATTTTATGACCGTCACTGCTCTGGCGAATCCAGATGACTTTCGATTGCAGCTGAAGGCGCTCATCGACCTCACCAACCACGGACGAAATCTCTCGGGATTCGAATATGAAGTATATCCATTGGTGACGAACTGGTTGGAGATGAGGTTCGATGCGGCGAAAACGGCCAGAAAGCAAGCGTCCCGCACCAAGGGGAAAGGAGTTACCCCCGAAGAGGACGTCGACTTTGCCAATTTGTTTGCCTATGTGATGGACTTGATCAAGTTCAACTTCAGCGTTATGAGCGACCAGGCTGCCCAGGCATTGATTGACGCATTAGTGAGCATCTGTCTCAACACGAGTGGCACGGATGATTTGCGAGCCTGTATCGATGTAATGGGTGCTATTATAACATTCGGAGCCATCCCCAACGGCAAACTCAAAGACTGTGTGCAGGTGCTCAGCTCAGTCTATTGCCTGGTGACCACTCTGCAGAAGGAGGCCTGGCATGCACTTAGCATGCTCTGTCGGTCTCACTATGGCCATGCGGTTGTGAGAACACTGCTTAATGCATTGAGAGAGACCGACAACGACACAGAACAGTCCAAAGAAGGCACCAGGAATATACGCGGCGCGCTAGCTGTCCTCCAGAAGCTCGTTTCAAAGAGTACAGAAAAGGGTTATCCTCCAGTTGCCTATGGCTTGCTTGTCGACGGACTGGCTACCGTAACCAACTCGATAACGACTTGGAAAATACATCTCGATGTTCTTCGATTAATCAACACTCTATTCGATGGTCCCAAAGGCCAGATGAACCCCATGATTATTGATGAAGACTGGACCGCCATGTTTGATGTCGCGAACACGTGCGTGACGACTCATCTTTCATCCACGACAAACGAAGAGGTGGTCAACTCTTCCAGCTCGAGTGAAAGCTCGGAATCATTACAGTCGACCTTGGGAAAAGAGGTCGCCACGCTCATCTCCATTCTTGAGACAGTCCTGGTCGCGCAGGCTGGCGCGCTCCTGCAGAGACAGAGCTGTATCATTTTCTTTAGCAAGATCAACAAGATTTTGCCCGACTCGGCCGCCACCCTGGTTCTGGACTACTTTACAGAGTTTAGGTGCTGCTATCCGTCTGACCTCGAATGGGAAGATAACCTGAGGCTTGTGCTTGATGTTTTGTTTGCTAACCGCACAAGATCTTCACAACTTCGGGTGCAGGCCTTGCGTGTTGTCACCGAGGTGTACGACATGGTTGAGCTGGTAAATGATCAGCTTGAGCCCGACTTCGTTCCCAAGCTGGTCAAGAGTATACTTCGGGACGTAGCTGAAGAAAGCGATATCGATGTTCTGCAAGATATTGTTTCCTTTACTGTCGGTATCGCCAGCAGTGGAGATCACCCGCTGTTTCACTACATCGTGGACACGCTTTGGGGAATCTTGACTGTTGACCGACTGCGATCGCCAGCCGCACCTACAGCCTCGCCGCCTGGGGAAGCTCACGTAGAACAAGCGATTTCGCAAAGCCCTTCTGATGTCGTTGCCAAGGGCTACGTGCGAATATTCGTGCATGTTATGCACACGGATGCGACCAAAGCAATCCGGCTTTTCAGTTTGCTTGTCTCTATGGTTAAGTCCAACTCGACTCAACCTGACGCACGTCTGACTGCAATGAAGCTTCTCTTCCGTCTCAGAGCCGACTGGGCCAATCGTGTGTACATCACAACATTTACCGAAACCGAACACCTGGCCGCCTCACTGTATCGAACTGATGAATCGTTAAACAAGAAATTGGCCGAGGAAGCAGCTCAACCAAGTCGATTGTCTCGAGGCGAGGCTGGTTCCGGCCGCGGTTCTCGAGGTGTTTCCGTTGGTCATGGCCAGACTCAAGAGAGAACCATTGCTGAGAGGGGCTCTATTGCACGAGCAAGCTTGAAGGGCTTTGCCCCAGGATACCAACAGCTTTGGTCGGCTTCAGACCTTGACGTCTTGCCTGATCGCGCATCGCGCCTTGCAAGCCCTGTCTTGTCCTCTGCGCAAAAGCCAGAGCTCACTCTGGACGTCACTAAAGAAGAGGCCGTTGAGGGCGTCACAGAAGAAGAAGCCATCCCCGATGACACGGAAAAGACAGACCAGCCTCAAGTAGCAGCTCTACCAACATCTGAATGGCTAGACGCAATCGTGAGCCTGCTACAAGGCTCTGACTGGGAAGTCCAAAGCTATGTTTTAGTGTATTTGCCATCCCAACTCAGCAATCATGCACTCTTCAAAGGTGCGATCACCCAAATACAGGAGCTCCGACGTGTCCTCTGTGAGCTCATTAGAACAAATGGATTTCGCGAGCCTCCCAGCGCCACAGGTTTACGACGTGCTGACGTTGCAATCTGTCTCTTCCATGCTCTCACCATGATTCTCAGCTACCATCAACACTTTCAAAAAACCGAGGAGGATGAGATCGTTGCTACCTTTGTACGAGGTATAGCCGCTTATGAGCGCACTGCAAAATGTTGCATTCACGCTCTCTCTATATGCTGTTATGAACTGCCCCTATCAACAAGCAAGGCTTTGGTGACGATCCTCCAGAAGATGTCACAAATCATCACCCAGCCATCGATTGCTATGCACATTCTAGAATTTCTTGCTTGTCTAGCACGGCGCCCTTCCCTGTACAGCAACTTCCGGGAGGATGAATACCGGATTGTGTTTGGTATATGCTTCCGCTATCTACAATACGTCAGGGACAAGAAGCGATCGTCGCGCGTGGGTAGTATTGCGAGCGACCATCATGCCATGCTACCCGGCCTCCATGGAAACCAAACACACCCGAATGCTTCCGACGACCTTCCCCAGTACGTGTATGCATTGGCCTACCACGTCATTACTTTCTGGTTTCTGGCCCTGAAGCTGCCCGACCGGGCAAAACATGTAGGGTGGATCGTCAAGAGTCTCTTTACAGATGTCGACGGTTCGGAAGTCACAGAAGAGCAGTCGCAAGTCACAGTTGACTTCATGCAACGAGTGACATATGCCAACGTTGGCGAGTCGGCTGATGATCCACTGTTCACGCCTGAGCGATATGGAGAGATCGTACGTAGGCGTTGGCTTATTGGCAACAGTGTTGTAACTGTCGAGCAAGCCACGAGCAGTGGATGGGCTCAGATCACAAAGCGGCAGCCCTCCGGAACATCGTCCTATATGATTCGAGAAACTCTCCTTCAACCTCCAGCCCATCAAGAGCATACTACCAACGAAATGATGGGCGCTGATGGCCACCGTGAACCCAGCGACAATGTCCTTCCCAGCCACCTCCTTGTTCAAGTGCTTTCTGCGCTACCCCAGTGCACCGACCAGGCACGGCCAATACCTCTACCAGATGATGATTCCGTCAACCGAGCTCTGAGAATGTTTGACCATAGCTCAACTGTTGATGGTCACAAAGTCGGCATTATCTACATCGGCGAAGATCAAACCGATGAAGTGGATATATTGGCCAATGTTTCTGGAAGTCGAGAGTATGTCGAGTTTCTCAACGGCATCGGCACATTGACCAAGCTGAAAGGTGCTACATTCAACACTCAGGGTCTGGATCGTCAATACGAAAGCGATGGTGAATTCACCATCTGCTGGAGAGATCGGGTTACCGAGATTGTCTTTCACGTCATCACACAGATGCCAACCAACCTAGAGCGAGACCCGCAGTGCGCTCTCAAGAAACGCCACATTGGAAATGACTTTGTAAACATCATCTTCAACGACTCGGGCTTGCCTTTCAAGTTTGATACATTTCCATCTGACTTTAACTTTGTCAACATCGTCATTACTCCCGAATCACGAGCTTCGTTCGTCACTACTAGGCAGAGGGCGCCGATGGGCGTGAGAGAGTCATTCTACAATGTTCAAGTCATGAGCAAACCCGGCTTTCCGGAGATTTCTCCTGCCTCGGACATGAAAATTGTCAGCCTCAAAGCACTGCCCGACTTCATTCGTCTGATCGCGCTCAATGCATCAGTTTTCTCTCTGGTGTGGGCCAACCGTGAAGGTGGTGAACATATTTCGTCTTGGCGCCACCGCCTCAGGGAGATTATTCGACTGCGGGAAAGATACGCACCCAAAGGTGCCGGTCATAGTCATGGGCCTTCACCATCACCACCAGGCACTGCATTCGGTGGCGGAGCTTTAGCAAACGCTCTCAGCGTTCATGGGGATCTGAGCCGACCGGGAAGTGCAGTGCGTGATAGTTTCAGCAGCTTGCGACGATCATCGGTTGCTACGTTCTTCTCCAATACTAGCGAGCAAAATACCCACTCCCACAGATCTTCCATCTTGTCGACGGCCCCTACAGAAACTACAGAAGTTGTGCACCCAAATAACTGCGATACTGTTGTCGACAAACTCGACTTTTCGAAATGGGCTTGATCTTATTTGAGCACTGAAGCGTATTTCACATTTTCACGATTCCTATAGATGCCGCCATGCATGATGAGCCGGGAAGGGAAGCGTTTTCCATTCATCCCATATGCGCCGGCGTCCGCAACGGTGAGGAATTACGGCGTTTGAATACGGAGGATACCACAAAAGTTGCTGCTTTTCATTGTTTGATTTACCTGAAGCCAAGCGAGTTCGTCATTTTGTGGACTTGGCATTTGTTTGCGATACAGACACGTATGCATGTCAGCAGGATCACCAATATCACCTGACTTGTGTGATCCTATACATACAGTCAGCTTTGCTGCATTCAGAAAGATGTGCACAAGGAGCCAGGGGGACCTCCCCGGATAGTGGTACATCTTGTTGACACCCTCATTTTGAGGCCAAACTCTGTACATTCATATTAGTTTCTGAGCACCAGATATATAAGATGGACATAACAAGTTTACTGGTATCCACATGGATATGTGACCTGGAAACCCAGAAGAACGTCGTTAATTTTACTGTGAAATCACTGACCTCAACGATGATGTGAGTGAGCTTTTTTTTTTTTTTTTTAATATTGCCATGTGATGATGTGGGCGACAGGATATAGTTATTGGCTACTTAGGAGTCGGAGTTTCCCTTTTCAGCGAAAGGATTGACCAGGCACTGATCTTGACATGGGTTGTATAAAATCGCGGCGGGATTGCGATTCCTGGACAAACAAAAGTCAATCAGTAGGTTCCGCTGGAAATCATATCAGATTGCATTCCCGGGAGAGTGAGAAGAGAAAGTAGGCAGCTGGATGAATGATTCAAGCGGTGTACGGGCTAACCACACCCGTTTCGATTTTTCGATCTCTTTTTTCAAGAAAAAAAGTGTATACGAATCGTGCGTCTTCGGGTTTCATGTGAGGTCGCCGAGGTAGAACATTAGCTCTGCTCGCTTCCACATTGGAGAGGGGCTATCTAGTTGGTTGATAGGTTACACCACGAAAACATTCCTTTGGAGTTTATTACAGACTGTCAAGGTCATGATCGAGAAGAGGCTTGTCTAACGGGGGATTTTTGAATCCTTTCATATCGAATAACAATTCGGGTGGCTGGTTGATTTGGGGGCACCTGATCTCTTCCCAGAATGGACTCATTGATGATAAATAATAGGCATCTCTGAAATTTGTTCGACTTCAATCTCTCACGAGCTGACGCGTGGCATGGCATAAGAAGGCGTCTAATCGCAGGCACGGAAAGTGATGAAAAACAAGATCCTGGTTATTATCTCTCCTTGCTACTATCTTTCTTGACCAAAGACATATCCGCGCCCGCGCGCCCGGCTATGCGAGTTTCGTATACACATACACACACGCACACAGCATCCCAACCTCCACTACATGTTGGCTTGTGCGTGTGTAACATTGCGCGGGTCCATGTCCCTGGAGGCTATTTTTTTTTTTTTTTTAACTGCGTGTGTGAGGTGAGAAGGGCTGTTTGTGTTGCATTTCCCAATCCTTTCCCCCCAGCTTTGCTTTGTCGTCCACGAGACCTCGCCAGATTGTTCGTGTTTTTCTCTCTTTCGCTTGCATGATCAAAGTGCCGAGATGCACGTGCCTTTTGAAGAAACTTGTTTCGCTTTGCTGTTTTCCCCTTTTGCTCTCATTCGGGCGCCTATTCGTGATTCGTCCGCTCGCTTATCTTCTTCCTCGTAAGCGAAGGATACATGTGTATTGCAAAGTTCAAGTCACTATTGTATTCTCCCCTTTCGCAATGGCGGGAGCTTCCGAATTGGTAAATGTATTCAATTAATTTGAAAAGAGAATGCAAGTTTAGAGGGAGGTGTCTAGATAATTATTGATACATGATATATTGGCAAGACGAGTATAGAACGAGCAATTGATATTCAGCGTCCCTAAGGCTCACCACGCCTTTTCTGTCCAGAGCGTTACACTCGCAATGATCCCACCCAAGTCGGCTACAACTTTATACGCGCTTTATTTTGTTATCGAGTCCCATTTGCTACCATGAAAAATACCGCCGTATTTGGGTAGAGTACGGAGTGAAATCATGTCGTGTTACCAAGATTGCATATAGTGCAGAGGCCATTTCGACGTGGTGGGTGCAATATGGGATATACTAGCTGCAAGAGATGCTATTGTAGCCAGTTCGCTTGTGTTACACATACAACGCATGATCCTGGAAAGAGTAAAGTGATCAGGCAACTGTCGTCAGATGTGCTGGCGTCAAACCTGGTGCTGAGCCTTCTTGTGAAGTACAATGCGGGCGTTGACCTTACCAATACGGCTGATTGCTGATCAAAAGAGATGGATTGACGAAACTTGCATGTTTACTGTCTGCAGCAACACCTAATAAACTAGATATTACACATGTAATTTTCTACCTCGCAAGCCTTCTATCCGTGCCGCTTGGCGTCTTGGCTGCCATGTTGTGACTGAGCAAGGGATACTTCGATCGGGACCGGGAAATTATCAGCCAAGTGCTAGCCATCGAGCAGTCCGTTGCACCATATTCCCTTTTTGTGTGGACCCGTTCTTCCCGACCATCATGGCCGTTCCTCGGACTAGAAGATCTGCATGTTGTCTTGACGTGGATATGCTCTTTGCTCCCGACCGAGTAGAAATTCACTAATGTATAATTTCCCGATGGGAACAAGACCAGTTGATCAGTAGTAGAATGTAGCTTGAGATAATCAGTTGAGTTTTTCGTTTCAGTCACAAACTCAACAGAGCGGAGTTGCAGGCGGGTTGTGTATGTCATGGTCGAGCATTTCCCACTGGCTTCCAGACTTCTTGGTAGGTTGCCCATTTTCGGAAACCTGCAGCTGTTAATATGGATTCAGCCAGTATTCAAGCGCCCACTTACCCAGGTCTTCAAAACCCCGGCCCCCACTTCTCATGCCATCAAGAAAGACCTCTTGCATCCCGTAGCTGCTGAGCTGCTCTATGCAAGTTCCGAGAAGTCTAATCATGACAGAATTCCTGTACCTCTGCACGGCAGGATTATCCTCTGCTGGAATTAGCTTTGAAAATGAGATTAGTCGCGCTGCCACCTACCAGAAATACAGATGCAGGTAATACCTCCAACAAGAGGGCCCATTGTCCGTGGCCACGGTATCTCAGTATCCGCAGTCGATCCTGAATCAGGCATATACGTCAAGGCTGCTGCCACTATTGTCTGCCCGTGGAGACTCAAAACGATATCAAAGGTGGAATCTTTGCTCCACTTGTATATTTCGAACAAGCCCATTGTCTCGTTGCGCGATTCCTCGCGTCGTAGAAAGTCGAGTAAATTTGAGAAATCATCAGGTGTGCATGTCCTGAAGGTGTAGCCCTCTGGAATCGAGCCTAACCCACCGCTTGGCCAGTCATGTATCTTGAGCAGCCAGTCGCAGACTTCCTTGCCGCCGCCTGGTTCTCGAGAATCGAGGTCCCAGCCGCGTTTTTTGAACCAGTCTCTTGACGGCGATAATTCTTGAGGGATACCGCACAATAGTCGTGGAAATGTACTCCCGAGTTGCAATCTCTCGACCCCTCGTGTCCGCGTCAAAAGACCCGTAGCATGGTTATAGAGGCTCGACCCGATGCCCATTTTACGATATGTGTTTTTCACCAATAAAATAGCCACAGAGCCAACGAGGAAGTCCGGGTCACTAAAAGCCCAAGTCGTGTAAGTTGCGCAAAAGCCAATAATCTCGCGGGTCTCTGGCTGTCTGACAACATAGTGTCTACCAAAACCATCTCGATCAAGTAGACTCTGCAAGGTGTAGCGATTGAAAGTAAACTGCTTGGGCAAACACTCGTTCCAGAGGTCTAATATAGGTGAGACGTCGAATTGTATGAGACTGTCCGGTAATGCTTCCACCGTCCATTTTTTCGGAGCCGCAGTCGGTTCTTGTAAACCCAGAGGTCTGTCGATCGTTGCCGGCGTCTCACCAAACAGCACAGCAGCGGCTTCTTCAAGTTGGCTTGGCGCATATCCGGAGAGCTGAATTATGGTTCCAAAGTGATTCTCCTCAAAGCCCAGATATTCTTCCTGGCAAGCCACAACTACCAAGGGGCGATACTCGGCCATGACTTGTGCCAGCTCTGCCATGTCAATCTGTGACACCTGTCCCGGTACCGCAGCACCAGCAATGACAAAGATAATCACTTTAGCTCTCTTGATGAAAGTAGAGTGAAACTCGGTGATTCCACGATTGGCAGTATATGGAACATGCCTGACCCAGGCGTGCCTTGCAGCTAGTGCCCGTCCAAGAGGTTCAAACGGATCCAGAACGACATCGTCTTGAGCCAGGGGTGCGACTACCGGAGATAAGAGTACCAGAAGATCTCCCTCATTTAAAACATTCATAAGTGGAATGCATGACTGCAGGTCTCGTTTGAGGAGGACCTTTTCAGATCTTGGATAAGAGGCTGCCCGATGCACAAGGTCCGGTGCCATCTCCACAGAATATTGTGTCCCTCAAGTGCACCGTGTACTGAATTGTACTATAAACGCGCTCGTCTATACATAATTAGTATAATTGAAGACGGAATCGGTCGTGTGAGACTACAGACTCCGAGTGCAAGTAGAGTAGAAGAAAGCTTCTCACCTGGCCACTTTGTAATTGAAAGTAATTGATATGAGCATCATGAAGACATGAAAAACTGCGGTACGAGAGTAGCGCAATAGCCGCGGTCCCAGAAGCCAATGGACTATTAATGCCAGGTAGAAGTCCTAAATAAAGGAGTCGAGTCTGCCCGATTGGATGTAAAAAGGGAAAAACAATTGCCCTCACATATGCGGGTCTCGGTGAAGAAAATCTCCAGAAGTAGTAGGATACACGTTTCAATATTCCTTGTAATATGCGATCTTTGACGTACCGCTTGTATGTATCCGAAAACCACTACAATGAGGCACTATCAAAACCTCAAAGAAAGTGGAACTTGGTTGTGGAAAGATGGTAATCAGTCAGTTATGTTTCGGTCTGTAGTATTGCAAAGACTGGCCTGCACCAGCCCACCAATGATCTGATTGGAGAGGACCAGAGTACAGTTATCGAGTTACCAACACGTTTGTAGAAAGCTGGAAAACAGGGGGTTCGATGGCTTCTTATAACGGCATAGGCGAGATCCCGCGGATTACGCGGTTTCTCTCACTCGAAGATCCTGCACTGAGAATGTCTGCTGCGCCTTTGCCGGGAAACATAAGATAGTATGGGTTGCACAAGGTTGGGCTGACCCAATGGCTACTGGTGTCGAGGATATGTAGGTGTGACTGGGAACTGCAACCCATATTGGTGCCTGTTCTCGGTCGATTTCACCGGTTTCTCGAAAGCACTACGAGACGCCTGGCAGGGCGGGGTATAGTGACTTACAATTGGCTGATGCGTCATACGCCTTTCGTAGTCTCCGTGGCCCAGTTCTGCGAGAGCCGTATCCAGGGTGGTACAGGGCGTCATTCGTAAGTAGGGCTCTGGCTCTGATGACGGGTGGAAAATGGCGGAGCAGTGTGTGAGAGAAGGAGGAGCTGACCCAGGAAACGGCCCTCACTGGCATCCCGGCCAGGGTGTGCCCCTACTGAGGAGTACATTACACATTCTGGCGGCCGTTGGCGGCATGAATACGTAGTAGCCACTATGTTCCTCCTCGAACAGCTGAGAACTCAATAATACTGTCATGGTGTATCGTTACACGAAGACGATCCTATTAAATAGGGCATATGGTAAGGATCATATTGTCAGTTTTTTTTTGGGGGGGGAGTACAAGTGCTTGGAAGGAATGCCAAAGATTTGCGAGTGTTGGTCTCGGGTGGTTACGCAGTCATATCCTGCCGCTCGGTCACTGTCAACAACCCTACAGGGTATGAGTCGGACGGACTGTGCCCATAGAACAACGACACGAGCAGGATTGCTTATGTGAGTGACCTGGTCCTCTGGAATGTCCTAGGTTGAGCCGATTGGCCTGTGTTGTAAAAACAGTTGTGTGAAGAATTTTTTCCCACTTTCTATGAATAGATCCAAGCAGCCAGGGTTGAGAACCTGGGGATCCTATGGAGGGGTCATTGATACTCGCCAAGGGCGATCGATGGTGGTAGATCACGCTCAAGCATGGAGAACAGAGTCTGTCCCTTGTGATGCATAAAAGAGGTTGATGTTGAGATTGAATGATTTATTTTTGTTCTTCGTCAATCGTTTCTGCAAGAGTTCCGTGGAGTGTAAGGTGAGTACAGCAGCCATGAGGTGGTAAAATGAACAACGGAGCTGGGTGCCTGCCTCGAAAGCTCTCGTTCACATCTGCCGAGAGGATTTGATGCAGGACCGCCTTGGCATTCTCGCGATGAGGAAGATGGTGGATCTAGGACGAAGGAGGAAAGTAATTAAAGCAGTATGCAGCATCACGCTCTGGAAAAAAAAAAAATCTGCTTTCTACAATGCAAGGAAACGTGGTGCGATTAATATTCTGAACAGACATGCAGGGCTGCTGAAGAAGATTGAGCGACTCGACAACAATAGGATTGGGTAAAAACAAAAGATTCCGTTCTGGCAGGTGCGCTAAGGAAGGTCAAGTTAGCGACTACAGGTAGGTGGTACCGTGGGGCATCAACAGCATGGTTGTACTGAATCGTCGGCACGACTAGCGACCTATTACCCATTAAACCCGCTGAGCATGGGCTTGTCACAGCGCTATGAAGCGCTAGACTAGGTCAATCAGGTACCATCTCAGTAGGTACTACTGCTCGGCCGGCGTCGCCGACCCACCGCTTGAAGATCCATGTCCCAATTGGCATAACCAGCTGCATGTGAGCACGCGTCAAACGCGGCCGCGTCTCCAATCACGACAATCGATACTATCATCAGTTCCGGCGTTCTGCACTCTGGTGTCGCCGCCGGATTGATCACGCAGGCGGGATCTGACCCACGACTCGAAGTAAAGTGAAAACATGCCCTTATCTTCTGACGAACGTGGTGAGGGCAGTCGGACTCTATTGCAAGATAGCTTGTCCGATGTAATTCAAGGTATGCCAAGCCTCAAGATAATTGTCCCTCTTCACCACGACCAGTATTGCCGTCCAAGCCCACTTGCTTCTATCCGAACGAAAAGGCTGACTAGCAGTTTAACGCAAGCTTCCAAGGTGCCAGCGAAACGTCGCGGTTCCAGCATCAAGCCCACTGTTGAGACACTTGCGTCTGAGTGCTATGACAAGGGCCTTCTTCCAGATGCGCTCGGTGAATTGATCGATCTCATCATTCACCCGAGCCATTTGGATCAGGCAAGTCTTAATGGCCTCATCAGGAACTTGTATCCAGCAGTATCTATAGATGGCGAATTGGTTATCAAGATTGTAGGATGCCTAGGCCATGGCGTCCTGAAGCCTTCCTTGGGCATCCAAGCCGCGCTGTTAAAGTGGCTGATCATGACCCATAACGTCATCAAGGACCAAGATGCTCTGTCCAAAGTATATGCAGTATTGTTCAATCTTCTCGATACGGCAGCCATCAGGTCCGTACTGCATATTTTTCAAAATATCATCTGCCATCTGCTCACTATTTGCAGACCACAGTTATGCCACCTTCTGGCATTGATAACGCGGCGTAGACACGTTCGGCCATATCGCATTCAGGCAGTGTAAGCGTCAACTTCAGACAGGGGAGGCAAAGGCTGATATCATGCATCCAGCCTAGCACTAAGCAGACAAACAGGCAATGACCCTGCCCTTACCGGCCTTCTCCGTGTTTTCAAAAATTATTATCCGGAGATCATTGTTGGTGATGCTACACGTGGGAAGGCATCAACTTTCAAGGTATAAATCTCTCCGCATCTTGTGTGTTGTGCGTCTTGCTAACTCATTCAGTATCCGGACCCTGAATGGCGGGAAAGACTGGGCGAGGTTCAGCAAGCCCATGCTCAATCACTAAGAGATCAAAACCAGCCTCGTGATGCATTTCGCGTGGCCCACAGACTGGGCAACATGAGTGGCGGAAAGGCGAGCGTCATACCGGAAGTGCACACGTCCCACGCCCAGGAGGTAAGTTGTATTGAGAGGATCTATAGCGTCTAGCTGCTAACTGCAAAGGACTCGATCACTCTCGAGGAAATCGATAGTGCTGACCGACTGGTCAATAACTTGGAGAAAATTGAGCTTCCCAACCAGCTTGTCTCGGTACTGGCAGACCCTTTGCTGCAGAAGCTCATGCTACTTCGACCTAACGATGTTTACGAATCCCGCATCACAAATTGGTTGTCGTCTTATACTGAAGATGTGGTGCGCGGCGAACCTACAAGCACGGCCGAGCTTACAAGCTTTCTCCAAGTGATACAGGACTACGTCTCGACTGCTAGGGACGATTCGCTTGCCCCAGCGCTTCAATCTTTCTTCAGCTCATACCTGAAGGTATGGGATGGCAAGACGGGCAGCCAACTCATTCTGAACATATTATCACACACAGGTATACCTCAAAGGGGCTTCTCTGGTAAGAAAATATCAATCATGACATTTGGGAGATGCTGATGCTCGACAGGTCTATATGAGGATACTTTTGCATCTCTTGAAAGAAAGGTACTTGATGGAAGCGGCGAAACTCAACTCGAGATGCTCGCCTGCTATACTGCCCTTTTACGACACTGGGTAACCGTCTTCTTGGCAAAAGAGGCAGACAAAACATTTGGCCCGGTCATATCAGACCTCGTGTGTCATGTCAACAAGCTGTGTCTCACGCTCATTCAGACATCATCAAGTACATCTACACTCTCCATGATACTGGACTTCTACGAGTTGACGGCATATATGGTATCAACGCCGCGACTGAGAAAACGTGCTCGCATTGACATACCTTCTTCGGCTCTTGTCTATATGCTACACTTCAACTCATCCTCCACGTCACTTTCACGCCTGTGCGGAATACTCTCGTGTTACAAGGAGGGATTTCAAGCTGCAATGACAAGCTCGCGTACTGCATATCCTGCAGCTTATGTCAATGGCTTCAACGGATTTCTTATGGACATTTGTAATTGTCTATGGCGCTCAAAGGCATTCAACAATACAGATGCCAACGCGCACGGCTGCCTCGTGCCAGAGAGTGCAAGAGTTGCTCTGGCAAATTACGTATCTTCGCTGAAGAATGGAAGCAATCTGTCGTCCATGTTTACCTTGTCGGCTTCTCCAACACTTGGTCTCATGGCGACGACGTATCTGCGCGACTTGGAGGATATTGAAATGGAACAGGGCTCATCAGGGCTCGACACTCGACATGCGGGTCCTGCTACGAGGACCAGTCTCATTGCACTCGGCAAAAACGGCGGAGTGAGCTTGACTTGGGACGAATTCAGGCTAGGCATTCTTGGATATTTGGAACAGCAGCATCTTGGTGGCGTTGGACTGCTGATGCATAGCACAATGACGACACTGATGAAGAAGAAGTAAAAGGATGCCTATATTTTCTGGCAATGAGTCAAGAGCCGAATGAACGTTTACAAAATCAGACTAATATGAGCCGGTGTTGACGCCTCGTCATGTTCTCTATCCCATGTTGAACAGGGTATCTTTGCATGCATGTTAAGTACACCCAAAATCAAAAACCTCGATTCCTTCCTTGTACTTTAGCCTGGTGATGAAACCCCGGCTTTCGTGTTAATACCGCCAGCAACTCCATAACACCGTGCCATGCGTTGAGCTTTTGACTGCCCCCGAGGGTTCGAAAATCCTCTCAAATTGCTAGATGCAGGTTAAATGCACCAGGCGTACCAAGAAATCCTACAATCTTGAGTTCCTGCCCGAAGGGCACCTAGCCTGATCAATTGGTCTCTGTGCTCTTCTCGGTGCTCTCGTCACCGTAGCCTCCGAAACCACCAACGATGTAACTTCTACCGGCATTGCCCAGCTTGGCGTGGTTCCTGGGGCCACGACTCTTCAAGTCCGACTTGAGCCAGCCCAGCACGAGCTCGCCCAGCTGACTGTTGCCAGTGCTCGTGCCCTGGGTATCGCCGAGGAATTGCTCGGCGGGACCCCACTCGCGGACGGTACCCAGGTGCATGTGGACGAGGTGGGTAGGCCAGCCGGCAAGGTTGTCGAGGATGTGGGTGGCGTAGACAATGGTGCACTCGCGAATGTCGGTCTCGTGCTTGAGCCAGCCGAGGAACTCGGCGCGGCTGAGCACGTCGAGGTCGACGGTGATCTCGTCGAGCAGCAGCACGGTCCAGGGGCGAATCAGGCCCATGGCGAGCTGCACGCGGCGCCGCTCGCCGTCGGACACGGCGTGCATGCGCCACTCGGTGTCAATGTCGAGCACGCCGATGAGCTCGTCGCGCCGCTCCGGGTACGCGTCGCCGCCGACGGACCGCAGCAGCTCGTTGACGCCAATGTCGGTCCGCACAATGGGGTTCAGCACCCACTCCAGGCCCAGGTAGGTGACGCCCTCGAGGCCGTCCTTGAACGGGTCCGCGCCCGAGACGCTGATGCTGCCGCCGGGCGCGAGCCGCTTGCCGGCCAGCAGCCGGAGCAGCGTCGTCTTGCCGGCGCCGTTGGCACCGATCAGCAGCGTACGTGAGCGTGGCGGCACATTGAGAGTAATGTTGTTCACACCAGTGGAGTAGTCAGGAAAGGTGTACGTAAGGTCGGAGACTGAGATTTCCGGCGCTGGAGGTGCCATTTTCTTCTTCTTTCTATGTGATTTGCCTGTGAGACGCGGACGTATGATTTAATCGGAAGGAAGAATCAAAAGAACAGAGGCAAAATGATCACTAAACTCTCAAAAAGCCTCTGGCTAAAAATGAGTCGTTTTTCGAAACCTTTTATATGGGGGTTTCTAAAGCGTCCGGGGTTTGCCTATTCACTAGAGTGGATGATGCCATTGACTCAATTTCAGGGATTCACAGCGAAAACTCCGCACAACTTCGGCGGCCGGCTACGGACCTTACCGAAGAAGCGCCAAAAGAACAAGATGAGCAGCCACCCGGAGCCGCCCAGCAATCGACATTCTTCAGACTTCACAGCACACTATTTACTCAACACTTATTTGATAGTAGTTATTTGAATTCGTATCCGGTTGAGAACTGAAGATTTGTTTGGGCATGATTGCAGCTGCTCTCTTGCTTCATCGCAATCGTCGTCATTATGTACCTACGTATTTATCTAGCCTTGATGTTGAATCTATTTGTTTCTAGTATCTTTTATACGTAGGCATCTATTCCCGACAGCAGGTCTTCTTTTCTTTCGTTTGACAAGAAACTAGCATGAATAGAGTTGCGAGCCAGTTCTCTCATCTTTTCGAGGCCAAAGCCAAAAACTTCACTAACCCGAACGTACTCATCCAAGCAATCCGACCCAAACATGGTCGGGTCGTCAGAGTTTAAGGTGCATAAGAGCCCGCGCTCCAGGTACAGGGGCAATGGGTGTGCCTCGACGGCGGGACAACCCCCCGTCAAGACGTTGGACGTGACATTGATTTCCAGCGGAACTTGCTGCTTCGCCAGCATGGCCATGAGCTCGTCGTCGTACTGGGCAGCCAGGCCGTGACCAATGCGCTCGACGTGCATCGCCAGCGCCTCGCGAATTTGCAGCGGACCTTGGACGGGGCCCGTGGCCTCGCCGGCGTGTGCCGTAAGTCGCAAGCCCGCCTTTTGAGCCTCGGCGTACACGTCGCGAAACCACTCAAGAGGACCCCCGACCTCGTCGCCGCCGACGCCGATGCCGATAATGGAGGGGAAGCGCCCTTTGAGCTCGGCGGCCAGGCGGAACACGCGGCCGACCTCGTCGGCGCCAAACTGCCGCGTCGCATCGATGATCCAGAGGAGCGAGGGACCGCCCAGCTCGCGCTCAATCTCGCGCCTCGCGTCCTCGACCGCCGTCATGACATCCTCGACCTTGAGATGCGACTTCCAGTGCAGAATGTTTCCCCAGGCAATGTAGACCTCGGCGTGCACAACGCCCTGGCGATGTAGGTTGCGTAGCATCTCCCTGGTGATCAAGGCATAGTCCTCGACCGTCTGCAGGCGATCGAGGACGAGCTTGAATGTGCGCAGGAAGTGAAGAAAGTCCTTGAAGACATAGAGCGCGCGGGCCTCTTCCAGCGTCAGCGGCTTGGCATCGTGCCGCTCAGAGAGCACAACCAGCGTCTCGGGCGTGACCGTCCCTTCGAGGTGCAGATGCAACTCGGCTTTGGGTAGACCCTGCAGCCACTGTCTTTTTGTTTTGGTCATTGTGAGATATGTTTGTGTGTAGATTATGGATGTGATATGACTGGTTGATCTTGAGATACCGGGCTCCAGGCTCCAGGCAACAGGCACCTATAGGTAATGTAGTGGTCAGTCATCCACGGCTGTCATCGGGGATAACGCTCCGCTATAGGTACCGCCTATTCCGCTTAGCTCAATTCCCAACGCCGCAAGCAAGCGTTGGGAAGTAATTGGCGTCCAACAACCTGAAAGCATTTGACAACCACTTTGTCTTATGCCAGATTGTAAACATGCACGACTTATCATTATGAGAAGCGTATACCATGAATATATTTTTTGGAGGAGTAAAACAAAAAAGTCCTGCGTCTTATACTACTAATAAGTCCGACTTCTGCTTTTGAGCCAACGTTTACGCATCCTCACAAGTAACTTGACTTTGCTCCAAGATAGAAATACTATCTATGCTCAAGATGACCGTATTAGTTCTGGTGAACGTGAAGCCACACAGGGGGTAAAAGTGTAAGGTTGCTATCTCCAGTGGCTGTGAAATATTCTGAAGGACAACATTGCGCCACCCCCAGCTCGTCGCAAACTCATCCAAGAGCAGCGGCACGTCGCCCCATTCCACGCGCAATTCACACAGTGGGTTCTCGCCGGGTGAAACAACATCAGGGTCTGAGGTCTGCTCTGGGCTGATGAAGAGAGGCTGGTACCAAAACGATACTGTATATCGAACGGAGGGGTCGATGTTGGTTATCTGCTGTGACAACTCCTTGATCTCCCCGTCGGTCTCCGTCACGTTCGATTGGCTGTAATATGAACGTTAGGCACGAGTACTGCTGATATGACACGAGACCTGAATCTCTGAGAGAAGAGACTTACACTAATCCTGGAGGGCTAATCGCTCTGACCCCCGATGAACTCGACTGATCCACAAAGTTGAAATCAATGTGGTCCCAGTCTTTTTCGGGATCAGCGTCATCGAAACCACCGTTAGTCACGATGTTTCCAGAATACGGGCCCCTGCATAAAACAGTGGCTTCAGGCGGCGTTGTCGTCTACAAGCCAATGAGGTTCAGGTCTATCGAAATCAAGAGCGTTGAGTATAAACTTACTACGGTTGTGGCAGTTTCTGAAGCGATCTGAATTGTCCTCATCAGCATTTCATGTTTGATCATGTGAAGATCGTGTCCGAGTCTCTGTCGCGAAAGGTGAAGCACATATCAACCGAGATAACTTACTATTGTTTCGGTCGTAGCCACCGATACCGTTGCAATGAGTTGCGGAACTCTAAGACATCATTAGTAGTATGCGACAATATTGGCCTTGGGAGCACACCTACGCTGTTGTGAAAACGGTGACAGTGGTCATGATCCATTCGGTATTTGTTGCAACAGGCAAAGCAGAGATGGTGAGAATAACCTCGGGTGCCTCGATACAGGTGCAGACGGGTCCAATGATAGTGGAGTCTAGAAGTTGAAGACTTTCAAATACAGCCGCGGGATCAAAGGCCGAGCTTGCACTGGGAGTAGCCGTGATAGATGTGTGCAGACTTGAATGACTGTAAGGGTTAGGTGCATTCACAGCATAAGGAGCACCATGACCAGGATGCAGTTTGTAGCCTCCCTGTTTTCCATATTGTCCTGAGCCTCGGTGGCCGGGTAAAGCTTCGTGCTGTGGTCCATAGTGCTGACGAGCCTCTTTTGAACGCTTCTCTCGAGGAAGGGGGTCATGATAAAATGAAATTATTGTAGTAGTGGTTCTAACTCCGAACTAAAGAGCAAATGAGTCGCAATTCATACAGCCGTACGTCTTTGACAAGGTAAAGAAGCACCAAGTCTGTGATAGACTCACCGTGACGGTTTCGGTCGTCACAACAGCAGGGGATGGTGTGATGGTGACGACAGCCGTTGCAATGAGAGTGGTTGTCGTGAAAGCATCCGTAGTTATCCCAACGGTCGACGTAACAACTTCGATCAATTCAGGCCCAGCGGATTGAACGAGGGTTATCGGATTGGTAGCACCAGGAAAGTGTTCGGAGCAATAACTTAAAGCCGGCGCATACTGAGCCAGAACCGAAGCGGTCGCCACTACAGGCGGAAGATTGCAAAAAGAAGGAAGATCCACAGTCTTTTGCGAGTTGGCCATAGAAAACAGGCCCGCAAGCCCAAGGAATCGAGTAATTGTCATTTTTATCATGATAGATCAGGCAGCGCGACACAACGTGAAAAAATGTGAGTATTCTGTTCAAGATGAATCCGATGCATCCAGAAATCAATGAGACGAGGCTAAATATATCATCATCATCCATGTTACACAAGTGTTTTCCATGAAAACAATTTGTCATCCATATCGCAACGAAACTTGGTTGCTTTCTTGAATGCGTATTTGTGATGTAATTGGAACTTTGGGTCAGAAAAGATATATGGGGTACACAGTTCATCATGATCGCGCATGTACCAGAAGCAATATGAAGGATATACTTTTAAATTATATTGCTCTCTGCCGCTGTCGATTATTGATGCCGTGCATATTGTGGCAAAGTCAATAACCCGACTCCTGATAGTACAAACGGCACAGCTCGCCTGTTTCAGTTAATAGCCTCACATGCATGTCCTGTCAGCTATATTAATGTAAGACACCGGGAAAGGCTGCAACTATCCGTAATCTCGAAACACATCATTGTCGAAACTTAACCCTGACGGACGGGATCACCATTTGTTATTTCCGGTTCTCTTCAAAGAATTACAGTCTTTGAAGACGAATGTGTGAGAAGCGCCATGCCGTGTATATGTCGAGGTTCTGGAAATGTCCATGTTGTCCTCGTTTCAACCTAAGACCCGGCTCATACGGACGTTACTGACAGCCGGACCGATGTAGATACTTCAAACCTTACATCATACTTAGTCCCATGATCATGATGCTCATTGCCTCCGTCCGCTCCTCTTGGCCAGCCTCGTTCGAAATACTTCGTCCAGGAGGGGAAATCGTTTACACCAAATATCACATATCTGAAATCAAGCTGTATTTTCTCGTGACATACGACTCGTAAAACTGCACAGAGAATAGCCCTGGCATTGACACGCGAGGCTTATCCCTTGGACTTGGACACATGGTTGCATAGCTGCCGCATAGGGTATGCTACCCGAGCCAATCATCTCAATGTCCAACAGCTTAGCTCATACACTGAAATATAGGCAGCAATTGAGTGGCGCCATTGGGGGTGCGCAAGTCATAACAATATGAGATGAACGCCTCTTCACACCACCGAGTTCAGCGAATCTGACCCCAAGCTCTTCGAACACGACTTCCTCGGCGCCCAAGACATTCACGACATCCAAAATGGCACCTTTGGCCCAGGAGGGCTATTCTCTTTTCGTGTTCCCCTTCTCTTTGTATTCCATCATGACAAGGTATACTTTTACTCTGGGCCGCGCAGGCTTGCCTCAAGAAACTAGTTCCCTGGACATTAATCTCAAGCTTGTCAACCTTCATCGCGATGAGAACCTGGCCGAAGATTATCTCTTGAATATCAACCCGAAAGGACAGGTCCGTACAAAATTTGGACAATAGCTGCGCCATCTTTATTGACTATCGAAATGGATACAGGTGCCTGCTCTCACTGGGAATGATCTCCCAACACCTTTGACCGACAGCCTGGATATCTCGTACTGGCTCTGTAATCACTTCCCAGGGTTGCTCCCGGAAGCACACAAGCCAGTTATTCAGCAGTTTCTGACTCAACTGCATGGATTCGAGGGACTCTCGCTGTCGGTACCGTCAAAGGCCGATCGGCAGGAGGGAGTGCCAAATCCATCGTTGGATGCTTTACTAGCCCGATCTGATATAACGCCAGAGTACAAGCGTGCTTTGGAGTATAAGAAAAAGTTGTGAGTATCTAGTTTGAGGTCATTCGCCCACACCTCCGAACGCATCGCCTAACATGGGGAATACCGCAGCCACCAAGAAACTCAAGAACCAGCGCTCTGGGAAGAAAATGTTGAGAGAGCCGAGCGGCTTGCGAAATCAGTATTCGACAGGGTCCTGAGAATCCACTCTTGGCCACAGCACACTTCAGGGCCTTGGATCTTTGGCGAAGCCGCGACTGTGCTGGACGCACATCTCGTGCCGCTCGTCGCACGCTTGTTGGACTGCGGGCGAACGGACCTGGTACCAGACGAGCTTCAAGAGTATGCCTTGGCAGCGATGCGCGGACCAGAATACCAAGCTGTCACTCACGGCCGGCGCACGATTTGGGATGTCTCTCTGGGCCATGTGGGCTTGATGAAGGACTTTTAGCTTTTGAAAGTGACGATTGTCTTGTAATCAACTACTTACTATATGATAAAGACCTGCTTCATAAAGCCATGTACCTATAGGATGCTCTTCTATTTCTCGCAATGCCACCTGTTAGGTGCTGGCCACCACCCTAGGTACTAGTACCTAATTTTCCCCGCAGCTACTACAGTTCTCCGCCCTCTTCTGTACTTCACTTTTGTTACGCTTTGCCACATCTAGATTGAGAAGATCATCGACGTCTGATAATCATCAGTCTCGTGGCCTGTAGCTAGCTTACATAATCGTTTTCCATTCAAACCTTCGTTTCCCGCTGTTTCCGTGAAGTCACTGCTACTTACCATCCAGGCACTGGCCTTACACCACCAATCATATCAAGCATCTTTCAGTACGGCCTGAATGCGCTCCCCACAACCCGGGAGCTTGTGTGGTAAGGTTCGTGTCAATGCCGCTGTAATTTACCAAGCCGTCTGTCAGGACATGTTTCGACCAGACCATCCTTGAATCTATTGCCGCTTCATGGCTAGGATTTGCTATAAAATGAACCGAATAGTAGTTTGGATGGGGGTTTGTGTCAGCAGGTTTAGCTCCGAGTTTAAGTAACAGTTTGTCCAACATGAAGTTCCACTCTGCGATTGTCTTGGCCAGCGCACTGCTCGTCAATGGCATGGCGGTTGAGCGCGCAACGGTTGAGGAATGCCGGGTTGTCGACATTAAGATCGCCATCTTACTTGAAGAGAACCCGGTGGTTGCAGATGATTTCTGTTCGTCGTACCTCTCCTTGGGTCCGTCCTCTGCGACAGATATCTCCGACTCCACCATATTTGTCACCACGACAATCACCACCGCTGTGGCGACTACTACGATTTCTGCTGCAATCGTGACCACGACTGAAACTAGGTCGGTACTCGAGAACACGCTGCATGTATTTGGTAAACTAAATCATCTGAAGCATCACAACCTTTTCAGGATGCGGTATCGATGGACCGCTAGCCAAACGTGCTTTGGAATATCCACGTAAGAGAATATAAACACTGTGCACATCAATTGTTTCTGACACGATACAAGGAGATCCCAAACATCGGCATGCGCATGGTCATTTACCAGGTCATAAGCCTCACCCTCAGGCCGTGAATTATGGACAAGGGTGAGACATCCTAGCAGCAGAGAGAGACCACTTGTTGAGTACTTGATATTGATTTCCAAGAGTAGTTATGGCTATGGTGCATATGGAGCAGCCACCACAGTTGCGCCGACGACGACGACGACGACGACGACGGCGACTACGACATCTCTTTCCGGCGTTGAAACCCTCTCATCTGCCCTGGCTGATTTCTTCCCAGCAGACATTTCCTTGGGTTGTGACTGTCAGCTAAACCCACCCGACGCGACAACTACTGACCTCTTGACAATTTTTGACTCCTTCACCACTTTGACCATTACGGAGTTTGTTTCAGGCACTGCTTCCGTGACCGATGGCGGGCAGACGGTCACTCATACCGCCACCTCGGTCGTAGTTGAAGAGGCGTGTCCCACGCCGAGCTCTTGTGGTAATCGCGGCGTTGAATGGGCCGAGTACCACAATGATCAAGGATACAACGGGGACCCGAGCTATTACCAATTCGATCCCGCAGTTTACAAGACGGCGACACCAAACGCCACGGGAACCACGTCGAAGATCAATGTGGACAGCACCTTTGCAAACACTGGAGACACCTTTCCCGTCCCCGTCTATGATATCGAGGTGCCCGTAGAGCTGTTTGTCCTGAACCATCGAGGGTACTTTTACGCTCCCACGACTGGCGTCTACACCTTTTACATGCCCCAGGTTGACGATGCCGGATTTGTCTGGGTCGGGTCCAAGGCCTATTCTGGTTGGACCAGGGACAATGCCGATATCAATTTCATCACGTCTTTGCCCTTTGACCAACAAAAGACCAGTGTCAACATTCAACTGGTAGCAGGACAATTTTTGCCCGTCCGCATATTGTTTGTGCAAGCCCAAGGCGGAGTAGTTCTGCAGCTACAAGTCACGGGACCCGACCATAATCAATATGTGAACTGGTTCACGGATAGCCCATTTTTGGTTTCTTATCCATGTGCTGACCCATCACTGGCATTTCCACCATGGGGCCAGGAGACTTAATTTCCACTAGGGCCAAATGAATAACGTTTATCTTTATGTATTTGCTTTGGGTCAATTCCAGGGATTTGGATTCTACGAATCGCGCTGTATTCTTCTTCATCGCTTCGGCAACAATCGGCCAGAACACGACTCTGCATTTTTGAACCTGCACGTTTGAATGCAGTATAAACACTATCTGAAGTTCTTGTTTTGGGCGATTATCTTCGGCTTCGCAGCGCTGTTTTTTATATTATATATTTTAGTCATGAACCATGCCGTGTTTAACCATGCTGGCATCGCTCGGGAGTGATCTATCGCGCTTCGTGAAGATCATTCGCCGGAGTCGAGTCCTGGAAATGGAGGAATGCGCATCTATTTCCGCCGGAGAGCCAGATCCAAGGCCCCATACCTATCAGCTCACGTCAGTGCTCAAACAACACAGGGCCGTGATAGACTGGCGCATCGCAATTTATGGAGAGAAGAGCGCGATGATAGGGGTCGGAAGCCAGACACAGTCGTCGTCGACTTGGCCGCACAGGTATTACTTGATCGCGCTGTGTGCCTTTCAAGCATTGTTCGCGTGGTCACGCTTGTGGAGTGGCTTTTTTTTGCAAGATAGTATAAAGATTCTCGGTTGGTAAGGATTGCGGACGGGAGGCAAAGAGTGCTGCAGTAATTATCCGCAACACGCATCCCACAATTGACTCCCTTCACCTGCCCAATACCCTTAACACACAAGTACCGGCGGTTAGATGGGCTGAACCATGACCCCCAAACCATAGTGGTTGGCGACCATGAAAGCCTCGCAGTGTTACTTGTAGTTCAACAAGGATAGTATTCTGTGAGAGGAAATGTCACCACTCTTAAGTTTGGTGAGGGGCGGCACGCTACGCCAGTCCTTTGGCTGCCAGTGCAACCCTCCTGCCCGCCCGCCCGCCACCTTTATGTGCTGGGCCCCCAACTATTGTCTGCCGTTTTTGATACGCTCTAACCTTAGAGTCTGTGAAACTATACAGATTACTGCACCAATGAAAACCACCTCCTAGATAGCACTGGGCTTCTCATTGGTCCTTTGTGCCAGTCGTGCCGATGACGGGCCATCCAACTGCCGTGTGGGTAGTATCTTATGCAGGTGAGGTGACGACTGCTTCAGCCTTTTCAAATTGTCGTGGATACAGTCGTCTCATTGGCGGTGGCCACTATATATTAAGAAGAGCTGAACGCGCCTCTAGCATCTAACGACTATGGGTTCTCGGTGAGCATTGTGGCAAAGAAGGCAATGGAAAAGTCCATGTAGTCTTGAAGGCCTTTTTACCTACCATTTATACATTGGAGCGGCACTGGTACAAGTTCGCCACCAAGGCTTCCAGCCCTTTTGTGGTGGTCTCAGCAGTAGCCTCTTTTCGTAAATAAATTCATTTCACTCCCTGTGACAATGTTGGTCTCTTTTGCGCACCAACCCGACATCCAAGGCGAGCGAGCCAATTGCGAAAATATCTTACTCGCTGCACCTTGACAACAAGATGTTATCCACCGCATTTTCGACAGACGATGGGTCACTGCCGTACAATATACGTTTGGGCATTTGGACCAATTGGTCCAAAGGCTCTGTCATGGGATCCACGTTGACTCTGACTCGAAAGGACGCCAGTCTACTCATTGCCTTGACAGCCTTCTTTATCAGCTTCGTTGGCTCGCGTTTTTGGAAAATTGTGTGTTTTTTATGTCATCGCTACTTGTCTTCCTCACTTACTGCTCCTGAGGATGCTCTACATCACCAACGCCAAGTTATATTGCGCAACTCGTCCGCCGCAGAGTCGGGACTCTGGACTTTAATACAAGTGATGTGGGCTTGGCGCCATCACGCCTCAAGGTCCGCTGTTCGACTTTTGCCTATTTGTCTCATGGCCCTATTCTGCTTTGTATCTTTCGTACTAGCCGGTGTTTTTTCGGCCAACATATCCTCGTCGGCTGGGGACGAGGTCTTGATCGACGGCACGGATTGCAGTATTTTCTATTCGGGAGACGCCTCGAACATTGATACTGCTCACGACTATAGTATTTGGAATTCTCAGGTCGTGAATAATGCTTACAACTACGCGCAGCAATGCTACGCTGTCGACAGCGCTACCTCTATGAGTTCTTGCAACAGTTATGTAGAGAACCGACTCGATGCAATGCGAGATACTGCGGCTCCCTGTCCATTCGCCAACGATATTTGCCGAGATAACTCATCCAACCTCATTCTAGATAGTGGTTACATCGATAGCCATAATCATTTGGGCCTCAACTCCCCTCCAGACGAAAGAATTCTTTCCCGACAAGTCCTGCATTGCGCCCCCATAAAGACTACCGGATATAATACGTCATACGTTGTTGGAAACACCAGCTTTACGAGATACAATTATGGGCCAAACACCCGTAACACGGGCAATTTCACATATCAAGTTTCGACCCAAGAGAGCCAGTACACACGGGCAAACGCATCTCTTTCGGGCGTCGACTATCGTCTCGGGTATGTTAGCCTGCGGTGGTCGAGATGGGTATCTGGCATCTGCTAACCATCGGGCTTCTCCCCCAATCCAGGTCTGTTCTGGCCTTCATGTCTAATGGGTCCGTGGATCAGTTGATGAGCGACTTCACTCCCATTCCTCAGCTGTTTCGACACGATGCAGACGTCATGATTTTCTTCCTATCGGGAAACGGCGTCTTGTCCATAACACCTATAGACGACCCTTGGTACCGAATGACCAAGCCAATCGATCACTTAGGGGTTGTCGGTGTGAATGGCAGTTCACAATCCTATGGGATGGAAATTGCCGCATCGCCAGTGGCCTGCACCTCACAGTTCCAATTCTGCAACTCGGTGTCGACCAGTTGCGGGCCATTGACGAATTACCTAGACGCAATGATTGGCACGGCACCTTTATTCAATACTACGGAAGACTGGATTTCCCAAGACGGACCCCCGCCGACTAAATTCGGCAGTCGTTTCCAGTGGTTCGTGCATGAGCTTTCGTGGTTTCCAATTGATATCTCGAGCATAGTGTCCACGCTCGGCACCACGGGATTGGCATCCCGGCAAAGCTTAGGAGCAGGTGTCCAACAACCATTGCCAAGTAATCAGTGGCAGACCGAAGTCACTGGTTGGTGGGCTACATGTCTTGCGGCCTGGCAAGCCGTACTGGTTGAGCGAGCACGAGGCGTGCAAAATCCGGCGTGGGCAAAGTATCGCGCGCTTCCTCAAAATCAATACCAACGAGACATGTGTTACAACCAGGTAAGAACCTCCCAAGACAGAAAGATACGTCTGTACATATGATCCAAAGCTCATCTCTGAGAACAGAAAGTACGCAGCACACTTTACGGCTCTTTCAACATGTTCGGGCTTCTGCTCACTTATATCGCTGGACTTCTCATCATCATAATCTCTTATTTGATCGAACCTGTCCTAGCATGCCGGTACCGTCGCAGCAAATACAAACCTTACAAGTACCTCGAGTGGACCACAGGGTCGATCTTGCAACAGCAGCGCCTGGTCCATGAGAACGCGGGGTCAGGGGACTGGGACCAATGTACAAGCGACGTACCGACTACTGATGGGACTCTCAAGCTCGGGTACTTGGATCTGAGCGACCCAGATCATCCAAGGATATCCGCATGTCGCGAAACAGAAACACAGTCCAGGGATGATGCCAAGAGTTTGCAGAACAACACGAGCGAAGTCGCAAGCCGTTCCAGTCTTCAACCCGTGGCGCAAGCCGCACGAACGAGAAGAGGAAGAGCAACCTTTGAGCATCGTAACAGTCAACTCAACTGCCGATGGGGCCGCTGACGGCGGCTCAGTGTCTTTGCCATGCGCTGCATCTACCGATCTGCCTGATCCTATGGACAATTAAAAACAAAAAACAAACCACTCAGCCAACATATATCGCGTGTTAAACTCCTTTTCACCTCAACGCCGCAGGTCCTCGTAATATTACCTATGCATACATGGCCATAAATTGCAGGAAGAGATGTCCAGTCGTTCAAGGACGAGATTCGAGAAAATGATGTGGCGGATACGTACAAGAAAGCCGCAAGGGAATAGGTTAAGTCGAGCGGGTTTCGCAATTTCGATGCGTGATAGATGGTACTATAGACATTATATATAATACTTGTACTTGACTAAGGGAAAATTATGAGCGGTGAATTGGAGACTATTACGAGTGAATTGCAAGGTCAAGTCTATCGCAACTGGTGCAGCGCAGCCAGAGTCGTATATGATTTGTAATAATTAGGTGTCCCTGGACTGTGGATATTCTTCAAGTTAAATCAATGTTCAAACTAGAGATCACTCGTCGAGTTCACTGTGCCGTGGGAGCCAGTGCTTCCCATTCCTTGACGCCCACACCACCATACTGGCCACCGCTGCCCGAAGCGATCAACGTCGCGCGCAAGGCCGTTGTGTCTACCTGATTAAACCCGACCTCATTCGGATCGTCGGTAACATCGGTAAAATACTCGGTAGTAGCACTGACGGCAGTCCAGGCCCCGGCAGGGTCGAGATACTCAAGACTCCAGCTGGCTGGCGGAGGCACGCCAATATTGGAGCCAGCGGGTTGATCGGCGAAAAAGACCATCCGAGTACCATTCAAGGTCACGGTCGCATTCCACGTCAAGACGAGCCGACTCGTCTCGGGGGACGCCGTCGCGTCGTAGGAGCACCAATAGTCTGGCGGCAGGGGGTTCCCGGGAATCTTGCCGTCATTGACCGAGGCGATCCAGTACTGGATGGGTGTCGTATTGACGGAGCTGGCAGTTGCTTGGGGCGCAATGTTGCGGCTGGGCTCTTGTTCGGCAGCCGGCCGGTGAGTCTGGGTGACCTTGTTGATCAGTGGCGGGGACTGACCATCGTCAAACGTCATCGTGTCAAAGGCGATGCTGCGACGAAAATGGCCTCCATTGACGGCGTCCGCGGTATGGTAGACTAGATAGTACGTATCATTCATGACAAACACGCCAGGGTGTGATGTGGTGGAAGATACAATGCCCAAGACGATACCCCTGAAAGTCCAAGGACCTAGGGGCGAGCTCGCGGTGCCGTATGCGATGCAGGCATGATATGACGTTGGCGTACATGGCGAATCTTCTCCAGCATTGTTGGCGGCATAGAGCATATAGTATGTGCTTCCACGCTTCATGAGCCACGGCGCCTCAAAGTAGCCCGTGAGCGAGGTAACGGTCGTGGCAGATGAATTGATGGTCACCATGTCGTCTGCAAGCTCGAAACCGCGGAGCTGGCCGAATGTGCCCTCGTAGAGATATACCCTGCCATCATCATCGATAAAGACGGTAGGATCTATATTCTGGATCGAGTTTCCGGGTGAGGGCACCGATTGCGAAATGATGGGGCCAGCAGGGTGAGCATCGACAAATGGACCCAAAGGACTGTCTGCGACGGCCACGCCAATGGCGAACTTGTCCGAGTTGGTCGAATCGGCCTCGGTCACTGGGGCGTAGAGATAGAACTTGCCGTCCAGACCCTGGACAATCTGAGCCGCATAGGCAGTCCCTTCGGCAGCCCAAGCAAATACAGATGCAGGCCGGGCAATGTCGATGTAGAGTTGCCAATCACCCCCGGCAGGATCCGGGTTTGAGCTGACAAAAACCTGCCACTCATTCATGACAAAGTTATTCTCATCAATGGCAGCTTCATCGCGACCGGAGAGGATGTACAGGGTGTCGCCCACGACCAGAGGCGCGGGATCGGCCGAGTATATTGACCCATCGGATAAAATTGGGTTGCCGTCCGAATTGAACGAGGTCTGAGCCGCAGCCAGGAGGCTTTGGGCTAGTAGTATCAAAAGAAGTCGATGCATGACGAGATGAAGAAAGACTAATAGTAGCAGTAAATGAAAACTCAAATGTTGGACCGGCTATCGAAAGTAATCGCTTCTCACATGACTGATTCGCTTCTGTTATACGACTATTCGCCGCTACACATTTTCTTTTTTCAAGACTCGTTGAGGAAATGTAGAGACATGGGGAAAGATTCGAGAGGGGAAAAAGGACTGTTTCTTCTTTGCTCTGGTGAATTGTTGTCAATCTTGTGGACTTTGTTCTCTTCGTCGATGAAAAGAATGGTAGATTAGAGGCACAAGACGTAGCTGTTTGTAGTGCACCCTGGACCTTCCTTATCGGGATGTCATGGTGCAATGCAAACTCCACGATTCGGTGAAATTGTTGCTTCGCTCCAAGATTGGCCCGTTGCTCCGAGCATGCCTAATGTATTAGCGATCTCGTAAAGGTCAAACATTTTACCTTTACTTCTGGGTATATGGTGCCAGAAATATAGAGATCAAGTGTCTTGACTCGGAAGCACGGAGTTACAACCTCCGTGGTCCAAATAAAGTACGCCGCCAATTGATTCTGTGCTGCCGACAAGAAACTCGTAAGGATATCTTGGCGGCGAGTGGATCCATTCACTAGAAAGTCGTTATGACTTTTGCAAACTTTTTCTGATAGTCTTTGATTATTTACAAAAAAGTTTCTTTGCCGCCCAACTTGGTTTAGAACTTCCTGAACTGTGATCTTGGTACCAGTGATTCCAGTGTCATAGTAAGCGGAAATCGGCACAGCATCTCCGAATGACACTCTGATAGTCACTGGCGGGTTGTTGCCTGAAGTCTCAAACGTATCCTCTGTTGAGACAACAACTTTGAAAATCGATGCAGCAAAATCATGCTTGGATGCAATTTCAGCAAGGCCAACATAGGCGTGAGACGACGACTGAATGTCTGTCTCGTCGGTGGATTGATGGTCCTGTAGTACCGAGGCTTCAGGTTGGAGATTCAGTCTGAGGGGGTGATCCTAATCTGTAAAACCGACCACGGTATCGTGACTGTCGATTGTACGGTTTCTGCCGTTGAACAAGAAGACTGTGGCGCCGGTGCCACTTTGGCAGTGAAGGTTGAGAACATGGTTAAATGCAGTGAAAACTAGAGCCCGTCTTGAGATTGCAAAGCTACCACAACGCCGGTTCCAATCTCGTAGTCTGAATGGGGAGTTTGTCCTCAAATATATTGTTGTGTATGCTCGAGAACGCCGTCGTGGAATGCTTGAAGAGTCAACTCCGGGACATTCGCTGAAGCTTGGTGCTAAAAGCCTCAGGTCTGTTGATTGTTGTGTGTTCCAAGGGCAGAAATGTAATTTAGGTAAGGTAAGCGCAGTGCTGGGATACCTCCGGTCAAGATAGAAATGAGATCTTCCCTGACATGTGCCAAAGAGGTTCTATCCACCAACGCAGCTTGGATGTGTAGAAAGACATTAGGGTTTTCTTCAAACCAGTCGATAGCCAGGCATGGTGTCTATAAGTCATGCCACCACTATCTTCAACCTTCACAGCGAGGGCTCTGAGCACATGGTGACGGTACGCAAGCGTGTTCCAAGCAAGCGTAAGTCGCTCATATTCTTTCGCAAAGGAAGAAGGAGTATCCAAGCCAATAGCTGTTGCCAACAAGGAACAACTGTCCTTGTGGAACATGAGGTTTTGCGCGGGGGTGCACGCTCTATCGAAAATATCATGACGGCAATCACTTCGTGCAGCCAAAAAATTATAGAGAACGAGCACAATCGTGCTCAATCTGTGAAAAGATATGATGGGTATGGGTAATAGTTGTTGTATTAGTTGAGTTGTTCACATCCAACAGAGGTTGGATGGTCAAGGATATACACATGGGTGGAGAAGCGCCCCACTTATTCATACACTTTGATAGCGAAACTCGGAGGTTTTGCGAAGAGACTCGGAGCTTAGAAAAGCTGAAGAGGCCAGCGGTACGTAACATCCATTCGGAAGTTATTAACAACATGATGTTTGCAAGTGCGAGAGACCCTAGCTTAACGTGTTGTAAATACCATGTCGGCATTTACGGAAGTAGTGGGCTATCTCATGCCAAGCACTCGGACGATGTAGCCGAGCCGAACCTCCGTTCGACTCGCCGGTACTATTCCAGCGATAAGAGCCGCAAGACTTGGTTGGTATCTACTTAATCCACTGTGCTGTCAGTAAGTTATGTTAGTGGCACCTCGTAGCTACGCGCAAAACCCTCGTTCAATCTTTGAGCAATCGGTTGCGGCTACCAGCCTCTAACGATATCCCCGTCGGAATGCCAAAGGGAGTACATCTGGGGGGTATAGATACTCTGGGTTTCCAGACAGTGATTTATCAATAATCCAGACACTTGTCCGATCATTAAAATGTTGTTCATTCTCCTACTGTTCCTCACGACCTGCGTCGCCAAAGCAGGCCCCGTCGACAATGGCGCGGTCGTGACCCTCGCTGGCATTCCATACTACGTGGGCAGTAAGCCTATTGGTCAGATAAGCAAAGAGATTTACCATCAGATCATGAGTGCTCAGTCAGTCAACGATGACAGCGACTTCTACCCTTTGACGGTCTTCGAGACGTCCGCTAGTCAAGTCGAATCAGAGGAGCTCGCCAATTTGACAGCTCAGTATGATATCGAGGATGATGTGTTCCAACCCGCGTTCCTATACAGCATATACATCAGGTCCATCATCAACCAGACCTGGGGTGTCGATATATCACGCTTGGGCCCGTACCTGGACGGGACTAACACCTCATTGCTGATGTCTTCAGGCAATATCGCTGCCGATTTGACTGGTCGGGCTCAGTACATCCCGCCTTTGAATATCGCGAAAGGTCCTTACTTCGTCTCGACCTGCACTGGTGGCATATTTAAAGCCCATAGATTATACAATGACGACTACCTTGCATTTGTCCAAGGTGTCGTCAGTGACGAGGCTGGGGCTTTTAAGTCTCTGCCAGCAGTTCTGGAAAACGTCATGGCAAAAAGCATCGCGGTTCCATCGAGGCTATACTACACTGCGACACCAGAGCAGCCGCTAGCTGGTCTTCGTTTTGGTGTCAAGGATATCTTTCACGTCAAGGGAGTAGGAACAAGTGGCGGCAGTCGAGCGTACTTCTACCTGTACGGTACCCAGAATGCAACTGCCCCGTCCGTGCAGCGCCTGATCGACCTTGGCGCCGTCTTGGTTGGAAAGATGGGTACTGTCCAGTTTGCCAACGGAGATCGCCCAACAGCTGATTGGGTCGACCTCCACGCTGCCTTCAATCCGAGGGGCGATGGGTATCAGATTCCCGGCGGGTCTTCGACTGGACCCGGTGCTGGTGTTGCTGCGTACGAGTGGCTTGATCTCGCGGTTGGCAGTGATACTGGCGGCTCCATGCGAGGCCCAGCAGGCGCCAACGGTATCTTTGGCAACCGACCGTCTACCGGTGCCATTTCTATGGACCATGTCATCCCACTGAGTCCTGTCTCTGACACGGCCGGCATTTTCGCGCGGAGCGGTAGCTTGTGGGCCAAGGTCACCCAGGTGTATTACGAGACCATGGCATCCAATTACACCTCTTATCCGAGCAAGATCTACCGTATGCGAAACGACGGTTCTGGTCGGAACTCAGCTGGTGCTTCCGAAGAAGTTTTATCCATGGTCGACGATTGGATTCTCTCGCTCGAAAGCTTCTTGCAAGTCAAGTCCACTGCAGCCAACTACACAGAGCTTTGGTCAAGTACGCACGAGGCCGACACAGATAGTCTGGCTGATATGCTATATCTGACATACGGAACCTACGTGTCGCACGACCAGTGGCGCCTACTTGGGAAACCCTTCTTGGATGACTATGCCGCTGTACACGACGGCCGCCAGCCGTTTATAAACCCAGGTCCGCTATCCCGCTGGAGATACGCCCAAGCGAATGTCACTGAGGAGATTTATGCCCAGGCTCTCTTCAATATCTCCACATTTACGACATGGTGGGAGACAGAAGGGTATGGGCGTTCCGACCCAGAGTCCTGCTCAGAGGGTCTTTACACCTATATCTGGGGCAACGGCTTGCCGTCGTATCGTAACCAATACACAGCAGCGCCCACTGGACCACCATTTGGGTTGGATGACTGGGCCATTGCAAATTTCGCTGGCGTCCCTGAGATCGTTGTGCCGATTGGAGAAGTCCCCTACAACAGTACTGTCTCCATGCAGATCGAGTACCTGCCAGTCACTGTGGTATTGAGGATGGCACGAGGCTGCGACTATGTTCTTGCAAGTCTGGTCGACGATCTTGAGCAGGCAGGACTTCTTCGACCTGTCGCAACCGGACCAAGACTTTACACATGAATGACATTGACGATGTTTTTTTTTTTACACAGAAGTAAGGACTTTTCTACGGATTCGTTAGGCCTAGGGTTGGTTGAAACGCCATGACAATCGATATCTACAATGTATGAATGAAAATTCGGCGAGCGACAGAAGTGAGAAGAATGACGGCAAGGGGGGGGTATGTCAAAAGGTGGGAATAAGTGGAGCACTTCTCCACATATGTATATATCTTTGACCATCCAGCCTCTATTAAATTTGAATAACTCGACTAATATAACAATTATTACCTATACCTATCATATCTTTTCACAGGATAGACATCATTTTGACAGCAGGGGAAGTCCAGGGCTACGAGTCGATCCTTTGGCAAATCACGGCGCGGGCGGCCCACGAGTCAAATCGCCAGCCTTTCCGACCGCGGGATCATGGTGTTCCCCCGACCATGACCCGCTGGCGATGGCATCGTCAAAGGACGAGGGAAGCTCACAGCAGGACAGGGCGCTAAGCTGGTCTGGGGATAGATCCAGCCCAAAGGGAGGGAGGGGGGGTTCAAAAGGAAAGATACAAGGGAAGGTCACCAACAATATCCCAATATGCGTATAGCTTTATTTAGCCATAGGAAAGAAGGGTAAGATAGGCTCTTATGGGTAGTTAGGTAACTAGTTGTTTCATCCATTGACCAACACATTAAACAGCCAGCCGGCCGTAGCTATGTCAGAGATCATCAGCCCGTTCAAATGGTAGCGGAAATTTTAAGTATTTTATGCTTTAGAGGACCCAGCGTTAAGTGGTGTCCGGGCTTATTGGAGCGGAGGCAAGGGACAGAAGTTATATTGAGCATTAGGAAGACACGTAGTCAGCAGGCCGAGGAAGTAAAAAAGGGATGACGATTAGGTTTATTTGCAGGATGACGGTCAGCAGAGTCCAGCATTATTTATGCATAGAAATGATGAACTTCCTAGGAGCGCTTTCGTAAATGTCTATTCATTTCCCCAGCCAGATATTATACATTGTTCAAGTGGATAAAGGTATAAAAAGTAAGGTAAGGGGTTGACCAAATGTTGAAAGCTCAGCTACGTAGGTACCTTGTCTACTTTTCTATCAGAGAGGGAAGTGGGAAGCCCGGACTATAGGAGTTTGAGCTCGTATTCTTGCAGTAATTCATTCAACCTTAGCTACTAATGAATGCTAACTTCTTGTGTAGTCTTAGGTGGTCGAGGTTGACGCCCAGCTGCAGTACTTGGCGGCCCAATGGGCTTGCCTTGATAGGGCATTACGTCGATGCCTAATTCTTCCGCCTTGATACGAAGCGCGAGCCGTGCCGAGTGGAATCGGCAGAAAGAAAACTGATGGTGCATGGCATAAAGGCCTTTTTGTGGCAGCGGGCAGAAATGGATGATCGATTCCCCCTCGGGTCCAAGGAAGAGCGCATTGCCCTTCTCCCACCGCTCGTGGCACTTTCTCGCCATCTCATCACCCATAAGCGCCTGGATTGGGCTTTTGGATTGCATATAGCCTGTGGCAAAGATGATGATGTCGGCCTCCTGGCTGGTACCATCTTTGTAGACAACAATTCCCTCCGCGAAATGATCTATCTCGGAATGTCTGAGCGCAATCTTCTTGTCTGCTATGAGCTTGCAGCAGCCATTGTCAAAATAGAAACCACCCTGGTCGAAGGGAAACATGGAGTAAGAACCCCCGCCGTGATATCCGTCGTGGAGGCGGTAGTCGACATCCCGTAACGACTGCAGGAGCTTGGCGTCGAGCTCTCGAGCCTTTTTCTGGCCACGGCAAAGGAGCTGATACTCAACCGGATACGGCTGCTTGAGGTAAAGTGAACGGTCCACGACATCTACTGTAAGACCTCCCGGGCGGTTTGTGTTTTCGCGGGATTTGAAGAAATTCCGAACGCTCCTGTCTATAGACATGACATGTGTCGCACTCCGCTGGATCATGGTTACCTCGCAGCCATTCTCATTCAGCTCGTACGCGACGTCATGAGCGGAAGTCCCGGCTCCAACAACAATGCATTTCTTACCGACCCAGTCAGATTCTATTCTAAAACGGGATGAATGAACAATCAGGCCTCCAGATTGCTCAAAGTCACTCATGCCTGGAATCTCGGGAACGTTGGGAAGCGTGCCAGAGATGCCAGTAGCGACCACAAGGTGTTTGGGATGGAGTATGCGCTTGTTACCGTCTTCGCGTTCGACTGAAATGGTCCATTTCCCCTCGTCTTCATGGTAGACTGCGTTCTCACCGTCAATTTTGGACTTGGTCCAAATATTGAGGTCCATAATTTCGGCGTAGTGATGTAGAAATTTGGATAGCTGTTGTGCGGGTAGAAACTCTGGGAACCAGTGAGGAAATGCCAGACACGGCATGTGATTTGTGAAGGTAGGTCCATGTAAAGACAGCGAGGCGTAGCGACTGCTCCAGCTTTGTCCCGCCGCGCCTTCTTTTTCGATTATCAAATGTGGTATCCCGAGAACTTTCAACCTTGCAGCCATGGCGAGACCAGCGTGTCCGGCTCCAATAATTACAACCGTCGGCTCGCAGCCGTTGTTGTATTCACGCTCGTCTTCTCTTAGCTCTTGGTAGTTGCGACCCCTACCCAAGGGATCATGAACTCTTGCCTCTCTGTTTCGCATCCTGTCGCCAGTCTCAGCATCCCATCCGTCAACGGTACTGATGGCAGTCCCAATCGTGTATAATTTCCACGAGTCTATATCGGCCAGCTCGGTTGCTGCATCAGTCTTGGCCTTGATTGGGCTGAGCTGTGCGACTCCGACGCCTGTGCCATGTTTGAAATCGAATTCAAAATGGAAAGAAACGAAGGATAAATCCTCCCCGAGAGTCTCCAACGATGAAGGTATATGCGGGCTGATGCGGACATTGCTGATCATGGTTTTGGCGAGTCTCTCCGTAAGCATCGGCCTGATGTTCTCATGACCTGCAAGTGCACGGATATCCCAAGTGAGCAGTTCCACGTCCTTCCAAAAGCCTTCGTCATGGATGTAGCTAAGGATGGCATCCACATCTTGAGCTTCGAGAGCTTGTGCGAAAGCCGGGAGAAATGAATCAACCAAACGATTAACGTCCACAGACAGATAATCTGGGACAAATCCCAAAATGTCATTGGTAGGGAGCTGCGGCCGCTTAATGACACCGTAGTACCCCAGCGTGTCCGACAACGGTACACCGGCCCAGCCGATTGTGCTGTCAGCATCAAGGGGCCGGATAGGTTCATCATCCCACTGGTACGACGAAGAATAAGTCATGATTGCGTGTTGCTGATGCTTCAATCTCAGTACGGCAGTAAAGGCATTAAGTCAATGCATATCAACTCGTCGTTTGGAATAGAAATGACAGGTGCATGCAACGATATATTACTTCCGAGCTATTTTATCTTGTGAATCGAGGTGTTTTCTCGGATGAAGGCTTGGAGGTTCTAGCTCATCGGAATAGTGTGTCGTGGACAATCATCATCATCGGGCCAGCAGACACACATAGGTGACGACTCCCTGTACCAGCTGCATTATCAGCGCATTGCTGTGTGATTCCCTTCCCACTGTCGGGTGTTCTTCGCCATACCGTTACCCTCACACTTGGCTCTAGACTGTTTGTTCGGAGCTCTAATTCCTAGTTGTCGGGGACCAAGTATTCGGCCGCGCGCGCCGCGTTACTGCTCTGGCGTGATTAACAATACCTTCCGGAGGGATATTTCGTACCGCTGGCCTCTTTAGCTTTCCTAAGTTCCGAGTCTCTTCGCAAAACCTCCGAGTCTCGCTATAACGAATCGAGGTTCGGCACAGTTCGGCACAGTTCGGCATGGTTTTGCTAGTTCTCTGTAATTGTATTTGCTAAACCAGGTGATTGCCGTCACGATCTTCCGAATATATACGAACAGGGCTCATATGATTTGATTTGAGTCTATCGAATAAATTACCTAGGCCTAGTGATTGCGCAATCGTGCCAGCTCAAATCCATTACTCCCATGCAATCAGCTGGCTGGTATTATGACTTCATTCAGTCAGCTATTAGCTCCTACAGCGGCGGAACGCATTTGCGTCATATTACTCGAAGCTTCTGAAACACGCTCGCTATATCATGAATAGTGAAAGCATCAATGCATCGCAGTGCCCTAAAAGACAGCATCTGCTATCGCACCAGACCACTATGCTAGCTGAACAAAATGTGAAGCTCCACACTATGAACTAGCCTAATAGTGGGTAAGGTACTACAACATCTGCATATATACATATGTATTCCTCTTGACTGTAAGCCATCAATGATTGGCGAGTCTTGTCTACATCATCTGTCCGAGCTCATGAATTCTCTTTCTGAGAAGGTCTACTATACAGTCCTTCCGATCGCTTGAGTCCGTTCCGTCCCTCTCCTCTACGTTCATCGCCTTGAGCATTGTCTCACCTCGCGTTCCACCAAGCATAGCTGACCCACGGTAGTCGTCTTTGAAGTCCTGAGGGATTACAGCCCAGTCTGGGGGAACTCCCAAAGTACGCTCAAGCATACCAATCTCATGACTGACTAGATTTGATAATAGTCTTGCGACAATACTTCGTTCGATTTGGGGTGAAACCTCGTACTTTCCAAGTGACAGCAAAGGCCTTAGCGGAATGGTGGAATTTTGCCGTTTAGCGTCCGATAGTGCGGATATAGCGCGCGACAGGATGTATTCGAAAATTGATAGAAGTTTGTTATTTGTCGAAAGCATTGTTGCGAGATTGGCATTGTCCATAAACCGTGAAGGGTTCGCTAAATGCTGAGCTGAGGAGAATCTTCGGTTATCGTCTTTGTTTGGTTCCCGTAAACCTTTGGTGAGTTGCGTGAACTCTGAAATCAGAGACATAGTACTTGTCATGGGATCGAATTCCTCCACCGATTCAATTTGATGCGGTTGCCTAAAGGTATTGCTGCCCTCAGAACAGCGCAACTTGAGTATCGTTTCTTTATCCCAGGGGAGTTGCCGCACCAAGACGAGCTGCTTTGAAATCCGAAGGTGGATATCGGATATCTGAATCCCAATATCGGTGACTTCGTCAAATGCATTAGAAAGATTTTCAGCGTTATCTAGCTTGTTGGTCGGCTCGAACTCGGGCCACTCTGTTGAAAAGTCCTTTGATAACAGATTGAATAGCGACAGAATATCACCATTGAAATGGTCAAATCCATTCGGTGTGGATGCAGTATCAAAGTGAACTGGTGGTAGGGGGCTCTCATTACTGAGAAAATTTGCGAGGCTTTCTGCGTCAAAAGGGTCTTCGGACATGGCCGTTTCGAGATATTCAATGCCACCACTATCAGCCTCTCGGTCGCTCAGATGGAGCTGCCCAGCTGATGCAGGCGAGTCACCACTTGTCTCTAAATTGTTGTCATTTATGTGGCCTGTTCGTTTGCTCGGAGGTCTTCCCAGAGGTCTTGAGAAATCAGTCATGCAGGGTACTGAGGCTCGTATGCACCTCTGGCAAGTTGCAGGATTGTCGTGCGTTCGGAGACATCGCAGTTTCTGTCCACGGCAGCGATCGCAGGCAACGCGTTTGCCATTGGGACGGGAAGGATTCGCATGGTCGTCTTCCATAAGAATTGACAATAGGTACTCTTTCGAGTTAAGTGATGTATATGTACAATCAACAAATTACGACGCGCGGAAAAGTGAATTTCTAGCAGGTTATGATTCTATTAATATAGCTTTCTCCTTGCACTTCGAACTTCAACTTCTTCCACTAAACCCAAAATAAAAATGCCGCAGAGTGAACCTTTGATGAAGATTAAGGTTTTCAATGCCTCAAACGATAAACGATGCCAGCGGTTCCTAGTTGGGCAATCCGAGTCCTTTGCGTGTCTTCTCTTTAACCATAATGATTGCGCCTGGCTACTGCCATACTCTTGGCACTTGAGTTAAACCCTTATTACACCAGCATCTGGCATTATTATCCACTAAGGTCTCGAACAAGGCGGACCGGCACACTAAGGGGCAAAATTAGCAAACTCTAATTAATGTAATAGGGTGCCTTATAAACATTATGCATTATAAGCTTATATACGATTGTGTAATTAAGCGAGCCTGTGTAATCCACGGTGTTTTGTTTATCTCCTAATATAAAAGTCTACCTAGTTATTATTTAAAGGAATGCACGTGGATAACGGTATCCCCTTTCATTCGTCTCTTTTTTACAAATATTAGATGTTTAGCATTAGACTTCTCTTTTTAATGCATTAAAAGGACTTGACTCATCCTTAGTAATTAGGTTTTTGGACCATTTCCTCCGCCTTAAAGGGTAAAGCAATTGTCAAATCGCCGTTAACTATTATGGCCTTGGCAATTGGAAGGATAGGCACATTAGGAACTTTCTAGGGTGATCGTACGATCTCCATCTCAACCACTTGCCACCCTAGTTTTAAGGCGTCGGAAATTCATCAGAAATCCCTTGACTTACCCCCAGATCTTTGGGCAAGAGACAACTTGGTATGGATTATACTCGAAACAACGCAGCTGTGACTACACACACTTAGTTGAGTCAACGGATGAGAACATATCAGAAACTTTCCAGTCGGCCGTTGGCGAATCGCAGTCTATTTGTCGATATATAGAAACTTAAGTCATGCGGATAGTATTAGAGTTGGCAGTCCACTCTGCGTCGGCACTTGGATTCTTAGAATGAGATCGGTAGACCAACTTTGTTAAGCTTGTAACGGTCCCACCGTTTCGCAGTACTTTCTCCGGTTTGTGATATCACCGCCAAGAATTGAAGCGATGCGCGCCTGCCATAGTAGAACACTCAATCACCGCATCTCGTTCTAAGCGATCACAAGACAAAGTCAAAGGGGTAAATAACCTTGTCTATTATCGACCCACTGGCCGGCACCCTTGCCAATGGGTTAGGGTGCGCCTCTGCAAATGAAGTCTAAATCTCCAGGGCTTTCATTTGAAAGTCGACCATCGTCCGATATTTTGAAGATCTAATCAACTAATATTTTCCCGGATTGCGTCTTTGAGAAGAGCAAGGCCAACGATATCATTTGTTTCGAGGTGATTGGCCAAAGGGCGGGTGCAATCACAATTTCGCTTTCGCCAAAGCCTTCCCGCCAATGAGATTGAGACGGAGAAGCCGGGGCAAATGCGGCCGCATATCCGGGGGAAGCTGATTCCAAAGCCTTGCTTTCTGCAGCACGCTATAAGTCTTGGCTACCTCGGGTCGTCGTTGGGCATCCGGGGTAGGATGCTGAAACTACCATGGTAGCACCTGTCGTCATAATCACTTCTTGTGTATTGTCCAGGTGAAGATTCCTAGGTTAGCTTCCTAGCCGGACCCCTGGCTCGGCTTGGGCTTCGCTTAATTTTGGTCTTGTACATACGGACGCTCACGTTGCCTGAGTCCGCGCGGTCTTTGGTCTGAATCGCGGATGATCCCCCTGTGTGGTTCGACTTCGTTGCTGTCTATCTATCTTGATGGCAATCCTGGCTTCTAGGATTTGCAAGGCCTGGAACTCGCTGCGTCCCGTTCGAAGCTTTTGTGGTTGCAGGCGTAAATAAAACACCCCTGGTCAAGTACCAGATCTGATGGGGCGCCCACTCGATAGCTGCCAAAACACGCACAAGACGTGCACAAGAGCTGCACAAGTGGCTCCAAAATACTTACCAGGGACGTTTTACTTACCCATCATACCACAATACCTCACTTCTGCGGGATTACCCGAAAAGTCTAATAAGCGGGCCGGGGATTAGTCACGAATTAGCTATATGCCTTTCTCAAGGCATGGATAAAGAATCTTCCGAGATTGAATTGTTTTCTGCCACATTATTGCGCAAGGGGAACTACTAGTCTAATTCTAGGTAAATATATATGAAATAATACATGTTCGTGGAAATGTGCAGAGTTTATCTGCTGACTAAGGTATATGATATGGCACCTGTCTTGTCTAGCAACCGAGCGCTAACGCATGCTACGTATCTTCCTGTGAAATGCCGACGTCGAATTATATTATCGGGACTCGGGATTGCCCGCCTTCAGGGATCCCCTGCCTAAACAAACCTTAAAATCTGAATACAGAACGAATGTCTTCGCGCCGGCCCAAGACTGCCAATCAGTACTACAAACTTGCCTCCGACTATCAATGGACGTCCAGACAAGGTATAAAATTGGACGGGCGAAAGAGCCTACAGATCCCCTCGTTACCCGCAAGATCCATCTACGAAAGAACCCTGCAAAACCGATCCAGGCTTTTGCTTGGCATTAATGGGATCACTACACCAGCCCTTTCCCGCACATTTTCCGCCAATTTTCCTTCCTTGTTTCGGATCAGAGGTGTGTGACTAATACCCCGGTCGCAATTTTTCTTTGATGTAGCGTAGTTTATCATCGGCACTTGTGTTGTCCTATATATATCCTGTGGGGAAATATGCACAGCAATAGATAGACGTCAGAATGTGCGTATGAGCAAAACTCTATCCTATCTTATCGCTCAAGAACAGCTGGCCTTGGGCTATTGCCTTGCGGGCTTGAACAATGAAACCAAAGATATTAACGATCCTTTACACCGAGTTGCATCTTAGAAACTACGTCCCCACAGTACAACGGCTGTCGTCTGGATGACACGTGGTTTTCCCTGGGTGTATATTACCTATGGAGTCAAAATCGCCGAACTTGGCGGACAACACGCTCACACCACTAGAAATTAGTGGCCCATGAGTGATACGCGTAGTTTCTTAAGATGCCGCCGAGCCGACTTATTATCGGCAAGGTATCTTTAAAAGAAAAGAAATACTTAATTCTGTGGCCACGAAACCTCAGCTTCCTTGTACATGTAAAAACCTACGATTGTCAGGAGAACCTGCTCAGCAGTAACGAGCACCATCATCCTTTTGCAATTAGACAAGATTGTTTTATCATATTCATGGATCACAAAAGATAGAAGTTACACGATATAATGACACAAACGATCGCAGGTCACTGAATAGATAGATCTCTTGCGAAAAAGCTTGGATACTCCCCTATGACAGTGCTACGGAAATCAGCCAACAAAGCAACGTTCTGGCAATTGGAGCGCGTCAATCTCATCGGAGGTAAACATACAGTCAACAATAGTCCTCCTGTGCGATTGCATATCGTTAGGTGTATCCGCTTCTGTGCGTTCTAGCTGCACGTGGAATTGCAGCCTCATGCCACGTGCTGCGCAAGTTTGTGCACCGCGAGCCACAGTCTACCATGAGTTCTTCCAACCTTCACAAGATCTAGACACTGATTTGCATAAACCCCCTGCCTTTTTCTGATGCCGTCCTTCACTTCGGTCTCTGCGACGGCCTGTAGTTTGCCAAGATTCCCCACAAAGCCCTACTTTGCCACCTTGTTTCTGTTTATGTGATGTATAATGAACCGAAGTCCAGACTACCCCAAGACAAGACTCACTTAGAGTCCTTGGGCATCAGGATATCCAAGATGACACACATGATGGCGCTGATCAAGCCAACTGCCATAATGAAAGCTGACAAGAGTTCCGTGGTAGCCTGCATGACTTTGATATGACTATCTATATACTTCTGAATAGTTTCGGCAATTCAGGTCGAAACTTCAGACTCCACTCCTCCGATACACAAGTTCACTCAATCTGAAAGTGGCAGAAGCACAGTCGGAGAACCAGCGAGAACGTGGTAGGCAACGCACAACATCATGCTAGTGTTTTTGCTATCTTTCCGAACTTGAACAAAAGCAATTGAAATGGCTAACTCGTCTCCTTCTTGTATAGCGTAGCAAAGGGGTCCTGAGAGGGATCTGTGGCCCGTACATACTCCATCCTATTTGCGATGGCTGTTGCGGTTGTTTCACCGTAGCTTGACTCGATCCATGCGAGAGTCACGTCAATACCTGCACTAATACCCGAAGAAGTCCATATGTTTCCGTCACAAATCCAACGGGACTGGTAAACCCAATCGACTTCTGGGCGTAAAGCTACTGTAGAATCCCATGAGAGTTTGTTTGTTGTGGCGCGCTTGCCATCCAGCACTCCCGCCTGTGCCGCGATTCCAACGCCAGTACAGACAGCAATGAGTTGTTGCAGCGACGGGTAAACTCTTGTTACAAACGAGACGGCCTTGGAAATCTTCGGATCCCGCGTTCCTTGTCCACCAGGGACTATGAGGAGGTCAAGCGATGGCGCAGTCTCGAACGTGCAAGTTGGCACGATGAGTTGACTAAATTGTGAAGCCGCCCGATGAGGCGACGGCAGTAGTGCTGTCGTTACAGGATCCATCGTTTCGGCAATCATGTGCAAGTTCATGCAGTGGGATCGCGACAATATATTTAGTGCATCCAGAGGACCAAACACGTCGAGCGCTTGGAAGGCCGGGAACAGAACGACGCCAACATTCACAGGCTGACCTTGACGACTATTGTTAGCGACGGCAAATTCACTCTAACATGGCGATGTTGGCTATATTCTTACTTGAACGGTGCATATCTCTATACCAAGACATTGGACGACTTTGAGATGGCCAAGAGGTTGGTTTTCTGCTCGCGCATAACAGTGCTCTCACTGGTTTGCAGAAGCTGAGTGAGGAGACAAAAGCCATAGTACTCTTTAATCATGGATTATAGCACCGTGTGTTTTGGTGGAAGGGAGAATTGAAAGTGTCCAGACCGCGTCTGGGGTTTCTGAGAGACTAGGATTGGCTCTATCCGTATTGTCCGTTGCGTCACATCACACGGCACCTCGGCTGAGCGCCCGACGTGTTCAGTATCGAGGCGGTTCCACCGGCTTCCGCCGGCTTCTCCATCGGCATTTAAGAATTTAAACTTTCGGGGAACAATGACCCCCGGTCCATATCCTGGCAGTATATTGAACTCGATCTTGGCAAGGCCGGTCAATACCATTGAAAAAGCCCGATGAAGGGAGAACGCAATGGCGGCATTTAACAATGATTATCAATGAAGAAGTGAAATAAACTTCCGTTATAGATCTACGCATATCAAGTCTAGTATCTTGCCCGTTACAGAATATGCAATACTTACAGATATACCACAAGAGTGACTCCGTTGATACCGGAAGATACAGGCTTCGAAAACAAAAGTCCCGAGTAAAAACCATAACTATTTGATAATCTATAGATGTCCAGTCATAAGGAATCAGATTTAAATTGGTGTCTATTCAGCACCCTCAATGACGAATTGTTCTTTCATTGTTGAACTGTTCCTCTTATCTCAATAACAAAGAGCACCGAAACTTATACCCAATATGACCGCAACTCACAGTTTTGGTCGGAGATTGATACCCCAGATCGTGGACGATCGTTCCAAGAGCTCACCAGAGCGCATTGTGTACTCATTTCCACTCGACCCGCAACTGACGAGTTGGCATCATGTCACCGCGCGTGTACTGGCCAATGCGGTGGACACCCTTGCGTGGAAACTGGCCGCAGATCTGGGTCGTAGCTCGACCTTCGAAACCGTGTCATATATCGGGCCACATGACATACGATACGTGATGGTTGTGCTTGCCTGTATCAAGGCAGGATATCAAGCGTTGTTGCTCTCGCCTCGAAACAGCTTGGATGGCAACATGGCCCTGTTGGAGGATACTGATTGCAAAATCTGGATGAACGCCTCATCGACATTCTCAGCCGTGTCTGAAATTCTAAAGAAGAGGGAAATGGTGGTGGTGAATGTTCCAGGTCTTTTTGAGTTGCTTGAAGCAGACCCTGTGCCTCATTTCCCATATGAAAAGGTCTGGAAAGACGCATCAAAGGATCCTTTCTGCATTCTACATACGTCGGGCACAACCGGCCTCCCTAAACCGATTAGGTGGAATAATGGACTTCTGAGCACAGTGGATGCAGTCAGATTGCTTCCATCGGTCGAAGGAGACAATGATATGAAGCCTTGGACGTCGCTGTGGAGCCCGGGAGATAGGCTATATTCAGCGTTTCCCTTCTACCATGTCAGTATATCACTTTAGGCCGGAAATAATACAGACTGCTAACTACTATCAAGGGTGCTGGAATGGTCTTCAATCTCTTGATGAACAACTTCTATGAAACGCACGGCATCATTGGCCCCTCGAGTATCATCCCAAACGTCGATTTTATCGCATCATTGGCCGAACAGGGCCTTGTCGATATCTGGAATATTGTGCCCTCTCTTGTCGATGAAATAGGCGAGAGTTTCGATGTGATTGATAAATTCGCCAATTCGAAGTTGATATGCGCATCTGGAGGGCCGGTTCGCTATGCTCCCGCCTCCAAAGTGAACAGCGTGGTACGCGTACTCAATCTTACCGGGACTACGGAGGGTCTTTTCATCGGAAATCTTGTGCCAGATCGCGAGGACTGGATCTACTTTTGCTGGCACCCATGGTCGGGATTTGAATTCCGCGAAATCGAACCAGGGCTTTACGAGCATCATGTTGTCAAGAACGAGCATGCAAATCTCTTCCAGGGATTGTTCCACACTTTTTCTGACGTTCATGAAATGTCACTCAAGGACCTCTATGCGAAGCATCCCACGAAACCGAATCACTGGATCTACCGGGGGAGAGCAGATGAACTGATTGTTCTGTCTAACGCGCAAAAGTTTGCGCCTTCCGCTGTTGAAACGCTTGTCAGTTCTCATCCGAACGTTGCCGGCTGTCTTGTCATTGGTAGTGGCAAGTTCCAGGCTGGCCTTCTGATTGAGCCCAAGAACTCCCAAGTCCGCAATCTTTCGGAAAGGAATGAAATGGTGGATGCAATCTATGGCCTCGTACAACAGGCCAACGAGTTATCGCCATCATATGGTACTATTGGCAAAGATTACATCATGTTCACCCGGCCGGATAAGCCATTTCTACGTACCGACAAACGCACCATCAAGCGGCGAGCTACGCTGCAGATGTACGCTGGTGATATCGACAGTCTATACAAGGAACAGGAACTAGTTCAATCAGCAATCGAGATCATTCAAAGTGCTGATTTTAGCTCTTTGGGAGATATCCAATCTTCTCTCCTAGAACTTGTTGGTAGCCTTGGAAGTGGGTATGGAGATCTTTCACCTCAAGACGACCTGTTTAGGGCTGGAGTTGATTCACTTTTCGTGCTGCGCCTTACGAAGTCGCTTCGACTCATGCTGTCGAGCAAAGGAATCGAACCGACAGCAATCTCTTCGAGAACCATTTACACGGAACCAACCATCGAACGTCTGTCCCTGTTCTTAGCGCACATATTGAGAATGGGGCAGCCCATTGGCTCTTCGGCAGGGTCCCCCATTCAAAAGCGTGATATGCAACGCCAAATGGCTCGCCTCAGAGAGTTCTATAGCCCAAGGGGCGAGTCCATCACAGTGTTGCTGACGGGAAGTACGGGATCTTTGGGCTCATACATCCTTGCCAGGTTGATGTCTTTGGACCATGTTGCGACAATTTACTGTCTCAATCGCGCGGAAGTCGGTCTCAGACTACAGACTGATGTCAACATATGTCGCGGGCTTGGTACGGATTTTCCAAAAGAGAAAGTCAAATTTCTTCACGCAGACCTTTCCAAGCCGTATTTTGGCTTGAGATTTGAAGACTACAGTGAATTGCTTCATGAGGTCTCGCATGTCATTCGTAGGTACACGTATTTCAAAGCAGGGATTAGACTGACTTTCCTTAGACAACCAATGGCCCGTCAACTTCAATTGGGACCTTGAATCGTTCGAGCCTCACATTCGAGGCACACGTCGTCTGATCGATCTATGCAAGAGTACCAGGAAGAGTTCAAGTCTCTTCTTTATCTCTACCATAGGAGTAGCTACACAAGTCCGCGGCGCTCCAACGATCCCTGAGGCCCCGATTCACTCCGATGAGATTGATTCCAATGGCTACATCTGTGCGAAGACAGTCTGTGAGATGATCATACAAGACGCTGTAGCTAGAACTGGTATCAACGCTTCTATATGTCGCGTTGGTCAAATAGCAGGCCCCGTGAGAACGGGCGAGGGTCAATGGAATAGAAATGAGTGGCTGCCTACAGTAAGTCATCCTCCCCGTTCAGTATTCTGTAATTTGAAACTAATTAAAACAGATCATCTCGACTTCTCATAATCTCGGCATATTACCGTCATCTCTTGGAGATTTCAATCGAATCGACTGGATTCCTGTGGATATATTGGCGGACGTCATTATTGAACTTGCTGGTCTTGAGCAAAACATGGCGACGGGGCAATTCTCGTCGCAAACCTCATCGCATACCAAAGATGTAAGATTCTATCATGCTATCAACCCGAATACCACTACATGGTCCGAGCTGGTACCTGTGGTAGCTGAACGGCTCGGTGAGTCATTGAAGATTCTTTCTTGGAACGAATGGGTAGATGCACTGCGTCGAGTACATGATGAGAACATGACAATCGGCCCTGAAGAACTTCCTGGTTTGAAGCTCCTGGATTTCTTTGAGTCGTTGAAGTCGGGTTCGCAAAGCGTGCCACTCGAAACGGGTCTGAGTGTTGCCAGAAGTAAGACCTTGTCATCTCTCGTGCACGTCAGTCCAGAGTGGATGGACTTATGGCTTCAGCAATGGGGCTATTAGATTAAGCGAAATTTTCCATTTCCTTCGTGTTATCAATAAATAGATCGATTTCAGTTTTCCTAAATTATATCAGTTGGTCCGTGGTATCAATTGACGTGTCATGATGGCCTTGATTGTAACTATTAGTTTCTCTTCGTTCAAGCTTCCCTCAAAACACTTGTATGATTCAGAGAAATGGTCGGCATTTTCGAACAGGAGTATAGATCTGATAGGGCAATATGGACATCTTTCGCTGCCGCAAGTTTTGGGGTTGTTATCTTATGACGTGGATCTCCGAGTAGACTGGCAGGTCGTTACTCAAGAAATAGCTAGGGGTAAAAGTTATTATCAAAAACTAATGTAAAGAGCATCGTTCGCAGAGCCTCGTTATCGAGGCAAGGACATATTACTTCTAGGCTCACTAACACTCGTTCCTTCAGGTATTATTCATGTTTTGATGAAAATACACTTGGGGACGATCGTGGTATCAGCTAGGCATAGCATGGCAGCTCTATCGTCTTTAAGTCTTGCATGTCGAATTCGGGGGGTTCCGGACCGACTGTGTCGCAAGCGGTGTAAAATCTCGACAGTACGCAGAAAGACCTCGAACAGCCCCAGATGTTCATTGTGGTGCCTCGTCATGGGTAACTTGACGCACGAGGATCCATCTTGGCACACTCAAATGGAATTTGGAGTGGCACGCACCCCACTGAACACAACGATGCTTTACTTTGTTCCTATGTAATTGCCGAGCTAAGTCGACTCACAGTCTCCAGCCCCTGGGATGATTTCTTGTTGCGCCGAATCCGGTGTATCAAGTCGCTTGTATGACGGTACCGTCCCAGGTAAAATCAATATAGATCCTGGTGCAATAATCACTCATCACTCAACCGCGCATCACTTCTGCAGAAGAGGAAAGACCTCAAACATCAAGCGCATCCGGCAGTAGTGAAAGTTGGCGGTAATGACTGGATAGTACTGCTGTATGCTAACTACATGAATGCATCCAAGATTGTACTGAAAATTTACTTGCTAGATTGTGGTATTCACCCGCCGTTTCACACTACCAACGTTCAACCTGACTTCAATCAGGACTTTGGCGGTAAAGACTGGTGTGCTTCCAAATGTTGCATTCGATGAACCAACTTCCAAATTCTTTCCCTAAAACCCTTCCAAAGTGACTTGAGCCTGAAGGGCAATGAGGGAGGCCAGCCGTCCCTTATCAGACTCGGAGAGTTCATGGGGCTTGTCTGCCATGTTGCGAATTACAAGCTTGCGGTCGTAAAGATGGTCAAAGTCTACCTTTGCCTCCCAATTGTACAAGTCCGAACGCTCTCGGAAGAAGTACGGGCGATTAGACTTGTACACCAAGTCATGCGTTTCTTGCCAAACGCTCTTGTGTCCAGTTTTGAACCTCCCTTGTACATCCACGGCCACAGCACAATGCCACGGACTCATTGAAACGGAGCCCGGCTGCGGGACCAGAGCTATGAATATCTTGGTGAGTCCTGTCGAAGGATGGATGGAAAGTCGGACATGCTCAGGGCATTGCTCGCGGATCAGCGCCGCATAGGCCTAGATCAAATTTTGTTAGTTTGGCTCAGGTACGTACCCTCATGTGAAAACTTACCACGCCACGGGTGATCATGTCCTTTGCAGTCTGATTAACCTTTGCCTTGTACTTCTTGCCGCTTGTCATTGCGTCCCTAATCGCACCGAATGCAAGATCTTTCTTCAGAAATCTTGCATATGCATTGTAGGTATCATGGTAATCAGGATCTTCCCTGATGCAAACATTGACGTCGAAATTGGGAGGGAGGTATCGTTGCATCAAACTCTCGCGGCTTGGTTGTAGAAGACGGCAAAAGGTCTCTTTGGTCATGACGGGTTCCGTGTATAATCCCAGGAGATTCATGAAACGTGCGAACTTGATGCAATGGTACCCCTTCTTGGCGACCATGGCACGGAGTGTGGCCCCATACTCCCAAAGATTCGAGTCGCTCACTCCAGTAAGGTCTGTTCAATTCGATTAGTGAATGCTGGGTTGATCAAATGCGTGTGCGTACCATTGTAGCAAGCGCCATCTGTTGCGATGAGCACCATCGCGCCTGGTCGGTATATCTTTTGTATCTGAGAACAAAGATCGTTGAGTCTATCCAGTGCTAGCTCTTCGCCCAGGTCAGGCAAAGTTCCGAGTACTTTGTCTCGGAAGTTGATACTCTTCGATGGAAACGCTGGAAGTACCATTGGTATCTCATGCCCACAAATGACATGACGCCTGACTCTTGGCGAAAACACCTTTCTGCCAACATACTCGGTATTTCCTGGCTCGACAAGGCTGAATTTCTCGAGAATATCCATGATCAATCCAACCACTCTGTCGACTTCTGCAAGATAGGTTCCGATACGTTTGATGGTTTGTTCCGAGTCTATAGGAAAGCGAGATTCATCATCAGAGCGAGTGGCGATATGGCCGAGTCGAGGTGCCTGGACTGCCATTATTGTTCAAGTTATTGATACAAAATGTTTTGTGCTTTGTACTTAGCAGTATGGAATGTTCTGAACTGTGAATATGAGATGTCGTATGATTACTAGAGTAACAGTGCCTCTTATCACTCAATATTATTATAATATATAGTGGCTGTAGCATGGAATATTGAACATTGAGCTCATCCAGTTTATGCTCCAAGTGGCCGATGCCCCAGAAAAGTTCCGACTGCGCAGCGTTGACAAATCGCCGAAATCATCCGTCTTTATGAAGACCCTGTACGATGTAATGCCGACATCGTCATCACTCCCAGTATGTTCAAAATCACTTAACATCCGAGATCCTTAAGTTCCGACCAGCCTCCGGAAAGCATCATGCAAGGAACACACTCGAGTATGAATGCGGGGCCCCACACCGTGAACAGATGTCGACTGGACTGCTCGCACGCTTGCGTCCTATTGGTGCATCAACTCATACCTCCGAATTGACTGGTGAGACTAGAGCATTCTTCGAGCTTGGTTTGTTGTAGTGAATTGCGGGTACGCTACCTCCGTGCTGAAATTTCTGTCACCATCTAAATCTAGTTATATCCTTTATAAAGGAGCATCATCCTGGACAGGAAAATCATGGAACGATTTGCAAGCTCTCAATTACTGCACTCATTCTGTTCAATTCCACGTCAATTATCGTCATTTCATCTTTCAGACAACATGGATACAACCCCGAGAATATTACCCGCCTCAGAACTGCTTGTCGAGGATATCCTTCATGTTTTCCGCTCCTTCTCTGCTATCTCTGAGTCCAAGGACCATCTACAAACGAAGCTGTCGACTGCGTACGAAGGATTTATTCGCACCACAATCCTCAATTCGCAAAATTCAGGACGCCCAATTAAGTTGTTGCTACCGGCGTTCCCATGGAAAAACCCGAACTTGGACAAGGTGTTGAGTGGCAACGCCGATTTCGGTGAAGAATTAGGATTGGCACGCTTGGATCATCTCTGCACAAGCTTGGCTCAAATATATCCAATGGGAGTGGAATTGACGCTTGTGTCTGACGGTCCAGTGTACAATGGTAGGATATACCCTGCAGTCCCTACTCGGCAGAACATTAACATCGGTGTTTGTATTATGTAGACCTTCTAGGAATTCCTGACAGCGACTTTTACGACTATGGGCTCCAGCTTCGCCAGATGGCCAAGGAGAAGGGATGTACTCACATCAAATTCACCCGGCTATTCGATGTCCTGGGCCTTGGCGATGGCGACTCCCTATCAAAGAAAGAGTACTTGGTAGTTGCCGACGTGTGTAGACAGGAAATGGAGAAGCGCCTCACTCTTACGCGCGATCAGCTACAGGCGAAAATCGAAAATGACCCCGACACTCTGCTAACATACCAACAATATGTGAAGTCAGCATTTGAAGACCTTCGATGGGGGCCTGAGGTTGACCCTGTCATCAAAGCTTCCCCGGCGAAGTATGAAAGCGAAACACAAGAAGTAGCAAAGCGGATGATGCAAAGACTACTGGTACGTTTCCTCCACCTGATGGCATTGTATGACTGCTAATATCTATAGGCTTATGAACAAGTTCTATCGTCTCGGTTCCCAGACCATATAAGACTTTCAATCCATCGATCAACCGGAGCATCAAAAATCTCGATTCCCTTGATTCCTCAACCCGATGAGTTCGGTATGATGCCTTGGCACTCTTGCGTTCTGGTCAGAGCAGATGGGAGGTTTCAGACCGGGCACTCGAGTCAGTTCCGCGACACTGAGCAGTTTGAAATAATCAGCCGGGGTTCTTCGCCATACCTGGTTCGAGAAAAACATCCCATGTTTAGCTGGAATCGTCGTGTCGAGATAAGCCATGCTTATGGAGGTTTTGTCACTGTTACGAATCTGGATCGAGATGAGAAAAATGGGAAACTGGATGACGATTCCAAAGGCAAATTGGTTGACCTTGCATTGCGGTTCGGTACCATACAGCTTCGCGGTTTTGATATTTCTTGACGAAGGAAACATTGACACGGCTCTCGTGTATGTGGCGAATGCGGCTGTTGTCTGAATACGAGAAGCTGTACGAAATTGGCCTGGAGAATTGATAGGGTTGCTAAGCTAGAAAACACATTTAGATTTTTTCTTTGATATTTCAGACAATCTCGCCCGCTGTCAGTAGTCTCGAGAACACGGAGTCTTATGTTCTCCTGCTACCATCATCTTCTCGAATTCGCCATTTAGTGTCTTAAAATTGCCTGGGAGGCCTCTACAATCCGGGGCTATATGAGCAAATGAATAGAATAATAAGGAATCAAACATTTAGGAGATAGCTCACCGAATAGGGCACAGGGAATTTCGTTATGAAAAGGGTCCATGTTAGAAAATAACGTCACACAAGATCTATGGGGAATTGAAGGACCCCTGTGGTCCTAAATGGACCGTACCAGAGTGTACAGACACTTTGAGGTCTCGTAGATGGAGACTTGTTTGAAAGTCGCATATAAATTTCCATGCGCTCGACGGCACATGAGTGATCCAAGATCTTGCCAGAAACCCGCCCGATGCCCATTTAATTTCCCCTTTTCATAATAATGGACCTACAAGACAATCCACAACAGTGAACATTGAAGGCGCTCGTAGTAGTCTCTAGAGGACTTGTCTGTGTCAATAGAGCGACTCGAAACTGCTATTTAGGAACCAGACTGTTGGTGTGAAAACATGAATTAGCAAACCCCCATCTTTTGTCCTACCTGATTGTTCTGGTACTCTCTTAATGACCGAGTTGGCCCTTATTGTTGATATGCGCCCATGGCAATTGACACCTCGAGCAGCATGGATACTCATTACCGCTGAATCGACCCATGACTTACGAGAATAATATTCAAGTGAAAAGAGTTTCATGATTCACGTTCTTCCCGCTATCTATTTTGATCTCTTCTTCGATAAAAAAGAGCTGTCAAGAAAACCAAACTTCCAATAATCAAAGTAAGCCCCCCGAATAGTTGTGCGTAGAGGTAGTGGCCATGGTTGATCTCAACGAGTAATCCACCCAGTGGTGGTCCGAAGCAGCAAGGAATACCGGTCACAGCTAGGACCATTCCTGTTCTTGTTCCGAGGCGCGTCCGGTCCCGGCTCAAGTCGCCAACGCTGGCCGGGAAGAGACTTTGAGCGGTGTTTGCCACCATCCCATATGTACAGGCCCACCCAAATAGTCCCTGAGTCGAGGATACCCAATTCCAACAGATCAGCAAGATTCCACTGACCCCCATTGCTGGAATCAGCAATTTCAAAGGCGTGAAGTATTTGTCTGCCAAAAGTGCTGCAGCTACTCGTCCAACAACGCCTATGCCATTCATTGCCATAATGATTAATAAGGATTGCTTTGCGGAGAAGTGTAAAACGGTACGTGCGTATATTCCGACCTAAGCTGTTAGCAAAGCGAGTGTGTTCAAGACCAGATGACTAACGTAAAAATATGCGAAATATAAGCCCCACAGCGAGAAAAACGCGCACAAGGCAAAAAGTGAGTATGGCGGCTCTTTGAACGCCCGCAGATCGATGAGAGACTGCGGCTTTCGGATTTCGTTGCTACTATTGGTGAAGAATATAATTATAGCAGCATTGAACGTGACGACAAAGCCCATGATGAGAACAGTCCACCGAAAGCCTAAAGATGGCAGACAGGTATAAGCAATAGCTGGAAACACCATGCCTCCAGTTGAAGCACCGCACGTTGCTAATGCAACCGCTAATGCCCTTCGTTCCTTGAAATGGGCTGAAATATTCGAAATCGTGGGCGCAAATAGGCAACCATGCCCGAGACCGCTGCATATACCCTGCGCGAGAACTAGCTGCCAGTACTTTGTGGACAATGCTGTCATAAAAACACCAAGCACCTGAAGACAACAGCCTAGAGTCACAGAATGGCGAAGGTATCCGTGGTCGACTATCCGTCCTGAGAAAAGCCCAATGATATTGAGAAGAAGCATTTGTAGAGACCCAATCCACGCGATCTGAGAAGCTGAACCCGTCCCATTTTCAACATAATATTGTTGGAAAAGCCCGAACCTAGTGTCATAAGTCGACAATTTAGCGGTATAGAGATGGTTCACTTACGACGTAATATAACCCCAGCAATTGAATATCACTAGGTGTCCTGATACAACTTGCATCCAGGCAAAAAGACTTCCATGAATCATTTTTTCGACTGGGGGTGGCTGTCTGTGATGTTTCATGGTTTAGTGACGATTGGGTTTCTGTTGTCTCCGAATAGAACAAAATGGATTCTCGGTGAGTTGTGGAATCGAAAGACAGACATGAAAGTTTCTTGTAAACAAAAGTGTGGCGGTCCTTTCGCTTGCATGACAAATTCAAACCACGATATGCACAAGATACGTGGTGACTGCCCAATCATCTAAGCTCATAAAGACCGACTGGTCGGCATCGACTTGTATGCCGCGTAAGTGCAATCGACTATTTGCCTGGTGCAGACCCACAGCAAAATTTGAGTTTGTTCTGTAAAGTCCCGAGCGCAATTATCGGAGAATCATCCAATGCTCATTAATTGCCGATTCGCGGTCGGCTTCGGAACTTATTCATATCTAACCCCTATCTCATATCTCCAGGCCTTGTCGTTCAACTGCTCGAATGGTCTGTAGTCGACAATAAAAGTCGATTGTTGAAGGTCCTTATACCAGATCAGAACCTGGACCATCGTCAGAGTAAAAAGACTCGATTTCGACGCATGAAAATAATCGAAAACTTCTCCATATTCTGCACTCCTGAATTACATTCAAATCAAGTCTGAGAGAGATGGATACTTCGTCGCAGGGCATGCTGGCTTACGCCGCACCGTCTTTCTTTCAACCCCATCGAGCACGTGATGCTGTTCGGGATGCCTACAAAGGGAGAATCCCACCACTTCTCGGTTACTATGCTGGGTTGAGCTCCATTCCAATTACACGTGCGGTTGCACCGATGAATTTTGATTGTGTTTGGATCGACTGGGAGCATACTGCTTGCAATGTCGAAACCATGACAACAATGGTCCATGAAACTATCTTCATGAGTCAAGGCCGCACTATCCCCTGGGTGCGAGTGCCGGGACATGACCATGCCAATATTGGCTATGCCTTGGATGCCGGAGCAAGCATCATTGTTCCACAGGTATGTGACACGATCCAAGGGGTTCTGAAAATCCAATATATGGCTTGGGTATACAATCTGACATGAGTGATAACACTGTCTTGTAGGTTGAGACTGTCGAGCAGGCGAAACATGTCATGGCCAGTACCAAATTTGGCACAAGGTCAAATGGCAATCGATCTGTACCACCCTTCCGATTAATGCCTCAGTTGGCAGATATGTCTTTGACACCTGGACGTGATTTGCATCAGGGCCTGAACGATCAGGCTGCAGTGATGATACAGATTGAATCTCTTGAAGGTATGACATACCTTGCTTGTGCAAGATTCGATGGCTAACATCTTTAGGGATCAATAACCTTGATGCCATATTGACCGAAGTTCCCGAAATCGACATCGTTTGGCTTGGATCAGTCGATGCGCGAGTCAGCATGAACTTTCCCGCCAATCTTGGAGTGGGCGATGAGCCGGAATGGATCCAGGCGCGGGAGAAATTCTTCGAGATAGCGAAGAAACACGACAAACCTGTCGGGGGACATTGTTTTGAAGTATTGCGGGGTACTATCCAGCCGCTTCAGAAACTCGCCGAGAGACTGTCATTCATTATAATGACGGTAGATGTTTTCCATCTGATGAAGATGGAGGATGATTTGAAGGAGGCTCGCGATTTATTCCGTCGCCCAGCAACTAGAACAGAGACTTCTGATAGTTAGAGGTCTGAAGACCATTGCCACTCAACTGAAAGTTCTCAAATACGCACAGCAATCAGAGTATTCCAAGACTTTTCCCCACTTGAAAAACATCCAGCAAATGCCATGTTCGCTGCTTAATATAGCCAGCCACATTCAGACAAAATACATTGTCGCACTGACGTAGTCAGTACCCACCGCAGATCACCTGCGTGGGTATATAGTTCGCTCTTCAGCGCCTCTCTTTTGTAGACTAGAGATCAACTCAGACATCTTTCAATGCTTGCTCGATCATCTCGTCTTCAGTCCCCCCTTCACATATCGGCTCAGGTGAGATAAATTCATTAATCAGCCTGGGATGGTGATGACTTCATCGCTTGAAGGAAGGAAGATGTTCGGACCTAAACACAGGCTAGGGCATGATTATAGATAGATAGACTCTACAGCTTGTTTGCATGCTTTTCATAGGGGCTCTAGCAAAGGATGGTGTACCGCTAAGGCATATAGCAGAACAGAAACATCATGTGTAAGAGAGGAGCATGATGCCATATCTTTGGAATACTTATACTACATACGAAAGAAGGCATGAGTCCATTTGGAGGTCGTGTGCGATCAAGGCTTAGAAAGTGATATTCTCTCCTGTGTTCTCATTGTGTTATGCAATAAAGGAGGAAACTTATGCCGTGCAGAATTGGTTCGAAGGAACCTCTAGATACGCTTTCCTGTTGGGTCAATCACGGTTAAATCTTGGAATGTTTCCTGGAATGCTGCAAAGGAACTATTTTTCTTGGTAGCAGTATTCATTCGGTATATTACATGCATCGATAAACCAGGTACTTTCAACAAACAGTGGGTCTAAAACTATCCCTTGTGTCGCAACGGTAGCGAGCCTGACTTGTATATAACAGTATGACTGTTTAGTAGAGATCAGGAGGTTCTTGGTTCGAATCCAGGCGGGGGAGAATGCCCATCTTTTTTTGCTATAGGCAACTATATTTCTTAGTAGCAGTATTCATCCAGTATTCTATATGCACCGATAAACCGGGTACTCTTAACAAACAGTGGGTTTAAA